AAGCTAACCGTCTTCGTATCCTTTCCTCACTGATCTCAAAAGATCTTCCAGTTGATGTAAGTCCTCGGTTACTCTCTCCTTTGCTTTCGTTTTTTCCCCTCTTCTTCTTTATGTGTATTAGTCAGTCAAGCTAGCTTTCCTTCATGCCCGGTCACAGTTTGAAGCTTCCTACCGGCCTTGCTCTTACGGATTCAAAACCACTCACCTGTTTATTAATCATACCATCGAGAACCTTTTAACTAACACGACTTCCCTTCAGGTCCGTGATGACCAATATGAGTATAAAGTCATCTCTGACAAATCGCTCGACGATGACTTCAGCATCTATGAGTGCTACAAGGATGGCCACTTGGTCCCCTATCCCTCACGGGTTGACGGCACGGAGATGTGGCAAAGAGCCCGCGATGCTGAGGCTGCTGCTGCCATTACGGCTGCCGCCAGCTCTTCCGGTTCCCGAGGAGGCAGAGGCCGTGGCCGAGGCAGTAACAAACGCCGCGCCCAGGACCAGCCTGAAGGCCAGCCGACACCAAAGAAGTCAACTCGCAGCAACTTTGATAGCCAGCTGCTGCAGGCTGCCCCAATTGCTCCTGCCAAGGGTCTTCTCGCAACCGAAATTGAAGCCCACATCGAGGGTGCTCTCGCCGAAGAAGAGTCAGCCCCTGCGTCTCCCGAGCCCGTCAGTATGCCCAACGGCGGCGCTGCTTCCTCTACTGTTGCCAAGTTCAACGGCAAACTATCGGCTCGCGAAAAGAGCCCAGCTCTACCCAAGAATATTGGGGAGCCCGATGAACATGGCTGCCGCACTTATAACCAGAGGCCATCCATGAAAGAGAAAGGGCTTGCCAGTCGACTTCTTGCTCCACGTCTCTTCTTATTCGACGAATGGGATATTGGCTTCCGTGACAGCTCCAACGACTCTACAAAGGGTCACACCCGCGCCAAACGAGGTAAATACCTCGATACGCCCAACAGCAATGGCATGCACTTTGACTACTGGTGCAACGGTTATGATTATTCCAACACCCGGGAGTCTGACTTTGACCTGACCCTCGTCAAAGAATACGGCGTCCACCCCAAGTATGGCATCTTTTTACCCACCAGCACCAACGAACAGGGGCCCAAAACTCCGTTTGTCATACCCGGAAAGCCGGTCGTATATATTGCCGAGCCTTCTGGACGCATCTCTCACGCCTCGCGCTCTTACCAGAGGACGGTTAACAATCGTCGTGTTGCTGATACGCCAGTGCGAGTGAAGATGAGTGCCACTATGCGCCGATTTTGCAAGCTCAACGACATCCCCTTTGAAGATGTTGCCATCTCAGAGTATTTGCCTACTGATGAAGAGCTTCGCGATCGATCTTTGGGCACAGCTGCACTGGAACTCGAATCCAAGCCTGATATCGAAGAGGCTTCATCTACGACTGATGAACAGCTGGCTCTTTCAGAGGAGGAGACAGCCGAGCCAACCCAAGGTGGTCTCGCCGCTCTTTCTGTCCTCACTTACGCGACTGCATTTGTTGCGGCCGAGGAGATTACACGAGCCGTTCCCCCTGCGCCCAAGCTTGCGCCCAAGCCTGCAAGATATGATGCCATTAGAGATGTCTTCACGGATTCCAAACCTGAGGAGGCGCCGGCCCCTGACACCAACAGCCTCAACCTCAATTTCTTGGCTGAGTTGTGCAACGTCGAGACACGTCTACAGGAGCCCGAGGGTTACGTACCCAAGACGCCAGCTCCTCTGATGCTCGTTGCCGAATCCGGACTCGACACAAGAGCCCAACGCGATGATATGCTGCCCATTGCACCTTTGAGACACGCTTCCATCGGTGGACAACACGGCCCTATGGAACCTATGGGGGGATACATCCGAAATCCCCTGCATGGACAAGAGCTTCCACCATTACCACCTGTCGGTCAGCCTCACGCTCCTGTTCCCCCTCAGGGACCAGAGACCATCGTCTATCAGGCACCACCTACTGAGCAGCCCATGATCCACGCACCACCGCCAAGAGCCAATGAGTATAATCAGCAACATTCTCATCCGCCCCCTCCGCCTCCGGGTCCTCCAGTCCAAGAGCCGCATCAAGGCTATTACTCTTATGGCGGCGGCTATATGCAGGAACCAAGAGATATTCATATGGGTTCTGGCCGTCCCATTGAATCGGCGTATGGCAGCAGCCGAATGTCAAACTATGGACCTGAAGCTCCCGGACCCGGCCCAGCTCCTACACAAGCGCCCCCTGGTCCTCCCCCAGGGCCCGGCGGAGGATATTCTCATGTCTACTGGCATCAGCAGGCTCCTCCTCTCCCTCCGCCTCCCCCAGTTGCACAGGCTCCTCCGCCTCCACCACCATCACAGCATTATGCGTCACAGCCTCCACCAAGGATGCCCTTTTCTCACAACGCAAACGCTGAGCCTCTTCCGCCGCTTCGACCACCTCGAGGCCGCGCTCAGCCTGTTCAAGATGATATGATGCGCGATCCAATGAGAGGGCCAAGTGTGCACGGCATGGGTAACTACTATAACCCTGCTCCAGCTCGGCCTTACCACCATGGCTATCCTGCTGGCCCAGAGCCCCCTCTCGCTCCTATGCAGCCACTCGGATCGGAAAGGATTTTGCCCAATCCTCAGCAACCGCAGTCCTACATGGGGCCGTCTGGCCCTGGTTATGCATCTCAGATCTCATCTCAGATCTTATCGCCGACTTTTGGCAATCCCCAGCCAATGTCCGGCCCCATGGCCCAGAGCCCCCCGGGAACACCGCAGGGCATGCACAGTTCGATGCACCGCCATCGCTCCACACCTTCGGGATCTTCAGATGCCGGATCTGGCAAATATCGCAAACTTCAGCCTGCTCCAGTGCCTGCCCACCGAGCGTGGTCAAACAAACCGGAGCTGAAGACTATTCCTTACGATCATAAAGAAACCGGCTCGTCTGCCGCTCTCCCAAGTTCTGGTCCCACGCAAATTAGGGGATGGAATGTGAACCAGCCTAGGAAGCGGAGCAAGGCCGACAAGCAAGATAGAGCGGAAGCGGGAAATGACCGAGACGATTCCAGATAGAGACGGGAAACGCCGGGCCAAACAGCTGCTCAAGCAGACAATGATAAGCCCCAGACCAAGCCGCTCCATCCCAACTGGTCTGTTCGTTTTGCTGAGCCAATTACCCATTTACCACCTCTTTTCCCACGAAACATCCCTCACGTTCCGCGACGCACCATGGCTCAAGACATGGATCTCCAGGAACTCTTTTCCTTGACTTGCGAAAACACTACTACCGACCCAGCTATATCTGCAGCAGATCCAGTCTCTGCTGACGCTTCGACTTCTCAGAATAACACGACAGCACGTCGTCTCCGCCCCAGAAGGGCCAAACCCGCTACAACCGAAGAACCTAACAAAGCGGCACCTTCTCAATCGATCAGGCCCAGCCGTTCTACCGCAAGGACTAAAACATCAAAGAATTCGAGCCGAGCAGCATCCAAGAAGAGGGCTATTCGAAGGGAAGCTGCACTAGCAGGCACTCAACCCGTTCAAGAAACCATTACTAGCACCTCAACTACGACAGCTGACTCTGCCTCTCAAGCAGAGAGTATCAACATTTGACTTGTGCTATAATCTGCCAACACAAGCATTCATACTATCGGATGACGTATATATTCGCGTGCATCTGTCTATATCTTTTTTTTCCCTTTACCACGCTGGCCGGCGAAATAGCATTACCTACTATACCCTTTCGTCATAGGAGCTATCGACCAAGCCCAGGCAACGTAAATACATAACGAGATGACCTGTTGTTCCATAGAGGAAACAGATGACCAAAAAGCTATACCAACAGCTACTTAATTCGGCATAACGTCGGCGTCGAAAAGAAATGACGAACTGGAATTTTCTAAATTTGTTCTTTTCAATATTGCGTTTTTGTTTCTTGTTACATCTTTGCGCTTGTGCTTTAGCGAGCTCTATTTTACTTTTTTGGCTTGGAACTCTCAGGACTATACCTTTGTTCTTCTCTTCGACCCTCTTCTTTCACCTATTGGCTTTTTGCAACGACGGCTTCGGCTGCCCTTCCTTCTTGGGTGGCTAATGGGAATGACTTGCCTCGTATACCCTCCAGCTTGATATAAGTTGGAAACGCGGGAACTGTCTTTTCTTCATGGTTTACCACTTCTTGATTCTTTCTTTATTGCGATTATTTATTTCCTTTTCATTTTCCGGTTATATCATATAGCCATCTCTACTTCTTACTCTCCTCCTTTTCACCTATACTTCATTATCCCGTCTTCGGTTTAGGGAATGAAACATTTGCTTTATGGCCTGTGTCTGGCTGTGAAAATGGAATGGAAGGTGGATTTGGGAAAGGGAAGAGGGAACAAAAATTCTGGGACAACGGGGTGACTCGGTAGCATAAGAAGGGTCGGAAGGTAAAGGGATCGGGGGACTTTAAGATGCTCCGATGACGGCTGAGATAGATGGAAAGGCGGAGGCTTAGGCATTTCTTATTGTTTTTCTGTTTACTGTTCTTTGTTTTGTCCCTACCTATGGTATGTAGGTAGATGGGACCGGTTGCGAAAGATTTTCAGGCAAGAGAGACTTTTGAGTTCAATTTTCTAGGGACCAAGAGGACTAAAAGAATTGAAAGTTCATTGTAATTGTAACAGACTTAATCCTTGTATGTGTGACTGAGACTTTTTTGTTTAACAAGAAATGTACTGAAAAGGCACGCTATGTGCAACTTGTGTAAACTACCTAGAACGTATACTACATGCAAAATAAAACCCGACCCCTAAGTTTTTGTTTTCTGTATCCTATCTGTTTGTTTCGTATGCCATCATCCACTTATATCAAAATATGAGTCGATCTTTCTTTACTTCAACGTCCAATCGTCCTGTATGTCGTATAATAATCTCATCGTCAAATCGTTCATACCATCACATCTAGATTCTCAGTCTCATTCCCATATGTGCTCATGCTCATGCTCATGCTCCATCTATGCTGTTCAAGTTGCAGGGTCATCCTGAATTGGTGCTTCTGTAGGGATACTAGATGGGGCACTGGCACTGGCACTGGCACTGGCTTGTTGTACAGGTTGTGTGACCGGAGCAGGCGCGAGAGGCGCTGTTACCGCCGCTGCTGTGGGTATGCCAGGGGCTTGAGTAGCAGCAGCAGCAGCGATAGTCTGCGCCTGCAAATCAGCACTTGTAATTGCAGGCATATCGCCCATGGGCGGCATGCCGTGGGGGTGAGCCAAGGCACTGGGATCTAGAGGTGGGATGACCATGTTGCCGCCGAGGACGGACATGTCTGGCGGTAACATCATGCCTCCGTTGGGGATCAAGGTATCGACGCCTCCGCCTAGAGAGAGCAGGTTGGCGCCGAGGATGCCCTCTGGGTGCAAGGGATACATGAGCGCCTCCATGGTGGTACCGTCGAAGATAACCATGTTTTGTATGGGCTGCTGCTTCTGGCCGAGAACGTTAATGACGTCCTGCGCCAGCTGGCCGCCCAGAATGGCCGTGACGGGGGCAATTTCGCTGCCTAGATTCTGCAAGAAGCTGCGAAGGAATTCTGGCTTGAGGGTTTCGCTGGGAAGGCTCAGGGCCTTGTGCTTCTGCGTGGCAATCTGAGTGAACAGCTTAAGGTCTTCGCGATTGCTGGGGATGCGGCCGCCCTGGATCTGCATGAATTCCCACAAGGCGCGCAGGCAGGACAGCGCCGGGGAGACGCTCTTCAGGCGGCGCTTGGACTTTGTGTACTCTTCCGGCAGGCTGGCGACGTCGCTGGCGAGGAACCAGGTCGAGTAGAGCTCTCGCTTGGTGACGGATTCGATGACCTTGGGGCCTTCCTTTTTGGTCTTGACGTCGACGATGGAGCGTGTGCGCGTCTCTTGCTTGAGTTGGGTGGCGACATTTCCCAGATCGCGCTCAATGACGTAGTCGTGCTCTATCAGATCGCTGAAGATGAAGCCGTACATGCCATGAGTGCCCGCCGCGTAAAAGGCCTTGCCGTTGATGCGCGTCGCCGTGTTGATGAGATTGAACGAATCCGGATCCAGATCCGTAGCAATGACGATGTCAAAGTTGGCGAAATAGCTCGGGCCCTTGGACTTGACCCCCTCCGAGTCGACAATGACCTGGACGCGCGGGTTCAGCTTGCGCAGGGCCACGCTGGCGGCCTCGGCGCGGTTCTGTCCAACGGGGGATTCCACCTCGGAGAGGAGAAACTGCGCGCCCAGGTCGGCCTCGGTGACGATGGCGCTGTCGAGGACGGTGAGAGAGCCGACGCCGGCGAGGACGAGGTTCTTTGCGATCTCGTTGGCCAGGGCTCTAATGGTGATGAGGAGGATGTTTGCGTTTTGGATCTTGGCCTGGGCGGCCATGCCCCAGAGGCGGATCTGGCGATCATAGAGGGCGATTTCATCTGATGAGAAACTGTGAGATGGGAGCTGAGCGAGCGCAATGCGATTGTTCTTACCTGCTGTGATGGCCTTGTCAGGCAGCGCGAGGCCGGCAGCGGCATGGCCGTTGCTGAACATCATGGGGGCCATGATTGACGGATCTGGAATGGCGGTGGTGCCGAGAGAAGGGTCTGGGATGAAGGCCTGGCCAGACATCATCATGGCGGCTGCCATGGCATCAGGCGCAGCGAGCTCGGGAGTCAGTCCAGCTGCGCCGCCGTTGGTGGCTGGGATGGGTGCTGTGCTGCCGTCACTGACGCCATTGTTTGGTTGGTGTTCCATCCTTGATGGAATTCCTTTACGGATTTGATCAAGTCGGTGTGGAGAATAGGTGGGAGATGACAGGCGTGGTTTGAGAGCAGAAATGGCAAGGCTGCGCGGATCTCGTGAGGACTAACGAGTGGGAGCTTCCAGAGAGATGGATGGATAGAGCTGAGGAAGCGAGGTCAAGAATATTATATGAATCCAAGCAGCTCCGTGCTGGTAGCAGGTTAAGAAAGCATTCACACGGCCAGCGTCAAAAATGATGCAAGTTACTTGTAGGGCCGTGAGCTATGATACAGAGATGGGATGTCGAGCGGATGAGAATGAGCGCAGCCTCGCCTGTAGCCGTGCAGCGCTGATACGTGGGTGGACTGGCGCTAGAGACGATGGGACGCTGTTAAACAGTACTGACAATATGGGTCGGTTGCCGGTACGCTATCAAGTATCCTTTAACAGTGGGGCCGATCTGAGTAAGATCTAGCCCCAGAAGTATTCCCTACGGCTCGAACATCCTCAACCTCAATTCACTTCAATGCATGCCCTGTATTTTTCCTCTTTTGCTGCTAGTAGTTCGCCAAGCAGCCATTGTGACACCATCAGCCTTGAAATCCCGAGCTTGTGTTGCGCCGGTTGGTCGAACCGCACGTCAGTTGTGGGCGATGAGTGCAGCCTCCGCAGCCAAGCCAGCTCAGCTTTGATAGTCGATGCAAGTAGCTGAATGGCTTCCGTGCTAGTAACACTGTCGACACAAGCTTGGTCGCACATACAGACAGACATTCACAGCTGAGGTTGCAGTGCTCCCTGCCAGCTGCTTTGCACCGCGCATATTTACTAACTATTTGTATATCTTGTGAGGGCTGTCTCGGGTACGAAGCGGCAGCATCTATCCGAATTGAGTCCGCCAAATGGCGAGAAACCGACCAGATGCACTCCATACTCCTTGTAGATAAGGCAGGATTCAATATCAACGAAGCAATACTACCTCTGTATAGCTTCAGAGCAAAACCTCAATACTGTATGCATCCTCCATCCCCAGCCAAAGCCCACAGACGGATGCTGGTCGCATGACCCCATTGGCCAGCCATTTTCGATGTTGCACCGCTAGGGCTGCCTGCAACGCATTCCCAGACCGCTATGGATCACCGCTAAGCTCGTCCGAGTCGGCCTCTGAGCCGCTAAGGCATAGAGCCGAATAGTGCCTGGACTAGCACCAGGCGACCCCGCGTGCACTGATCAGGATGCCAAAGCCGGGGCTTCCAAGGGCCATTGAACGGCGACGGAACATCAGATGCTGCAACTTTCCATCTTCATTCCTCATTCTTCATTCGGCCCTGGTTCTCTTTGTCCTCGCATCCACGCTGCCCTGGTTACCAATATCCAGCAAAACATCATCTTTGCTGGGCTTCAAGCGGCAAAAGCCATCAGCCCTCAAGCTCCAAGTCGCTACAAGTCAACACTGAATCACCTCACACCACCGCTACTCCCCGAAACCTCTCAGGCAACCCCGCTGCTGTCAGCGTGCCTCACTGACAGGCACAAGTAAGTGATGCGAGCTGAGGCCGGCCATTAGCCGCGCTGTCTGGGAGGTGCAAGAGACAATGAGCTGATCAAGACCTTTGGTCCCAGATTCGCTCATCCTTTCTTCCTCCGAGACAGCCATTTTCTTCTTTGGACTTTCCATCTTCTATTTTAATCAAACCTTGTTCCATCCTATCCTCCCTGCACGGTTTCTCGACTATCGTCCGTCTTATCGGCCCCAGCATCGGCGAATAAAGTTGCCGCCCTCTCGCGCCAACTCGGACCCTACAGCACCAGCAGCAACCTTATTAGCCTGGGCGGGCTGACAGCATATTATATGGAGTCGGCTTGGGTCGTTTGAACGCCGCCCAACTCACGCTTCCAGTATTGCCACCCCGACGGCGCAACCAACCCTGGCCGCTCCATCACGAACAACCACGCCAGGACGTTTTGACCATCGCCTTTCCAACTCACTGACAACCGCCGAATCGCTTTAACGGCGACGACCACCCGTGTCCCCGTAACGCGACCTGTCTGTCATGGCGTCAAGATCGGGCTCGGAATCCAACTCCTACCCGCGGCTGCCTCGAGTCGAGAACGAACAACTCATCCCAGCCTTGTCTCCGCCGCTGCCTCCTCAACGGACCCTAAACTCCCCTCGAGGCCGCGAGAACGTCCCGGCACCGCCCCGTGCGCTCTCCCGTCTTCACTGGTCGTCATACGCTGCAGCCCGGAGAGCCGAACGGATTCGAAACCTTAACGAGCAGGCTGACCGTCGCGCCGAAGAGAGGGAACGTCAGCTAGAGCGCCTTACGGGCATTTCACTGCGACGCTATCCTCAGCCGCGTAGCTTTGGCGGTCCCCAGACGCCCAATATTGAAGAGCTAGGTCGATCTCTCAGTCGAGCAAACTCCAGCCTAAGAACGTTGTTGGATCAGCCGGATCCCACCCTTACTTCACTTCCCCAACCTCTGCGTCCCCATGAGTTCACAGACGACAATCGCCGGAATAAACGCCGGAAACTCGACTCGGACAGAATGGGGTCCGGCGGGCCCAAGGCCTTTCGCTATGGCAGGTATGGGCAAGTAGACCCGGGTCAGCTGCGGATGGAGATTGTGAGCTGCGACGGAGGCATGTTTTCGAACCATTCGTCATACGCAGCTGAGAATATTCTCAAAGACGACAATTCAGTATACTGCACCAAGGGAAACAGATGCAATATCATTCTGCAACACCAGGGCGGGACGGTATTCACCCTACAAGAGCTGATTATCAAGGCACCCTGCGCCACCAACTTTTCGCATCCGTAGGTTTTCTAGTTAATCTTGTTGGAGAGACTGCTATCTCTTGGTGATTTCTCCCACTAACTCGATTCCCCAGTGTTCGCGAGGGCATGATTTTCATCACCATGGATCAAGACGAGATGCTTAATCGGACAGCTCAGTACCAAATCCAGTACGGCCAAACAGCTAGAGACCGGACACGAACGGGAGAGGCGAATAATGCGCTGGTCCTGGAGCAAGAGCCTCGCCATATCATTTCTATTCAGCACCATGACGATGGCACCACAAGCACAAGGGCCAGGAGATCTTACGTATATCGAACCGATGACGATGAAGGTCGCCCTGAAATGCCTGAGGAGTTTAGTAGGGAAATGGCTGGATTTCGTGTTACTACGGAATGCAGCGATGAAGAAGACGATGACGAGGATGGTTATGATGGAGCACGGCTTCACCGGACCCCTAATCGCATTGGCTCTCTACCTTTTGAGAATCTGGAGTCTGACGCAGACGATATTATCCTGCCCTTCAGCCCTCGAGATCCTTCAGACGACCCTCTTCTTCATCACAGTCGCCGGCATAATATTATTCATCGACCTAGAGGCAGAGATGACGACCTCGACCACGACCACGACCACGACCACGACCAGGATCATGACCTGATCAATGCGCCAAGCGCCTCTCTCTCCGAGGCAATGGATGCCCATGCTAACGCCACTCAAGAAGCCATCCGTGCCGTCAGCCTCAGCGGCAGCTTGCTTTCTCCTCACGCGCGGTTTTACATCGAGAAGAAGAAGAGCAAATGTACCATCAAGTTTGAGCCACCTGTTTCTGCCCGTTACATCCTTCTCAAAATGTGGAGCTCCTCTCATGACCCGACGAGCAATATCGACGTTCAGTCTGTCATCGCCCAGGGCTTTGCGGGACCAAGATATTTCCCCTCTGTTGAGCTACGATGAGCGTGACATGAAAAGAAAGGGGTGCTGAATAATACGATGAGAATGCATTGAGTGCACACGCCAGTTTGAAATCTTTTTTTTTTTTATTAAGCGAAAGTTTGTACAGAGCGCAGTATGGTACCTATACGAAAATCTCATGGGCGCAGAGAAAGGGGCCTGGCAGGGTACATACGGGGGGCCTTTGTTTTCTTCATTTTTTTCTCTATTCTTTGAGTTTTCCTCTTTTCTTCCTACTTGTTGTTAATTCCTCACTATCGGCGTTATTTTCCATGATTCCTCACACGGCTTTGATGATGGAATGAGTTTTTACAAGGCAAAGAGAGGCGTTGGTGTGCGCTCTTTCGGAATACGGCTTTAAAAATGCCAGTCGCTTTCATTTCGGAGTTGGTTACCCGGTACCAGGGATGGCAATGCCTGTTTCTTTCTTTCAGTTCGTTTACTACGACAGGGGCTACAAAGTACATGTACTTGCTAGGAATCTAGGACATTAGCGATTGTTTTACGACGTCGATCAACCTATGCATGAATACTACTAGTCTGCATCTTACACAAGTTCGAAGTTATTCGTGAGCTGTGTGAGTGCATGCTAATTATCATCATTATTATCATGAGAATATTGTCGTAACAATGTACGCTGTTTAGGGCAAGCCAACAAGCCATCTCTGCCAAAAGTCACACTACCATGTTTTACCTTATCCAATATTCCCTGTATTATCATGAAGCATTGTCCAAATACCCATGAACCCCGTTTTCTAGAACACCGCATGTTACTGTTACACCAAGCAAGAAGCAAATCAGCTGCTCTTCTTTTCCTATTGACCACCTTGGAATCATGCAACTGGCGGTATGACGAGACTTTGACTTCTTCGCCGATTGCCAGATGCAGAAGCACGAGGCTGCAGAGGAACGATTGCGTGGCAGACTGCAGTAGAGTATCCAGCGAGCAGGGCACCAAGAAACCTGGTAGTTGATTAGCAGTCGCCCTATTGCGATATGGAATTCTTTCTCACAGGTTGATATGGATCACGACAAAGGCCGGAATCGTCTCCTTCCAGGGATCCATCACATCCAATATAAAAGCACCGCCAATACCGCGGAGCGGGAGCTGTTCTGTGACATCGAAATCATAGATGTCAAGCTCCTGCCGGGGAAACTTGAGAATGCCCGGCGGTTTATCCGGGGTGCTCCAGCCGATATACACCATGGTCATGAGGGGCATCAGCGTGAAGAAGACGCCGCGAAAGACCCAGACGGGATCGAGCGACGAGTTCCGAGGGCGCAGCAGCGTGTTGAGGGCCATGAGGCCGGCGGTGGCGGAGCTGATGGCGGCGCTGAGGGCGGCGAAGAGGTAGAAGCCCCAACGGGTGAAGTCGCAGCCGACGCCGTGATACTGGCAGGGCCCGCGGGAGACGCGGATGCGGGCGGCGATGAAGGCAGCGGTGGAGAAGAGGACGAGGATGAGGTTTGCGGCGGACCAGGCGAGGACGAAGTAGATGAGGAGGTTGCTGGAGAGGTGGCGGAAGCGTCGCCGGGCGTGTTTTGTGGTGGGTGGCATGGCGAGAGGAGAGAGATGAAGAGGAGGGAGAGAGGGTGAGGCAGTGATCTTTGTATAATTATGTGATAAAAGCGAGAGACTGTATGTCCTGTGTGTTTTGTTTTGTTTTTCTGCTTGATCGCCGGGATGATTTGTATACTTGGACGGATTAGAAACGATAGTGGTGAGCATGTAGACTCGTCTCGCGGAAAATGACTGTAAATTGGTTGTTGTCTCCCTCACTTGGACGGATGATTTAGAAAGATATGGGAGAGTTTGGCCTGATGGGAAGATGTATATGATATAACGGCATGTGGCTTGATGCTCGTGTGTAAAAGAGTGTCGCAACTGCCTTGATAGTAGCAAAAAGATTGCTCGATTGTAGAAGGAAGGGCTCTGAAAGGAGTGAAGAGAAAGTTGATGTATTAAGTTTCTATATCTACGTACGTACGTACGGTCAAGCGGTTTGAAAGAAGCCTGGCTATCATCTGGTTTATCTACATTAATTTGGTTGTCAGCAGAGGTAGTCAGACTGGTGTAAACGAAGTAATCATTAACATCTACATGATCAACAACAGCTCTATACTGGATACTTTTGGCCATACTGGAAATACACAGCGAAGGCCAATCTCCTTGGATGTTGCCGCATGGCGAGGCTCTACATCGGAAGTGCTTGTTGATATCACTTTTCCTCTCCCGACTTTCATTGGTCTAGATAAGCTCTCCCTCTGGCTGCAACCAACTCTGCTATATGAACCCGAAATAGCACTGGATCATGTGGCTGAGACTTTGTGGCAAGCCGAGCCAAGCCACTGGGAGACTTACGATTTTGCGTACGTGTATGGCACGCACACCAGAAGAGACGAAGAGTGGGGGATGGTGCACTGGAGTGTCGGCCGTGACAGTGGGCTGAGTGCCTTGTGCCAGCGCAACCAGCAGCAGTTCAGGCAGCTGCTCTAGTGGGTGGCAAACGCTCGTGTACCTGAGGCAGCTTAGCGAGCTTGGAGGCCCGGAGCTGCTCCCAGACTGGCTGGAAAGACTGGAGGCCGAAGATCTCCCCACCGCACCTCAGGTACGCAGCCAGACCAGCGCGACGGTGCAGCAGCCAGGCACGCTGAGGCGGCCAATCGGTGGAGTGGCTGGCCATTGATGCTTTCCATGGATTTGCAGCAGAACATTGAAGCTTCTTGGTCGGGCTCAGATGGAGTGCAGTGCGTGCTGGGCCACCACGTTGCGTCCATGTGCCGTCATTGGCCCGCGGCGCTGGAACTGGAGCTACAGCACAGCGATGGATGTGAACAGTCACAGTCACAGTCACAGGCAAGACAGCGCTGCCGGCCCTTGCCCTTGCGCTGTGCGTGTTCCCTGCCCGCTGTCGGCGTCGCGAATCTGCACCTCTGGCCATTCTCTTCTCTTCTGCACCCTTCTCCTCTTCACCTCTTGTCTGCTTACCTACTGTACTTGGCGCTGGCTCTTGTCGCTTGACCGCCTTTGCCAGAACACCTGTACAGCTCGCTGCTATCCACTGCTAGCACCACCAGTAAGCTGGGGAGAGAGGAGCCTTTGCTGGACCCGCGCGGATCCACGGACAGGCCAAGCGAGCGAGTGACAGACAGACACGCAGAAACTCGGCCTGTAGGCAGGTACATACCGCATGTTCAATCCATGCCAGGCCTCGTGCTCGCAGGTACCGCTACATCGACATCCCACGCACTGCAGACTCTGCAGACTCTATAGGCACATGCCGGCCAGCGAGTTCGCAGGGCTTGACGTCTGATCGGGTGGGCCGTTACGCTGTGCCAGTAGCTGATGTCCGGCGTATCAGCATTCCAGGCCGGCCTCTCGCATGCCGTTGTTGGGCTGCATCTGAGACAGCAGGTGCCGTCTAAGCGTCATCAGCTATAACGTGCTCGTCGAAACAAAGTTTGTTTTGGTCGCCACGGAGCGACGAGATCCGCCGGGAAAAGAGGGAAAATAAGCCAAAGGGACCCCCCCGGACAGTTGCCAAGGGCAGAGGAAGAAAAAAAAAAGAGGACTGGAGTCTGGTTGCATGAGTCGGGGTTGTGCGTGACCGCTACACCATTCGCAGCATCCTGTGCATAGAACCTGCAGGACGGCGCAGCAGCTTGACCAAAGACAGAGCGTCGCGCCCTGGCAGCCGGGCGTGCATTACGTTTGCATCCTAGTACGTCTGCATACTGAGCATGTGCTTTTTGCATCTACAGGCACACGCTGAAGAGCGCTTCGGTGGACCCGTCGGTCGTCAGCTAGGGGACAACAAATGCTAATTCGCGACAGTAGGATCGACGCTGGCACTTTGCGCCGACTGTGTCGGATTCAAAGCGACCGCCGAAAACTTGGGGTCACGTTTCCCCAGTCCCTTGAGCCCGGCACCACCATCGAGCAAACCCGTTCGCCTTGATTCGCATCAATCCCTTTGGGGCTGGACTTGGCCGTCTTTCACCTTCCTGCAAAGGCAAATCGGAAGCGTCCAGGCGCCCACTTCTTCCACCGCAGCCAATAGATACCGCAGGTCACAATACAGCGCCTGAACAGAGAGATTGGCTCGAGCCAAAGCGAAATTCTGTAGTACTGCCGCTAGAGGGCAACCAGTTCGCTGTGGCGTCCGTCTAGCATCGGTAACGATCGCGAAATACTGGGGGGGCTGGTCGCTGGTCTGGTCCAATATTCCGCCCAAATCTCCACTCCGTTGCTAGGCCCAGTATCCTTCACCGCGCCAGCGCAAAATACTCCCAGGTAGTGGTACAATGGGCAGCTCGACAGCAACCCCCGGCCAGGGGTATGAGCAGACTCAAACTCCTCCTCTCTCACCGAGCTTAAGCTTGGCCCTGGACTCCCCATCGACACCTCGAGCAACCTCGAGCTCTCGTGCCAATTCTCGCCTCGTCGACCGAAGAGACTCCCTGTTCAATGTGGGACCTGCCTCTCCTCCGAAACAACATTCTCCTCTCCGTCAATCTACCAGCATCTCCTATCAAGACTGCGCTGGACGTCCAGACTTGTCGCAATTTGTGAAGCCGAGGCATAACTCCAAGCTTCAGAGAGGCCATTCGAGGTCGAGATCAGAATTTTCCACAACCACCACCAGTAGCAACATTCCTTTACCAGTAGGGCAAGCCCCTGGAGCGCAACTAGCAGCATCACTCTCGACAGACTCTTCGCAATCCGAGGATCCGAGTCCGATTTTTGCGACGCGTCGCACCTCTTTTGGAGAAGTCGGTCAAGACAGACGCGTGACAAATCCAAGCGATTGCAACAGGTCCAATACCGCTCCTTCTTCGTCTCCTCGCAACTCCGCGCTCTCCTTCATCGCCTCCAAGATGCCGGCCATCAAAGCTCTCGCCCCTGCGCCCGTCGTGGTGCCGCAAAATGACGAGCTCATCGGTCTCAACATCGAAACGTCGCTCTTTCCCAAGGGTAACCCTCCGGACGGGCAAACTTTTTCACCCGCAGCTTTTATGAATTTGCAGCAGACGGCGACCGGCCTGCTCAAGAAGTACCAAACCGCCTACAAGCGCCAGGCCACCACGATCCAGGAAATGCTGGCTGAAAAGGAGGCTACAGATGACGAAAAGGCGGAGGCCGACACCAGGACGCGACATCTCAAGATGCAGCTGGAGGGCATGGCTCAGAAGCTAGCGGAGACCGAGAGCGAGATGCAGACGCTAATGGAAGAACTGAACAAGGAGAAGAGGTTGAGGATGGAAGAGCGAGCAGCCGCTAGAGATAAATTTTTGACGCCATCTGAAGGATCAATTTCGGAAGACCTCTGCGTCGAGGAAGACCAACAACGCAGACGCGGATGGAGGCGAAGCGGTGAGACCTCCAAGACTGATTTCAGTTTCGAGACGGACGAAGATAGCGTCGAAGCCGCCAGCATCTTCTCTCGTCCTCGCAGCCCTACCAACACGGCGCTAAGCATCATCTCGGACGTAGAGGGTCCCGCTCCGTCCGGACCTCCATCACGGACCTCGACGTTTGGACCCAACCGACCAGTCCGCAACTCCCAACCGCCACAGCTGACCACTTTCCAGAAGCTGTTCAAGATAGATCCCGACAGGGACATCAAGGGGTGCCGAAACTGCCAGGGCCAGGACGCCAGCATCGCCTGGGACACCGTGGGTCTCCTGAAAGCCGAGAACAAGACCCTCAAGGAGAGAGTCAGCGAGCTGGAGGAGGCTGTCGAAGAGGTGCTCGACGTTGTCAACGGCGTTGGGCAATAGCATCGCATACCCCCGCATATCTTCAAATTTTTCGGCATGTCTGGGTGTTTTCTTACAATCAGCCGGTATTACGAAACGATGTTCTGGCATGAAACATGGAGTCGGATTCTATTTTTTTATGATGACCATTTTTCTTGTTGCTTTTTCCTGTCCCTCCTTTTGTTAATTTATTTATTTTTTGATCTTTCCGTTTGCATTTTCTTCTCTTCTTCCATCTTCTCATGATCTCAAAACCCTCATCATCCCCCCCTTTTTTTACACTTTTTTTCTTTCTTTCTCCTATTCCCCCCTTTCTTTCACCGTACGCGCGATACACAATGGAGGGAGGCGTGTCTGCTGGAATTGAGCTCTGAGGGGAAAAAAACATTGATAAGAGATTGAGAGCGCCAGCTATTGAGTTGTATCCCCTGAAAGCAAAGAATGAAAACTAGCGTTTTATATGAGAGACGTAGAATTTATGATAGGAAAATATTAAACTTTTTCCAATTTTGGAGAACCCAAATCCAGCTTCCACCTATGATTGCCTGTGTGCTATTAGTAGCTATGCTCTCTTCATCTCTTTATTCCTCCGTACCCTTAAACTACGTGCTAAGCTTACTGCAATCTATCTACTGCAGAGTACCTATCTTTCTACATGGCAATGGCTGTAGCCCGCTGTTAATAAACACAATCATAGAGCACGCATTCAACGTTTTGTTTCTTATAGCTCCCTTGCATGGTATTCTTAAATTGAGTTTATATTTGTGTGGATTCTTTGCCCAGCGCAAATCTTCTCCCAAGCTCTTTTCTCCTCTCTTTCTTTTGTTTGTAAGAGTTATATGTACACTTGCTCCCTTTCTTCCTTTCTTCCTCGTCCTCTTTCACACCGCTTTGCCTGTTTTAAAAACATCTTTCCAACAATGCCGCCGTCGCAGAATAAAACAACGCTTTAGTGGTGACCCTCGCCGTGAACCTCGCCGTGGTGCTCATCCTTCAGGAAGAGGTACTCGTAGCCGCAGTATCCGGTAAACGCAACGGTGGCGATTCCCAGACCGGGGAAACCGCTTCTGAATCTGTTCCAGCGGGAAAAGGTGCCCTTGTACCGCCATGCCTCGCTATATGAATCATCCTTTCGTTAGCTTTGCTCTTCGTTGCCTCTTCTTGTTGCCATCTCTGCTCGTATTTCGGGGCTATTTGAAAATCCAAAAAGGGTAGACCAACGCTCTCTCCCATGGGTCGTATCGGGGCTGGCCGGTGGCCTCCTTGAAGGCTCGCATGTTGAAGCCGGTGATGTTGGGCTTGGGCCCGTGGGCCGCTCGCAGTGCTCTGTTGGAGGCGGGGTTGCAGCGTCAGTCACTCGGCCACATCGAAGAAGAGGCGCCGTGGAAGGCCATTGCCATACCTTGTAGCAAGCATGGTGCCAATTGAGGTAGCTTGCAATCGGACTCTGCTGGTGATATTCGAAATGGAGGCTGGATTGGAAGTTCCGCAGCTGGTAGTTCCTGGGGGAGGGCCGGAATAACGCGGTGGCCGAAAAAGGTGGCATGTCGCGCACGGGCCATCCACGGCTATTTGCTGGGCGGTACTGCTTTCGCTTCCGTCACCTCCTCCAGAAACGAGCACCAGTGAGCGTGTTCTTTTATCTAGCTTTTACTCCAACGTTTTACTTTTTCTTCCTGCAAAGTTTACCACCGAGCGCTGATCAAAAACACGAGTATCTCGTTACCGATTATTTCGAAAGCTGTCCCGAAGAGAGAGAAAACCGAAAGGAAACAAAAAAAACAAAGAGAGAGCAACGACAGGTGACGAGAAATCCCTGCTCGGCCAACCGCATCCATCTGTACCTTGGTAGCTTTTGTCTATCGCCAAAATCCTTATCGCTCCGACGACGCTCCCCCCAGTCTCGAGCCAGCGCCTCGCCATTGACTCGAGAGTTGACAGCCGCAGAGGCGAGAACAGCAGCTTGTTTGCGCCCACAGCCTTCTTCGTACCCAATGCAAGCCCGAAGAGGCCGTGGAGATTCAGGACCTCGCCCCCCTTCGTCACGTTAGAGACCGCTCTCGTTCACCCCGCGACATCGAGGAAGAGGATACTTCAATTCCGGGCTCTTTCCTCATCAAACTCCCTCGTCTTTCTTTCCGACTGGCCCTCCTCCGGCCTCGTTCAATCCCGACCCTGGGTTTCCACCTCCCGCTCCATTTCAACCGCCTCATAATCTCAATCCTAATCCCATGCCACCACAGCTCCGGGGCTTCGGCGGCGGACCCGGCGTCGGCGCGCCTTTCCACCAGCCTGGGTTCCCTACTCACGGCCAGCCACAGGGAGGGCCTCTGGGGGCTAATCAGTATCTCAACGCCAACGCCCAGCTGAATCCGTTTACGCCGAACAACATCAACTCCTTCAACGCTGCTGCCCTCAATGGTGCCGGCGGCTTCCCAGACACGGGCTTTGGCAGCCAGAGCGCAAGGATGGGGTTTGCGCATGGGCCGGGCGCGGCCGCCGCTCTACAACAGCAGCAGCAGCAACAGCAGCAGCAGCAGCACGGCGGCCAAATGCAGCACAATTCCTTGATGGACCATCCCACAATGCGGCCGCAGCCATCAAATAAGGGCAGGATACGCGAAGTCTGGAAACATAACCTAGAAGAGGAGATGGCTGTGTTGAGAGACATCATTGACAAATACCCCTACATTGCTATGGTGAGTTTTAGTTGACGACTTTTGGAATTTGCGAGCGGGCAACCTATGCTACCCACACTGATTGCCCACAACTGTCTGGCTTTCGACTCTTTTTTATATCAGAACTCCGCTAACTCTAAGGTGGGAATGAAAAGGACACGGAGTTTCCTGGCGTTGTATCAAGACCTATGGGTGGCTTCAGAGGAAAGAGCGACTATCATTACCAGTGTCTACGAACGAACGTCGATATGTTGAAAGTAATCCAGATCGGCATCACATTATTCAATGAGGACGGCGAGACGCCACCGGCGCGACCCGGCCCGGAGCTGGGACTCAGTGCAGCATCAAGGCGGCATATCGGGCAAGGACCATTCCCTTACTCATGGCAGTTCAACTTCAAGTTCTCTTTACAAGACGACATGTACAATGAGAAATCGATTGAATCTCTTCAGCAGGCTGGCATCGACTTCAAGGCCCTCGAACAAAACGGTATTGACCCCCACCAGTTCGCCGCCCTATTAATACCGTCCGGTATGGTATGTTTCGACAACATCCGGTGGATATCCTTCCACGGCGGTTACGACTTTGGCTACCTCACAAAGCTGCTCATCTGCACGCCCCTGCCAAACGACGAGATCGACTTTGACCACAAGATGAAGCTGTATTTCCCCATGACATACGATGTAAAGCATCTGATGAAGTATGCCATCAAGCTTCACAACTCAGGCATGCTTACTCCTAGCGATCCTGGCACCACTGAAATCTTGCAAAAGTTTGAGCACAAGTCTGGCCTGGAGAACATTGCAGAGACTCTGAAAGTTAAGCGAATCGGGTCTGCTCACCAGGCTGGTTCAGATTCTCTCCTCACCGGCAAGGTGTTTTTCCAGATGCGCGACCGGATCTTCAACGGCGAGATTCCCGATGATCATCTCGGCAAAGTCTGGGGACTTGGCATCCCTGATATTGGATTGCCCATGTCGATGATGGGCCACGGCGACCAGAACGGCGGGCAGAACGGAAACACTCCCAGCACTCCGAATACGGGCCCTGCGCATCTCGCGACAACCCCGGCCCAACAGAGCCATAATACGAATGGTCTGCCTACAATGGGAGGGCCTATGACACCTGGAGGCGGAGGCGGCGTCTTTGGTAATTTTGCATTTGGAGGAAACGGCAGATAGGGTTCTGCTGCGGAGGGGTCTCGCTCATCCAGGGGTTGAATGACAGGCCTTTTCTTCGTTTCCGTCCTTTTTGGTTTCTATCTCTGTATTTCTTCTGCTCCTGCCTTTTTTTTTTATCAACTCGAACCGTTTTCGAGTCGATGTGGGTTTTTATAACAGCTTTTATTTTTCAGTCTCGGTTTCTGATCTCTGTCTTGACGGTTTTCGCTTTCAAACGTGCTTTTTTTATGAACCAACATGAGTGGTATAACTATAATTGTATATGCCGCTGAATTTGGGGTAACACTCGAGCTGTAATTGAAAAAAGGGAAGGAAAGAATATGTGAGAGGTGTGGGAAGAAAGAAGGCGGGAAGTGAACGGTGTTCACATGGGTTGCATCATTCATTTCGTGATGGGGACCCTTTGGTGGCCTTGTTTTCTAAAAATGCTTTTGCCTAACTTGTTTGTGTGTTTGTCTTTTCGCCGTATAACCTGGTTATTATCCTTAATCAGAATTGTTAGGATTGTGGGATACGCAAATGGGAAAACGGACAAAATGGGCTGATTGGGAGGCGAGAGTTGATTTAAAAGTCCTTGTTAATGGCGACAAAACCTATGTGTATGTTTTCATATCTTGTTACGGTATTGTGCAGGGCTCTTTGAATGAAGCTCAATACATGTTCACAGGGCGAATCAATGAGGAGTTCTAAAGGATGTTTACGCCTGTTCAATATCCAGATTTCAAAGCAATGCTAGGGCTGATGGTTATGAAATGATAAAACACCAAAGAATTCCAAAAGTCCCACGAAATTAATCATACTCGTTGATATGAAGAAACACCAAGTCAAGCTGCTCCATAAAGCCAAACGAACTCATGTCCCAATTCCGGAGTAAAAAGCTATCATGTAAAGAAACCAGGAATAACCAAATTGATACTTGCGTAGTTGACACCCAATAAAAACGATGTCTGATGATCTTTTTTTAGGTGATAAACACCTTTTTGAGATCGTCCCTCGGGTACGTCTGCCCAGTCACCGGGTCTTTAACAAGTTCATCAGGAGACAACCCCGATTTCCGGGAATAGTCATCCAAGCGCTCCTTTCCGTACACCCTGCCGTTCGGTAGCAAGAACAGGTCATGCTCGACGTGACTCTTGGTATGATGTGCGTAGGGGACGTTGCGAGCTAGGTCGTTGAGCTCGGTGGAGCAGATTGGACAGACGCCATGGCCCAGCGTGGAAGAAGAGCCCGTCTCGCTAAAGACGTCGGCATCGTGGGAGGAATGGCAAGCGGGCGTTTTGAGGGCTGATAATCCTGATGACAAGGCAACGTGGAGCAATGGCACGGATGGGAGAGATAGGAGGCTGTTGTGAGTGGTGGTGAATAGGTCGGCGAGTTCGCTCCAGCGAGAGTTCTTGTATAAGTCGCTGTAGATGCCATATGAGCTATCGGGAGGGATGGCCAGAAGGCCGCATGCCTGCTTGACTTCCTTGGGGTACGTGCCCCAGTAAGGCATGAGATATTTCTTTGCGTGAGCAATGGCTTCAACGAGTTTCGGCTGCGACTGAGTCCGGATGAGCTCTACATACTGCTGTAAGCGAAGCATGAACTCAAGCTTGCTCTATGAGTGAGAGACGATAGGTTAGTTGTCAAGTTCGAACAGGAGGAATGAGGTATTGTTGCCGAGCTCACCTCCATCTTTCGAAGCTCCTTCTTGTTCTCCGTACACCAAGCCAACGCCTCAGTAACGCTCGCATTCAGCAACGCCTCCCGAATCCGGCTCATGCCAACAAACGTATCGACATCCACCAGGTTCTCCATGTTCTTTTCGCTCGCCAGCTCCTTCGCACTATTGTTGTACCCATGCCGCAGCAGGTAATCCGCCAGCAGCCGATCCAGCCTCTTCCTGCTCCAAGCCTCATACTTGACGTCTTCTATACTGTGCATTGTGTACAGCTCATCCAGGTGCTGTATCCGCGCTGCGGTCTGGGTGTGCAGCCTGCTTTCCTCGTCGGCGTAGGCGCCCAACTTGCGCTTCACGCCACGCATGCGGCTGATCATGGCGTCGAGGTTCTTGAGCACATCTTGTTGCGAGGCCCGGCCGGAGATGGCTGCGGTCGCCGAGTCTCGGAGGAGCGTCTTGAGCGTCGAGGTGTCCTTTTCGATGGCGAAGTGTGCGGCTCGGAAGTTTTTGCGTAGCAGCTCGTTGGGGAGGCGTAGAAGAGGTTGATCCTGTGAAGATGAATTGGCATTAGGTATCTTTAGGGAAAAGCAAAGCAGAGCTTGAGAGCCTTACCAAGAGCAAGTGGTCGTTGTGTCTGATGCTTGAATTCTCGTGGTCCGTCATCTTAGAAGCCGTGGATGCCGAGACAAGTCCAGCGGTATACAATTTCTAAATGTTCTTACCTTGTCTCTTTTCTCTCTCAAAAAAATAGCACCTGTGGTGACGACAGGGCTGGCAAAGCTGGAAGATGCAACGATCAGGGCCGGAGAGATGATGAAGCGAGGTTATGTCGCTGGACTGGGGTGCTCTTATCGATTAGCAGTGATGCAATGTCACTGCCGGCGCCACACTCGGCTCTAATTCAGGGTAGCGCCCAGAACGGCAATCCAGCACGCCAGCTGTAGGAGAAGGTGATAGAATACATATCGATATTCATTTTCTATAGATACCTTGTAAGAGCTTTATTCATCTTAGCACCTTTGAACCAATACAGACTTCTTTATTTGTTCGAACCTTCCGCTCTCGCAAGCCTAACCACGTAAATATAACGCGACATTTGCAAAACGTACATCACTTGGTTGAGAGAATAGGCAAACGCATAATACTGCGAAGCTTGTTGGCAAAGCCAAATAAAATAAGACTAAACCTTGCCTTTCTGCTTTATTAACAAGCACTTTCATGTATGTCCATATCCATGGCGTCGGTAACCGAGCTTTCCAAGCCGCAAACAACACTTATCCTGCACAACTCGGTTTCAACGCGGTCAATTGCTGCTTCTCCAATGCCATTCCCGCTTTACTTTAGGTTCTGTGGAGGGTCCCTGCGTCAGAATACTTCTAAAGACGGCGCTTTGCAAAAAGTAGTATTTTAAATATGTCTTCGTCTTTTGGCTTTCATATCTGCAACGGCATGCCGACACATCTCTCTGTCTTGGTGCTGTTCCAAAAGCCTGCGGGTAGAAGAGATCTCCTCTCTGAGTTGCTGGCAAGTCGTTGTATTCGTTTCAGATGCGATTGTGGTTTCGCGAATGCGCTGTTCGAACGATTCAAATAGCGTCTTCACTACCTGAACTCGCGACCGTAGCAATTCTTGGATATTGGAGGAGCAGCTTGAACAAGAGTATCGAGATCTTCGAGAAGTTCGGGTGATATTTCTGCAGGAGGTTTCGGTGTCTCGGTTGTTACCACCCATGTGAATTCTTCCATGTCGTCCTTTGCTGCGGCTATCCATTCGAGGACTTTTTGGCTGCCAACGACTTCCGCAGCAGCAGCTAGCCTTATAGTTCTCTTTCTGTCTTGTGTGAGAACCTTGACTGATTCTTGCGTGAAGGATGCCTCGACATCTGCCACGAAATTCGTTGCGCTTGTGGTTTGATCGAGGTTTTCAATTAGTGGCTGTAACTTTTCCATCGCTTGAAGGCGATTAATGGACCGCTTCTCATATGAGGTCTCGTAAAAGGTTTCATTCCTGGCCTTAAGTCGCTTAAGCATGAGGCTTATATTGGTGGAAGAGACCCTGTTCATTGTCGTTGCGTTCTCTTACATTATATCGCTAGAAGTGCGTTCTTCTTCTTGAATCGTCGGTTTCAGCGCCCGAACTGTTCCTATTCTGCTTAGGTGCAATGTAGAAACGTGGATGGGAAGGCGATGATGTTTGATATACTCGTTGAGATTGGCTTAAAGAGCTGTAGAAAGAGAAGAGAAAGAGCGTAGTGGAGTTACAAGGCTTATTATAGGCGGATGCATTGGGCCAAAAAGTCTTGGTGACTAAATTGTGATGAAAGGTTGAGTCAAGATGGTAGGCATTATCGGGTAACACTGTTTGCCTCTGCGCAGTGAGTGTCTTTCAAATGTCGTATCAAGGAGAGGCAAGAAAGGCGTTCACTTATCAATGACAAATGCTAGAGAAGCTTGGATTTTGAATTATAGTGATTGAGAGTGACATGCTGAGAGTATGCACTCCAGTATTTTCTCATTTCTAGTCATATCTATCATTTCTCGCGGGTAACAAAGGAGCACTTATGATTAGTTCTGTTATATTGCATGGCAATAACTAGATATTTAATCACGATTCTCAAAGGATCGAAGTATGAAAGATATTTTATCTTTTTTATATGGTAAAGGGATAGTTTTATATAAATATGCAGGCACCTGCAGGCACTTGGAGGCACTTGGAGGCCTTCTTATTGGAATTGACAGTTAACCTCTGCCGTTTCTAGTGTAATGGTAGGTTCCGTTAATCCCTTCCATCCGCATGAATAAAATCATAGCGACATGGACATCGCCATCGCAGTTCACAGGATAGTAAGCGGGTTTTCGATTTTGTTCTAAAGATAAATTTGACAGAATCGTCTGTGATTGACAATTCAGCAATGTCAAGTTGATTGTTGAAATGGTTGTAAGGGTTGAAAGATGATGCTCAGTGAAGATTGGCCCAACCATGTTGAAAGGGGTGATGCTGAAGATGGGATGACGTTCATATTGCCCATCCAAGAACCCCAAGCAACTCTCCCTCATGTTCTCTCTCCATCTCAGATCCAAAGCCGGTCGAATATTCTTTATGGCATAGGCAAAGGAACCATCGACGCTCGACAGAATCTAGTAGTGATTAAACGCTTGAGAAAACGATGAGAATGACGAGGCGAAACTTGTGACTTTCTTCTTTGCGAAACAGTAAGAGATACTCGTAATAGAAGCATTTTTAGTCGTAACAAGGCATCAATATCAATCGTTTCGTCTCAATCGTAAAACATGCGAGAGGGTGTTACCTCGAAGGCGGTGGTGGTGACAATGATGTCAGCAGTAAAAAGACATCATTGAGGATCATCCGGAAATGAGCCCCCCGCCGAGCATTTTAGGGAAGTTTTTGAGATAGCCCTATATGTCTGTATTGCTATCCAAAGCTTCGAAGTTGATGGCACAATCTGAGCCGTTTCCATGTCTTCTGGAAAGGAGCAGCAACCGGCCAAGCAATTGGGCAAGTCTTTGAGATAGTCCCCCGACTTGCCAGCCGGCTTGCTGCTGCCTCTTCCTCGAAGAGAAAAGGATGGCTGATGTGAATATTGTGATGAGCTAGGAGAAATGGATGAGTTTAGGAGCGAGAGAGGAGCGTATGATATAGCTGAGAGAGAGCAAGATTATAGATTAGTGAGCGGACGAGAAACTGAACAAAACATCACTCTGTAACAAAGAAAGGTGTCCAAAATATCCTCGTCAGGGACCCAGGCATCCAACTCTTGGATAAAGAACGGTATTTATTTTAGCCATCAGACACAAAACCAACGAGAGCTAGAGCCTCTAGGCCACCTTGTTGGAGCGTTCATCTTCTGTTCGGCCTCTGGTATGCAGGAGGATATTTTCTTTGAGGTGCATTCTCACGCCATAGCGCAGTCTCGTCAAGCTATCAGGAACAAAGCGACGCCAAACCACTCAAATGCATACACAACCTAAAGGTACACAACCTAAAGGGTTCGTTCATTTTGAGCTATGATAGAGGAACTAGTATGTAACTACCTCATAATAGCAAAGGAAGATATTTCTTTGTTCGAACCTTGCCACTTCATCTCAACTTCTTTCAAGTTACAAGGCCTGTGTGGTCTCCTCAACACCTTCAACTAACAAGTGAGCTGTCCACCATTATTCGAAATGCAGTTATCTAGCGACGATCAGAAACCACTGGCAACACTCCTGAAGAAAGAGTCCCAAACTCACTAAGATCATAAGCCGCCTGAACAAATTGACCCTGATCGTTACGGCAATCACATAGAAGCGTCGATACGCCCAGAAGACGACAGCTGCGGCATCCTAATGATAACCCAATGCCATCGCTAAACATAGTAAGCTTGCGCTTGAGAAAAAGGAGTTTATATAACTTACTCTTGCCAACACTGGATGCATCATTAGTATAAGACTGTATTCTCCAAAAGAAAAGTAGGGAAGAAAAGAAATATATCTTACTCCCAATTTTCCGTTTACATCCTTAATACACGTATCGAGAAAGACGGTAGTTAGTTGATGATGATGCCCTTGTGCATCTGCCGTACAGTTTGCCACGAGATTGCCTGGAGGATTGAAAGATGTATGTTTGCATGTGTTCAGAAACCCCGATCCAAGGACATGAGTGCTCATGGGCAGGATGAACAGCAAGAAGGAAACAAATGTCATGGTTGTAGTCTTCACCTATCCGTGATTGCTTGTTTGTTGTGTAAGTGGATTACTTGTCGAGTGCTAATCAAGATTGAGAGGGATTTTACCGTTATATGCATTGAGTGAAGCCATGCTGCAGAAATCTCACTTTTCATTGGACTGTTTGACGTAATATAAAACATGATTGTCGCTCAGGACCAGTAATATGGGATGCTGTTTTTGTTGGACGTAATATGATACACTCATACAAGACACTGTCTTATTGCGGGATCCACCTACAACACTATCACGTTGCCTTGCTGCCCTGGTGATTCATTGCTCTGCGCCTAACAGTAACTGTCCAACTCCTGGTATTACCTATAAAATATCCCGACGCACCGTAGGCTCCAAGATGCTTAAACTTATCTTGGGTTTTGACTGACATGGAATATGTCAGGTAACCTAACGCATATATTGACTTTTATCTTTCAGGAGAGACAGATCAACTGGAAGTGACATCATCTGCACAAAACAGCGTTCATATCCGTGTATTCAACAGAATTAGTCTCTTCACATGGGCATTACGTGACTCCCTTTAGACAAGAATCCTGCAACTTTCCATTCGCTATCCCCACGGAAGAAAGTATAAACTAGCCGCGTTCATAAAAGTTGTATTCACTCAAGCTGTTACGAATATAATTAAAAGACCCTCATTTACCCAATACATTCTAAACAAAAATCTCGTCAAACCAAATACTGTTCAACACTGAGCCATCGGCACTCTGACTCCATAGCTCAAAGCTGGCGGCGTATGTGGAGCTTCTTCTTCTCAACGACCTTCTTCTGGAGGGCCCCTGATCCTGGCCCCGGAGTAATGATGGAGTAATTGCAAGTCGGACAGTATGTCATGTTGTCTGGAGTGGCAGGATACCAGTCACTGCCATAAGTCGCGTTCAGTGACACCGAGCCCACGACATCGCCGCTTTCTAGCCTGATCCACGTCTCTGCCTCCCAAGTGGCACTGCGAAGAGTCCTCAAGTCAACTTGGACCTGTCGTGACCCGCGAATCCAGTTGCCATAACCTCCGTATCCGGAATGCTGTCCGAAGCAGAGGTTGACTCCTGTACCCTCAACCGTCATCCCTGGAACTAGACTTTCCCATTTGTAGCACCAAGTGGCGCCGTGATCATGGCCTGAGAACACAGCCATCAAGCCCGGCGTAGACGTGATGGCCTGCATAAATGGGACATCTTGTCCGCCATACTCGCACGTTCCATCGTCACTCCCATCAGGGCACCATCCCTGTGCTTGAGTAGCAACTGGGTAATCGTCATTGACGCCCGGCTGGAAATGTGGGTTCACACTATTTTGCCCATTCTCTACCTGCAGAGCTTGTGAGGCGTATGTGGGAATATGCACAAAGGCCAGCGATGGAATGACCCGTCTATACTTTGACATGAATTGTTGGTTAGTTTGCTGAAACCAGTCCACGACACTGGTATCAACCCAGTCCGGCTGGCCAACCTGGTTTCCGTTTGAGTCGAGTTCTCGAAAGTAGACGCCACCGCGGCTATCAAAGAACCAGAGCAAGAGTTCGGGAGCGCAGTTCAACTCGTTGCATCCCGCAGCGTATACCGGCAGATAGTAATTGGTAATACCAGCATTTGGTTCATCAACCATCCTGGTAGTGCGGGCATTCGGCCAAAGATGCTCTCGCGCTAAGATGCCCTCGCCAGATATGTTGAAGTTGTGGTCATGGTTGCCATATGTCGATGCCCAAGTCAGGCCCCGTTGAACCAGAGGCTGGACAATCTGGTCGACATATACCGTGCTATTCTCGAGAAAGGTGTTCTCTCCAGTGATGAGATCGCCATTCAAGACGACAAGATCGGGAGACTCGCGATCGAGGATCTTATTGATCACCACAACTGAGTTGATATCCTGCTGAGGTCCCCACGTATCCCAAGCATCTTTGATCAGAGATTAGCTATAAAACTCGAGTGTCGCCCAAGCATAGGCAGCAAACTCACTCTCCCCAAAGTGAAGATCCTCAAAGATGGATATCTGAAAGGTCCCATTCCTGGTAAAACTAAGCGGCCTCAACCCGCGCTCTTCTTTATTCTGCGTCTTCAAGGGGCTTTGCCAAGATGGCTCTGCCAACAACAGCAACACCAAAGTCGATAATATCATTCTTGTTTCTTTTCTATGCTGGTCGATGACACCTATTCGCTTATCACAAGAAAAAAAAAAAAAAAGAAGGAAAAAGTGTTTAGACTTCCGACTCTCGCTCCTTTAAGAACCGAATCCCACGAGATCGGGCCTTCTAGGTTTACGATCCCTCGGAAAGAAGCTTCGGCCTGTTGGGAGCCGCCTTCTTATCACCGGGTCATATTCATAGAACAAGAGTTTCCTAAAAGAGCCACTTAGAGCGCTGAATTAAGTCGCATCAACGGCAAAGAAGAAGCGATAAGGGGAGGATGCAGCTCGCAACTGCCATCTACAGATATTGATCATCAGACCAACCGGAGTCGTAGCCGTGAAATGGTCGGCCGAAAGCCATCGTTACTTCTATGCGGGTCTCTTCAGATGTGGTTACATTTCAGAAGAGACCATCCGCTCTTATCCAAGAACAGCGCAACGTGCTCCTCTGTCTCGTCTTGACCAGGGATCAGCAGGCTAAAGGCAGTGTTTCGTTCGCTGTGGGTTTAGTCAGGGTCGCATGGATGAGAGGCTAAGCATGTACTAGCATCTTTGTGGCAATTACCGTCACTCGCCAGGTCACTCTTTATCTTAGTCGTCGGCACTTGGCGGTCATGGAAAGTGAGCATCGTAGAATTACATTTCCGATGGGTTTATTATTCAACAGGCGTAGATGAAAGCATGGCTTATATAGAAGCTATTTAACTTCCATTCATGAGGCACTTGGCAAAATATTTCTTGATGTGTATTGTTGACTCTTCCTTCGCCATATACGAGAACTTGTATCTCTGGAATAATGGAACTATACTACCAGAAACCATTTTACAGCTCAACTACATTGCTCAACTACTTGTAAAGTGCATTAGAAAACAACCATGGAAATTGGATTTACAAGATAGTATCAGCATTAATAATAGTACTTGCAACGCCATTTACAGTCGAACATTATGCGATATGCCAGACCCGAGTTACTAGCCGCGTTTCCTTGCTCATGAATAAGAAATAATTACAATGACTATATAGCCTATGCAGTGTGAAGCACTCCATCATGGTTCCAATCACTCGGATTGAAAAGTAGAGCACAGCTTCATGTTTATCATTTAAATATAATTGTCGCAGGTTCTGTGAACCATCTGCGATGTAATCCAGTAACCCGAGAGTATCACTCATCTCATCCGTCGCCATTTAGTCTCCAGGCAAAAGAAGCGATCATGAATCAACCCTTCTACTTCTTCTCAGAATCGACAATCTCCTTTGCCTTCTTGCTCTTCTCTTCCAACACCTTCTGAATATCCCCCAACGTCTCCTTGAGCAACTTCTCTCCGTCCTCCTTATGGTCCTGCGCGATGCGGCCCATCTCCTCCAACTTGCTCAAAATCTCGCTACCCTGGGGCACCTTGTCCAGATACTGATTCAAAGATCCCCATCCGGCCTGGTTGGCCTTGTCCCCAATCTTCTCCTTGGCCTGCTGGACGTACTTTTCCAAATCGCCCAAGTCTCCCGACTTGACCGCGTCGCGCACCTTGTCAAAGACCTCCTTGATTTGGCCCTTCTTCAAGATATCGGCATTATTCTCTACCAATTCCTTGACCTTGGGGTTCTTGTCTAGAAGCGGCTTCGCCTCTTCCAAACCCTTCTTCCACGCCTCGTCACCAAGCTTCTGCACCTGCTTCGTCTTTTCCTCAATGAGCTGCTTTGCCTTAGCCAGATTTGCGGCGCTGAATCCTCCAGCAAGAATATCCTTGACCTGGCTCCAAGTCTCGTCCACTTGCTTCTTCGCCTCCGGGCCGTACTGCTCGCCCAATTGCTTCAGCTGGTCAATGTTGCCGCCGAGCTTCTCCTTGAGCTGAGGATGATTGTCAATTATGTCTGAGAGGGATTCTCCCAAGAGATTAGCAATCTGCTTTGCCAGATCCGCAAGAGCATCATAGGCACGCGACGCGGTCTCAAGACTCAGGCCCGACTTGGCAATGTCCTGGAACTTCTTGTACGCATCGTTGACAATCTTATCTGCCTCCTCAGCGTGCTCCTTCCTCACAGTCTCCCAATCTTGGAATGCCGCATCGACGAAGCCACGACCACCGGGTATCCATCCAACGTAGGAGTAGGCAAACTGCTTGATGTGATCGACGGCCTCTGAAGGGCTCGGAGTGTTGGCCTGCAGCTTCTTCGCGGCTTCCTGGTACTTCTTCTCAGCCTCTTTCACGGCCTTGTTGAGCTTGCTAGCCGTCCGACCAGCGGGCGTGAAAGAGTAGATTCCGTAGAAAAGCGCCGCTCCAACCACGCCGCCAACGATGCCAGCTCCAAGCGAGCTACTGCCTTCTGCTGCGGCTTTTGATGATGATGAAGATGCAGATGAGGTGGACTGGAAACGAATGGGTTGGCGCTTCGGAACGCGCAGAGCAAGTCTGCCCTGAGACAGTGGTAGTCTAGCTGCTGATCTTGTGGAAATCATCTTGCGAGATGTGAATATGCAAAGGATCTAGAGAAGAATGGGGAAAATGGAGCTTTGTCGCACAGAGAGAGAGGTACTAGGTAAGGTGATTATGTGAATAGGTTGTAGGTAGATGGGTAGACAAATTGGTAGATGAATTGGCAGATGAATTGGTAGAAATGCAGGTCGATATATATATTCAACTCTAGGTTCTTATTGGACAAATCGGAATCGAATTCAAACTTCTCTCAATATTATGCCATTGTGACGCACCATTGTGACGCAATTGACCAAAGCTTCATTTTCTGCCGGACTAAATGTCCCTTTTCCAATAATGACGTCAATGACGCCAATGACGCTTCTTCGCCATGTGGCTAGATATGGCTCTCAGTATCCACTCAAATCTATCAGCTTGACGATCCCGGCACGAAGCTATGCATTGTTAAGCTTAAAATTGGACAGATGGGTATGATTATTCTAATCTGGAGAGGCTATGGAGATATAATTGGCCCTCTCCCTCCTGGTCGCATCAGTCTACCTCTACCTAATCCTATATTCACTGGTATTATCGCTAGAACTAGTACTATAGACGCCCAGAACCCCGTCCATGCTGGCGCATCCCATAAGAACAAAAAAAAAACTCAAAAACCAATCTTCTGCAGCATAAAAAAGGAAAAGGAAAAAAAAGCTCCACGACCCTGTCGTTTTCAAATAAATTGATAAACATCCCCATCTTCATGCCCATATGTGATGCGGTTTCTCCCAGCTATACACGAAGTTCCAAAATGATGCAGCAACGCCATGAAATATGCTTCCCACAAGATCCACGCCGCGATCTATAACCTGAACCGCGCGCCATGTATATAAAAGTCAAAGCGGGCGAGCCAGCCGCTCAAAACAACTTGACTCCGTCATTATTTGAATCCTGCTTGATTCCAGCTTCTTCTCTCTTTCACTGTAAGAGTCAAAAAAACAGTTCCCATTATTGCGCCAGCCGAATCAGGTCGCATTAAAACAAACCGTATAGGTAACATTCACTGCTTAATTTTCGCGGAAAAAAGTCATGTTGCCTCCTTGGAGCGGAGCTGTCGACGGGCCAGCGTCCACCATACTCAAGTCTTGAGAAGCCTCTCGACCCAGGCCAGCCATTGACACATCACTGCCGCGGTAATCAAACGCCATGGCGCTCATTGGGCGGTCGGGGTCGTCTTCAAGGACACGCTGCTGAAGCGAAAAAGGGCGATCATAAAGCATCTCTTCGGGAGGAGAGAATGACCAAACCTATTGCCAAATTAGTACCGTCGATGCAAAATAAGGGGGCATCAATATCATCTGGGGCGGGAATGCCAGTCAACTTACCTCCATTACTGTGCGACCTTGCCTCAGTGTCAATGCGACACACTTTTCATCCTCAAAAGCAACTCGCCAAACCGCTTCGCACTGAGCAATCAGCTCGCGCACCAGGTGGCCTGTCTTGAGATCCCAAATCTTAACTCGGCCGTCGCTTCCTCCGCTAACAACTCGAGTATCGTCGAATTGCAAGCTTGTGACGCTATTGTCATGGGCAGCAAGGCGATGGATAGGGCACATCTTTTCTAGAGACCAGACTCTGACTGAACCGTCAGAGCCACCAGTCACTAGAGTATCGCCTCTCATCTGCAGCTGCCCGACAAGAGATGTATGGCCCTGGAGAATAGCAAGGCATTCTCTGTAAGGGAGAAAATGTGGTTAGCGATGCGGCGCAAGTCACAGGGGGCAATGGCACAAGCAACTTACCCAGTCATGGGGTCCCAGACTCGAACGTTAGTATCCAGGCTCCCAGTCGCCACCCTCTTGCCGTCAAATGCAATAGCATAAATCTGGCTAAAATGTCCTTGCAGTGTCTGCAAGCATCGTCCCTCGGAGATGCTCCAAACTCTGGCAAACGTATCGTAGCTTCCAGATACTACAATGTCGCCCTTGATCTCTAGGCACCGTACACTTGACTGGTGTCCGACAAGGACGTTCTTGCATAGACCGGTGCGGATATCCCAGATGCGCAGCGTTGTATCTCGAGAACCAGAAATGGCGGTATTAGCATCGGCCATCTTCAGGCATCGAACGGTCGATGTGTGGCCTCGCAATGTGTGTAAACAGGCACTAACGTTGGGTTAGTCAAGAGAATGATTAAGGAAAAAAGCAGGTCCTATTCGCAGTGTCGACTTACCCAGTCTTCAAGTCCCACACGCGCACATCGCGATCGCACCCGCCGCTGACCATGGTGTCCCCCCAGGGCACCATGGCCCAGACTCCCATAACATGACCCTGTAAAGTCCTCATGGAGTTGCCATCTGTGTCGAAAACGTGAATTTTGGCATTGTCGAGTGCGACAATAATGTACTTTTGCGTCAAATGCAAACTGGTAACCACGCCTCCTTCCTGTGTGATGTTGCGGCTGATGCTTGTGCCGCCAGATCTCCAAGCCGCTTCCACCAGGTATCTCTGCTTGAAGTGAGATTTGTATGAACGTATCTTGGGCCTCCTGCTCTCGAAACTCATCGAACTAGAGGCGTGCGAGGTAAAGGGGAAGGCTCCCGGGAAACTACTGGACATTTCGCTATCGACATCTACAGCGTAGGCCGAGGATCGCGTCGTCATGATTGGCGCCGAGGGCGAGACCTCGGACATTCGGCGTCCATAATCGTGCTTCTCGCAAAGGTTCTTCCACGTCATGTCATCACTCAGGAGATCTCGCCAACGCTTTGAGACTTGCGACGATCGGGCTAGGACTTTGGGATCGTCAATGAATGACAATATCTGTATGTTTCGTCAGCAGGAGGTAAAATCCAAACGGTAAAAAAGCAGAGCACTGTATGCGTAGATTCGTACCCGTAAACATAGCTCGTCTGGAAGACTGGTAAAAGGGTCCTTCTTCAACAACGGGCTGACAAATTGGTGAACAAAGCTAAGCTGTTGGCTCGTGCAGAGGTTCAACAAATCAGCCAGAATTCTAGTCCGCTGAGGCCCGGAAGAATTCTGAAAATGCTGTCGGACCTTGGCCAGGAAGAAGTCTTCGTCATCGGCAGCATTGCTCCAGTCCGGTTGGCAGTGCGCAGGCCCAGGAGACGCGGCTGGAGTTGGCGGATCGGGAGCCGATCCCGTCAGTTGGTTATCGAAATCAGCTGCCGGCGTTGGCATGTTAGGCGTAGGCGGCCCTCTCATCTGGCGACTCTGCTGCGGCAGTTTCTCGACTCTCTGGTGTAGTAGCGAGTTGTTTGTATTGAGTGTCAACTCTTCACTTAGCAAACTTCCTCTCCTCTCAGAAAAGCTCATTGGTCGGTTGAAGCCAGCCATGTTCGCCCAGGCGATTTGATTGCTTAAAGAAAACGTTGAGAGAAATATGCGTTATCAAGATGTAATATGAAAACAGTCGCGGGCTCGACAAGGTTTTGATGAGCAAGAAGGGTCGTGGCGAATATCGAGTTTAGAAAAAAAAAAAGGAACAAAAAGAGGGCCCTGGCCTGGTCGAGCCTGATGATGGGCGAATATTAGCTTATAGATGCCTTTGTTTAACTACATATGTATGCTGGTGCTTTCTCTGTCAGGAATGAGGTGTGTTGGATAGAGTGATTGCAGTGCTTGTTGCTGAGGTATTCAAGGACGCATTATTGGTAAATCAAGTCCAAAGCAGCACAGCCAACATCAAAGGGTTCTTCTGGATTAGGGAGGATTCTGGAGGGAGAGTAGAAAAGAGAAAAGGCAAAAGAAAAGAATCCAGAATAGAAGTAGAAGGGAAAGGAAAAAGAAGAGTAAGCATACCGGTAGATCAGGACATGGGTCGACCTCCTAAACGGTGCTGGAAGAGGCGGCCCAGAAGGTCCAAAAAGTCCAAAATGGGGATGAAGCGAGTGGAAGCTGCCGGTGAACAAGGGCGAATGGGTACCGTCAAAGACGTGTCGCGCGTTTCGGGCGACTCCCTGGTGCTGGTGCTGCGGGCTGGATGACGGAGCAGTGACTGGCGGCGCCGAATATCGAAGGGATGATGGATGAGATGGGTTGGTGGATTCGCTGGTCGACCGCCTCGAAGGGGAGCAAATCCCTGGTTCCTGATCTGCTTCGGCAGGCTCCGTATCTGGTGTTTCGGGCAGGAAGAGCCGGGGACGAGGCGCGTGCCGTTGGCTGCGGTTTTGGTCGAAGGCGCCGAGTCGTGGAGCGGCGGGCGAGCGAGGAGCGGCTGGACTTGTCGGGGCGAAGTTGTCGTCAGTCAGTCGAGGCCAGCGTGATGGCGATTCAGGGCAATCGGTCAGCGAGGTGAGCGGGAGTGCGAGGAGGAGCAGCAGCGCTGGAAATGGAGGAAAGCGGGTGCCGCTTGGCGCTGGGGGTCTGCTGGAGACCAAGCTGGAGTGGACGGGCAGGGTCGTGTCGTGGAGTACGGGCGTGTACTTGCGACGCGCGGGGCGGCACTGCGACGCTGCGCGTACAGCGCCCGTACCGCCCCTTGCCGGCGCTACTGTGCAGGTACGTACCGGTGCTGGCTGGCACCAGGTGCAGCGGCACGAGCGTGCGAGCAGTTGATCGTTTGTCAGGCGGTCGCAGGTACCTGGGCGTGGTGTCCGCATGGTGTGCCGCAGTAGTGCGCCGCGTACCAATCAGCCGTGCGCCACCGCGATGCGCAGGAGGTGCGGTACGCAGCTCGCTAACAGCCGCCGCCAGCACGCAACAGCCCCCGGCGCTGGAGGAGGGTGTCCACCTGCGTGCGCTGCGATCCGCCTCGTCAGGCGCTGGTCGCTGGAGATGGAGATGCCGGAGCCACAAGAGGGGCGCCTGGGGGCTTTGGTACATTGCCATCAGCAAACAGGTACCGAGGCGTCATTAACATCGTCAAGTGTTTAATTTTCCATGTTGGTGATCAAAGGAACATGTGTCGATACGAAGTTGAAGTAGCGGTACTTGGTAGCCGGGACGCCCCCCCAGCGGCACTGTGGCCCTTGAGACAGCGGCTGCGTACCCGCATGCGGCGCCTCAACTGACTGGCACTGGCACTGGCACTGGCACTGGCCACGGTGGAGGCGGGGGGACTTGGCTCTTGATGCCCTTGCAGCAGCCGCCTTGACGCTGCACTGACGGCGCAGCAGATTTGGCGCTACGGAGTACCCGGCATCAGAACCAGAGCCACCGCGGTTTGCCTGTGCAACGGCGCTGAGCAAGGAGGCTTTTCTCCTTGCGTCGTGTATCGGGTCTGGTCCCACCGAGCCCCTCTCCGCGTCAGGCCTCAAAGGACACAAGATGGATGCTAATGCATGGAGCAGACTCAGTGCCGAACCTGTTGCTGATACTACATAAGCGGCGCGCAACCCAAAATCTGATCACCAGACCAGAGTGTTGTACATACATGGTATCTAGATTATACCGAATATTGCTCTCCGCATTGCGCGCATTTGTGATGTGTATGCTCTTTACTGGCTGGGCTGCGAATATCACACAGGGCAGCTGGGATGGCGTGTAAGTAGCTGGCATCAAATTACTGGACGGCCAACAGACAGCTGCAGACTATGGATCTTCCATGCTCGCCTGGTTGGAAAGCCTAAAAAGGCCGACAAGCTGAAAATTAGCATCAACTTACCTGCGTTTCGCAAAAAGCTACTTGCACATCCCTTACAAGCGGCTGGATCTCGGCCGATCGTCATATTCAAGGGGCAACCGGTGCTTACTGTGTTTCTAAGAACAAAAGCTTGGCCCATCTACTACTAGTTTTTTTTGTTCATTCCGGCCGCTGGAATGCATTTAGTATAAAAGGGAAAATTGATTGTCCATCTAGAGCTCTCTGCGGAGCAGGACATTGAACTTTGAGCAGGCAATGCAAACCCTGAATTCGTTTTAGGAAGCTCATTGTATACATGCGACTCATGGCTGCAGATATCAATACGCAAGTACATACACGCAGCAGTGGCCTCATCTGACCGCTGTGTCCTGCGTTCATGGTTGCGCAGTACCTGTTAGTGCGCAGTATACTAATGTGCGTGTGCCCAACTCTGGTTTTATTGAAGATGTTGTGATTTTCTACCTATTAGAGCATGCATTCTTTGATCAAAACTCATCAATAAGGCGGGAGGCGCAGTATTGGATGCCCTACCCTTGGTCTGACAAATCCGATATCCCCAAGCAGTGGCACCACGTACATACATGGGACTGCATTCTCCATCTCCATCTCCATCCAACGTGGCGTTGTTTCACTTGCAGCGAAAATATCCATTCTCTTATTTTGGGACATGCGATTACAATCGTCGATAATCATCATGACCAATATCGGCATCGGCCTCTAAAATGGCGCCCTTTAAACAACGGGGCTTCCGATCGCGTTTGCAAGTTTAAAAAAAGAAATCGTTTTGTTTCGCAAGGGATCTTTCCTCGTCAAAGCTTGTTTCACATTGATTCCCGTCTGGTTACAGAAATCGGAGATCCCCTCTCTTCTCACAACGTTACCTGTGGCGCATCTAAAAATTTAAAAATGGAAGTAAAATAATCCAGATAGTATTGTTGCCTTTTTTTCGTGCTACGTCAATAGCCAATCTGGATTGCCGTTTATGCTGTATCGACCCGTTGTTGGGCATTAATCCGATTCTGGCGCCATGATGTTTCAATTACTCTTCTAGTAAGTAATACATGAGTAGGTGGCGTGATGCGTGCATCTGCTAGCTGGCCATCGCTGCATCTGATATGCGTGCATGCCCGGACACGGCAAAGTCACAATGCAATACAAGTAGATGCAATACCGATAGCAAATGCAATAGAAATGGTGGGTTAAGGGACATGGTAGATGTAATAGGGATGTAGACTCAAATAATTCAATTACAAGTATCAATACTTTTGTCCCTGCCAAGCTATACTAGACATCTATCGTGCTCTATATAATGATATGCTGCGCATAATAAGCCATCAAAGCAACCAACAATGTCAACCTTTTGATATATGACAACTCTATAACTATCCGCAAACCCGTCTACATCTGTAGTAAATCTTCCCGTAGTAAATGCTTTTTTAGCATAAGAAAAAAACAACTAAATCGCTTCCTTTCTGCTGGATCTGTTTGACATGCAGTACCTCTATATATGTCTGCATGTAAATTGCAGATATTCAACAGAACCTTAGTGGCCCAGTTGCGCAAGAAGTGGAATTCCCATACCCACAACCGTGGCAATCGTGTCTCGCATTTGAGGGCCCTTTGACTTTCGCTGGTGCGCAGAGTTTCCTTCCGAGTAGCCATTCATGCCGGTGCCGTGCTCGTGGCTGTGACTGCCGCCGTCATCCTGCATAGCATGCATCGCAACGTATCTATACACACACAATTAGTTTACTGAGATTATCCAACCCAAGAGATCATGACTATATCAACTTACAGGAACGTTCCTCCTGAGAATAGGAGCAGCATGCCTGTCCACCACTGGCCTGTGTTTCCCTGCAAATGATCGCCACCAAGCAGCGTGATCATGATCCATGTTGAAAAAGCACCAACGGGTGCGGCCAAGCTGAATATCACCAAGTGACCTCGAGCTGCCCGTTTTGACAGCCCTTGCTTCAGCAGCACTGAAGTCAAACCAAATGCGGCGGGAGCCTTGTGAATCATGATGGCAATAAAGATGACGAAGCCCAGTCGCATATTGGATGATGTTGCTGATGCTCCCATGGCGATACCGTCGGCTGCGGCGTGGATCACCAATCCAGTGGTTGTTGCCAAGCTACGCGCTTTTCGAGGGGTTGGCGCCAACGAGTTCAAGAAACCATCCGCCTCCTCGTCAATGGACGCCGTATCGCCCCCTCCAAGGTCGTCCAAGCTCATGTGGCGAGTCTCTGGTCCAGATCGCAAGCTCTCAGTAGCATGTCTGGGAAGTCTGTCGATGAGGAACATTAGAATAAAGCCAGCAATCATGGAGAATCCAATTTCCAGCGTTGGAACCTCATGGCTGTGCGCGTGCTCTGTTTCGTCTTCTTTGTGTTCGTGTTCTTTGTGTTCGTGTTCTTCCTGCTCCGGAGCAGGCTGGGGTGTTTCCTGCGGCTGCTCTTCTTCATCTTCCTGTCTTTTTACAGCTTGATAGCTCTGTGAAACTTCGATTCGAGGTGAAATGCTGGCCAAGTCGCTGCTCTGTATGGTGTCTCGGGGGGCGGCAGTTCGCACAACGGGGAACGATTCGATAATATCTCGGGGTTCGATTCCAAGGGCCCATGGCGATCTTCGCACTAGACTTCGTACTTTGTGAAGATGAGAGGCTTCTGCAGGCGTAACCGCGGTTTCAATGCCCTCGGGTATAATAACGATAAGGGATGTCCCAACCAACACGCCAACTCCAATGCTTGATATTAAACGAAGCTGTGATTGTGAAAGTGTCATCGACAATGGCAGGGCTCCGGCTAGGAACGAACTGTGTTACTGTTAGCTGAATGCATCTGCTATGCTCGTTCGATATAGGTGTTTGCGTACGCCACTGCCATGACAATCTGAAACGTCCAAAGTCAGCATCACGAAAACTCCAAGTCTGTACAGCGCATGTAGACTTACACATAGGCCAACGAGTAAGAGTAGGCCGCCCATGATGGATCGCTAGTCGAGGCCGGCGCAAACTCAACTGGTTTCGTGCAAATAGGGGAACTCTGTTGCTGCCGGGGTCATCTGCGCGGCATGGCCTCCGGGACCAGCGCTCGCCTCTCTCTGCACGGAACTGAGGTCCAGAGCAGTGGAGCGCAAGGTGTTGGAGACTCTCGATGCTGGAAAGCAGGGCGTGCTGGATCGGGCGAATCGCGAGGATGCGGAAAAAGAGGCGACGTAGCAAAACGACTTTGAAGCTTTTTGGCGTTGCGATTCTGCGCACAGGGCGATTGATTGGTTGAGATCCGCCAATTCGTGTCCTAAAACCGCCCTGGGCGGACAAAGCCACAAATAGGGGCCCCACATGCCTCGTGCTGCTAAAGATTATTGTACGGGGCCTGACTTTTTAATTTCCACGACGAATTGGCGATGGAGCTTGCGATATGGCGCAAAGTTATAGGAGTTTTTTCTGCGTGTCGTTCAATTTGAGGAGCAGTTAATAGTAGTCATTGAGTGAATTAGTCGCACATCTTATTCAATTCTAGCACAAGTTGAGGGATGCACCTTGATGGCATTGCATATTTGTGACGGGCTATTCTTGGAGACTAGCTCCAGTCTCTAAGCGGTATGAGTTACGCGAAGTTGAGAACAACATCTCTAATGGGAACTGATCCGATGCTTGTTCTCGAACGATGAAAACGGAATCAAGATTAAAGTTGAGTAATAGAATCCTTAGAATCCTTCTTACAAATACACCGCTGGCTTCTTGGGCTCTTGATACAATTTTCTCAGAGTACCCTTCGACTTATGGAGATGCATAAGACAGTCACGGAGAATCTCTGCAGCAGTTGATCAACATGTCGCTGCCTATCAATTATTCAGGTCAAGATGATTGAGAATTGAAAAATTTATGTACAATATGATATTGGAATTGCGAATACATCATACGCTTAAGTTTAGCCTTTCTTTATGGCACCCATCTTGAGACACCTTGAACGCTTATACGCTACGAAGCACATGTAAATATGGACAGAATTTGATAGTCTGTCACCGCATCACCATTTCTCCCCAGATTACAAACCCAACGATCATCTTTCTAGCACAAATGCTTTTCGGTATATCCGTCTACACCCATCCTCTCATTGCTTTACAGACTGCGGAAGGCGGGGCTCCGCAAGGGAATATGGATCTCCGTTGGAGATGCACCCCACAAAACCCAGAATCGAGGATGACTCTTAGAAGCTTAAAATCAGCACAGCCTCGTGCTCTGGGCTGATGCTCGCACTGCCCGACACTCCCCGAGAGGTTGACCAGGTACAACAATACTCTACGCAGTGGCAGCTTCGGCAGATACAGGGCCTCGGCTCACATGATCTTGATTTCAATGCTTAGATGCAACTTGATGACTTTATAACAGAATAACCACCTGAAAATGTATCTTGTTAACTGTCCATTGACAAGGTTGTCCTATGAAAGCCGATCTTCGTGCTCAAGTTTCTTGCCATTTGATCCCCATCTGCTAGCCCCCTTGACTAGTCTATAGCTTAAAACCACGATTACGTGCTGGATTCTTTATTAAGGCCTGCCCTTGTGACCACCTCTGGCGAATCTAATCTCGACAAGTCTTGCTCTGTTACGTGAAAAATACCAAGTACCGTCATTTCCATTGCATTAGAAGGCGTCACTAACAAACTGGAGTCATCTCTGCTTGGTAATTGCTAGCCGGTGAGCAGAATGGGGTAATCCCGGGAGGGCGCTAAAGATCTAAATACCCGATTCACCGTTACTTCAAGTTAGAAAGCAACACATTTACCTATCACAGCTCATCTAAGCTCGAGTCAAGAAAAGATCCCTGTCAGCGCCATTGCAGAGTATTAATATCAGCCTTGGCCCTGGAAGAGCCATTGCTAAATCATTGAGTCTTTGAGATACCGTTTAGCAACAAAGAAATCAAGTCCAGCCTGCTGCAACCCCTCGTCTCTGGCAATGGCTACATCTACAGCCACGGAAACTCTTCACACCACCGAGGACATTCCATTGGAAGTTTTCCCTCCCCAAGCAGTCTTCAAAGGCGGCCGTGTCTCTGAGAAGCCGTTTGAAAATGCTCCGATTCTTGAGCCTGCACTCACACGCGAGGCTTCGACCCCTCCGGAAGATGCCTTTGAGGCAAAGGAGAAATGGAACTCGCCACCTATCAACAGATATCGCGTCTTTTCCACCTTTTGGTCGTTTTTTGTCTTGGGAATGAATGATGGCTCGTATGGTGTAAGTGCGATGATGACTTTTGATAGTGGCAGGCAGTCACAACGTTTCTCATACATGCATACTGATCACCTGTCTCTCTATAGGCTCTAGTTCCTCAGGTATAACGCTCGGCGCTACAGTTACTCAAATCAAGATTGAAATACTAATAAGCCGCTTTAGTTGGAAAAACATTACAACATCACCTACACCGTTGTGTCGCTCATCTTCCTGTCGCCATTCGCCGGATACACCATGGCGGCCTTTGTCAACAGTCCCCTGCACGTCCGTCTCGGCCAACGAGGTGTAGGCATAATCGCCCCGATGTTCCGTCTGTTTCCCTATCTCGTTATTTCCTTTCACCCACCTTTTCCCGTCCTCATTGTCATGTATATCCTTGTTGGTTTCGGCAATGGCCTTGTGGATGCTGCTTGGAGCGCCTGGATTGGCAACATGGCCAATTCACATGAAGTGTCGGGCGTCTTGCAGGCCTTTTATGCTTTGGGAGCGACGATTGCTCCCCTGATTGCCACAAGTATTAGTTCGCGGGGACACGGCGGCTGGTGGACATTCTATTACATCATGGTACGATGATATTTTACTTGTTGAGCCGCTGATTACGCTCATTCGTGGCTGATAACGTTATTTATAGGTCAGCGCCTCGTTACTCGAATTTGGCGCATCCACCTCGACGTTCTGGACCCAGACAGGCGCTGTATACCTGAGCGAGAATCCTCACCAAAAGGCTGGCGAAAATACCACATCCGGACGAACGAGAGAAGCGCTCAAGAGCAAGCTCACTTGGTTCTTTTCTCTGTTCATCTTCTTGTATGTCGGTACCGAGGTTTCCATTGGTGGCTGGATTGTCGTCTTTATGACAAAGGTCCGTGGCGCCTCTACACTTGCCGGTAGTGCCACGGCGACTGGATTCTGGGGCGGCATGACTGTAGGAAGACTTGTCTTGGGATTTGTGACGTCTCGGCTGGGTGGCTTCCGGGCTATGCTCTTGTATCTCGGGCTGTCTATTGTCTTTGAACTGATTTTCTGGCTTGTGCCCAATATGGTGGTTACTGCCGTGGCATCTGCGTTGCTGGGCATGATTTTGGGTATGTTGACTTTTTCTTCCTATCCTTTTATATGCTGTAATATCTATGTATAACCCTATACTAATCCTCGTTATAGGACCCATCTATCCTACAGCGGTGGTGCTCATGACTACCGTCTTGCCACGCTCTCTCCACATCAGCGCCATTGGATTCGCGACGGCCGTTGGAGGCTCTGGCTCAGCTGCTCTGCCTTTTGCCGTCGGTGCCATTGCGCAAGCAAAGGGCGTCAAGACACTGCAGCCCATCGTTTGCGCATGCTGTGTTGTGATGCTGACGGTGTGGCTGTTCCTGCAGCAGCATCGACCGAAGGATAAGGAGGAAGGCTTTAGCATGGCCATCTTTAAGCGCATGCGTGACCGGATCAAGAAGATGATTCACTAAGCTGAACTCTTGAGGTCCTGAAAGGGTATATGTAGTATAAGATGCTGCCAATATGACTGGTAGTATCTAGGCAAAGTGGGATGAAAACGTGGTTTGATTCGAGCATGCCACATCTTAAGGCGCTTACTTGGAGGATCTCAGTACAAGACAAATGAAGACAGAATGTCACTCTGCAAATTGGTTTAAACTCTTTCTTTCAATTTACATATTATCACAGATTAAATTTGAAACAACTCCATGGGAAAAAAAATAAATCTAATTTATCGACCATTTTCTCTACTTCAAAACTGCATGTGCTTTTTACAACATGCATTCTAGGCGACCTATGCTAGGACGTGAAGTGCAGGCTACGGGAGGTTATTTATAGTGCCCCCACACACACCTGCGCCAGTTTGTTTCCTTTCAGCCTCTTCCATCTCCAACAACCGCGCTCTGCCTGGCCCTGGATATGGCGCCCCAACCATGAGCCATGAGCCACCGTCGCCAAAGAGGCGGCATATTCTTTCATCCATCAACCCAGACAATTCCCCAGAGACACACCAACATGAGGACGCGCCGATAAGCCCTTCCGCAGATGGCGTCAAGCCAGCCGACGAGAATGGCGAAGACGCAAACATGGACCCGGCGAGGCCAAGGCGGTCGCGGTTGAAGCTGAAGGGCGAGAAGCGCCGTCACCGCTCTCGAAGCCCAGAAGATGAGTCTGGTCACCGCCGACATCGTCATCGCAGCCATCGCGATCGCCATACTCGCCGACGACGACACCGCTCGCCCACGCCGCCCAATCCGCATGACGCTCCGCCGCTTGACACAGAGGCCGCTTTCCGCGAGTCACTGTTTGACGCCATGGCGGATGACGAAGGCGCTGCGTATTGGGAGGGCGTCTACGGCCAGCCCATTCACGTCTACTCGGACGAAAAAATTGGGCCGGCGGGAGAGCTTGAGAAAATGACGGATGAAGAATACGCGGCGTACGTTCGGCAGAAGATGTGGGAGAAGACCAATGCTGGGCTGCTGGAGGAAAAAGCGCGGCGGGAGGAAGAGCGCAAGAAGAAGAAGGAAGAAGACAGGCAGAATCGCAAGTTGCGGGAAGACATGGATCGAAGCATGCGCCGGTCTGATGAGCGACGTCGGAGACGGCGTTGGGCTGATGGATGGGATGCGTATACGCAGGCTTGGTCGAACTGGGACGGCACTCTAGATAAGATTGCTTGGCCAGTCTTAAGTGGACAGCGAAAGGATGTTAATGAAGAAGCAGTTCGAGATTTCTTCGTGTACGGTTTGAGCTTGGAGGATATCGGAGAGAAGGAGTTTGCTACGAAGCTCAAAGAGGAGCGAGTGCGCTGGCATCCGGATAAGATACAGCAGAGGCTGGGTGGGCAGAGTGATGGTGATGTTATCAAAGACGTGACGGCGATTTTCCAAATCGTGGATAGGCTCTGGGGACAGATGACGAAGAAGACTCGATGACAATTGTCGTTATGATTCATCGACTCTAATTTACAATGGGCAAATATTCCCACCCTCACTTGTTTTCACAAGAGCATATTACGCAAGAGTATAAGGGATATGGCACTCTGGGAGCAAGTTGATAGATCTCAAGGTAAATCAAGACATGATATTGATTAAATTCACAGACTAATGTAGTCTTAGACTCGTTATTTCATAATGAAAAGGCGCCCTTAACCAAGGCATGCCACAATACGCTCTCGTGAACTGGCGGGTATTTTGTCTTCCTCCTTTCCTTTGCGTGTTCCCTACACCCACGCACATCCATATGCGTGTATTCATTCATATTTTCATATTCCCCTGGGCCAGAAAACTTGGCTCCATAAAACACACCACAGCGATCAAGTATTCACCTGCCTCTTAAAAGTTGGCGAGGATAGCAGCTCCTCCCATTAGCGCACCCATGGCAACATAGGCGGTCTGTTTAGGGCCAGCAGCATCCTTGGACTTGTCGGAGGCGGCAGCGGCGGCCTGGCTGGTTGCGCTGGCGAGAGACGCGCTGAGCTTGGAGATTTCGCTGCTGTAAGAGGCCTTGGCGTCGCCGGTGGCGGTGGCCTCGGCGCTGCTGAGGGAGCTGAAGAGGGAGCCAGCCTCGGAGGTGATGCTGGCAATGACCTTGGACGCGTCGGTGTGGAAGACGGAGTCAATGGCGCTGTTGATGGCGCTGCCCTTGGAGAGGCCCTCGTCGATGTTGGAGTGGATGCCGGCGACAAAGGTTGAGACCTTGTTCTCGGCGCCGTCAATGAAGGAGGAGATGTCGCCGAAGAGGCCTGGGGCGGGCTCGGGAGCTGGAGAGGGAGCGGGTGAGGGAGCTGGGTTGGCCTGTTTGGTGATGTTAGATTTGTATACGATGATGGTGTATATAGTTCAATGAGAACTATGATGGAACAAGTGATGGAAGGTTGATTTGATACATACCTGAACAAGGGCAGCAGCCGCAAAGATGGCAACGTTGGAGAACTTCATGATGAACGTATGTGTTTGTGTAAGGGTCTAGGTAGATGGAGAAAGAGGTTTGAGGTTTGAGAGCTGGTTTGTCTGCGTTTGCTGTGGCAGAGAGATGAAACGTGAGGTGGATATAAGAGATCTAGCTAGGTAGTAACAGGATGGCAAATGTGGAGAGAGAAGTGTGAAATAGTAGATTAAAAAAGACGAAACAAACGGGAAGAGAAAGAGAGAGCGCGAGAAGAATTTATACTACACGAGTGAAGAAAGGTCAAGGGTGTGTGCTTTAGGTTCTTGTGTCACATTTTAATCTTGTTTTAGTCGTCGGGGGGATTAAGTACTACCTTGAACACCAACCAAGGAAAGCAGACAAAAAAAATAAAAGGTCTCAGCCACCTACTAACGTGCTGTGCTGTGCTGTGCTGTGCTGAGCATGTACTACGTTTGTGTGTCACGTCTGCGGTGAGGCAGCCCGTCTTGTTCATGTCCCCATCTAAGCCTGGGGCTGGTTTTCCGCATAGCTAACAAGACAAGATTCAGGGCAGGGGTGGCTTGGACCCCCGGTTAGTGGGGAGAGCAGCCTTGGAGGAGGATGGATGAGAAACATGAAGATGAGACAGATTAGTATGTCGTTTAGTGCGAGAGTGTTGTTAGTTTGGTGGATCAGATCATGGATGGACTGGAGCAATGCAAGTCAATCTGGGGCGGGTCTGGTTTGTTTGCTTGTGCTTGCTCCGTCTTGCTCCGTACGGATTATTGGAATACGTAGAATCGATTAAGCGAACCAGATTTGAGTATTACTATTAGGAGTTTTAGTAGTAGTGCTCGTGTTGCTGCTGCGTGGCGGCAAAGACGAATCCTTCCCACGATGACGTCTGGCTTTTGTGATTGGCGAGGCGGCGATCCTTTTCTGCGTCGTGGCGGCAGATGAGGTCTGTCCCAAGGGAAATGGCACTAGCGTCGGACCAAGCTGGGGGTCAAAGTCATGCTTGGAGACAGCAGTTTTTTTTTGTACTTTATCACATTTTGAGAAGATAGGTACCTACAGTATGTAATATCTATACTATCGTGCAACAAAAATAAAGGTCCAACGCGAAGCTCGTAATGATGGATCGCTGGAATAGGAAATATCGACCCTTAGGGGCCACGGGCACATGCGGCTAAGCAGACGCCCAGCCGGTACAGTAATATCTAGGCTAAGCTGACTGGATACTTGGCCCCAAAGTACCGATTCTGACAGGGGGTGGTAAAAAGCCAAGTTTAGGAGCCAAGCCTCCCAAGAAAGCCAGGGAGAGGGAAGACGGCCAGGGCTGGAATAGAGGGAGCATGTACTGCCCAGCCACCGCCACCCTCTGTAAGAAATGGAGGGAAAATAAAAGTCTTATTTTTATTTTGTATTCTTAATTAATTCTTATTTAAAATGGGTGATTAGGCCAGGATAGGCGGCCTAGCAGGCCATCTGTCCAGGAGGATCGAAGCCGGGCGGCTGGTGGAGCAGTAGCGTGGAGGATCTGGAGCCTAATTCTAGGTGCATCGCATATTGCACACATTAGCTACGTGGAAGACGTAAAGAAACAGATGGCATGTTTTAGGTAAGTAAAGGGTGCCACCGATGGACTGGGATGATTGGATCAAGACGGATCGAGGAGGATTCGCGATGTCTGCGTTGTGCAAGTAAAACGAGCTTCAGGACGGATTTCGAGAGATCCGGGGGGCTGGTCCTACTATGGAATCAGCACTTTAGGAAGGATAACCGCTAGAAGCCCATATATTTGATGAAAAGGGGCAGGTTGTAGTATTCGTACTGCTTGTGCGACGTACTTCAACCCAACTCTCGTATTCTTTTCTTCTTCTTGTTACTCGTTGAATGTTTGCGTGTAACAGTGTGTTGGTAGGTGGACGGCTTCCTCTAGCTGCAGCCATTCACACCCAGCCGGATTCATGCCCCCCCTTTTCTTCTGGAAAGCACAAAAATGTATTGTGTTATATCCAGCTTCGATAATATATTAGTGGTGACATCAATCGACTCTAAGGATCGATATGAGATCTCTCTAAGCCTACTTACACATGGTCCATGTTTGTACGACTATTCGTCCTAGCAGTTGGGCTAAATCTATGACTACTCATAACTTGATGCTTGTTCAAAGAACAAGGAAAAGGGTCGAAAGACGATGAAACACAATCCGTCATGGAAGTGAATGATTAGCACTAGTCTCACCCATTTCGTGACAATCGAGAGCAAGGCAGATTATCATGGTGACGATATGCCCAACACACCAGCCTTGGAGAATTAAAGGGGCCAGCATACACTTGCACTACAAAGCATGATACCTGTCTCATATTCCGTAATTGAACCCATTAACACTCCTACAAGGGTATAGCTACATGCCGAGAAGGTAAAAATTACCTGTGGTGGCAAGTATAACTACCACAACTTGCTGTGCCATTTCAATTACGCCGTCCCCATCCAAAACTGAGACATGTGTCTCCCAGCCAAGGAATCAAAAGAAAAAAAAAAATGGCGCAAGAGTGTGCTACACCAACCTCCCCTTTCCCTTGCAGCGCCACCAGTAATATGTATAACATGCCGTATGTACATGTAACCGTGCTCACTTCACCGCTCGTGCTCCCGCTTGGCGTCATAGAAAAGTCGAAAGATGCATGTGTTTTGTTTCGAACCAACCAACAACAAACCACCACCCAGAGATTATCTCGGCGTCGCATCGGAGGACTTTGCCGAGACATTGGGCGCTGTTCCTTCCTAACCGGTTGTCGCCGATACTATCACTCATGTTGTCATTTCGTAGTGGTGCCCGTCGGGTTTCGCCTTGCCGTTTCTTTTCGGCTCCCTGCTTAGATACTTGTGGTAATGACGCTTGTGTGAAGCATCCAACACAGAACACGTCAGACATGTATGCCGCTGCTCTATGCAGGAGTTATTAAATGCTACATTATTCGCAGCTTAGATCAACGTAGCCGAGGGAAAAGGATACAAAGAATCCATCTAAGCAAGAGGTTAAGCTAGACGACCAAGAAAAGTAGACGTTGGACTAAAACACATTAAACAGGCAATTTAGGACTTCCCAAAAGGGACCATAATCTCCGCCGTAGCCAATCTCAATATCAAGCGCAACTGCTCCATTAATTAGGCAGAATGGGCAACAGTCCCTCTCCATTAGAATAATCAGCCCTAGCTGTGCCGATCAAACGGTTCTCGTCAATCTCAATTCAACCCTGTAATGATATACTACCATTCACTAGTAGCCATTAGTAGGTGAAAAAAAAATTAACAGGCACTCGTCATCATACAATCAATATTCTTCTTAGCCAATGCGTGTCCCAAAAGGGAACTGCATCACAAGCGCAACTGCATCACGTCGGAAATGCTCCTTGGATCTACACCAGCCCCAGATGTCATCGCCTTTCGTCCCCTGTCGTACGTAATACTCGGTACCTATAGCGAATGTATCGCGCATCTAAAAACTCCCGGTCCTCGCTAGGCTGCTCCACAGCGGCTGGGTGCGGTGCTAGCATCCCCATCGTGGGCACTTTGCAAAGTCTCCGGCATGCCTCAGCCACACGTCGTCACTTACACGATGGACTTTTTCTGGGCTTCATCACGGAACGCGTGTACATTTTGCCTCGCTCGGGCATCTGACTCGTAACAAGAGAACACAAAAATCTCAAGGCCATCTAAATGCTACACTATTGTAAAAACAAAAGAGAAGAAAACCCATGATTGGCTGCGTATGTCTTCTTCGCAGCCCGCGTCCAAACTCAATTCCAGCGCCCGCTCCCCCCACTTCAAATCCAAGCACACGCAAGCTCAAACCTCTCTATAAGGCGAAATGCCCTTCTTCAGCTCTGCCACTATCTCAGCAGCTTCGTCAGCTCCCCGAGCCTCAAAGTCGTAGCGTTTGCTCTCGGTGGCTTTGTAAACGACAAGCTATTTTTGGCAGCCCCCACGGTTAGCCTCGTTCTACCATCATTCAGATCTAAAATAAAAAGAAGGAAAACGTGACAACGAGGCTGAGCTCGCCACCCACAACATACAACTCCACTATGCGGGGAGGATGTCGTGAGCTTTTCGTTGAAACTCAGGAAAGTAGAAAACCAGGAAGAAGAAGGAAAATGAGAAGCTGAGAAAGCTTAGAGTACTCACCTTGACGTTGGTGGGGTGCTTTCGAGGCACTTTGCACCCGATCACGTTGCTGAAGTGCACCGTCGTCGTCTTGCCTCCACCCTCCTGCATGGCCTTGCCTCCGGAAGCCGGCACAATGTGGATGTACTCGCCGTCAATCACCAAGACTCGCTCGCTCATGCCCACAATCCGCATTGGCTGCTTGCGCCACACCGTGTACCGCTTGTAGTTGGCGCTGGGGAGCTCGTCAGGCTGGATGACCTCGCGTGCCAGCGGGTGCGAGCCGACGGCCTTCTTGTGGCCCTTTCGTGGCGGCTGGGGTCCTTCCAGCATGGCCACCATCTTCGGTGACGAGGTTCCTAGAGAGCCTGTTGTTGCTAGCGGGCCGTCTGTTGCAAACCGACGTCGGTATAGTTCCAGATCCGTGACATTTCCTATCGACGATACTGGCCGGTCCAACATGACCAGCGCTCCAGATCCAGGCAGCTTCAGTACGTGGTTCGCCTTGTCAAGATTTCTCTTGCGGCATACTTGGTCTAGTACTTCCGCCAGGTACGTGTCGGTGGTGATGTCAAGCGTGACCATTTGACCGGCTGCCGTATCAGACGACATGATAAAGACCCGTAGCAGCTTCTGCTGGCCTCGCATTGCGTTGGACACCGTTGTCCGTGTCTGGGGAGCATCTGCCAGGAGCACGTTTGGCCGGTACGCTGTATTCAAAATAGGATTTGGTCGCGGATGACTCGACTGCGGAGGTGAGAAGACGCCAAAGTTGGGATTGCCAACTCCAGGGGCGTTTTCGATTTTGGGCACTTCAGACTTGGGCGATACTGCCTCCTCTGGGATGCTATCCTGAGACGGCTGCGCTTCTTCCTCCTCGTCTTCCTGGGGAGTTAATCTTTGGTTTGCCTCATACTCAGATTCCGTAGCGGCAACGATGGCAAACTCGTCGTAGACTTTAGAGTTGGATCGCCCCCGTCCGCCGCCTCGCATATGTGCATTGTTGACGGTGGTGGCCGATGTGAGAGGTTTTGTCCGGTCAAACGGTGGGAAATCATCGTCCACCTCGCCTCCTTCTTCCACCATTCTGAGCGTGTACCAGTTGATGTTGCGCTTCTTGGGAGCTATCGGCGGCTCCCTCTTTTCCTCATTGTATCTATACAACCCCAGGCCGATCAGATCAGCTATTGTGACAGCCCTCTCTGCTCCCTGGCCACTCTGTACTCTGGGTCGAATAACTACTTCCAAGTACTTGCTAGGAGTATCGGAAAATGCCGCGTAAATACGGATAGAAATAGCTCCCTGCGTTCCCTCTCCGTTGAAATGTGCAAACTTTTGAAAGGGTACGCTAGATTTGTGTCGCTTAGCCTTTAGGGCCGCGGAGAGTAGACTTTGGGGCTGAACCACGCTGAGAGGCCGGATAGTGCTCATCGGGCGCGGAGGCGGTAGCGCATCGAAAACAGACGACGTCGGCATATGAGATATTCGAATAGTAGATTGTCGTCGGGTGAATTCTCTGGGAGGTGTGCCTACTACTTGTCGGGTAGGAGACGCATTCATGGGGGGTTTCATCGGGTTGTTCTCCACAACGTCGAGAATCGAGGCTTCGTCAATGCTTGCAACATACTCTCCTGATATATCCGATGCCTCGTCGGAATCGTCTTCATCTTCATCGTGTAGAGGGTCCGCAATCTGCACGCCTGGAGAGGGCTCTTCGTTGATCTTGTCTTGCATTCTCATTGCCCTCGTCGCCGCTCGTGCAGCCTCCCTATGTCTGTACGCAACGGGCACGTCGAACTCATTCTCAGAGGATACCTCGCTGCTAGTCACGGTGTCTCGTCGCGGTCGTCCCGGCAGGATGTTGAGCGAAGACTGGGAGCCTCGTCTGGGGGCTCGAGGAGAAGTATTCATCGGCGGGATATGAGAGGCTTGGCCGGGTGAGGATCCGGCGCGGTGTCTCACGGGCATCTTGGCGAACTTGATTTGCTGTGCCGCCCGATGTTCGGATTCATCATCGCTCTCGTCGCTAAAGTCACTGCTGTCTTCTTCTTCCATCTGCTCTCGGCGCCTGCGCCTCTTGGTTGCTGCTCCCGGACCCATGGTGTCGGCCCCTCCGCCAGTAAGCAGACCGCCGTCTTCGTAGCCATCTTCCAGCGTCAAGCCTGCCTGCCGAGGCGCCTGGAAATATTCTGAAGCAATTGCCGTTGGTATCGGCGGAGAATGCGTCCGCTTGATATGTGACGAGTTTGGCCGCCAGCCAGCTGACTTGAAGGGCGCGGTGTTGATGCTGCTGTCGTTGACGGTGATGAGTCGCTCGCCCACGCCGTCGGCGATTTCATTGAGATAGCCAGTGCGAAGCTGGTACGTGACGAGCCTGAAGAATCAAACATATTAGTTGAGCGAGTGGTCTATGCGCCATAGGTCGGCAGACAACATCGTCACGCAGACTCACTCTTCCAGCTGGATGAGAGACATGTTGAAGATGGCTTTTTGGAGGAAGCGGGTAGTTGTAGGGGTTACTTCGAGCTGATGAGCGTATTCATGGGGTTGATACTGGCATTCGCTGGCATGCCATTAATCGCTCACATGTTTCCTCGTCGTAAAGCTAAGGCTCCATGGAGGCGCAAAGTCAAAGCCAGAGACGATGATGCTGTTGCAAGCAGCTTGCCGTGGGGTAGCATTAAAAGGGTCTCGAACCAACAGATAAGATACGGATGAGCTGGACCCCTGCTTTAGCGCATCTACCGCTAACACTTGCGCTATTGATCCACTGCACCTTCGAACTCACGTCAGTGCTGCTACGTCTTGATCGTCACTTTTTTGGCTTCTACATACAATTGACACACCAACGCCTAGCCCGTCGCCTACCCATACAATACTTTCAGCCCGTCATCGAATTTCGAAATCGCTACTAAACAATGGGCCTCGTCGATTACTCCGAGTCTGACTCCTCGGATGTCGAAGTCGACGCGCCGCAGCCTGTTGCAAAGGCCGCTGCGCCAAAGAAACCAGCGTTCCAAAAAGTTGTCGACCGGTCGAATCCAGGCAAAATCGTCCTCAACCTCCCTCAAGTTTCTTCCTCTAGCGACGCAAGCGCAGCGAATGGCAATGAGCCTCCGGCAAAACGTGCGCGCACTGGCGGAGGTGGCCTCTTTTCCGGATTCAGCTCGTTTCTCCCTCCGCCCAAAAACACAGGGAAGCCGATACTTGGCAAGTCGTCGAGTCGACCGGGCATCAACCTTAAAACAAGCACGGAAAAGGGATTCAGTCGGGACGAAGAACCTTCAAGCAGCTCTAATAACAACATCGATGGCGCATCGGGTCTGAGCTTGCCACCTCCTAAACGACCAGCCGAACCATCAATACCAGATACAATGAAGCCTGCGGAAGATGTCAAAATCGTGGGGAAGCCGTTGATGTTCAAGCCTCTATCAGTCGCTCGGAATACAAAGAAGAAAACTATCAGGAGTACGGCAGCCCAGGCTTCTACAGCATCAGCAGCGAAAACAGTAGCTTCGACACAGGAAACAGCATCGGCAAAGCCTGAACCGGCACCGGCACCGGCGCCACCGAAAAAGACGTCGCTCTTCTCCTTGCATGTCGAGGAAGAATCAGCTCCAGCGGCAACGACAGGAGGAGCGTACGAACCTCTCTTTGAAACGGGCGAGGCTATGAACCCATACGGACCTGGCGCCTATTCTCAGCAAATGAACAATGGCCAGGCGGCTGCTGCTTCAAGAGACACAAGAACGGAATCATTAGACAATGTTGCGGATGACTTGAATCTTTCTGCAGCAGCGAGACGGGAATTGTTTGGAAGAGGAGGAGGAGACGGACAGATGGCGAAGAAGGTTATCAACTTCAACATGGACCGAGAATATCAACACAACGAAGAGCTCAGAGCCGCCGGCGAGCAGCAGACACACAACCCCGTTCGCGCCATACACAGCGGCAAACACAGCCTGCAACAGCTGGTGCGGAATGTTGCCAGTCAGCGTGACGCTCTGGAAGAGAGCTTTGCAAAGGGCAAAAGCAACCGAAGAGAAGCTTCAAGTCGTTACGGTTGGTGATGAAACAAAGTAAAAGAACAATGTGTATCGGAATTGCATTCACAAAATTTGTGTATTGTTTTTGTTCATGCGTATGTGCGAAAAACTTTCTAATATACCCTCCCATTTTGCCACCCAAAAACGCCGGTTCACCTCGCTTCCCAGTATGAAAATGAAATGTAGAAACTTATAGAATGTAACAGCCAAAAAGTGTTTGAAAGAAAAGTAATGAAATGAAAGGAAGAAGAGATGTGAAAGAAAGAAAGAAGAGAAGAGAAGAGAAGGGGAAGAAAATCATATGCCACATTCACTCAATACAATCAAGGTCTTCATACGAAGCATCAAAACGTCTCTACCGCTGCTGTTTTCCCTATTTGCAGCCCATTGCCGCCCATGAGAAAACCCCATTCTCCGCGCGTAACGGGGGATATGTCGTCGTATGCGTGGGGAGTCATGGGTCCTACGGCTGGCGAGTGCAGGTCCTGGTTTGAGCTGAGCATCTGGTCAATGGTGAGGCGGCTGTTCCACATGGCAGCGGCTGTTTTGTCCACGGGTCGTGCGGTATGGGCTTCGTCGTCCTCTGAGTCCTCGTCTTCCTGGGGCACTTCGTCTCCGAGGTCCAGATACTTGGATTTGGACGGAAAGTCGGTTTGCAGCTTCAGGGCTGGGCCAATTCGCCGGGGAGTTGGTGGTCGGACAAAGGGCACGGCCGTGACGGCGACGCCTATGATGTCGTCGTCGAGGATGGTGCTCGAGGGGCTGAGGCTTCCATCTTCCCAGTCTTCGAATTTGCTCTTCGGCGGCAGATCGAGCACAAATGGCTTGGTGACTAATTCGGGGGCCATGCCGGTGATGCCGCCTGTCTGGTCGTATCCGCCGTATGCTCGTCGATACATGCGATCGAGGTCTATGGTGGCGGAATTGCTGACACTGAGCCAGTCGTAGGACCGGAGGAGGTCTGATCTGGTCACTCGGCGGCCGTTGTGGGCCAGGACAAACCGGCGCAGTTCGTCGACGGCGTCTTCCAGCATGAGCGCAGAGCCCGTCTTGGAGTAGCTGGATAGGGCGCTCTTTATGCTGTACAGGCGGTCGAGCGTCAGCAGAGTCAGGCCGTCGGACGAGAAGAGAATCTCGTTTTGGACGACGGAGCTGTGGAAGAGCTGGGTTGCAAGCTCGCGGGTGCTGGGGCTTGTAAAGGGCACAAGCCATCCGCTCCTGAATTGCAGTTGTCAATACATGAATCACTTTGTTCTGCTTTCAGCCCTGTTCTATGCGCTTACCCGACGCCAAACTTATTCCCCGCCTTGATGAGAGTGCTCTTCAAGATCTTTTCTGTCTTTGGGGATAAATCGCCAGAATAGAAACAACGAAGTCCCGTGCAATTCGGGGTTGGCGGCCCGTTGCTGTCGGTGGTCGTCAGCGATGAAGCTGTGGACGGCGTCATCGGCGGGGGCGACAAGGGCGTTGTAGGCGACAGCGGCCATCGAAACCGGGGACTCGGCAGCTCGTTGGCTGCAAAGGGATGTGAGATGAGAGGCACGGCACTCCTCGGGCTTTGGACAGAGCGGCCTGAGCCTACAACGTGCTGTGAGGCGGATCGCATGAGATGCTTCAGAGCTACGACGGGGCTGGATAGGCCGAGACGACTGCCGGTGCTGCCGCCGGTGAGTAGGGGCGATAGAGGCGTTGCGGGAGTCCGGGGCGTTCTCGGTGTTGAAGAGGCCGTGTTGGTGTTGAGCAGCTGGTAGTCTCTGCGGACGATAATGAGCGTGAGGTGGACGGCCTTCTTAGCCAGCCGGCTCGACGTATACTCGAGGACGGGAACAAGATGAGGAGGGACGTGATGAGCGTCGAGGACCGACGGGCCCGCCTCGAGGGGAGAGGAGATCCTGTCCTTGAGCGCCATGATAACTCATCAATCAAGGATAGTGTGTACGAGGGAGAGTTGAATCGATCGACAATGCTTGCTGGAAAAGAGAGAGGATAACAGCCCCAAGATTTGCCTCAGCCCGGCTCAACCTATTGTTTGTCATTCCTCTTTCACAAAAACAAACCCCACGAAACACAAGAAGGGCGAGTCTGCTAATGTATGATTGCTGCCCGCCGCCGCCCGGGACCCGACGTCGTGGGAAAAGAAAAAAGAGGGATGGGAACAAGATTGATTGAAAGCGGATCCTGCTGGGAAGTTATATCGATATTTCCCCTTAAGATCGAACGGCAAGCAAACATCCCAGAAGCAGGTACAGGCCTACAATGTCACCTGAAGAAGGGCCCCAGAAGCCAAAGCCTATATGGAGCCTCAAGAGATTTCCCCACGCGACAGAGTTATTTTGAGGTGTTGAAACGGCACGCTAGGCCGGCTCATGCATAAAGGTCGGCGCGTAAAAGGCACTTTGACGCAGGTGTGTTGCCCCCCATGGCTTTCACATTTATCGTCCCTACTAGTATCTAGTCTTATTGTTTACATGGATCGTCAATTATAGTCTGTCAGCGTCCGGTATCGAGAGTTTGCGCATCACAAGCGCCATGCAGAGAGAATCATATCATGCAATGCGAGAGAGTCGTGGAAGCTGCGTGGTGACGGCCCCGCTGCGGGAGTGGAGTCTGCCGAATCTCACTCCGGGACGAGAAACTTTGAAGGAGTGATTCTGACTGTGCTCAAGAGACACTGTATAAGACTCTTCAGTGATTGTGCAGCTGAAAGAGGAGCCATGACGAGCATGTGTGACGCTGCAAAACAAAGGCAAGCCAAGACATTTGATTTGTGCCAACGCAGCAATTCCCTCTTCACTGCTAGAACCAACAACATGCAGAAACCAGCCCGAAAATGTGACAGATGACGGTTACAAGCTGGTTTCTGCGACTCTTCTCCAGCGGCCCCCTGTCACGCACATGAAGGTGGGGAGAGCGTCGTCTGATTCGCCAGTCGCGTCACCGACCGGGCGCCTAAAGAGACGGACGGGGGAGTGTTTATTTTTAAACCCGCATGTGCTGTGGACGGCTATTGGCCAGGCGAGGGGCGTCTTTCTTCTTTTCTTGTGAAGGAAAACCTTGCAATAAGCGCAAGGGCAAGGTTTTTGCTAGTAAAAGTTTGGCAGGATGCTTTTCTCTACTACCGCTTGGAAACAAGGTGATCGTGCGAGGTATTTGATGCAATGTAACGAGGACGCAGATCTGGCTGCAGATTTCGGGATGTGATTTCATGACGATTGCTACCTGTTGTTACAAAAATAGAACGGAGGTTATGCTGACCCCTTGCTTTGGATATGTTCCGAGCGACAAAGTGCTTTTGCTGTTTTGGGCCTGTTACTTGAAGAATGCAGGAAGAAGGAGAAATAGAAGGGCAAGAATAAATTGAATTAGTAACAAAAACAAGGGGCTGGGATGTGAGTGTCTTTTTGAGTGCATTGTTTCTACATGGCAAGGAAGAGGTTAGATCATCACTCGTTGTAGGTACGTACCTCTTACACCATCGGCTTGGTGTTGAGAAGAAGCGGGAGACGCATCTCCGTCCTAGCAAAAGCTTGAATGATACTTTTCGCATCACTCCAGCAACTAGGGAAATGTAGTATACCAGCCTCTTGTATAATGCACGGATGAAAGCTTAATTGCTGGTTTCCTAAGCAATGGTTATTAATTGACTGGCGTAACTGTTGACAACAGTCGCAAGTTTCCTGGTAATATATAGTGGGGGGTTGTTTAGCATTTTCAGATGCTTGCCTAGGAGCTGCTTGAAGATAAACAGAGAACCCAGAAAGGAACGTGTGCATATACAAGGGTAAGAATGCTTTCGCCAAGACTATGGCGTAATAGGCATGTGCTTGTTACTCGTACGTCTTGTGTATCGATCGTATCTCAACATTTTCATGTCTTGCAAACTGGTTACAGGTTAAGCGGCACCGCATTCCCTCGCGAAATGCGACTTTGGATATGGAGCATAGTATCTTGTTTAGTGCTTTGTACTATTCTATAGTAGGTACCTGGGAAAACTGAATCTTGGTACCTAGAATCCTACAAGGCCTATAGCCGAGGTCGGGTTGCTGAGAGTGTGATTCTCAACCCGACTTTGGTTGTGGATTACATTCTTAATAACTCGATTTTACCTGTGGAGCTAGGCAAGCAGATAAGTAAATAGATACTACCTACCTACCTACGTAAGGTAGGTACTTATCCGCTAGTTTCTCTAGATATTTTACAGCAAAGATACCTACCCATCTGTTTACCCCATCCACAGCTATAGTCAAGGCCCACTGCTAAACCCGAGTTGATTGCGATGTGACCTTGCAGACTCAACGTTGGCTGTGAATTTAGATGAACAGATGGGTATTTTTTTTTGCTGCATAATGCCTATGAAAGATATCTATCTGCTCACACTCAAAGTAGACATCCAAAGCCAAAGTCGAGTTGCCGTTTGGCCTCGCAAACTCGACTTTGGCTGTGGGTGTAGGATCCTGGGTACCCAAATTCACTTCCCCTACTACCTATTGAATAGTAGATGGCATAACTCGTACCCAAAGTCGGAATTTGGGAGGGAATATGGTATTACGCGAGAAAGCTGTCAGACACGATCATGACTATGCTGGCTGGACGGCGGACATGATGTGTGTTTTCGTCGAATACTGTTGACTTACAATCCATTGGCCAGGAACCGCAATTTATTTACTCTATTCATTCATCCTGTTGCAATTCGGATGTTCAACGGCCATGGAGTAAAGATTAAACAATAAATTAGTTATCCGCTACCTACTAAAAGGCTCTAGGATACTGGCAGGCGAATATCAAGATGTAAGTAATCGTACAGGAGATACACATATGTGAATTAAGAACATGTGCGTCTCAAGCGAGTTATACTGCGGATACTGGTTGTGTAGTGGTGCTATTGAGAAGTTGTGTGCCAGTTATCCGCAAATTTCCATATTTTCATCGATGAGATGATGGCATTTAGCTCAAAGAAGAATAATCTAACCTGATTATTCGGTAACCATGTTTCTGTTTGTAATGAAAATAGTCTCTTCATTTGTCGGCAGTGAAGAAGAAAGACTCATTCTATTTGTTAGTTTTGCCGAGCGAGTGATTAGTTACTCTCCTCAAAGCCAGCCCCTTAATTCTCCCAGCTGAACTTTTCATCCCAGCTGAAAATTTCAAAAGCCACTCTTCGATAGTGGATAGATGGCTTCATCGTAGTGGACATCACTGTGGAACAATCAGAGGTATTTTTTTGCATCATCTCAATTAATAACGAACTCGCTGCCAAACAATCTAAAGTACAAATATGAAATCCATCGCATCCATCACATTAGAGATATCTAGTTGTGGCGTAGTGTGGTGTCTCCTGTATCCTTTTGATTCCCATACACCCCCCAATTAAAACCAAATCAATAGTTGATAAAAGTTGAATGAGTGTGTGTGAGTGTGTGTGAGTGTGTGTGAGTGTGTGTGAGTGTGTGTGAGTGTGTGTGTGGGCTATCCAAGGGTCAAGGGGAGACGGGATATAGTGTCTGCCTAGTACAGGTCCTTGTGCTCAGCCTTGATCAGGTCGGCTCCCTTCTCGCCAACCATGTAGACAGAGTTCTGGATACGGCAGTCGGGAATGACAGGCATGACAGAGGCATCAATGACTCGCAGGTTCTTGACGCCGTGGACCTTGAGGGCCGGGTCGACGACGCCCTGCTCAATGTTCTTGGACAGCCGCGCGCTGCCGCAAGGGTGGAAGGCGGTCTGGCAGCGGTCGAGCACGACGCGGCGCATCTGCTCGTCGTCGTCGAGGGGCATGTCCCAGGGGTACTCCTGCACGACGAGGTCCTTGAAGCCCTCGCCCTTGGTCAGCAGGTCGTAGCTGAAGCGGATGCCCTCGCGCATGGCGATGATGTCGAGCTCGCTCTCGAAGAAGTTGAGGTTGATGCCGGGCTGGTCCAGGTAGCTGGGGCCAGTGAGAGTAACTTCGCCGGGCTTGGAGATGGGGCGCACCAGGTCGACGACGACGGTGGTGTGGGCGCCGGCCTTGGGCGTGGGATAGTGCCACTGGAAGGCGCTGCCAAAGATGGACACAAAGTCCAGCTCGAAGTGAGGCTGGCCGTCGGGGCACAGGGGATCCTTGCCGCCGTTGGCCTTGACGGCGGCGCTGTAGACGGGGTCCTTGGCGAGGTACTTGTCGATGCGGGGGAAGCCGACCATCTCGAGGAAGCCCGAGCCGACGGGGCCCGAGTGGTCCTTGTCGTAGGCGGCGTGGACCTGGGCGTTGAGCTCGTTCTTGCGCAGGATGGTGTTGTCCATGCCGAACTCGTCCTTGACCTTGAGCACAAAGGGCACGGCCGGGTGGTCCACCAGGTTCTGGCCGACGTGGCGCGAGTCGACGATGCATTCGATGTTGTGCTTGGCCAGCTCGCGCGCGGGGCCAATACCACTAAGCATGAGCAGCTTGGGGGATTCGTAGACGCCCTGGGACAGGATGACCTCGCGGTCGGCGTAGAAGCTCATCTCCTGGCCGTTGCCGAGGACGACAGTGACTCCACTACAAGTGCGGGAGGCATAGTCGATGAGCAGCTTCTTGCTCATGGCCTCGGTGACAACAGTGATGTTGGGCTTGTTCTTGAGGAACAGGAAGCTGCCCTGGCGGCGCCCCTTGTAGATGGTGTCGGCGCAGTGGTACAGGCCAATCATCTCGCCGTCGTAGATGTTCTCCGTCAGGGGCTCGCCCATGGACACCCACGCCTTGGTCAGGGCATCGCGGAAGGGAGCCATTTCAGGGAGCAGCTCCGCGTGGGAGATGTGGACGGGGCCGCCGCCGCCAATCTTGGCGAGCGACTTGTCGTAGAGGCCCTCGTCGTCGTGGTAGGTGACGGACTTGCGAAGATAGGGGACGAGGGGGTCCCAGGTCCATTCCTCGCCGCCGTACTCGGCCCACATGTCAAACGTGGGCTTGCAGCCGGGGATCCAGGTGAAGTAGTTGAGCGAGGAGCTGCCGCCGAGGATCTTGCCGCGGGTGTTTGGCTTCTCGATGCGCTCGTAGTCGTCCCGCTTGACTATGGTGGTCTTGTAGGCCCAGTCGTGCTTGCTGCCGCGGAGGTTCATGGCGTTGGAGGGCGTCATGACCTCGTTGAGCTGCTCGGGGTTGGCAACGCCGGCCTCGACGATGAGGATGCGCACGTTGGGGTTCTCAGCGAGACGGCCGGCGACGGTGTTACCGGCGGTGCCTCCACCGACGACGATGAAGTCGAAGTGGTCACCGGAGTTGATGGGGACAGTGATAGCCATGATGAATGTTTCAACAAGTTGAGATTATTGGTCAAGGTTGAAGATGAGGAGAGTGAGGTTGTATAAATCACTGAGTGAAACTTGTATCACAGTGTATGATATGAGTTTAATGTCAAGTATGATTTGATTGTTGTTGATGTTGGTTTGTATATTGAAAGAGATGAATTGTATTGGCGATGCTTTGTTGAGTGATGCTGAAGTATTGTGATGATGATGCTGATGATATTTCGATTTCAAGTCCGTCCATCGTCTCCTTCTTATATATTTCCCAAAGGAAGGCCATATCTCGAGCTGCTCCCTCTCGGCTACTCGGTGTCCCTCCAGAGAAAATGCCTCCCCCTGCATCCCCCGTAACCGAGAAACCCTCACCCGATCGTCATCATTCCAGGTTTTACGCGGAACTTCAGCAGCTCCAGCCCGCAATCCTGCATGAAACTCCAAAGCTTCCGACGCCCGATCCTCCCCCAGCGAATGAAGAGCTTCAACGACACGGAACAAGACGCCGAGCTTTGGCAAAGCTTCGAACGAGGCTAGACCGAAGGCAGCTCCACAGCAAGGCTGAGCGCCCGATTCTCGGCATCAAGCCACAGCCAAAAGCCGCGGTGGGGCCCAGCCTCAGCCGGAGAGTGGGGGCTTTCCCGACAGCCATTGCGCGGTACGTCACTGAGCCTAGCCCTGAAGCTTTGCCCTGGTCTTCCATTGGCAGTTCTAGACCCCTGTCAGGAATCGCCCGGCGGTTCGGCGTGCGTGTCGGCGGAGCCCTCCGGGAGAGGCTCGATTGCGTCCAATCACAGGCCGCGGCTGGCCATTTGCCACAGCTGTCTTCTGGTCCTCGCTGCGGCTGTTGGCTCGGGGTTAACGGTGGGCTCTACTTGACTCTGGTTGGCTCGACGAACCTGGCGCCGCGTAGGAGACATTGCCGAATTCCGAATCCAGCAGGACCCTGGCTGGTCTTCAGCTCGCAAGGCAAGATTGATTGATATCGAAGGGGGTTACCGGGCGTGGTCGTGATGAAGATGCCTGCATGTCAGCTGGAGGCATCTTGATAGGATAGAGACGGGCGTGCAGGGATTGTTGACACTACGGGTATTAGGCAAATGGATGGGCATTAGCTGGAAGCTGGTGAAACCTTGAGCTGCATGCAGGTGGCGAAGCGATGATACTTGGTGAAGTTGTATAGTTGATCGTTGGGCATCAAGATAGTACAATCAAGGAATCAACATCTTCCTTCGCTTAATTTTCAAGCTCGCTTCGAAATGTACTGAATGAAGTGGCTTGGAGTACTGTTGGAGTCGCTTGGACCCTGTGGATGGTCTTCGGATGGAGCTCGGGGTCGGCCATCCGTAGCTAAGCCTTTAGCTGCGTCATTGTGAAAATTTGATATCAAGACTGACACGAAGCCTATAGCGTATGGCGTATTACAGAGTACAGCGTCGTGCCAGACGATATCCTAGATTAAGCATGTAGACTTGATAAAAATCCAAATGCCGAGCAACGACGAGAGGTAAAGGGGGTGGAAGGGAGCAACTTGTCACAAGTATATCAATCCAATCATCCCCAGACACATTGCCACATCTCATCATCCCTCCCTCCCCATTCTTACTACTTTGTCAAAGACTACCTACCCGTCTCATAATACCATCCTCACAACTCACAATGCCTTCCTTTTACACCAGTGCCGAGGGTAAGCCACCCACCCAATTCGCCTTCACCCCTTAACCAACCAATCAACCCTATGCTTCCCCCCATCTGATAGCAGTGGGAGAACTATTCGACTTACATAATTTCAATCCTCAGGTTGCCCGTACCCCGATCCTACCACCAGCGTTCAAGTCCGCAATGGCCCGGGCGTTGGCGGACTTGTGCTGCTCCAGGACTCACAGCTGATTGAGACACTGGCCCACTTTAACCGCGAACGAATTCCTGAACGGTATGAGATAAACTTGCACACAGGTCCTTCTAACTCGCTTTTGAGATGCCAAATAATCAACTAACACGATGATTTTCTCCATTCTTCTAGTGTTGTCCATGCCAAAGCCGCCGGGTAAGCCGATCCACACGCTCGAATATAACAATACAAAGCGACCTCGAAACAATAATTAACATACGCGTCTAATTTCATAGCGCTTATGGTGAATTCGAATGTACACATGACTGCTCAGACATCACCTCAGCGAGCTTCCTCAACACCGTCGGCAAAAAGTCCGATGTGCTGCTCCGTATCTCTACCGTCGGCCCCGAGCGAGGCTCTGCCGACACGACCCGCGACGTCCACGGCTGGGGCATGAAGATTTACACGGACGAAGGCAACCAGGACTTTGTCTGCAACAACATTGTGAGCTGAACTGAAGCCCATAAATCCCTTCCCCCCCCCACTAACGGCTCAACTGTAACGTGGTGGGCAGGGGGTGAGGCCTTTTTTTTTTTTCCCCCGTGAGAAATTGCTAACGCGGCGAGGACATAATTAGCCCGTCTTCTTTGTGAGGGACCCCATCAAATTCCCTTCGCTTAACCGCTCTCACAAGCGTAATCCTCAAACGAACTTGGCCGACTCGGACATGGTACGTGGCAGTTTATCATTAGCAGTTCCCACAGTTATTTGATACGAAGAGAGAGCTACAACGCTAACATGTATATCTGCCTGTCTTAGTTTTGGGAGTAAGTACTAGTCGTTTTGAAAACAGGCAACCGACCCGTCTGTCAAAAAAAAAAAGAGGAGAAGCTACCGAACTGCATGTCTAACGTGATGGTGTTTACAGCTTCCACCTGGGCAACCCGGAGGGTATCCACGCGCTGATGCACCTCTTCAACGACCGAGGCACCCCAGCCTCACTGCGGCACATCAACGCGTACAGTGGCCACACATACAAGTTCACCAAAGAGGTAAAGGACTCTTTTCCCCCCCCTCCCCGGGCGTCCCCCCTCCTTTTGAAACTTGTTTATGCAGGGAGCAGGGAGCAGGCATCAGCCATCTATTGTGCTCAGATTCTAACCAATTGGCTTCACAAAACAGGACGGCAGCTTCAAGTATGTCAAGCTCCACCTCAAGGCCCAGGGCGGCACCAAGAACTTCGACGCCCAAACCGCCACAAAGGTGGCCGGCGAAAACCCCGACTTCCTGACGCAGGACCTGTTCGAGGCTATCGAGCAGGGCAACTACCCCAGGTGGGATGTCTTTGTCCAGGTGATGGAGCCCAAGGATGCGGAGACGTACAAGTGGAACGTCTTCGACATGACCAAGGTCTGGCCTCACAAGGACTATCCGCTGCGCCAGATTGGTCAGTTGACGATGAACCGCAACGTGAGCTTTTGCCTCTTCCCCCCCATCTCTCTATACTCCATTCGTGATAGGAAGGGGGGTGTTTTCCTGTTTTTTTTTTTTTCTTTTATCTTCTAACCGAAGCAAAATAGCCCCAAAACTACTTTACCGATATCGAGCAGGCAGCCTTTTCGCCATCCACCATGGTGCCCGGCATTGCCCCTTCTGCTGATCCCAGTATGTCGCCATCCTTCTTATCTCGGCATATGAGAAACTGCAAAATCAAGTCAATAAGCGAAGCTTTACTAATTTCATATCGTTTCAAAATAGTGCTGCAAGCTCGCATGTTTGCCTACCCCGACGCTGCCCGATACCGTCTCGGCGTCAACTACCAGCAACTGCCCACCAACCGCGCCAAGGTCCCCGTCTACGCCCCTTACCAGCGGGATGGTTACATGAACTTTTCAGACAACTACGGCGCCGACCCCAACTATGTCAACGCCTCGCTTAAGCCCACGACGTTCAAGAATGCGGGCAAGGTGGCCTCCACCATCACGGAGCATGAGAAGTGGGCTAGTGAGGTGAGCAGCTTCACCAGCCAGATGGCGCCTGAGGACTATGAGCAGGCTACTGCGCTGTGGAATGTCCTTGGACAGCAGGAGGGCCACCAGGACAGGTTCATTAGCAATCTTGCTGGGCACTTGTCTGGTGCGAAGAATGCTACTATCCGCAGCCGAGTCTATGGTAAGTTTTTAACCCTATTCCATTCAAATAACAAATCTATCTCTATCCTTTACCAATTGCAACTTTTGAAATTCTTGCTAATACCATTTCGATAGAGTACTTTTCCTACGTCGACAAAGATCTGAGCGCTCGTCTCCGCGATGCCACCGAGGCCAAAGTTGCTGCATAAATTCGTCTCAATGGCTTATGATGGGCGCTTAGATTAGGACTTGTGAGGATCTCTATTTTATATACATATCAGATTACTTAGCTGTATGTTAGTACCAAAACGCCACGTTTTGACGGCGAAAAAACATATTCTTTCTAGGAAATGAATGACGAAGATTTAGAAGAAACTAAAATAAAACGTTACTTTAAAAAGCAGCTGCACATTTGATCTTCTCCTCTATCTCTATCTACATCATTACTGTCCAGCAATTTCAATCAACCATTTCCTCATTCATACACAAAAAAAAACTCACATACACTTTAGGTTCCTATAAGAAACCAAATCACAGGCCCACGTGCAGGGTAGAAATAGCAGCCCCGCTGACCAAAATCCACTTTCCCATTGGCCGCCCGAATCTCGGAATCCCTTCGGATGCTTTAGCTGGGCCCGCAGCTTCCGCTTGACGTCACTTACAGCTCTCTTCGTGCAATTCATATCAACAACAGCTCAGAGCTACCAATTGAAGCTACCTCAATTGAGCTACATAAGCAAAATCCCTGTTCTTCCTCATCCTCCTTTTTCATTCTTTTTTCTAGTTTATATCCTCACATCATCTTTTCATCTTTTCATCTTTTCATTCTCACGTCGTGCTGAGACGAGGCATGGATGTGACCGCCAGCCGCATCACAGCAAGGGCCCTTCAACTCCAAGTGCACAGCCAGAGACTTATACGAGCCGGTCTCAGTCACAGTCACAGTCACAGCCGCAACGGCCTCTGCATTCTCGCGCCTCAGCTTCAGCTTCAGCTCTACTCAAGATATTCTTCATCTTCATCTTCATCGTCATCTCATAACAGCAGCACTCAAAGATTCTCACCAATCTCATCATACCAGCTCAGCCGCAGCGTCACCACCACCCCAAAATCTCTCACAATGAACACCTCCACAACAATGTCCCAGCAACACCAAGCCGTCCAGGCATCCCTCACCAAATCCGCAACCTTCCTCGTCCTCACCATCAACCCCTCCTCCCCCTCATCCGTCAAGACCGTCCGCTCCGTGCTCGCCTCCGTCGGCGACCTCGCCAAAAACGTCTCCCTGCGCGACCTCAACTCGCACTTCTCCTGCGCCGTCGGCATCGGCTCCGACGCCTGGGACGCCCTCACCACGGGCACCGGCCTCCACCGCCCCGCCGAGCTGCGGCCCTTCCGCGCCATCTCCGGCGCCCGCCACACCGCCGTGGCCACGCCGGGCGACCTGCTGTTCCACATCCGCTCCGACCGCCGCGACATCTGCTTCGAGTTTGAGCGCCAGCTGCTGGCCAAGCTCGGCGACGCGGCTACGGTGGTCGACGACACGCAGGGCTTCCGCTACTTTGACGCCCGCGACCTGCTCGGCTTCGTCGACGGCACCGCCAACCCCGTGGGCCCGGACGTGCCCGACGCCGTGCTCATCGCCGAGGAAGACTCCAACTGCGCCGGCGGCAGCTACGTCGTCGTGCAAAAGTACGTCCACGACATGAAAGGCTGGGGCGGCCTCTCGACGGAGTCCCAAGAGGCCATCATCGGCCGCACCAAGCTGGACAACATGGAGCTCGACGACCAGCCCGACGGCCACCAGCAGGCGCACAAGACGCTCGCCACCATCGAGGACGAGCACGGCAACGAGCACGGCATCCTGCGCGACAACATGCCCTTTGGCTCGCCCGGCTCCGGCGTCTTCGGCACCTACTTCATCGGCTACTCGCGCCGCCTGTGGGTCATTGAGAAGATGCTGGAGCGCATGTTTGTGGGCGATCCGCCGGGCAAGCACGACCGCATCTTGGACTTTTCGACGGCGTTGACGGGGACGACGTTTTATGCTCCGCCGGCGTCGGTGTTGGATAGGCTGGGTGAAGACTAAGAAGCGTGATTATGCATGTAAATACGACATATAAACGATATACTACATATTGAGATTCAGGATATCTGCACTTCTACTTGGTATCATTGGCTTATTACTAGGTAGTTGTCGTTGTTTAGTCATCCAATAGGCTCTTACACACAACACCACAACCCCTCAACCCCTATTAAACAACAAACAACTTCTAGAAAACAATAACCCTCTTCCCAAACTCGTAAAAATGATGGACCACATCCCCAAACTAACAAATGACGTTTTCAATCCCGGCATCCCCCCCGAAGCCCCTTTCTCTCCACCCACCCCTCCCTCGCAAACCGGACCACCCTCGGGCTTCGCTCGGAGTCATCGCCCCCATCCTTGGCCCCGAAACCCACACTTCAGCTTTTTTTTTCTTTACTTCTTTCTCCTGCCAAGAGAGCCCAACCATTGCAACTCACACTACCCGTTTGACAAGGGGGCCGAACCTTTCGTTAATTTAGGTAGATCGATCTATTCCCTTTTTTGCTATCCTAAAAAGATCATCGGATTTAAGCTTAAACTATTAACTGCCCCTCAGCCTTACCATCATGCAACACCACGCATGCTCATGTGGGTATTCCGTCAACGTCACTTCATCACAGCAGTCCAGAAGAACGAAAGTAAGGGCACAGTTATAAACGACAAATACTCGAGAAGAAGAAAAAAAACGTAAATTTTCTGAGTATACATTGCTTCGTACCGATCTATTCTGCCCATTGCCGCGGATAAAACAGTCCCTTCTCCTATAACCCTGATTTCGTAATTCGTGAAATGCCACTGTTTCCATAGTGAGCTGCAAGTTCCTCTGCGCCTGTTCACTCCGACGCTATGCGCAAAATCCACCATTCTTTTCTTTTTCCATCTTACATACTCGTATTTTGATTATGCTTGTCAGTTTGTTTGTTTTCAATCGGCAGCGCTCGATAAAAAGATAGATAGGGCATGAAAGGATGATAATGTGTGAAACAACAAAAAAAAAAAAAAAGTCAAACGTCTAATAATTAGCAGCCAAACTCCCAAACTCCAAACCTTGTTGCTCTCTTGAAACCATCCTTGTCATTTGTCATTGCCTGCCCATAACAAGGCGGCAGTATGTACCTTCATCTTGTCGCAAGAGCCTCGTCTGGCTCCCCAATTTGCTGAACACCCAGGTCCGGCTGGCAATCCAGCGGATCTGATGACATGTAAGAGCCCTCCCAGTCTTCAAGAAAATGACAAATATCTGATATCAGTCAAGGTTCTATAGCATGGTACTGCGTGGTCTTACCAGAGTTGTCATCTTCAACTTCATCAACAATCATCGCGCGCACAGCATTTGCAGTGTCTAATTTGAGTATTAGCGGTCCATTGGAAATAGAGGCGCCGAAAGATCAAAGTGTAGAAAAGAGTACACACCGATCTGGAGGTTATTGAATTCGATACTTCCTTCATCCTCTACCCCTGGCTCCTCGGAAAAGTAGGGGGTGCATTTGGATGTTACCTGCACCATCACAAGAGCAGTGTCGCGTCCAATTGGATTGCGTTGTCTGACATGCGTGTCTCGTAGATAAAACACGCAGGCTCTGCCTACTTGCCGGACAAGTTCTCTCAATTTCTCCCTTCTCTCGAGCATCGATACTTCGTCTTCGTCCACATCATATGTGTTGGACACTTGATCAAAGAGCTCGACATCCAGAAAACGCACAGTGTCGTATTTTACCCCGCCGTCTCCGCATGCGAGTAGATGAGGTACCCAATCTGGCAGTGTCTCGAGGCTGCAATGTTCAATGGCTCGTACAACATCGCCATCCGGTCTCTTGAGATTGAGTGCCGCGCTAAAGAAGTCCAAAAAGGCTACCGGTTCGGTATTCTGTAAGCTCCGGGCCTGCATAGCGATAAAGCGTATGATGCTTCGACTGTGAGCAACCGACTGTGTGGATTCCAGATACTGTACGGCAGCCCGCAGGAACGGGTCCATTGGCTGCATTGTCGACTCCGCCTCTAGTTTTCGTCGCAGACTATTCAAGATTCTCAGATCCATCTGAGGCGCGAGCGACGTCAGGCGGCCTAGGATCCTATGGGTAGTGGGGCGAGCTTGATCAATTGCGATTAGTTTTTCGACAAAAAAGCTGCCCAATTGACGCTCTGGGTGGCTGTGTATCATCTGAACCTCATCTGCCGTCCAAGGAAACGGTGCCTCATCGCGGTTCAGCCGCTCTTCTGGTGTATCGACGATGTACGGTGTGCCTAGGAGGGGTTCAAGCTGCGATATCAAATAATCAATGAGCTCCAAGATTGCTGCATACGGCGGAGGCCGTGGCATTCGCCGATAGATGTTCTGTAGCATCTTTGAATAATTTGGTGGCAGTTCCGTCATTGTGTCGGCCGCAATGATGCGCAGTAGCTTAAGCAGGTAATCATTAGCCAACAGCTGGGCCACCTCTCGTGGGCCCATCTTCGCAAAACTGAGCAACAGACCAAAGACCTCATCCCAGGAGCGTAGATGGAAATGAAAGTGTCCCCAGAGATAGCCAATGAGTGATGTTGCCTCTTCCAAGACGGAGAACCTTGGAGACGACGGGGTGCGCGAGGCTGGGGAATCGACAGCAATGTCGCTTCTGTCGTCCTGGATGATAATGTTGGCGCTCAGCGGATCATACACATTTGGCATTTCAATGGCAATCTTCTCCATCGCGAGAAACAGCAGTTTGCAAGAATAATTGCGAACGGCGACTTCGGGATGACGTTGGGCGAGCATTCTGAAAGCCTCATGGCGCCTACTGAAATACTCAAAGAACGCAAGCGCGCAGTCTCCGCATTCAACAACAGCCAATCGGATCATTGCTGAGAATTCTTCCAAGTCTGGCATATTCTCGATTCGCGTCACTATTTGATCCAAGTGACTTAGAGCCATCTCCATTGCCAAATCTTTCAATCCGTGAGGTAAATTATAGAGTGCATTTTGGTTTTGCTGCTGCCATGGACTGGGCGACGCATTATTTACAAGCAACTTTGCCTGAACGAAGCAACTCTCCACAAAGGCAATATAGTTGGGATCGAACAAGCAGTGCCGTTTGAGGATGTTTGCATTCTCGCGCAGGATGTGTTCCTTCAGATCTGGGGGAACTTCGACCTGCACGGGGGCGACAGTCCCCGTTGTTGTGGATAACTCCGCTTGCTGCTGCTCTGCAGCGAGGGAAGAGGAGCGCTGATAGAAGAGCATATATCCGCTATAATTTTTAGCAAACCCTGTCCCGTTCGAGTCATGTACTGGTTGTTGGCCAGGGCCTCCAAATGTTTGGTTCGCCATGTTGCGCGAGTCCCATAGCGACACGTTGTCGTCATTGAACTCAAACCAACGGGGCTGGTCATCTGTTGATGTGCGTTCTCGGATGAAAGAATAATAATGGCCCGATTCTGCCGTGCCAGAATGCACAAGAACGCCCACGAGCTCGAATATATCCGCTTGCCCCGCATCAGCTGCTGGGTCTCTGAGATGGTCAATCGTGTATGGTCGCATGTCGATCGTACGGGGGAACGAAAAGTAATCGTTTATCTTGCTTCGCTGAAATGTACGAAGGCTGAAGTCGAATCGTTTCAAATGGAAAATTAGATTGTCTGGTACATCTTTGAGACAAGCCCTGCAAACCAGAAAGAGAAAGAAAGGAAACCATTCGTTAGCCATATAATCAATCACAAAAATCAACTGCTGTCTCTCTCTCTCTCGACTCACCTCTTTACAGCATCAACATGACGATCGCAGGACGAGCATTTATATCTGTTATCTAGAAACCGCATTTTCATTAGCACAAGTACAGATGGGAAGTTATACGAGACAATGCTGCAGGAATTAATTCACTCACCACCTTCCATGACTTCTCCACCAACATAAGCCTCGAGGCTCTCTTGAAGCGTGCGTTTGCCGTTGATATCGCACTGTATGGCAGAGAATGGCTCGAATCGTTCGGATACGTGTGTACATTCCTGCGACTTGATTTGTTGGACAAGCTGCCCGCCGTATATTCCCCGAAGCTCCCTTCTTTGGTCGTCCCTCGGCAGCTGCGCTTCCAACCGATCAAATAACAGGTTGTAGAATTCATCCACATCCATCTGGCTGTTTATGTCGATGAAGGTGTCTTCGTACGTTCTTATGCTTGAAACAAAAAGTTCGGGATCTACAAATCGGCAATGGCTTTCTTGCATGTAAGCAAGGAGCTTTTGTGCGTGAAACAGTAGCTGTTGGGAACTGGTGTTGTGTGGAATGTCCAAGCTGAGGATGAACTGCCGAAACTGAGTATTCATGAAAAGCTGAGTAACCAGTGCGTTTAGGTAGCACGTATTCGAAAGGTTTCGCAAGCCAACGTAGCTGCAGGGCTTGATAGCCTTTTCGCGATTAAATTGGCAGGGTAGGTCGTATATGTAATGGCCTTCCCTTTCGTCCGAATAGTAAGGAACAAGAGAGTTGAGGGACCTGAGTAACGGGCCGAGCACGACTTGATTGTTTTCTGCCAGTCTCAGAATGGCTCTGTACAGCTTCTGTCGAGTCTCTGGTCTCAATAATACCCTTTGCTCGGGCTGTCCCAGTTGACTTCGTAGCTTGGGGAAAAGGTGTCTCCAAAACAAGTCTTGAACAATGTCATCAGGCAAGCTTGAGGAAGCTGGCAGTGTTTCATCTACTTGCAGACAGCCGAGCAAAATAGACAACAGATCACTTGCCAAGACATCTTGCGATTCTGGCTCATCGAGCGACTCGGTTGAATCATGGCTGAGCAGCAGTTGGCAAACTTGCGCAGCAACCGCAGGCGTATCCAGTTCAGAAGGCATGACTTGGAAAGACTTGTATAGTAGGTATTCAAGACCGCCAAAAAACTCATGACATTGGCCAGGAACACTGACTGCTTCAGGAAGGAAGCTTGAAATAGTCGACCAGGCGAATCTCGTCAGAGGATAGGACGATGCGACAACGTCACTTTCGGATGGGGCGAGAATGCCCTCTTCTGTCTCCAGTGCGTCCCTTACCATCTCTACAACACGATTCCTTACTGTTGAGCGTGGATCCAAAAGTATTAGGCTCTTGAGAAGGTCCGTGAAAGAGTCAAGGTTTGCAATTCTTTCCAAGAAAGCGTTGTGAACGAGACAGAGCCGCAATATAGCAGCAATCGACCCGTCGATCAGAGACTCGGAGCCCTCTTGCGTTGATTCCGAAGCGTAGGATAAAATCTCGACGAGACGACTTGGAGACGGGTATGTAGCTCCATCCTGGACTGACTGCCTCGATAGGACCCAAGTGTTTTGTAGAAGCCGCACAAAGGTTGCCATCAAGGCTTGCATGAGCTCAGTCTGCAACGCGGGGGTGATTTGATCCAGAAAACTCTCATTGGATATGGCCAGCACGACCAAAGAATAGGACCTTCTCAACGCCTCCTCGTATGAGCTCTGGGAGAATCTTAAAGCCTTCCTCCCCTTCTCATCGCTGGATTCTATCAAGCGAATTGATTCATTGTATTCAGTCAATGCACGAATGACATAGAGTGATTTGTAAGGCTGTCCAGGTGGGAAAATATCCGTGTGCGTGGCTGTTGGGCTCTCAAAAAGGTCGATGATTCCGCCGTCAGTGGGCAGCTGGACGAGGAGGCTATAGACTTCTTTGGCGATTGCATCTTCCATGCCTAGATACATCCAGAGCTCTTGGAAGTGAGACAGTATCTGAATCTCGATGGGAGATGAGCCTGGTTTGACTCGGACCGGATTTACAGCGTCAAAGTCGTCTTCTTCACGTCTCACCAGAATTAGGCCTTCGTTGACCTCCAAGCTCTCCAGAGATTTGCAAATTTCTTCCTCGGTAGGAAGGAACTGCTGACCTTGATAAAACACTCGATAGTGACTGAAGCCTGTTTCGAGCTTCAAGCTGGATAATAGAGAGGCTGCCGTGTTGAGTTTTCCGATATGCAGTGGCTTCATTTCCGTTTCTGTGCCATCGTTAAAAGTCTGATATTGGAGCGTCGTTAAATCTCCCTGAACTTCGTTTGGATCTTGGTTGACAAACGGTCGGAAATCGGGAGCACACAGTGCAGGCTTTGTATAGTGAGTTTCCACGAAGAGCCCAAGAAGCTGCAGGGTTCGGGTGAAGATGCGCTCTTGCTCGTGGATTTCGTCCTCACTTGTCACAATAACCATTGGTTCATCCTCACCGCTTGATATCCCGTCGCTTGACGCCTTGATCTTCCTTGCGGCATCTTTTAACTGGCCCAAGCAGCGGTCGACAAAGGACGAGTGAATTTGGCGGGCCCGATTGAAGGGATATGTTAAAATCGCTCTGCTTTCCAAATAAACGTCAACGGCCAAGGCTTTGATGCCAATGCTGGCATTCTCAGCATCATCGGCACCCAAGATAATTCGCCAAAGCTGTTCCAGGCCGCTCTGTACTACATCCCGCTGGTCATCGAGAGCACAGTCAACAGCATTGTCGTTGACCGCGTAAAAGACCTGTGCAATGACGCAATTGAGCATTCCCCTGCAAAAGCAAGAAGGAGGAAGACTGGGCAAGTACAGGGCGTAACATGATTGCAGAAACGGATTTCTGGCTGCCGTCTCACGGTCGAACGCCATGATGATTTCCCAGCCTGAGTTTCTGTCCTCGTCGCCCAGACAAGCCGTCCCAACCAAGAGATCCCAGAGTTTCTTTCCCAAGTCTCCAGAAATTGCATCTGGTCGATGATAAATGATTTTTGTAATGAATTCTCTTCTTGATCGGCTCGAGGCCCCAGAGAACACCACAGCCATGCCGGCAGCCTTGCCCACATCGATAGTATGCGCCAGCTCTTCGATAAGTAGCCTCGCCAAACCAAACTGCTCTATGAGTACAGTCAGCTCGTTTGCCACATTCCCCTTCATAGCGATTAGTAAACAGCATAGACTGCCCATTGCAGTGGGAGAGTTTGCCGCCAGGTCTTCAACACAGGAGGAGTATAGTTTTTTACGGTCCTCATCGTCCATGCCAAATGTCACCAGATTGTCCAATCTTGCCATGGCTTCGATTTGAATTTCCAGATAGAGCGACTGAGAATCTGGCTTGCATATTGACGACTCCTTCAGCAGCCTGAGACAGAGTTCATATGGAAGCAATCCAGGGGTTATCCCATCTCTTTGGCATCTCGAGATCAGCTCCTTGAGCACATAGCTGCAGAAGAATATTGTCGATGAATTGAAGTCTTGGATTGGAAGTGTTTGGAACTTCTCACAAAGAGACAAGAGCGCATTGTAATCAAGCAGATTGGTGATTGAACTGTTTAGCTCGGTGAGAGCTTTTGCAGCCCTGGGATCTTGACTCTGTGTGATGCCCTGCCACAAACGATCGGAATGCGTTGCACTGTACATGTTGGTCACTACCAGGAATCCAAGGATATTACTGCTCCCGGACACGAGTTCAGGATGACAGTTTGAACCAGTGAGGTAATCCACTAGGTTTATCCGAAGCAAGTAGCGGCCTTGGTGACTGAGGAAAGGATCTTGCGGGCCCATCTCGCGGTTACTGGTTCTTCTCCAACTAGCAATGAGCTCGGTGCTCATTATTTCAATGGCCATCACTCGCAGCTGCATTTGAGTTGAACGAATCAATCGCGCAAGCATGTCCGTTTTCCACTCCCACATGATGGCATAGACAGTCAGCGACGTTGAAAAGCTTTGTTCTCCCGATGCTACGAGATCTGGGTATTCTGCTTTATGGTCCTCGAGCAGCCTGTTGGTCTCATCGTGGCCGCATGGCAAACAGATTCTGAGCATCTCACTGAGAGCATCTATTAACGAAGCGGCCCGGTCCTTGGTTAAATGGCCGACATGTTTGTCAATGATTACACCCAGGAGCGAGGAGAGAGATTTCCAGAGCTCATAAATGTTTCTTAGCTGTCCCTGTGAGGCCAAGCCTACAGGATCGGCGGGTTCATGCAGACAGAAAACCAGTACTTGCGCTACAGGCGCAAGAACATCAACCAATCTCGGGACTACTGATACAACCGCAGTAAGCGCCGTCGCGTAGCTACCGAGAAATTCGATGCTGCCTCCAAGGAAGGCTTGCAGCTGGCGTATAAAGTATGCTCCAACGTTCATATAGCCAGGCGAATTAAGAGGAAAATCGGAGAAGTCGCCGCCTCTAAGCTGCTCATGGTATTGCTTCAGCCTATACAGCTGATGAAGATAGTCGGGAGCGAACAACAGCGGGCCATCGGGGTCGGGCTGAATATGAGATTGCCATTCTTGGATAGACTGAGAGTCGAGTAGTAAGAGGTGCGCTGTGAAAGCCAAGAACGTGTGATAAAGGCCAAGCACAGCTACCCGCGTGACTTGCGCCCCCGGCAAAGTTGAGAGGCCATTTCTAGAACGGTTGTTAGATCAGATTTGAAACTCCACAGTTACAACTTGAGACATACTGTCTGTTTATCGTAGCATCGATGATGTTTGGAAAAGAGGACCAGAAAGATTTATTGCTTCGAAGAGAATCGAGTACAACTTGCGGGTTGCTTTGCTTGGCAAATGTGAGAAACTTGTCTAACCATTCTCGAATCTGTTCAATGGCAGCTGGATCTGGAGATGGCTCTGCATGAAAAAGACTGTTAGCGCCCTGTCATTACAAACTCCATGATACATTGGGATGCTTACGAGATGATAAGTAATTTTGAAGGCGAGACGATGTTTCCATTAGCGTATTCTGCGTATTGCTGTAGGGAAATTCCACTGTAGGATCTGCGATGGGACCGTCTAGGAGGGATTGGTCAAAGACGAGTTCAACCTCCTCTGCCACGCTATCGTCTTCTTGTATGGTGATGACTTCAACAGGCGGGCTTGGAGACGCTACAGGCGAGGCATGCGCGAGCCCCAGATCTCCATTGGCATTGAGAGCTAGGCCAAGGTCGGCTTCTTCCTCGATGCTCTTCTGGACCTGGTCCTCCTCGGGAGTTTGTATTCGGACTTTCGAAGGAGAAAAGTACTGCGGGGCGGAGGGAGAGGCAGTGGAATCGCTGTAGGGTGCATTTCTTAGATTGATAGTCACTCGGCTGGACGTTGGTGGCTCGGGGGAGAAGGCTGGCGAAATCGCAGCCTGAGGCGGCGTTCGAGGCTGCTGGGAGCCCCGGTCGACCTTTATCTTGTCATCCAAGGCAGTGACGCTGGTGTTGACGGTAGAGAACGGGCTCGAGCCGGATTCTGAGCGGTGCAGGCCTGTGTCGATAGAGGCCGAAGGCGAGCCCGAGGCTGAGGTGCGCCGGCGTTTGCGAGACGAAACGTCGCTATCGTCAAAGGGATTCGGCCGGGTCGAGCTCGGCTCAGGAGAGCTCTTGGCAATCTGGATCTCGGAGGTCTCTGGGACGGTCTCCATCTCGCCGATGAGGGTGATGGTGGCAGCACGAAGCGTCGAGGTCCAAAGACGTCACGGCGACGCGAGGGCCGTCTGGGCGGCAGCTATAGAGAATTAACATGTGTGGTTGCAAAGCCGCCGTGCGCAGAGCGAAGGCTGTGGTGCAGTAACAAGCTGAAGGCAACTGCGGCGATGCTGGCGGACAAGGACAAGGGGAGTAGAAGCTAGACGGGCAGAGTGATGCTGATGCAGATGCAGATGAGACGCCGAAAAAAAAGTGGTGTCGACTCGCGATGAAGTCAGGATTCGGAGAAGCAGCATTGGAGGGACGCGGTGCTTGTGTGGGACCAAGGCGAGGGGTAGCTATAACTAGGCCCCAGCGTGGTAGCGGGCAGCTGTGGTGGGGTGTTGCCTTACCTCTGTTAGCGCAGTACCTGCGGCGGCAGCGCTGGATCGGGCGCTTCCGGTGAGGCCAGTGCCCGATGGGTATGGCACGGATTGATAAGTGCTGGAGGCAACACTGATGATGGTGGAAATCCTTTTTTTCGTTTCCTAGGTTAATGATGACGGTGGAACACAAAGATAGTACAGCTGTCGATATAGCCGAATGCTACCGTCGATGCCCTCTGGCCGACGGGTTGCTCTCGGTGTTAGAGAGATGTGTTGAGGCTAATCGACTGCGATGCCGTGATTAGATCCTAGTAGGCTGTGCTACTAGGTAGGTACATATGCTAATATCAGATTGAGTGTGTATGGTTAGCGGTATTAGTAGTTACACGTGTGTTGATACAAAGAGTCTGCTTGATGAGTACGAATCTGCATCTTCCAGAAGATAGAGGATTCAGAGAGCCGCCAACCACAATAGAAGGTAGAAGAGTGATTGGACGCAAGGCTCCACGCCCTCCCGGGTGTTTGCCTTGGGTCTCGGTTTGGGCTCGGACGTAAACTTGGGATTAGGCTTGAGGTAACGAAGTGACATCAATGTATTTGATGCATATGCCGCAGATGCGGTTGTTGATGTCTGTTTTTCTTTCCTTTTGGAATATTGGCTTGGGGTGATGGGTTTATATAGCATGCTGGCATCCACAAGTGAATTTCTGCTGGGGAATCTGGGTGTGGCTTTTGTGCTCTGCTGTGGATAGAGTGTAACCGAGATTTGCAGTACTTCCCTCTGTAGTCGCGACAGTTCACAGAATCACAGAAGCATCATTGACATACACCAAGATGTACTCGTTGAGTACATGCCTTTTAGCCCTTGTTGCTACTAGAGGCAAGAGTCGCATGCGGCCTATGCCCTGGTACCTACAGTGTCCTCTATCCGTCCCAGTGACAGCTGTGAACTAGAAATGAACAACTGTTACCATGTTAGCCAATTATGCTTCGTCACCAAAGCTTCTTTTTGTTTTCGAGGACCACAAGTTCAAGCCTCACTTTCGCGGAGGTGGATTCCTTATCAACATTTCCATGGAAATTTCCATGGGCAATTGAACGTGGCGCTCTTAGTACGGAAAATTTTCTTTCTATTCTAGAACTCGTAGCAAAAAAAGAAGCCTGATCTGACGGAGTGCTCCCTCAGTCGGCTGGCTCCTGTATACCTACGCGCAAGCATCGCCGCTAACTCATGCGAGGTACAGTTTTTACGCGGGCATCAGAAACTGTACATGCATAGGTACTTTATCCAATCAGTAGACTTGAGAATTCGTGCAATGCGGTTTCTTGGTATTCGCATCCTATATGCTTCCTCATACTCTCCAAAATACGACATTAGATGGTCTTTGACGAGAAATTAGTCTTTGGTGTCCTATATTCGATACGTAGGCGCATACCTACCTTGATTACAGGCACCTATTTTCCTCTTCTCTGCGGCAGGCCCACCTGTTTCGGTGAGGCTCAGCGACTTTTTTTACTTTTGGCTGCCGGCGGTTTTGCGGGTCCTGAGCGGCGCCTCCACGAACCTGCACATCTCAGAGCTAAAGCCGACGGACTTGGGCCGTATCGGGTGCTACTTCATTTTGCATCCTGTATCAGCGGCAGTCTTTCTTCCAGATAGACCTTCAGGGTTCTCACACTGGGCTTTCGTGTGTTATAGCCCAAACATCCATCTCGCAACACGCGCTGGCCATGGCAGCACCCGCAGCGAAAAAACGGCTTGTCCATCACCTTGACACGCCCTTCTCTACGTCTTCATGGTATGTTAGGTGTATGTTATGGTGTCCGCGTGTCTACCATGGGTGTTAACCAGCAAAATTGATAGGCCCGAGATATCGATCGATGACCAGGATTCTATCTTGGAACTTCTCTGCAGGTATGCTCGCCTATTAGCTCTTTCAACATGACGCAAGAGAAGAGCATTGCGTTGACTCACAAAAAGTAAATTGACTAACTGAAGAGCATTGAAGCCTCCTGAGCCCCATCGGGCAGCATCGTAGGAGTCACGTTAAGCCTTCCAATGGAAAGCGTGCTGCCAAAAGGGAAAAGAAAACGGCCACCAAGTTAGACGGGCCGGTGAATACGGCCAAGTTACCCACGTCACGAAGTTTGGAACTCGGTGCAAGTGTAGATATTGGCTTTAACTCAATCACCAAAAACCTTGGATGCCTAACAAAGCCATCTGAAGCGGGAAATCCCTCCCCCAAGGAATATGCTATGGTGTTCGTCGCTAGAGGCAGCCAGTCACCAGCCTTCAACCACCATTTCCCGCAAATGATTGCCGCCGCGTCTCGAAATTTGCCCGAAACGGAAAAGATACGGCTTGTGGGCTTCTCAAAGCCTTGTTCAGAGAGAATAGGTAACACACTCGGTATTCCAAGAGTCTCGTCGATTGCCATCTCTCGGCATGCCCCGGGGGCTGAGGCGCTCTTGGCCGTCGTCGAGAATCTCGTCGCGCCGGTCGATTCACCTTGGCTGAGCGAAGTGCCCAACGCCGAGTACAAGACAACCCAAATAGCCTCTGTGGAAACAACTATAGGAACGAAGCGCGTGAAATAGTACAAAAGGAAAATGCTGTCTTAGCAAGCCAGTCCACGGTTGCTTTGGTATCAACGACGTGAGTATTCTCTGATGAGCAGCGCTGATATAGCGAGTTTGGAGACTCGCCTTTTGTATATATATTTATATCCCAACATTGCTGATCAACGGCCACTAAAGCAAACCTCTAGATAGGTGGATAATGGTAATTTAAACCAAGTTTTGTATCAATATTATCGATAATTGCTGCATCTATAGGCTGAGAGTCACCTGGGCCTTTGAAGCTCGCTATTCTCCAGCTTTGGTGTTTGCCATTTCCTCATTCCCATATGCCCATATTTATCATGCTTTTGCACACCCCACGCTTCTTGACTTGCATGGCGACCGTCGCGTCTGACGTGTCGCACAAAGTGGCTCTACAGGGTTGCTGCATATACTCCAGATGGGTCCTGATGCATGTGTTCAACGCATTCACTGTTCTTTTCCTGATGCGCATAGAGGAATTGCCCGTGCATATTAACACCTGCTGCCAGTTGCCAGATTCACTTCCCTACATGTACACAGGCGGCGGCTGTCACGCCTTCCGTGCCGCCACCAGTCACTTACTCCCGTCTCTTCTTCTTCACTTTTTCAACACCGTTCGCATTCGCATTCACATTAGCATTTCCTTTCTTGCTCTTTGCAGCACTGCAGCTTCGATAGCAGTGGATTGTGGCTCTGGATTTGCTCATAATCTCATCCGTTTTGAACTTTTCTCCGGTACAATGAGCGGATATAACGATCCGGAGATGTTGAAGGCGGCCATCGAGCTTGCCCAGAGTTTTTCAAGGACCAAGGGAGGCGGGAAGAATAGAGTTGGAGGCGGTGGCATGGGAAGCAGAAAAGAGAATTTTGAACCTCACCAGCCAAGACAGCAGAGTCGATACGGCCAAGTAGCAGCACCGCCGCCCCAGACTTTCACTCCCTCTGCGCCACCACTTCGCCCGTTGGCTCCGCCTCCAAGCAGGCGAAATTACGGTGGTTCTGGAGACTTTGCGACTAGAAGAGCTGCATGTCGTCCCGTTATCGGTAATTTGGGCAGAGACTTTTTGATTGCCTCTGGTGTCAAGGCTGAGCTTGAGCCACCAAGTAAGTTGCCATCTTCAAGCAGCCATCACAGATTGCTCAAGACATGGAAGAACGGAGATACTGATTATTCTTAGAGGATAAGAAAGCTACTGGAAACCCCGTCCCCGTATCTGGCCAAGAATCTCAGAAGGGCCCTCTAGCCGACAAGAAGAGCAATGGGGGAACAACGAAGCCTGAGCCTTTGTCCACCCCACCACGATCCTCCGGCAATGGCCAGTTGGAAAACATCCTTGATGCTTTCTATGCCATCCTAGATAAAAAGCCGAGTATTGGCCAAGAGATTGACACCTTGGCCGAGGCGTTATCCAAAGTAGACTTTAGCGACTTAGGCACGTCCACTCTGGATACTCCATCCGTCAAAGAAAACGCCAAATCTAGCAGCCGTCAATGTACCTGCCAGGAGCTCGATGGACAAGGTAAACTTTGAGCGCAAATGCACTCTCCATGAAGTTAATGAGCTAATATGCATTAGGCAATCATGAAAAACGATGTCCTCGTCATGAGGCGCAAGAGAAGAAGGTCAAGGAAGTTGATGAAGCAGGAAATAAAAATGAGATGAAAGCAAGCGTCGCAAAGGTCAACAATTCAAAGGTTACCGATAAAAAGGCCAACTACACCAAAGCTACCCCTCAGATCCCAGACGATGATGTCGATGTTGACGGTGACGTTGACGTTGGCTATGAGCCAACCAGCGGCCCTGCGTATACGCATTCACGCAAACTCTCTCCTGTTGCCCCGGTCTTTGTGCCTAGGGCTAACCAAGATCTAGGACAGGCTACGGATATAAATGGAGAGAGTAGCTCTTCCATAAAACAATCAACAAAAGGGCTATCGGCTTCGATGTGGGCATAAGGACAGCTATAGAAGCTTCTACTGCTTCAGCCATCTATGGCGTGAGGACACGTAAGGACGTCAATTTTCTATGGATAAGATTATCTATCATCTTTTGGGGGCTACATGCTACGCGAGTTGAGATACTATAGGCTTAAATCATAGCTTGATAGATGATTTGCCGGAGTGGGCTCAGAGAGGAGCGTAATAAATTTCAACGGTCTATTGTCTCGGCATTGATGGCCACTGCAGTGCAGTTATGCAGATTATATACCCAATTGCTCATCTAAATCAACGCTTTTCTCTCATCTCCCCACTATATAAGTGATTATAATTATCAAGGCAAAGTCTTTACTAGCAGCTTCACCCCTTCTCTAACCTTGGGCGAAAAGTGCTTCTTCAGAAGCTCACCCTCCCACACCGTCGCGGCAAACGGATTGCTACCCTCGACCGTGTCGCTGAGCGCGTTGTGTTTTCCATCACCCTTGCGCTCCTCTGTATTCCACAAGCTGGCAATCTTCTTGCCGTGTGTGTGCGCCATGTCGTTGAGCAGGCCCAGTGTAGCCTGGCAGGACTTGTCGGGGAGCTGTAGAGCGGCCGTCATGAGCTGCTTGGTGAAGGCGGCGAGCTTCAGGGGCGGCACGGAGCGGACGTTCCAGGCGGGCAGCAGGATGGCGGTTAAGGAGCGGAGGAGCAGGACTGTGGTTGTCTGGACGTTGATCTTGGAGGTGGTTGATGTGGTGTTGGCGATCTTTGTGAGTTCGAGATCCGGGTGCACGGAGAGGTTGAGGAGGGAGGTGAAGAGGTGGGTTGTGAAGTAGGTGAGGTCGAGGTGGAGATTGTTGCGAGAGTTGTGGGCGTCTTGGCCTTCGAGGAGGGCAAAGGCCGTGACGGTGCAAAGGAGGGCCTCGCGCGTCAGGTTTCGCATGGAGACGCTGTCATCGTCCTCGTTTTGGGCGGCGAGATCGGCATCGGCGTCGTCGTCGCTGTGGCGGATCAAGTCCTTGAGCGCTTCGAGTAGGTCACCGAAGAAGTCTTGGTTGATGAGATGGGCGTACTTGGCCAGGCCTTCGAGAACGGCTCCCATGAGATGAGGAGCGCGCATCTTGAGGATGCGAAAGTAGGTTGCGAAGACGAGCTTCAGCGTCTCGGATTGCATCTTGTCTCGCTCCTCGTGGTCGACCATGGCGTCTGCGGCGGCCATGTCCTTCTCGAGAGACTTTTGCTCCTTCTTGGCCTTTCGCTCTCTCTTGGAGCGGTATTCCCACTTCTTCTTCCTGATTGTGCCGGTTCGCTCGACTGCGTCTTGTGAGGCTTTGCCGGCGAACTCGGAGAGAAGGCGGAGGCTGAGGAAGAGGTTGACGACGCTCTCGTCCACTTCGTATTCCCGAGCCTTCATCATTTTTGAGAGTAGTGAAACAGCCTCCATCGTTGGCTTGCCGTCCTCATCTTCGCGGAATAACGTCTCCAGTGCTTTGAGACACTTGACGGAGCTGCTATCAATCTTCTTCCTGCTCAGCTTATTTACCAAGATGCGCAAGAGGTCGGCACGGAAGTTGAAGTGCGGAACCGCAGCTATCAGGGTGCAGGCACATGTGATGGCAATGCCCGCAACATTTTGCCCTCCCTTGACGGGATTTGTGTCTAGCTTGGCGCACCGGGCCAGCTCCTTTACGTAGTTTTGATAGCCAAGGACCAAGGCCTGCTCGAATTGTCGCAGCGTGCGCACATCCTTGGAGACCTTTTCTGTTGGGTCGTTTTCGGTGGCAGGTCTGATGCGGTATCCGGGGATGATGTCTTTATAAACTGACATCTGCGTCATGAGAGCCAGCATCTGGATGGCAGGGATCTGCGACTCGCCAATGGCAGCGATGGTCTTGAGCGAGCCGACATGTTCCTCAGGGTTCTCATTGAGCGATGTGGCCAGCTTGGCCAGCTCTTCCTGTGCCTCTCGTATCTGCTGAGCCTCAGAGACGGTGGGCGCCTCCTCTTGCACCTCCTCCTCGACTTCTGACTCGATATCGTCCTCCCGGCCCTCGAGCCATTCCGTGTCGCTCTCAACAGATACCAGGTCCTCCTCCTTCTCGAGCTCGCGGAGAATCTCTAATCGGCCGTCGGCCGTCTTGATTGGCAGCTTGGTGCTCTCCTTGTCGGCCTTCTTGCTCTTGCGGCGGCGGTTTGCGTAATCGTCTTCGAGGTCCCAGTTTGACGCCTGCTTGAAGAAGTCTTTCTGGACATTCCTGGATGCCGTGGCTTGCGCCTCGTCGTCCGAGGAGTCGTGAGCCAATTTTCTTCTTTTAGTGCCGTTGATCGCCATTGTCGCTTTGTGATCTCCCGAATCTGGGAGAGATTGATCGAGGCGAGGGTAAAAAGTTGGATTTGGATGTATTCCACGATGCGGGCGCGGCTTCATCTGCGGTGGACGATAAGGCAATCTTCAAAACTTTTTTTCTAGCCAATCTTTGTTCATCTAGACGCCCCAGACGTGAATTTAGAGATAGCTGACCCATACTTATGAAGATAGTGTCCAATTAAAAAAGGGTGATAAGGGGTCTATCTAATCAAAGGCTTATCAAAGTACCGTGGACGCAGTAAAAAATTCCCAGTACCCGCTAAAATTTTCTAACAACTGGTTCTGCCAAATGCGACCCTCCGTCTTGAATTTTACAACCCGCCATTCTCCCACTCATAGCTCGCGATATTCGACAACCGAAGCGCAGTTACAATGGGGTTCTCAAAGCCCCCTGTCCAGTCGCTCAAAATTGCCAACAAGCTGAAGCGCAAAGAGCTGTTTGTCGCCCACAAGAGAGCATCCGGCAAAGAACGCCACGAAGAGCGACACCGTCGTAGAAAGGAAGAGAGCCGGAACCCAGAGCTCAAGGCGGCACGTCTTACGAAAAATGTCCCCCGTACCTTGGAGCATAAGCGAGTTTGGGACGATGTGGACGATGACAGTCTTGGAGCGGTGGTTGATCTTGAGCAATTGAAGAGGAGACGCATGGAGCAGGCTGAGAGTGAAGAGCGAGCGGCGATTGAGGCGGCGGAGAAGATGGACGAGGACGAGGTCGAGGACGATAATGACAGTATGCTGGATTCGGACGAAGAAGAGGACGAGGAAGCGCGAGAGGCTAGACTGGAGAGACAGCGAGAGAAGAGAGCCCAGAGAGTCCCCAGCATTGCTCCTTCAACAACAAGCACGAATCTTGACCTCACGCCGACGTCGCTGGCTCTCAAGTTCCCCTCGCTCTTCACCGACGAACCCCCTCCCGAACCCAAGATCCTCGTCACCACCTCTCTCAACTCCACCCTTCATGACGAGGCGCATATCCTCACCACCCTCTTCCCCAACAGCAACTACGTTCCGCGATCATCCCACCGCTACGGCCACAAATACTCTCTCCGCGAAATCTGCAAGTTCTCCGCCGAACGAGGCTACACTGCCGTTATCCTGATGAAAGAGGACCAAAAGAAGCCCACGGGTCTTTCTGTCGTGCATCTTCCCAAGGGACCGACATTCCACTTTTCAATCTCCAACTGGATCGAGGGCAAGAAGCTCCCCGGTCACGGTAACCCTACGAACCATTATCCGGAGCTGTTGTTGAATAACTTCAAGACTCCGCTGGGTCTCCTTGCGGCAAAGCTCTTTCAGACAATGTTCCCGCCTCGACCAGAATTTGAGGGTCGACAGGTTACCGCATTGCACAACCAGCGAGATTATATCTTTGTGAGGCGTTTCCGATACGTTTTCCGTGATAAGCGTGCGACGGAGAAGAGCGTCGTTGATGCTGAGGGCAATGCGCTTAAGGGTGTTGAAGGTATCCGAGCGGGATTGCAGGAGTTGGGTCCGCGGTTTACGTTGAAGCTAAGACGTGTAGACAAGGGAGTTGGACGAGCGGGAAGCGAAGGTGATGATGCGATTCAGTGGGAGTGGAAGTCCAAGATGGAGAAGGATCGGAAGCGTTTCAATCTGTAAAATCACTTTTATCACTGAAGCGGCGTTATTTGTATTCTTTTTATGTTCTATCATGTTACAGTTATCTATACACATAGATACGTACACTGGTTCCTTAGTTGATAGATTCGTCTAATGGCATCTCCTTTGCCCGTATTGACCTTGTATCACATTTTCGCTATAGCTGGGGCTCCACATCCCGCAAGTTTCTGCCTCTTATGCTTCAGCATGATACATGAGTACCTATTATGTTAGCTTTCAATGATATATGCCTGTCCTCTAGGTTAGTTTCGGTACTTACATGGCGATGCCTGTTATCGCAATCACGACTCCAAGCGCCGATCTATCGCTAATCGGACGGCCAGACAAGATCCATCCTAGGCCCACGATGGTGCAAGTTTTGATGTGGCCGACAACTGTGCTGGAGACGGGGCCGGTCTGCGCCACAATGTAGAATTGAGAGATGTTGACGAGTGAAGCAAACACCATTGACTAGAAGTATAAGTTCAAATCCGTTAGCAGAAAGTTAGAAAGGAGTGAAGAGCATACTGCGATGACGAGCATCTCTTTGCTCAAAGAAGACGGCACATGTGTTGGTAGAAGAAATTGATCAAAGAAAGGGATAGAGAGGAGAAGAAGACAGCACGCCATTGGTGCTTGGACGTAGAGGAGCTGCATGCTGTTCATGTTGAGCTTTCTGTGATAGGCGGCAATCCAGACTGTATAGAGTGACGAGGCAAAGATGCCAGTGAAGGCAAATACGATACCCAATGTGGAAGTAGTTTTAATGGCTTGATCATCTGCTGGAAGAGAATCGTAGTACGTGACCATGCCTACTCCCAGACAAGCTGGTATCAACGATAGTATAGCACTTCTAGGAAGCACTTCGCGATATAGGACGAAATTCATTATGGCAACCGTCGGTGTAAGCAGTATTCGAGCGATCTGGTAGAACGTAACAGTTGAGTAGGCTAAAGACAGGTTTGGAAGAATGACGTTGAAGCACATTGCCGTAGCCAGGGGCATGACGTGCCGGACGAGAGCTGGACGAGGCACGAAGACGCCAATCGGTGATCGGGACAGCACGAAAAGCGTGAGCCAGGTCATGAGGAAATGCATGGCAGCAAAGGTGAGCTGGCACTGCCTCCACCGGGGCTCCGAAAAGATGGCCTTGTTGGTGAAAACCTGTAGACGATGCTGTTAGCAGAATTCCAAGATGCTTTCTTTTGGGAGATGACTTGCGATGCCGACTGTGGCCAGCGTGTTAACGACCATCCAAACGATGGCTTGGAATGGACTAGAGGTAGACTTGGACTCGGCTGATCCATCTTGAGGCGTAAGGAGTCCAGGGGACGGACTTCCAGACCCTTCTTCATCTCTTGACTTTTCGAGGTCATGCATTTCGGCGATGTATGTATATGGTGCCAGCTGCTAACCTTGATGGAGCGGAAGATGCTGGAGATGAGGCCAAATGCGACGGTTCTAGAGTGGGGTCTGTCGAAGCTGTGACTTCTTCTCTTTTTGTAGAAGTTTTGGGTAGAGTGGCTTTTTCTGTCAGGAGTAGAAGAATTCGCTGCGGCGTATGCTTGTCATCACTACATGGAACGCACTTTCCATTTGACATCCTTCCACGACAAAACGCCAAATATTAGCATTTACGGCACATTGTTTCTTTTTATTTTCTTCTTCTTTTTTTTTTTTTTCTATAGTAGAATTGCTAATGAATATCGTTCTGAGCTATGATGACGGTAGTTGAGTAGTTGAAGGAACTTTCACATGCGCGTAGTTCAGGGAAATAATGCCATTGGCTCTGGATATATATGCCCATAGGGTGAGTACCTATCTTTTCACACCTGGAGCGTGTATTACAGGGATAGCGGTGTGGAAATTCAGTGGATGCGCTGTCATGGGATTACAGCAAAATTCTTAGAAAGTAACACAATTAATAGCTGAATTTCTGTTTATTCATCTATCTCAACGAGTGTATCTGATAACTCCCTATCCAATACTCAAGGAATGTGTCAGCCTAGTACCTATAGATCCTCTCTTCTTGGTCAAAGCTAGTAGTGACCGTGGTGTCCTTGATGTCCTTGATGTCCTTGATGCCCTTGGTATCCTTGATGTGCCTGATGTTCTTGATGTGTTTGATGTGCCTGATGTGTCTGATATTGTGTCCCTGGCTCTTCTTTATACGCATATGCCAATGCTCCTCGAATTGGCAAGTTCTTCTTTGCATTCGCAGGGATAGCTCCCGTCACAAAAGCAAGATTGACACCCGGTCGGAAAAGCAAGCAGTGCGTGGAGCCACCGTGATGGAACGTACCAATCTCCTCTCCCTTCTCGACCGTCGCGGGCAGATTTTTGCTGCTGAACTTGTCCAGAATGTCACAAGACGAGACGTCGGCCATTCCAATGTAGATTGCTGCCATGAGGCCAATTGGCTCTGGGGCCTGGATGAAGAAGATGGCTCGCGTGGCGATGTGGCTGATGTAACCCTGGGCAAGATCAGGAGCAGCTCGATCAGGGCCTTCGGGTGCGGTGAAACCGGTGATGGTAGGCTCTGAGAAGTATGTGCCGTCAACAACCTCCGTGTGGACAACTTTGCCAGAGACGGGCGAGTTCCAGCGGTGGTAGGAAGTGGCGCTCAAAAAGGCCTGATAGACGGTGCCGCCAACAAACTGGTCTGCTTTTTCATGCCCGTGAAGCATCTCTTTTACAGAGTACGCCTGGCCTTTGAGCCAGAAGGAGTCATACTCTTGGACGTTTGACTGGAGGGCAAAGGGTTTGGACTCGCACGAATTGGCTACCCACTGTGGCTGGTCTTTGAAGGCAACCGGGCGGATCTGGTCCATGTTTCTGAATTCACGGATAAAGAAGCTGTCCCAAGATTTGAAGCCCCAGTGCTCGGGGTCTCCCACAGGATCGCACTTGAAGATTTGCTCAAAAGTCAGCTCTTCGCCGACGACGTTGGTGTCGTTTTGGATGTGCACAAGAGACTCTTGGCTCAGCCATCCGTCGGGATTGGTGGTGATGACATATTTGGACTTTTCAGTCATCAGAACATCCTGCTTCCAAGTGTCAAGGATCACCTTGAGCTTTGCATTGACCTCTGCCTTGAGAAAGAAGGCGTATCCGCTGCCTGTGCCCATGGGCCAGTCCAGGATAGCGTTGAATGGAAAACCAATCAAGCCCACATCATATTCGAGCTTTTTCCACGACGGGGCCTTGTGGTTCATGACAAACTCGAATACTTCGAGCATTTCTTGGTAGCTTTCAATCTGCTTGTTTCCTACAGGGTCTTCATTGTACGGTGCCTTGTCGGGGACTTCGTCAAACATGGCCTGGGCCAACATTCGAAGCTCGGCAGTGCTCTCAATGAGATCTTTGAGATCCTGGATGGGCTCGCTCAGCATCAGCTTGCCGCGTGGACCAGATGCCCTGTGCTTCTTGACCTCATCCATGAGATCACGCAGATAGCCGACGACAAGATTGGGGTCCCTGGGCAGCCAGCCGCCTACCCGATGGGGCCTTTGATGGCGGCGGACAGGGAGAGGCACCAAGGTAGTCGTCATGATGGTTGGTTGATGATGGGCTTATCTGAAGTCGCTAACTTGTAAAAGATGGACTACTTTGCTAACTGCTTGGTAGTAAATTGAAATAAGTTTTTGAGCACGAGATCGATATCTATTCGGAGTATTTATAGACAAATGTCTGCCCCGTCCAGACACAACTCTTCTTGTCTGAGTGATGTAAGACTCAATTTCTCCTCCCCTCCCCTCTTTCACCAATGCAGTGAACTGCATGTATCATCAGACACTCAGTCGTCATCTCCCCGCACGAAGTATCGTCCTTACAGACAAAAAGCCCAACAAGTCGTCCAATCCTTTATGCACGTTGCAGCCGAAGACGCTCGTCCTGGGCAAGCGATTGGCGTGTTAGCCCTGATGTGATATTGAGCAACGACGCCTCTTACGCATCTCATGTATGTCTCAACAACGTGACTGGCTGCTAGATATGCTGGACGGACACTCATGTCGCAGATGCTGAGCGGGGGAGGGGCTGATTGTTTGCCTACGATAATTGCTCTGCACATGCATTACCATGTATGCCGTGCACCCAATATATTGAGCTGCAAGTCTCGGTCAACGGCCAATGCAACGCCGCTAGGACCAGGCTGCAGGCGGCAGGGTCGGTATATGCCAATCATGGTGCAATATTCTCCGGTGACGGCAGCCGAGTCTAAGCAGCTGCACTGGCCATTGGCTTGGCGCTTTCATGGCGTTGACTACATGGATTTTGAGCAGCTGAGCTGTGCACAAGTTTCATAATATTTGACCCGATAGAGCAGACGGCATACAAGCTGTGGCCGTCGTGGCTGCAGGCTGTCCAATGGCCGAGTCGAATGCCCGCATTCCTGATTCAGCAAGTATGCACAAGTATGCTGTGATCCTACGATTTTCATGATCTGTGGCACAACAGGTGTATGGAGGAGACGCCTGAGGCATTGTACGCGTGTGTCGTGAAAGCAAGATTGAACTCAGCTCGGTGCGACCAGGACCCTGATGAGGATCGCTCTGATATGTGTCGCGGGGCCAGGATCTCTGCTTCTTCTCCTTCCGTTTAATAAGTGAGGATCAACAAATTAGATGCACTCAATTTGCGTTTCAAACAGAAGAAACATGTTGCCCTGCATGGAACGTCCCCACCCCGGATTATTGCCCATGAAAGAGCCTAGTACAAACTTGTAGTTATCAGTGAGGTCGTAACGACCAGGTCCACGATACGAATTTTTTTTCCTGATACGATCCAATAGCCAAATTGCTTAAAAATGCTTAATCCCCTCGGTCCAGGGTCGGGATCCAGTGCTAAGCTGGCAGCCGCGCCAATACAAGTACACGCTTGACACGATCAGGCAAATGAGGTTACTTCTGGTGTGGTGCCCGCCAATTTGCACCTCCTGTCGATCCACGGCGGCCACACGCTTGCGTCGTTTCGGCAGCTTTGCCCATGGGAGGATCCGAAGCCTAGCACCGGCCTGGGCCTCGAGCTCCATAATCGCGGCATCTGCCATGTCCAGCGCTGCGAGTAATCAATGCAGCTCTTGCGATTATGCTTTGGTGCCTGTGGGAAAAAAAGAACGCTTGTGGATGACGTACTCAGGCACAGATTGGAGAGTGGCAAGGTACCCGGTAGGAGTCTCTGCCTTGTGGGAACCGCAGCCGGGGGCCTTTATGCGCGTCACTACCCGCTCTATACTTACAAGCACATGTCGTTGTAGGCTATAGGCCCAGTACCTCGCAGGTACTCACGCCGACTCAGCGGGTCGGGCTGGCCAAGAAAGCATCCGCGCCATGCCCGTTGCAGACAAGGCGCTGGTGAGACGTTCCCACCCCATATCGCAATTAAAAACAGCCAAAGCAATCACGAGCAGAACTGGCTGATCGTCTGCAAAGAGTGGATTCGGCCAGTGCTAGCAGCAGCGACGAGGCCGATGCGCTGCTCGAGTCGTTGAAACGAGGTTGACGGGCCGGAACCCCAGATGGAACAAACCCTCTCCTGCGGATGCGCCGTCATCACCGCTGCCACCGCCGCTTGTCTGCTCAGTCGCTGCAGCCGTCCAGAGGGGCAGATCCGATCCGATCCTCGCACGAAGCGCCGAGACTGAGATTCAAACGGACCGAGCAGTCGGCGCCTTGTCCGGGAGCGCGAGCGCTATAACAGAAGCCTTGCCAACGCTGCGAGCGCTGCGACGAGCTGCGCGTCAGCCAATTTCGAGGCTGGCAGATGCTACACTGGACGCGGCTCACGGAACAAAACCTGGCAAAGGCGAGTGACGTTTGGGGCCTGCGCAATATAAACCGCCGCTGGCGCCTGCCCGTCTGGAGCCAGTGATCGCTTCTGCTTGGATCGACACCGTCCGCCATTCTGCGCAAACTCTCCCCCGAGGAAACCGCAGCCCGTGATATGAAGCGGCTGCTCTACGGCCTACACCCGAGCCTCTGCCGCTGCTTCTCCCACTCGCCATCGCCAATGTCGTCGCCAGCGTCGTCGCCGGCAGCCTCGTATCCGGCCTCTGCGGCGTCTTCCTACTATTCGTCGTCGCCCTCGTCGCCGCACTCTTCAGACGCCGCGCCCTCATCGCCTTCGTCGCCCTCATCGCCCTTGCAGCGGCACGCCTGCAGCCAGCATCCATCGCCCGGCCAAGCGACGCCGGCTGTGAATATGAATTCCGCGAGAAATCCCGAGCCACTCATGGCCTCTGCGCTTCACAAGCCTGGCTGGAGACCCACGGTCAAGACCGCCGTGGCCAACGGTATGCACGCACCTCCCAATCTGGCAAAAAACAGCCTCTCACTCCTCCTCGCCCAAGATAGGGAAGCTGATCCGTGATGATGTTTAGGCGCCATGAATGGCCATCGCAGCTACTTCCAGGAACCTGACCTCTGGCAGCAGGCGCCTGTTCTCACAGGCACCACCCAGTTCGAGCCTCGTGAAGGCGTCAGGAATATCATGATTACAGGTGGAGCGGGCTTCATGTAAGTTTTAATGGCGTACCACACATCTGCCAGCCCACGTTGCGGCTCAGTGCCACACCTGCCGCCCTGCATATGCATGACTAACTTTTGCCGTCATTCTCAAGTGCTTCCTGGGTTGTTCGCCATCTCACCTTGACATACCCTCACGCTTACAACATTGTATCGTTTGACAAGCTCGATTACTGCTCTGCTCTGAACAACACCAGAGCCCTCAATGACAAGCGCAACTTTACTTTTTACCATGGCGACTTGACAAATCCCTCCGAAGTCCTCGACTGCATGCAACGCTATCACATTGACACGGTGATGCACTTTGCAGCTCAGTCGCATGTGGATTTGAGCTTTGGCAACTCTTATAGCTTCACCCACGCGAACGTCTATGGCACGCACGTTCTTTTGGAGAGCGCCAAGAAGGCCTGCGTTAAACGGTTCATCCACGTGTCGACTGACGAAGTTTATGGCGAAGTGGGCCATGGCGAAGATGAGCTGCAGGAAACCAGCATCCTTGCCCCAACTAACCCCTACGCTGCAAGCAAAGCAGCTGCCGAAATGATGGTCCACTCCTATCACAAGAGCTTCAAACTACCCACCATTATTGTGCGCAGCAACAATGTCTATGGCCCGCACCAGTACCCCGAGAGTAAGTTTGTCCATATCAAGACAATCAAATCGTATACAATCCAGTCTAATTCAGTCATTTAGAAATTATCCCCAAATTCATATGCTTACTTAACCGCAAGCGCCCTGTCGTCTTACATGGCGACGGCAGCCCCACTCGCAGATATCTCTTCGCCGCGGATGCTGCAGATGCTTTTGATACAATACTTCACAAAGGCCAGGTTGGCCATGTGTACAATGTTGGCTCCACCGATGAAATCTCCAACCTTGAACTATGCGGCAAAATCCTGTCAGCCATGAACATCACTCATGATACCCCAGAGCAGTTTCGGAAATGGGTCAAGTACACCCATGATCGACCGTTCAATGATTGTCGGTATGCTGTTGATGGTTCAAAGCTACGAAACTTGGGATGGGACCAGAAGACGACGTTTGAGGAAGGACTGCAGATGACAGTGGACTGGTACCGCCGGTTTGGCGAGCAATGGTGGGGAGACATCAGCCATGTTCTCACCCCATTTCCCATTGTTAGCGAAGGAGAAGTGGTGCCGGATGTCGAGCATTTTGTCAAAGATGACCCTCCAACACCTGTCGAAGCTTACCCAACGAATGGCAATGGCGTATCTCAAAAGGCAAGCTGATTTTGTCGGCATTGCCTATCAAGCGATATATTTATACCACCCCGCGTATGGTTGCTAATTTTGATTCAAGACTTGAACGTGCTGATCATTTGGGCGAATGTGACTTAAGATGGAACGGAGTTTACGGATATTACGAGCATAAGAGAGGCGCGCATAGCACCCACAGCAGATATTATACCAAGTTAGAGGAATTTCAATAAACAAATATAGACAGTTAACATTATCATCATTGTGTGTTTAATACGTCTGTACACCCGTCTTGGCCGCGTTAAGCAAGCTAGCTATCAAGCATCTCAAGTTCGCTACGAAATCACCAGCGTAAAGAAGAAAACACGCAAAATCTGCTCAACATCCACCACCGCCGCCGCATCCTCCGCCGCCGCCGCCACCTCCACATCCTCCTCCTCCTCCACATCCACCGCCTCCACAGCCGCCGGAGGTGCATCCACCAGCTCCTCCGCCACAGCCAGCCTGTAGGAATCGTCTGGTTAGTCATGATGGAACAGGAGATCAAGGATTGGAAAGACACGAGAAAATGACTTACAGCAGCGCATCCTCCTGGACCTCCGCAGCCACCGGCAGCAATGTTGCCGTTGCCACAGGTTCCGACGGCGCAGTTTGCCCAGGCGCCTTGTCCTGAGGAGATGTAGCACGGGTCCCAGCCGTAGTAGAGGCCGGGGGTGAAGTAGATGGGATACATGAACGGACCGTACACTGAATTGGATGTTTGGGTCAGTTCACACGCAATAGCGAGGTGTAGCATGGAGAAGATATGACTACCTACTGTAATACGGATACCCCCAGTTTTCATAGTACTGATCCCTGGCTGGCAACGTCCTGCCCTTCTTCTCGGCCCGCTTGCACGCCTTCTTGTAGGCCTCGTCGAGCTTCTCCTGTTGCCGGACGCGGGCGTGCGCGCTGACAAAGGGGTTGGTCTCGAGCGTGCGGATGGAGTTGTGCGCCGAGATGTGGGCCGAGTTGTCGGGCGGGCAGAGGCTGGCGGAGCCGGAGGCGTGGAAGGAGTCTGCGAGTTTTTGGGAGGAGGAGATGTTGAGGAATTTGCCGATTTTGGAGCATTGCGATTCGCGGACGGCTTTGTTTTGTTAATTTTCTTCTCTCTCTTTGTCTTCTTGATGACAAACTCTCTTTGTGGGAGGTGGGAAGAGGAGAGATGATTTGAGGGGAATAGGGGGGAGAAGAGTTGTTTTGACTTACCTTCGCAGTACCAACATGTGCATTCGCTGTATACTTCGTTGTAGAGGCTTTGATATGTCTTTGTAGTCCATTCGAATGCTTCACTTAATGCGTTTTCGTCAATCTTGTCGTCGTGGTCGATGAATTTGCCAGTCAACCTCATCGTAAAGGCGTAGTAGTCTCTCGGTGTGAGTTGGTGTGTATGCCAGGCCAAATCTACATCCAGCGTAGGAACGGCCATCTTGTCGGGATGTTTCTTCATGATTGTGATGAAGCGGTCGTATTTGGTGATGAGGCGGCTCATAGTGGCCCTCGCAGCCGGGCTGTGAAGCCAGTCGAGCTTGACCATCTTGTCGATGAAGACGCCCTGGCGCATGACGGCGCCGCACAGGTCGAGGGCAAAGGGCGAGAAGTTTTCCCAGTAGCGGCTCATCATCTTGCGGGTGGCCACTTTGGCCTCGCGCGGGAGGATGGCGCGTCGTGCTCGGGAGTAGTTTCCGTAGAGCTTGCGGATCACTTGGCCGTCTTTGGTGGCCTTTTCGATGAGTTCTCGCACGTCGACCATGGACGGGTGCTGGGCTTGGGGGTTGATGAGTTCGAGGATCTTGGAGCGGAGTTCGAATTGGATCAAGCGGTTGGGGAATGTGCGGGAGTAGATGATTGAGTATGGTGGCTCGGGCACGATTTCTGGCGTGCCGGAGACCATGGAGAGGATTGTACCGGGCATGGGGACGGATTTGCTGAGGACTAGGGAGGAGTCTTTGATGAATTTGGAGAGGGAGAGGACTTCTTTGGTGATGGTCTGATGGCAGCTGGGGCAGGTGTGGGAGAAGTTTCCGTCGCCGTAACCGTTGCCGATAGTGCCTTTTGCTCTATAAGTGTTTGTTAGCAGTGGTGAACTCGAGCCATTATATATAACGGATTTGCATAATAGAGTTGTGACAACAGTACCTTTCTGACTCCGAGGCTGTTCCGCAGGTTGTCCATGGCACCTTCAAGCCACCCTTACACCACGGACACCGGAAATCTTTGGTCATGGAGTCTGCTTGATTGTCCCAGTTGAGGCCTGTCCGTGCGACCCAGTTGGTTTTCGCCTCATCATTCGCGTTGTAGGAAAAGTCAGTGGAGATGGCATTGTTCACGGGTAGCCATGGCATGCCGGCGGTCCAGTATTCAATCATGTTGGTGCGAATGGCGTCTTCTAGGAAGGCTCTGGGGTTCAACATGTGTGCGTGCATGACCATTAGAACATCTAGCGTCCATATTAGTTCCTCGAACATATGTTATAAAAGCATGCTTTTATCTGATCATTCATGAATACTTACCCAAGGGTGGAATATTATCATCACTCCAAGGCAATGGCGCTCCACTGGTCGGGAAATCAATATATCTAGAGCCACGCGTCTTCATCATGTCCGCCTCGGTCAGCATCTCCTTTTGTCTGGTGATGGCGTTCCACCACGCCTCATATCGGTCCACGGCACGCGCAAGGAAGATGGCCCATCGCTTCTCGCGCAGACGGCTGAGCGCCAGCTTGTTCTTTTCGTCTTTGCTGAGGCTGTCCAGCTTGACTCCCGATGGCAGCGCCCCGTCGAGGATGATGTCGGTGTCCTTGTCGGCGCGGTCGTCCCATAGGCCCCAGAGGCCATCGTTGTAGCCCACGTCTTCTTTGAGCGAGTGGATGGCGTGGAGGAGCTTCAGGTGAGCTAGGGTTGTGTCTACATTGGGGATGCCGGTTGGTGGTTCGGATGAGATGGCGAGATTTGCAAATGAGGCTGTGATGTCGATGTCGCTGGGCGGATTTGGCTGTCCGTTGGGGGGTTCTGCCGCTGTGGGCGTGTAGCCCGGCGGCGCTTCGCCGTTGGCCGGCTCTCTGGTCATGGTGGACGAGCGGTATGAGAGTCCGATGAGAGTGTGGTTTTATCTGATGAAGTTGGAAGAAGAGTTTGCCGCTGCTTATGTTGGTCGAAGTTTGTGTGTTGTTATGTAGGTAGGTACCTTTATAGTTATTATAGTTACTGAGGACTTATGTGATATTATCGAGCTAGCGCCAATGTCAAGATGCGGAGGTGGCTATGAGATTGCGTTTCTATCACATGGCATCGTGCATAGCCAGCGGATAATATGAAGAAGAAGAAGAAATTGACGCATACAGCAAAGACACAAGGCTAACACGGAGGAACGTGCATGCTGAAATGCCAAGAGTTGTTCCTGTTCATGATCCTCTGCCTAAAAGACAAGGCGGCGGGTGGCGGACGATGGCATTGAAAATGATCTCCGGCTTGCATAAGCGACAAGCGATCACCAGCCCCGTCGACGTCACTCGAGGCGCAGGCGGTCATTGTTGGCGCTAAGCCGTGGATTGGTTTCTGCACTGCTAAGATATTACGGCGGCGTATCGAGGAGAATTGAGCCTAGGATCTGTATTGATTCTACCTAGACGTGGAATCTCAGCTAGAGTGTCGAATCTTGGTGGCGACCGATTGCTGGGGACTAGCCGCTTTGTTGTCACCAGTCGCTAATGGCCGCTAGCTGCAACACGACGGGAAAAGCGGGCGTACGTGTATTCAGCAGCGCTTCAATGCCTATGTTCTCCATAATTGACTAGGAAGTCCGAAGTGTGCTGTAATGCACTTGTTGTGCGAGGCTGGCGGGGAGCCTAACCATAGGACGATCAGCTTTGGCATCTCGCTTCTCGGCCGATCGTCAACACGTGCTTTGTTTGTTTGGGTCAAGCACAACTTCCTAAATCCTTTAAAGGATCGGTGGCGCAGCAAGGTAGGTATGCATGTTTGCTGCGTTCGGTGGCGTGCCAAAGATGGTCGAAGGGGTTGCTTTGGATGTTCTAGAACTGGATGAAGAACACTAGTTAGTCGACGTCAATTTCTGTTTTGGGCGCCGAAAGCCGAGATACCGCGATGCCAAGTGGACTAGGGATTCTAGGCGCTTTCGTTGTTGTAAAAGGGATAGATTTCTCTGAGCCCGTGAACGTGTAAGTCTAAACGATATGAGGCGGCCTGAGAGAAATTTTATAGGTACTTCGACAAGCGACGATGACTTGGCTCACGATTAGAGTCAGTTGTAAGTAGCAAACAAATTTATCAAGCTGTGCGACGCGTCGGAAATTTTCCAAGCAACAAAAGACTTAGATGACATAATTGGAGAGATGTTGAGATCTCTGAGAAGGACTTAAGCTTGCATGTAGTAGACACACGAGGAAATTGCAGATGTAGGCAGCCATTGATTCACAGCACCAGCAAAGCAGCACCATCACATTCATAAAGGTAAAAGGCTCTGTAAAGCGGCGCTAAGGTGAACATTACAAAAAGCAGATTTCAGGAATAAAAACCGGCAGACAACATTGAAGGTAGTGTTTTTGCATGGAAAGCAAGCCGCGATAGTTTAAAATTATAGTATTGAACCTGTGTTCTGAGGGTCCAAACGCTTATTATTACTTTTACTTGACTAATGCTTAGATGCCTCAACAGGTAGTAAACAGGAGTTATCAAGACCGCGTATGCTTGAGTACATAGAACATGCAATATTCGTTCAACTTTGATCCATTTTTGAAAGTCCTACCCCTGTCTCCCGGAATTTTTACGAACAGGTATCCGTGCTATCTTCTCTCGACACTTTCTGCACCCTGCTTCCGAATATTACTCTATTCTAGAGTGCGCGTGTCTTTTCAACTGACAAGATGCAGCCGACTCAAATACCCCACTTATGCCCTTATACCTGGTCATATCAGCCTGAATTCTGCACACAGCAAAACAAGAGGGTCAAGTCGGCTGCGCCTCAGCATCACACACGCGTCAAAGCCATATTTAGCGGGTACTTTTGTGTTTCAGATGTCTCCTTTCGGCAAGCATAAAACGTCTATATTTAACATGTTTATACCTGATATATACTAGTCCTGGCTCCTGATGGTGGTGAAAGCATCCAACCTTGTGTGACTTGATAGATGCTGCACCCAGTCGCGCACGATCAGTGGACCAACCAGGAATATGATTCGATTTCTACAAATTCTCTCAGTTCGAGATCTTTACTTAAGAAGAATTCTTTTTACACCGCTGGCACTGCTTGAATATTTCTCCGCGGGTTTTTCTTTGCGGGATTTCTCTCGGCAAGGAGACCAGAAAGGCGATTGGTGGCCTGGGTTCCTAATATATTCATAATCTGTCTTATAGTATGCCCTCCAAAGAGATTCGTACAATAGAGAATCATATAGACTCGGGATTCAGTATCTTAGTAGTCTTATTGGTGGAGAAATAGACTTGACTGGGCAGCCTCTTGGGTCTGGAGGTTGTCGAAACAATAGTAAGAGCTTCAGAGAAATGGATAGGGTTTTACATTCCTACACAAGGGTAGATATCTATACATGCAAAATATCATGCTCCATGGATTTAGCCATCAGAAGTATTTATGGGCGTAGTTGGGATACTGTATGCTTTCATGTATCATAAGTCTTCAGCGTACTGGAAGTACATACCTATGGAGCGACGATTACGGTACAGCTCTTCCGCAGCCACCGTAAATACTGAAGAAACTTTGAAAATCGATTCAATTATGGGCAATACAGATAGAAATTAAATTCATTTTTCTCACTATTCAGCAACCTCTTGTATCCACTTATATAAATAGCAGACTCACTCCTAATAAAGCGTAGGTTGAGTAATGCTAAGAGTTATGATTGGACATCTTATTCGTCCATACCACTCATATTTGAAGAGTGGTTACAGATTAGGCAATACGCAATGTTGAATAGCGTAATTAGCATGCTGTGATTATATTTACGTTGCGATGTTAGCTATCGTAAACAGCAAGGCGTGATTAATACGTGCATTGCATCAATACCTGAAGTGAACGGCGAATTGAGACTGGCAAAAGTATTGTCAATTGAGCAATAGTATCACTATAGCCATCCCGGAATACTCTCTTTGGAGTAGATAGGGTCAAACCCACAATCTATGTCCCGCATGATGATTGTTCAGGGAAGACATATGTTCTAGTAGAGATGATGATGGAATCCTCGTCTTCCTGTGATTAAGTATATAACATGGACTCAATTCCTATCACCCAGCATTGAAGCAGAGGCAGGATTAGAAAAGATAAATTACAGGGCAGGTCTTATACCACACAGTCTATTGGAATATAGCAACAGCTCCTGGTATACCTTGGATCGAAGGATTTACAAGAATGTGTGGAGTATCTGTCAAATAGACAGGGGCATATACTGCAGTAGCGGGCTGTACTGCTGAACCTTTTCTGGCCTGGAGCACACATTTCCGCTCTGAAGATCACCTCACTGAGCTTATCTCACTAGCATCATCATTATTTTTTTCCGCGGCTTAGGACAAACCCAGCAACGCGCGTAAATGGGCGCAGAACCTCGTGTTTATAAATGTGGGTGCGTGGCGCAGTGAGTAGCCTCCCAAGAAGAGAGCCGATAAACAGGCCGCGGGTGAAGCTGAGTTTTGCTGGCTCCCGGTCGCTCATTCTAAGCAGCTCGTGGTAAGAAAACAATATGATTAACCATAAAAAATAAGAATAAGGTAGGCTTCTAACGTTACTGGATAATTAAAAAGCTGCCGCAACAAGCCATAGGTCCGGGAGTGCTGCGCGGTTATATGTAAAGGATTCGGAGATAGACACATGCGCAATGGCATGGGAGAGAGTTTTTTGAGTTCTCAAAAGACCACACTAAGCAACAAGGCGGGCCACCCTGTTTGTGGCGCGGTAAGCCATGACGGAGTAGCATTGTAAAGGACGTACGCGTACGTGTATTTGGGCAAAGATTCCCTCGCTCGTATTTCGGGGCATATCCGAGATCCGGCTTCATCTTTTGTTTCTTTCTCTTGGCATCCCAGGCTGGCAATGTCTGTTCTGGGTAAATGGGCTAGGGGGTCGTTTCCTTAGATCCATCACACGTATCTGTATCTGCCGAGTACATGTCCTCTTGATACTGTTAATCTGTTTATTTTGTTTTTAGATGCCTTTCTCATCGTTTGCGTTTGTTCGTTTTCATGTCCCATGATGTTTGGCAACCAGACGCTCGCTCATGTTGGCGGTTACCTTCATCGCCGACCGAGAGTGGTGGGAGCTTTGTTTGTTGCTACTTCATTTGCACTTTATTACTTCTTCATCCTAAATGGCGCTGGCGATGCCATCTTGGAAGCCATCTACGAGTCAGGCACAACTAATCCATCCATTACTTCTATTCTCAGAACGTCGAACGAGTATCGCAGAAACCCCATCGAGCCTCCTTTCAAAGATCAGTTTTGGGAAGTCGGACAGCGGTCGAGGAATTTGAGCCAATGGATTACCATTCTGGATAGCCAATGGGGATCTAAACTACCCAAGGATGATAGACATTTGCTCGTCAACGCTATTGAAGAGACTGCCATCTCTCTCTTCCCTTTTCTTCGACCACCGGACACGAAACAAGACAACACGGCGCCACTGAGTGTCTTACGGGAATCCTTGACCAAAGGCTCAAGGGGGATTGTAATCTCCGCTGGAGGAAGTGATTCATCAGTGAGGTTTGCAGGACACTTGATTGCTTCTATCAGAGACGTCCTTGGCTGCACACTGCCTATCCAAGTTGTCTATGCCGGGGAAAACGACCTGCCGAAGCACCGCCGCGACGCCCTCTCATCACTCGATAAAACGCACAACACAGAGTTTTTGGATGTGTGGACCGTTTTTGATGATGCTGCGTTGCAGCTGCGAAGGGGGGGCTGGGCCATTAAGCCATTTGCAGCTCTGGCATCCAGATTCGAACAGGTCATTGTGCTCGATGCCGATGCCGTGTTTCTACAGTCTCCCGATGTGCTCTTTGAACAGCATGCCTACGTCGATAACGGAGCCTACTTATTTCACGACCGGCTGCTGTGGCAGCATGCATTCCAAGACAGACACCAGTGGTGGAAAGAGCAGATCAAGGAACCATCGCCGGCGATGAATAAATCTCTAGTCTGGATAGAAGACTACGCAGAAGAATGCGACTCTGGAGTTGTCGTTCTCAACAAGTCCCGGCCCGAGGTTCTGGTGGGTTTGCTGCACATAGCTTGGCAAAACACGTACGATGTCCGGGAGGAAGTCTCATACAAGATTACGTATGGAGATAAAGAGACGTGGTGGCTTGGGCTGGAGCTTGCTGGATCAAGCTATGAATTCGAGAAGCACTACGGATCGATTGTTGGATGGGCAAAGGAGGACGACATGGAGAACAAGACTGTGTGTAGCTTTGTCATTGCTCATCCGGACGAAGAGGACAAGCTGCTCTGGTATAATGGCAGTCTGCTCAAGAACAAGCTGGCAGATCCGCACAACTATGAAGTTCCGATATTTTGGATGATGGACGGGAAATGGGAAAAGGGTGGGAAGAAGGACATGAGCTGCATGGTGGATGAAAGGGCTTGGTGGCTGAGTGGTGATGAGATTTCGGTATTACAGCACAGCATTGAACTTGCCGTCCAAGTCGACGAGCTTTTAGGGCTGAACGAGCAGAATTAAGATGACTAACACTGGTTAAGGGTATTGTCATTATCATGAATAAGCCAATTGGGGAAATATGTATGGATATGCTCAAATGTGGCATAATTGTCTGTTAGGTAGTATAGGGTAAATAGCATTTGGTATTCTTGTTGCGTCGCATATCGAATATCACCGACGCACGCATTTCTTGTTGTTTCTGGGGCTGGAGTTGAAGCTGGGACCTACGGTGCCTACGCCGTGGTTGTTCTTATCTTATCAAGGGGGCCGCATAGAGTCCAATTGACTCTTATTGTCCCGCTGATTCGGACCAATAGTGGAGGGAATTCCATCAGGATTGAAAAGCAGAGGTAGCTGTTTGTGATTGTTTGCGAATATCGTGATGCGGACGGAGAGCTCCGGCTTAGTCACTGCCAAGCTTTCGCTAGCAATATCCATCGGATCGAATGCCATCCCTGCTCATATACGCCGTGCTGTCAAGGTAACAAAAAGCTGCAGCTGCACGGGAGCCTTGGCATCACGTTTATCGCGATCATCGTGCTGCAAGTTGCGGCGACCTGGTTCCACAGATGGATGCAGGAGCTTTAATCCTGCACTATTGGCCTGCCGGGAGTTTGCTGCTGCCGTGAGTGCTCACAATCACGATCCAGCAGTCTTTTATCCAATTTTCATACGCATCCTTGGTAGTTGCACTGCACTCGAGTATAAACAATGAAAACAAGAGACGGAGTGTAAAGACTGGAAAGACAAAGAACTGGTGTCGATATGCCCTTGATGCCATTGAGCTCTGCTAGCTACAGCGCTCAACGTGGGCTTCTGACAGCTGAAAGTCCCACTGAGCGAGCGCCACGTTGGCATTCGCTCATTGTGGCTGGGCCTCATCTTAGCCCCAGACAGCAAGTTGGCGGCCTTGTGCCATGTTTCGCGTGTCTCCCCACTTGCTGGCGTCAGCGCCATCTACGCAATCGGGGCCGATCCCTTCCCTGCAGGCGCATTTCCAAGATCTCCAGCTGCGGCGATCGTCGCGCTGGGACTTGGTTGATGGCATGATTCTTGCATCCCGCACTAACAAGCTGTTTCAGCTGAGACAAATATTATCATCGATGGGTTGCTAACGGGTGTTTCTTGTGGTTGCTAAGATTAGGACACTGTCTACAGGCTGCGAGAGTATCAAACAGGTGCAAAGTCAGCGCGCAAGAGTACAGACGGCACTCATCTGATGCTTATCTGCAGTGCCTCAGATGGCCCGCGCGCCTCAAATGCTGCAGCCTCAATCGCCATCATGACGAAAGCGCAAATGCCGCAGAATGCCACGGCCAAGAGAAATCCTCAGCCGCATAACGAAATAGCAAGATGCTCCATTCAAGGACCTGCACGAGCTTATCTGCAGCTCGAGCTGGAAGCTAGATCCCCACCAACTTGACTGATGCGCCGCCCTAGCTGATAAACTTAGCACTGGCTCGCATCACTAAACGTCATCGAGCTGGATGCGCAGATCCGGTTTGCGGCTGGTGTCACTGCCTCAAGTGGCCACGGCACGGTCGGCTACACAATATAGCTGAGGCCATGGCAGCGAGAAAATTGAGTTTCGATCGCTGATTCAGTCAGTGAGTGCTCTTGACCGCGGCATTGCCCAAAGCTGTGCTGTCTGCTCCCCGCCAGCAACTGATCTTGCCCGGTGCTTGGCCGAAACCTTGGCTGCCATCAACAACTGGAATCTACCTAGCCTGGTATTTCATCAACAATCACCTTCTTCCTTCTTATTCCTGGAAACTTATACGACTGAATGAAATAGTGGCTGGTGCCGCTTATACCGCCTTCTTCTTACGCAAAGCCATACTCTGCATATCGGCGCCATGAATGTCGACGACCATCCGATGGCCTCTGGGCAGAACTACAGCGCCAGGAACCGCGTGCCCAACATCCAGGAGTTTATGAACCGCCTTGATGCGGAGAAGAAGCAGCGCGATGCCGAGATCGACAACCAGCTGAAGAGCAATAAGCGCAATCCAGATGTCAAGCTTCATAAAAATGACCTCCTCGAGCGAAAGGGCCAGCGCAAAGTGCGCGATCCCGTCACGGGGAAGGATGTTGGGATTCGCGACGCCGATATGGACTTTGAAGAAGCAGTCGAAAACCCACAGGTACGCATCATTACGCCGGCTTCATAATCTCTCTTTTCTTTTCTTTTCTTTTCTCTTGATAAATAAAGAGCCTTGTTACTGACATTCTGGGCAGATGTCTGTTCCCAATGGAAACTTGGGCAAACATGCCACAATAGCCGCTACATCTCAGCAGTCCGGAGAAGAATACCGCTATGCTCAAGATGTGACTGCGCCCCCCGATCCAATCCAGGAGGGGTCAACTTCCGACGTGCCCATTCGCAGTGAGAAAACGTCCGTCTTATTCTACAAGACTCCATCTGTCAGCTATGAGCCCATGTTTACCGCCCTTGAGATGCGGTCAAATCTCCTGTGTGCCGGAATCTTCATGGGCATCGTCTTCTTTGGGAGGCTGTTTGGTGGCCGGCTGCTCGGCCTGATTCCCTTGGCCATCTGCGTCACGTCTGGCGTCCACTTGTGGGTGCAAGATTTGATCCGAAAAGGACGAGATTTGGAGTGGTCCAGTGAGCAGGAGCGTGGCGAAACCGCCACCATCAACCTGATTCCCGAGTCTGTTGAATGGATGAATACTTTCATCGGCGTTTTCTGGGGCATGATCAATCCTGAAATGTTTGCTGGTGTTGCAGATACGTGAGTAGCCATTCCCAGTTTGCCAATTAACCATACTCAAGGTGGCTAAACTTCACACAGCATAGAAGATGTCATGGCAGCATCTGTTCCCGGTGTCATTGAGCACGTCCGAGTTGCCGATATTTCTCAGGGCAGCAACCCTATTCGAATTCTCAACATGAGAGCCCTTCCTGACTCTCATGTTCAAGACATCAAAGACGAGATTCGCAAGGAGAATGAAAAGACAATGGATGAAGACGAACTCGCCGCTGTTTCCCAAGCTGGGGCATTCTACAACATGGAAGTTTCTATTGGCTACCATGCCAAGCCCTCAGGAGCCGACATCGCCTCCAAGGCCCGCAACATGGGCATGCAGATTGTGTTTTACCTTGGAGTCAAGGGCCTTTTCGGAGTTCCCCTTCCCATATGGGTAGAACTAATTGGTCTCGTTTGCACCGCACGTGTACGGTTCCAGCTTAGCCCAGAACCCCCGTTCCTCAAGACGATGACGGTCACGTTGATGGGTGTGCCCAAAGTGCAAGCCGGCTGTACTCCAATGGTCCAGACAGGTGTCAACATTTTGAACTTGCCTCTCATCTCCAATTTTGTAAACTGGGCTATCAAGGCTACAGCCTCCATGTACGTTGCTCCCAAGAGCTTGACTCTTGATATGAGCAGCATTCTATCAGGAGACGACATCAAAAAGGAAACAGAAGCATTTGGTGTCATTTTCATCAGAATCCACAAAGCTACTGGCCTTAGCAAGCAAGACCAGCGTGGCAGCAAGGGCGGTGGTTCCGACCCCTACATCACCATTAGTTGGAGCAAGTTTGGCAAGCCCCAATTCTGTACCCGAGTTATCCAAGACAACCTCAATCCTGTTTTCGAAGAGACGTGCGGCTTGCTGGTTACCAGTGACCTCATTAAAGCTGACGAGCAGCTATCAGTGGAGCTTTGGGATAGTGACCGATCATCTGCCGATGACGAGGTTGGCAAAATCGAGTTGAGCATCCAGCAGCTCATCCAGCACCCCGGAAAGATGTTCCAGCATGTGTCTACGCTGAGCGGTCTCAAACCCGATACTGTCATGCCTGGTCAACTCCATTGGGAAGTTGGATTTTTCGGAAAGACGCAGTTCCGTAAAGCGCTTCGCACTGATGGGCACAATGTCAATGTCGTTAAAGAGCTTGGCGATAGGCCCGAATTTCACGACGACTGGGGTACCATTCAAAACGAGGAGGAAGACGCCGCTGTCCATACGCCGCCTGATCCTCTTTGGCCGTCGGGTATCCTTAGCGTCGTTGTCCATCAGATTGTGGGCTTGGAGCTGGCTAATGTCAAGGGCTCACAGGGCAACCGCAAAGGCAGAGAGTATGAGCCCGCGCGCCCAGAAGCCGGCGAGGTCAAGGAAGAGCAAAGCAAGAAACTGCCGAGCTCCTACTGCACCATCCTGGTCAATGATGAATTGGTTTACAAGACTCGAACCAAGGTAGTTTCGTCACAGCCAATCTTCAACGCGGGCACTGAGAAGTTTATCCGGGACTGGCGCTCTTGCATTGTTACCGTTGGTGTTCGAGACTCTCGCAACAGAGAGCACGATCCATTAATCGGAGTAGTCCCTCTCAAGCTATCCGATATCATGCAAACCAACAGCGAGGTAACACGATGGTATCCTCTTGACGGTGGCATCGGTTTCGGCCGTATCCGTATCTCCCTCCTCTTCCGGTCTGTTGAGCTCAAGCTGCCACCTCCACAGCTGGGCTGGGATATCGGATCATTTGAATTTACCTCAGACACAATCGTCGCGGCCAACTATGCGCCAGCTAGTCACGTTCGGCTCCGATTACGTACTGGAGGCTCTACTGCCAATGTGAAGAAAGACCACTCTGTTCGTGAAGAAGGTAGCATGATTTGGAACATTGGCGTTGCCGAAGACGAAAAGAAGCTTCGACTGCCAGTACGATTCAGATATAAATCACCCGTCTTTATTGAATTCCATCCCGCCGGTAAGAGGGGTCCCGATGCTTTTGCCGCGTTGTGGCTGCTGGAGCTCGTCGACAACCAAGAGAAGGAGTTTGACATTCCTCTCTGGAAATGCAACAATCCCACACGACTATCTCAAAACTACATCACTGAAGAGAACTTTGCTTCTATCCCTGACCTGGACATTCAGGAGATTGGACGCGTTCGATTCAAGGGTCGCTTCTCTGCTGGTACCGACATGGATCATATTCGATTTGTTACCGACAGCGACTCTCGCGAAACAATTGAAACCTGGGAGGCGTGTTTTGCAGAGGGTGTACGACAACAGGAGGTCCAGCCTGAGATTCCTCCAATTGTACAAAAGCTGCATGATGAATCTTTGACGCAAGGCCGAGATGTACTTGCACATGCTGACGAGAAAGAAAAAGATCGCTGGCTTGCAAAAGATGGCACTGACTGGACCGGGGCATTTGGCCAAGACCCGCAAAACTTGATGAACAATCACATGTCCAGCGCCGATACTGAAGGACATGAGCATTTCGAGGTAGACACGGATGAGAATGATGAAGACGACGATGAGGTTCCAGAGATTGTAATGCGGAGGACGGAAACAGACCCAACATACGGCTCGGCACCGTCTGAAGGTAGTGACGACCGCCATTCCCTAGAATCGGCTGGGACTAACACTTCGCGAAAGAGCAGCGCCAGCACCGGGAGCAAGAATCCCATCAGGGCGTACAAGAATTACAAGGAGAAGAGCCGAGACTTGCACCGTAAGCAACGCGGGCTGATGCAGTGGCTTCCCATGCGCAATGCACGGTTTGCCAAGGACGAAGCCAAGTTTGCGGTGCGCAAAGTGAAGAAGATGGGAGCTTTGAATGGACGGACGCCAGATGTGGAGTCTGAGATTTAATACGCAACGTTGCTGCAAGGTTTTTCCTTTCGCTCTCTCCATCTCTTTCCTGTTATTCCTCTCCTACTAGTACCCGTTTTCTCCATCTTTTTTTCTACTGTTTGATATACTGCGGCAGATTATCTGCATCTATCATTTTGAATGGACACGGATAGGTTTTGCACGATTTATGACTTATGATGGCGCTTGGCTCTGACGACGCGCCGAGAAATTACGCTCTTTTTCTTTCATTAGGGACATACATGCATTCTCTGAAGTGAATTGTCTAAAAGGAAGTGCTTCAGTTTTACTTGTATTATTAATTATATCAAATACGCTATAGTTTATTAAAATTTCTCTACATATGGGCGAATATCCAGCTCCTGAGTGAAAGCAGATCGGTGTTGCGAGTGTAAGTGCCAGTAACTCTCGGCAATCTAAATCATGCGTGTTAGTCGTACAGTGGAGATGTAACAAGAGATTCACAAAAGCAACTTACAGCATCAGGGCTAATCTTGCCATCCTCCACGCCGTTGTTGAATTGCCTGTCCTTGCCCCAGGGGGTATCAATGCCGCCATCAATGACGGCCAGGGCCACGTGCACGCCCTTGGGGCCGTACTCGCGGGCTAGAGACTGGGTGAGGGCACGCTGGGCGAATTTACCAGCGGCGAATGTGCCGAACAAGGCGGAACCGCGGACTGAGGCGGTGGCGCCGGTGACGAGGAGAGAAGGAGGGTTGGGGGAGGAGTCGACGGCGTCGACGAGGAGAGGGAGCGTCTTTTGGGCAAAGATGAAGAGACCCTTGCTGTTGGCTTGTCAGTATATACAAGATTGTGACAACGTCATGAAGGTCTGGAACTTACGCAGCGCCCTGAAGGCTCACGTCCAGATTCTCCAGCGTCAGCTCCAAGAACGGCTTCCGGGCCATGCCGCTGCCGCCGTTGTACACGGCCGCGGCGAGCTTCGAGTCGGGCAGCTCCTTTGCGATCTGGGCAAAGGCGGCGTCGGTAGCAGCCGGGTCGGTGGCATCGGCGGTGATGCCGATGGCGGTGCCACCGGAGGCCTTGATGTCGGCGACGATGGACTCGTAGGAGGAGGGCTTGCGGGAGAGGAGGACGACGGCGTAGGATTGGGCGAAGCGGCGGGCGAGGGAGGCGCCGGTGCCGGAGCCTACGCCGGAGATGACTGCGTAGAAGGGAGGGGGGGCCATTTTGGTTTGTTTACTTTGTTTGTGATATTGAGGTTGATTGAGATGAGATGAGATATATGTGTGAGGAGTGAGGAGTGAGTGAGATGAGGGAAGAGATTGATATGGATGAAGTAAGATATTGGAGAAGGGAGTTGTGTATTATATGTATATGAGATGTGGGAATGACGATGATGAAGCAACGAATGGCGCAAGACAGGTTCTCCTCCAATCTTTATTTTCCAATAGTATAAAGATGAACGGGGGATCTCGCTGATAAATCTGCCTCACTAATTCGGTATGTCTCCGCGGGTGTGCCGTGTGGATGGCGCGGCTTATAAAGCAGGAATTAGCTATTGCGGGCGGTTTTGTGCGGGGTGGTGGAATGTTGGTTCTCTTGGGCAACTTCTTTTCTTGGCCTTGTTTTTAGTTTTTTTTTTTATTAAGCAGCTGGTTTTAGATCTCATTCAAGAGAAACGATATTCTTCTGTCACTGTTCAAGTAATTGTTCATGCGATTTATGGTTGTTGAGTTGGTGAATGGCGAGTCCGTGGATTCTTACACATGCCATTTTTGCTGCTCCTAACTGCGGGCAGCAATGGCGTCATCTTTGGAGAAACTCTGAACTTCACCAGGCCATGGAATCATTTTGCGTACGCGTACCGTACTTGTCAGAATGCAGAGAGACTCCAAAATTACTCATTTACTAATTAGTCAACCAACCCCTCCCCGTAATGCCAAGTGTTTAGTCTACGCGTAGATTGCGCTGGTGCCGGGCCGGAGCCGAACTTGGACGGCCCCACACGGCGCGGGAGCCGTACTGCCTTGGACCGACACATGCCTTTGATGAAGAATGCTATATAGAGTTTATAGAGCAGATGATAGATGTGGTTCTTTCTCCTAAATATATGCTAGTGACATACTTAATCATCTCAAATATCCTGTTCACTATGTTTTAACTACATGTTGGTAATCGCATTTGCCTTGGCACATCTAGCAGTGTCCTCCCAGGAACAATCGCAGTTCTGCCAAGCGAGCCATTAGACCCAACCATGAATAGCCATATATAGGAGCATATGAAAGACTTGAGTCATAAAAACTATACAGCCTCCAATATTCAATGACTATTAAGTGGCATTCAATGGGATTTTCAACTTCAACGGATCTTGCGAGCGCGTTTCACCATATGAGGCTTTAATTGCCCCGACACCGTTGTTACTCCGCATATGTCTAGTTTAGTTGCTAATACTGGACTCTCAACTTAATCTTTTGTTAGCATAGACGAACTATCTCAGCTGCGAATATCGGGCTTTTGCGCAAGAGACAGGACAGCCATGGCCGACACCGAGCTACTTCAATCCCACTACAGCAAATCTATACATGGCAGCCACATTTTGCACTTCCACAATGTGCTCGATGCATACGGCCATCTGTCGTTTCGCCACCCCACCAATCCAGCTCTCTTTTTCATGGCACGAAGCATTGCCCCAGCTCTGATCGCTACCGAGGCAGATTTGATCGAATATCGTGTTTCAGACGGCGAACCAACGAACCCCGATTCAGCGCAAGGCTACATTGAGCGCTACATCCACTCCGAGATCTATCGCCGCTTCCCGCACATCAACGCCGTGGTGCACAGCCATGCCGAGTCGGTGATTCCCTTCACCATCTCGGGCGTGCCGCTCAAGCCGTGCTATCACATGGCCGGCTTCTTGAATCCCGAAGGCGTGCCGGTCCACGACTCGGCCAGAGATGTTGTCGCGCCCACTGTGCCGGATCTGCTGGTGCGCAATACGCACATGGGCGCGGCCTTGGCCAAGCGCTTCGAAGACGGCAACAAAGTCACGTTGATGCGTGGCCACGGCTACACTGTTGCGGCAAAGTCGATTGAGCTCGCTGTGTTTTATGCCATTTATACGCAGAAGAACGCTGCCATTCAAACCGCCGCCGTGGGGCTGATTGCCGCTGCTGGTGGTTCTATGCAGAATTCGCGCTTGTTGAATGAGGATGAGGCTCGGGAGCGTACTGCGTCTGTGGCAACGACGGCGAAACGCGCGTGGGATCTGTGGGTGGTTGAGGTCTCTAATTCTACGCTGTATCCGAAGGAGTGAGCCTGCTTCTACTATCGAAACTATTTTGCTTGAATATATCTTACTTGAGAAAACTAGCGGACATATTGGCACCTCACTTAGAGTGGTGGTAGACCTCTGTTTACAAGTCTGAAATGCAATTCACATATGTAGTATGTTGTTCATGGCTTTCAGTAAAAGAGCGAGGTATCATACAAGTCAAGGCTCGTTGTTACATCTCAATGAGATAATATAGAGGTCCCTGGTAGATGGTTCGATCCCAAGGTAAGGTTTGTTTCATAAATTAGCAGTATTAAATAGCTATATCGGGCTCACTTTTCACCGCTGTGGCCAATCTAAGTGCTGGCCTTCCAAAATGAATAACAAGCGTCCATGGATGCATCAGATCTAATACGATCCTTGTCCTATGCTGACTCTTTGTCGATGAGAACATGCTTACCCTCCTCAGTCGGAATAAGGCCGAACGGTTCAAGTTGGCGGACTTGAAGACAAAGAGCCCGCTGAATAAAGTGAATATGCCGAGCATCAAGCTGAATGGCGTCGGGGCGATCTTAAAGGGTACGCTAGCAATCCGGACCAGTTCACCGACAGATTTGCGGGGGGCGATGCGGGCGCCGGGCAAGAAAGTCGCGATGCGAATGGCGATGAAGCCCTCGGGCAGCGAGTCATTAGTTGCTCCAGGAATGCGATCCCAAGTTGTGGCCTCGACGAACAGAAAGACGAGAAGGGCCGCGAAGCCCTTGACGATGGCAATGAACCAGAAAGCTCACTGCACGTTGCCAGCACCCTGTACGACAAAAGAACAGAGACAGGGGCTAGCAGAGGTGCCAAAGTCGAAGTAGACGTGAAAGATGGTGAATGCACGGCCACGCTGGTGTAGGATGAGCATGTCAATGAGCATGTGCGGACCAAGAACTCCCACGGCGTTGCCGAAGAAGCCAGCAAAGCCGCGCGACACGATGAAGATGTCGAGTTGATCGGCTTTTGTCATGTAAGACGACCACAAGTCGGAGCCCATGAGGCCGATAAGCGGCCAGAAGAAGATGAAAGGGCGGCCGATGATGAAGGACAGCACATAGAAGAATATGCCGCCAGTTATTATGCCGGCATTGGCTGATGAGTTCTGGTAGGCAATGGCCGTCGGAGGCTGATGATAGAGAGTCGAGAGCGGGCCAATCTCGAGCTGTGATGTGAGACGCTGGTGAAGCCGCAGAAGCAGGCCAGGCAGAGGGCGGCGAGCACTCTGCCTATTCTAAATTACGTCCAATTTTATATGAAATGTCAATCAGCTTACTGTATGAAGTGAAAATGGCTGAAGAGAGTCGTCATTGTATGGCCTTAGAGTAGTGGTATTTGATGGAAAACCATTTACGATGAGCATGAAGCGTACCAGGGGATCTCTGGGGTCATCCGAAGGATGCGGTGTCAACACAATACGGCTGTGTGCAACATGCAAGCCAGATTGAGCCTTCTCAGACTCCATTGGCAACTGTGTAGGGGCAGCAGCAATCGCAACATGGTCTTTCAAGATGGGATTGGCCATAATGAAGGATCCAAAACCAATTACAGTAGATATCAGGCTTGTTACAGTAATTGTATATGGCGCGATGAGGAATTGCTTGGGCTGGCCAGCTGGAGAAAGATGAGACCGCTTGAAGGCGAATTAGGCTGGGGTTACATATCGGCTACAAGCCAGACTGGGCTCGAGGAGAAGAACACTGTAAAGAGGCCAATAAATGTCAAGGAATATGAAGACATACATCTTCACAAATGCCCAACCAAAAAACATGCAAGTGGGGATAACACTTTAAGAAGCGAGGGTCAAAACACTAAAGCGGCAGAAAGTTGCCGGCATTCGCAGCATTTCAGCAGATACGTAAATATTCAATATACAATAACATATTTTTCCTTTTGTTTTGAATGGCTGCCTTCTTTGAATTCTTTGAATCGACTGTTCCTACAAGCGAAACAAATCCAACATCCCTGTAATAGCCACAAAACAATGCGGGCGTATCAAACGATCGTTGATCAACGATGAGCTATCAACTTTCACCATCGGGTTACTTTTATCTGCGTGGCCTCATCAGAATATACTGATGTATTAAGAAGCTAAAACTGTTGTTCATTTTACACACGAGTACTCATCAAACATTTTCCTAATCTCGCAATGCGTATGCCACTGCACATACTGGGTAATGCCTATGTTGTAAATTGGCGTTTGCTAATACTACATATACTCTTTTAGACGTTACAATGCATGAATGCTGCAATACCCCGCATCACCAGCTTCGACGCTTATCATCTATTCAGGCCAATCTCCCACGCCCAAGAGTGCACGGAGGGGTCCAGAACTGACAATTAAGGCCATTTTAGTGCAGAATCGGAACCAGGTGTGTATTATCTACCATATGAAAATGATGTGATTCTAACTTGGAAAGTATATAATATTCGCTGCTATTCACTATTTATCCAGGATTCAGGAAGTACGTTCCGATATGTCTGCAGAACTTGGTACATATCACTATCGCCCACTACGAGATTCCGAAATTCGTCTTATCCAGCTGCACCCCGCACAACAAACTCACGACGATATTTTACTCACAATCTTTCATCGACCTTTAAATGCACGTAAAGACGAGTCAAACCCCACACGCCTAACTCGAACACAGCTCCAGAGCACATTACCCGCGGGATGGGAGGTTTTTGAAACCCCCGAAGGCCGGTATCTGTTCTGCAACGACTCCACTGATGAGGGTGAAAGTGAGGATGATGATGATGATGAAGCGGAAGAGAATGACGAAGCTTCACAGGAGAGTGGATCTGATGCATCCAGCGATGGCGATTTTGTGACCACATGGGAACATCCCGACCCCAGCATAGACCGTGCTCTATATGAACTGCCGCCTGAAAGCACATTTTGGGAGCAAGATACTGTTTTTGAGGCTCTGTCATACCAGTGGGGATCACCAAACAACCCTGGCACCGCATTTGTCAAGCCTTCAACTGGAAACGCCATTGTAGCCACATTTTCTATTGGTAAAAACCTCGAGTCTGCTCTCCGACACCTACGCTATACTTCTAAGCCTCGCACTCTTTGGATCGATGCTATTTGCATCAACCAAAATGACAACGCAGAGAAAGCCGCCCAGGTGATCCGCATGGCCGATATTTACTCCTTGGCGGCGCGAGTTGTTGTTTGGCTTGGGCCAGCCGAGGACGACAGCGAGCTTGCCATCTCGACGCTGGCATACTTGGGTGCTCAGGTTGAAACAACGCTGGATGCTTATCGCTTGACATCTCCTGGAGCTGAAGAGCCAATGTGGTACGATATCGACTGTAGTCTTCCGTACAGCGATGCCCAGTGGAAGGCAATCGAATGTCTAATTTTGAGAGCATGGTTTACTCGAGTATGGACGGCTCAAGAAATTCATCTGGCAAACCGCTTAGCCATCATTCAAGTCGGTAACGCAACATTGTTATGGTCACTTTTCCGCCGTGCTACAGAGTGTCTAAAAGATAAGCCGAATCATGGAGAAGAGCGCCTCTCACTCTCAAAAGTTACCAGTTCTACTTTGAATGGCAAAGGCCGACCATTGAGCGACCTATTTCGCCGCTTTGCGCACAGAGATTGCTCCAACGGACATGACAAAGTGTACGGTCTGATGGCAATGGTGCCTCCAGCCTTTGTTGCGGCGACTCGTCCAGATTACACGCAGCCAGTCTCAAAGACGTACGCTGATGCTTTTATTGCCGACACAAAGTTGCTTGAGCGATGGGAGATTTTTGGCTGCGATGTTGCAGATCGCACATCAGACTTTGACGATGTGCCAAGTTGGGTACCGGATCTGAAGTCTAAAAAACGGCACATGTATTACTCGGGACTTTTACAATTCACCGCAGGAAACTCAAGGCTTGATTATCAGTTTGTAGACTCCAGCAAATTCCGAGTAAGAGGTTTGCGCTGTGCGACCGTGAAGAGGGTGGGGATATATGCTATTTTACACCCGCAAGCTATCTTATTTGCCATTCGTTTATGGGAGCCGGAAGATCTCTATACAGGCACTTATGTTACCGGAGAGCCACTGATAGATGCCTTTGCCAAAACACTCTTGCAAAACGACTTGAGGGAGCGTAATCCAACAGACAAAGGGTGGCCCACGTTGGCGGAGTGGAGAGCGTACTGTAAAAGACATATATTCTCTGAGTCGGCAGAACCTTTGGAGATTCTCAACTCGAGTCACTATCTCGATGATATGGTATCTGGAAGATGTGGTAGGAGAGTCTACATGGAGACTGAAGAAGGGTACATTGGCCTTGGTCCAAGAGGCTGTAAGCCAGGTGAGCGAAGCCAACCCTCTGAACCGCTCTTAAAAAGGGATAGTGTCACTTTATCTAAGTATATTCATACTAACAGAATGCCAGGTGATATTATATGTGTTATTCCTGGCTGCAACTCGCCCGTTGTCATTCGCGAAACCGACAACGGAAATTTTCGACTCGTAGGATCATCATTTGTTTACGGGTTAAACGACGGCCAGGCACTTCTAGGACGTCTAAAATCTCCTTGGCGAGTTCAGATATTCGATCATCCGGAACAAGACTTCAGAATAGAGCATAGATACTACAACCGAGAAACAAGAGAGCTGACAGTATCAGACCCCAGATTGGAAGATCATCCTGAATGGGAAAGGGTTTCGCTCGAAGACTTGGGGAGGCCTTTGATTGGAGACGATCCAATTATTCTTGAGCTTTTCAAGAACAAAATAACGGGGGGAATAATGAACTCTGACCCAAGGCTACTACCGGAGGCATTAGAGGCTCGTGGAGTTGACTTGCAATGGTTCACGATAGTATAATACTAGCGGAATCATTGTACCTATTTCTCGTGGATCGAAATAATTAAGGCACGATTGAGAAGTTGTGAAAGACCTTTTAGGGCATTGTATAATATCTACATAGCAAAGTAAATATATCTTATACTTGTACGATAAGTGGACTTAGACTTCGGAGTGCTTAATGCTACTGAATGGGCGCCTACCCAGTTACACTACCACACTTACAATATAAATTGAGTGAGTCCTAGCCGATCTTAGTATTTTCTTTAACAATTCCAAGACCTTTGTGAACTTATTTCTTGATAAAGAGTCATGGCAATTAACACGGTAAACCTTAAACAGACCAATGCTCATCACTGTGTACGTACTCACAAACGCATAATGCAAAGAGCTTGACTCGCCACAATTCTCAAATGAAGCCTATATTTCATCGAGTTGTTATACAAAGACTCGAAATTTCGGGGAGCCCAGATAAGTTCTACCAGTAAAACAGCTAGCAATCCGGAATCTGGTAACATTGAAACGAAACTAATGATCACATTGTGGATGTCATACTATGGACTAACAGGATATTGCCAAAAAATGGTCTTCTTATGCTACCTGTCTCTCAACTTCCATAACTTACTCTCCTCTCACACACACTGCGAATAATAATCGTTCACATACGTGCATTTGTAGGGACTCTGGCCTCATGTTAGCAAAGTCATTTTCCAAGATTCGAAGAAGGGCTACATGCCTGGCAAACCGTGGGTCCAGCATAGCCCAGGCCGCCACACTGAGCATACTCGGCTGCTTCACCAGATCCACTGCCACCTGAGCCGCCACTTCCAGTGCCGTTACCAGTGCTAGAGCCAGGGTTGGACAAAGTTAAGACGGCGGGTCGCCATGGGAGAGAGTTGTAGTCTCCCGACGAACCAACGGGCAAGCCTTGGTACAGCAGCTGGAGGTTGCAGGGATCAATGGTCATTGTCTCGTCGTTTGTGCTGCGAATAAGATCACCAGAGCTGATGTCGTTGGTCCAGGTAGCGCCGGCGTTGGCGTGGCCCGCAAAAGGGTTGCTTTCCGTTGCAGCCTGCGGTGTCCATGTACCACTCAGAGATGTGGCTGTAAACGAGCGGAAGTACCGTCCAACGGATCCAATACACTCAACAATCATGAGATACTGTTTCTGACCTGAGACGGTGTACACTTGGATCGCTTCAAACAGGTCGTTGGTTGCGGCGGTCATAATCGTTGTAAACGAAGTACCGAAGCTGGATGGGAATTGGCCAATGGGCATGCTAGAACGGTAGATGTTACCGTTATCTCCTGCAAAGAAGAGATACATGTTCGTGCCATCGCTGATGAGTGCTGGGTCAATAGGACCGGTGCTGCCACCTACGCTTCCACTGAAGAGCGGTTGCGAGGACGACCAGCCATTTGCATTGGTGGGATCACTCGACGTAACATACGCAAATGGAGTTGCAGCCCATTCGTATGCAAGAACCCAGATCTTCTTTGGTGAGAAGTAGAAGAGAGTTGGCGCTACCGTGCCGAGGTTCATTGTGTTTTGGCTGGCCGTGCTGAGACTGGTCCAATTGGAGACGAGACCAAAGTTCATCGAGCCATAAGAGCCTGCTGTGTTCACGGTTGAAGAGTAGACGAGATGTTGACCGTTATACGGGACCTGGCTGAAATCTTTAAGTGAAACCCAGCCTGATTTGGGGTTTGCCAGAGGGCCAGTTGATGTCCATTTGTAAGTGCTAGGGAGGGCGCATGATGCGCTTGCAATTGCAGGCAGTGCTAGCAATGCCAGGCCAGCCCACAACTTGCGGCCGCCCTTCTTCATTGAAGAAAGCATTGTAAAAAGGACTTCTAGTATGAAATTAAGAAACTAGATGATTGTGGGAGTACAGAGCACAAGAGTGATCTCTTGGCGGACCCTCGGCCTTTTATATACACTCAGCCTAAGCCGAGCATTCTTTTTACCATGTTATAAGATTCATCGACTTATAAAGTCAACGAACCTGGTGCTCCCATTGGGCCGCTTATAACTTCTTCCTGTGGAAATCATGTTCTACTACGAGATATGTCGTATAAGCTGGATGTCTACTCCAATCATGGATGTCTGCGATGTATCGCTGACTTAATCTCTTATAACGCGAAGATCACTTAAAAAATGCTTGCAGTGTAGATCTAACAGTAAATTTCTAGGTTACATACTTCGGGAGCCGGAACAGATTGAACATCGGCTAAACTGATATGAGAAGCGCTCCAATTATAGGCTTCTTATTCCACCATAAACGCAAATCACTATTAGGCTATTTAGAACAGACTAGTTGTATCTTAGCAATACAATACCCACTACATATGGCTCACAAATGATGTGGTAGATTTATCGAGAAAACCATCAAGTCCGTATCGTAGTATATTAGAGGAGAAGATGATACATACACTTGTATACAGATTCATATAGGAGAGCAGCGAAAAGCTATAAACAGAAAAGACCTTTCACAAGCTGAAGCCAATGGGGAGTTTCAAGCTATAGTAGGGTGCCTCATGTTCAAATAGTACGGAAAGCGGCAAGAACATTATATCGCAATTCAGCAGATATGATAGTCTTAGATGTCACAGACCACGAGTTCGGGTACGGCAATTTAACGCGGTATATAAGGCTGATTAGATTCGAAATAAGTGCCTAGACACTTTTAGGCTGATTAAGTACATCTAGGCTATTCTTTATTGAAGCATCGTCTGTCAACAGCGACAACACCAAAAGGTTGTAAGGCCTCGTCCATATTTATTAACATAAGCTATACGACAACATCAGAGACTACAAACAGATTCCAGGGCTGATGATAAAGGCCACATTAACGACGAAATATTTATATTTACATTGTTCTTCAGAATAGACTAAAATTGCATCTTACTTTCAACGTTAGGACAGTTCAGCTCTTATGAATTGTATAAAGAGTGTCTAATAGACCAATTATGCTTCACATTTTGTACACCACAGCTTGAGTCCGAGTTTTTCTATTATTAGTCAACGAAAAAAAAACCCCTTCGAGACATCATAGATAATTATTAATACGTTGGTTCATACTGTTATTTGATCATCTGGACTGTTTTTCTCGTCGTTAGACGGCATCTGGGGCCACAGTGACGAGAGGCTAAGTGAGACGCCTAGGCTACTTCTTTAACCGTTTGAAGCTATTTCTTCGAATTCTTCGAAAATTAACAAGCATATATATTCATTTCTTACCATTTTGTCGATCCATGGGGGCTATTGTGTCTTTAGTTATAAGATGAAGACAGACAGAGAATGGCCCGCAGATTCGCTCATTAAATGTAGGAGTTCGCTCATGCCCACGGAGTATCTCGAAAACTGCGAGCGACACCTTCAATCGTATATCTGTTTCTCTATGCGACCAACCTGCCGCCTGTGTAGCGTCCGTTCAGCCTTGAATTGCCATGCTTTCAAGTGTTACCTGTTTCTCACCAAGGTGGAGCCCAAGACAAAAGCCGGCGAACTTCTGGGCTGAGTCTCGAAGATACCTATCTATCATATCAAAGAATAGAAAGGCTCCCAGTATTAGCGCTCGATAGCAATATGCATGCGCGTATTCCTGGCAATTGGGATCGCCAGTGCAAGTGATGTGACTCTAGGCTTCCTCTAACGCCGGGTGCGATCAAGATACACAGACTCAACAGATCGATGCAAAAAAAAAACCCGAAGCTGTTTATTGCAAGACCATCTTTCTGGGCGGAAACCCTAGATAGATGCCTGTGTCTGTCCTCATCCTGAAGCGACAGCTGCTAGGCTTAATGATTGCTACATTCTAGGATTAATATATGCAATCATAATACCATAGAGTAATAATGGGCGCAAGAAGCATAAAGCTAGCCTCGTTGACGCTGGTGTATAGCACTTAGCGTCGCTGCCCGGGCTTAAAGTAAAACCAGCCGCAATTTTTTGGGGGGAGGAGTTGCGCTGCTACGGGCTTACTTGGTATTTGATAGAGCACAATTTGCTTACAAAGGCCGCAAGGCAGAGTTGTTTCATACTGCAGCCAATTAACCTGTGGTAGATAATGCATGTTTTACACGGGTTGAGATGCCACTCGTTGCATTATGGCTTTAGGCCGCGATAGATGCCTAACCTTGGCAGTGATATAGGAAAAATTCACGAGCCACCTCACACCATCGCTTTCATACCATGTTCTTACTACTATTATACTGCCACTTTAAGACAGAAAAAAATCAATTCATCGTTGGCGCATCCTAAAAATAAGATCTATAAATCATGCAGTCACAGATACAAACTGAGACTGAGCAGATCGATGCCGCTGCGAAGCCACTTGGTAGGCTATCTCCATCAATTGCAAGCTCTTGGTGCTAATGCTAAGTCGATTTGACATTAGATATTCAAGCAATTAAGAAAGCTTACACGTATTCTCACCTGCCAGAGGGCAATATACGCTTACTGAAACTGCTGCCACACCGAGACAAAGATAGCCCTTTGCAATGCAGCCTCATTGACTATCCTCTGCAAGACTTAAATGAGTGCAATCATCATTTATACGACTCTCTATCTTATGCTTGGGGTTCTCCAGAGAAAAGTCAATCTATCTTGATAGGCAATTGCAGTTTACCCATTACAACGAATCTTCACACAGCATTGCTACGTCTTCGGGATCGCTTTTTGGAACGAATCATATGGGTGGACGCGATCTGCATTAATCAACAAAATTTAAATGAGCGAGGCAGCCAGGTCCAGCGTATGGCAATGATCTATGCCCTAGCTAATCGTGTGATTGTCTGGTTGGGAGAGGCGGGGGATAATAGCGACCAAGCGCTTGAAGAAGTACATAAGAGCGCTGATGGGCAAGAAGTTGGAGATGACCATGGCATGCAAAATGCAGTTCTCAAACTACTACAGCGGCCGTGGTTTAAACGCATCTGGGTAAAGTCATAGACATCAACGAGCATTGTTCACCTTGTTAACGATGTTTTTCCAGATCCTTCAAGAAGTTGCTGCAGCTCGGAATGTTCTCATTCTATGTGGTTCCTCGGAGATAGATGGTTATAATTTCTGCATGGGAATCAACTCGCTCAATCTCGATTATGCAGACTACCCAGGTTTACGGAATTTGATACGGTCAGCAACCTACTTGATACGGCGCAAAGTCTTTCAGCCTAAGCAAACAATTAGTAATCCGGGCAGGTTCTCGCTAGGTATAGCCCCTCTGAGCGAGCTGATAGACATTTATCATGCTCGGCAAGCTTCTGATTGCCGTGACAAAGTATATGCTTTGCTTGGTATGAGCTCTGATAACCATAAGTCGGGTGATTTGTCTCCTGACTACAACGTTCCGTGGAAAACGCTCTTTCAACAATTTATCAAGCTTATTCTTTATGAGAGCGTAGTATTATCAACTTGGCAAGATAAAGAAGTGGCAATTATCAATAGTAAGTGCTGCACTCTTGGGCAAGTTTCGTCGGTTGAGAGCGATGCTGCATGGGGCGACAAGCAAATTGTTACGATTAAGAAATATGCGCCAGAAATAACCCACCCGCGGAACCGTCCAATGGAACTTTACTGGGATGGGAACATTTCTTGGACATTAAGTCTCCACATACTCGCAATCTCAATTCAGAAAGGAGATATTATCTGTCTATTACGAGGAGCATCAGATGCTACGATTATCAGGCTATATAAGGATTACTTTGTCATTATTGCAATTGCTATCAACCCTTCAACCGTCAAGTCTACAACTTTCGATCCTGGAGATTTCGAAAAGGCTGAGAAAGCGAGTGACAGCTGGATAAAGGCTTTACAGTCAGTGACAGACTTTCCTCGAAATCTTTTGCTTGTTTGGGACTGGACAAAGTCTTTGAGTGAAGATGGAAAAAACCACAAATATCTCATGAGCAACCAATTTTTTAAAGATGAAATACCAGCCCAAATTATGGAGCAGGGTTTAGTACTGAGCGACTTGAAAAGCTATACAAGAGCAGCTGAAATTCTCAAACGAGCTATAAAGAGTTATGTGAGAGAATTCGGAGGTGAGTGTTCATATACTGTAGCCGCTATGACACATTTGGCCGCAGCATATCAAGCTTCACACAAGCATGAAAAAGCAAAGAGTTGGAGAATAATGGCAGATATACTGAGCGGTAATCAAGGGACGGAAGAGATGGTTTCAGATCTCTTAAGCTCATGCGATGAAGAGGTGATAAAGTTTCTCCCTGGCTGGAGATGGGACCAAGTCACTGTCACCGAGAATATTGTTAAAGCTGCAGCTGCAGCAATGAGCACGGACGTAATGGAAATGCTACTTGACCGGCGGGGTGACCAAATTATAATCACCAAGGATATCGTCAAAGCTGCGGTCAAAAGTTTGAGAACGATGATGTTACTATTTGAGAGGCGAGGCGACGAGATTACTATTACCGAGGATATTGTCGAAGCTGCAGCTGCAACAGGAAACGAGGATATGATGAAATTGCTACTTGACCAGCCAGGTCACGAAGTTTTCATCACGGAGGATATCCTTAAAGCTGCAGCTGCAGCAATGAGCACGGACGTAATGGAAATGCTACTTGACCGGTGGGGTGACCAAATTATAATCACTAAGAATATCGTTAAAGCTGCAGTCCGAAGTTTCAGAATGATGATGTTACTATTAGAGAGGCGAGGCGACGAGATTACTATTACCGAGGATATTGTCGAAGCTGCAGCAGGAAATGAAGATTCGTGGGCTAGTAGGAGGATGGTAAAACTTTTGCTTGACCGGCGAGGCGACGAGATTACTATCACAGAGGATATTTTGAAAGCTGCAGCAGGAAATCAAGATTCGTTGGCTGGTACGAGGATAATGGAACTTTTACTTGACCGGCGAGGCGACGAGATTACTATCACAGAGGATATTTTGAAAACTGCAGCAGGAAATCAAGATTCGTGGGCTGGTACGAGGATAATGGAACTTTTGCTTGACCGGCGAGGCGACGAGATTACTATCACAGAGGATATTGTGAAAGCTGCAGCAGGAAATCAAGATTCGTGGGCTGGTATGGGGATGATGGTACTTTTACTTGACCGGCGAAGCGACGAGATTACTATCACAGAGGATATTGTGAAAGCTGCAGTAGGAAATCAAGATTCGTTGGCTGGTAAGAGGATAATGGTAATTTTACTTGACCGGCGAGGCGACGAGATTACTATTACAGAGGATATCATTAATATTGCAGAAGCAAAGAACAAGGGCGTGATGGAATTGCTGCTCAGCCGGCGAGGCAACTAGATTACTATTACAATGATTTTGTCAAAATAGAGCGGAAAATGAGCGGAAAGTGAAGAAGTAATAGCAATTCCATTTTATCAGCGAGGCGACTAGGTTGTTATTCAAAAGACATCATCAAAGCTGTAGGGACATGTGACCAAAGCGAGGCTATGGCCTCTTATCTTTGCGGAATGCTATCTACATCTAGGTTGGAAGTAGTGGCCCCAAGGGCTATCATTCTATGACGTAGCGGCATCGAGTGATGATTGTTGTATCAAACAATTACATGAAGGAATATACAGAGGGTATTAGAAGATAACAACGCGAGGGCATGCAAGAGAGGCTTTAAACAGACTCTAGCTATTATGAGAAAGGCTGATGCAGATCTAAATATTGAAGATACAAGATAAGAATACGGCAGCTGCAAGACAAAGACAAAATGGGTTCACAGAAATCATTGAGATGCTTAAGTAGTTTCGACAGAAGGAATTATTAGTTGAAGGCTTGTTATAATAATTTTATAACTATAAATAAGCTCTCAAAATAAGTATACTTTTTAATTATATAAGAAATTACCGGTCCACTACTAGAAGCGGCTCGCTATGCCAACTTCAAGGGAACAATGGCTGTGTTACCCTGACGAGTTTTAGCGCTGTCCTTGCAAGTGTTAAATCGAGATGATGCCATCACGGTCCATGATGCAATTTCGCATGAATGACCTCATACAATTCATGGGGAAAGAGTTACGAAGAAATAAAGACGTCGATTATTTGCAATTGTTGGCCATCGCCAAACCGACTTCATGAATACATTACTAATCGTCTTCTCATCCGCCGTAGGTCTGCATCGATCCAAAATCGCCTTCATGTAGGTATGGTTGTATTTGGCGTAAGTGATCCTGAGAGATTTAGCTTCTACATGCAGCCTTGTCAGCCATAGCACTTCGCTCTCTCTGTGATTTCTCCCTTATAATGGACGAGTTATCTATATGCTACATACGGCATGAAAACAATTACAGCAATATAAGACTCCAGCCATTGGACATTAGTAAGTGATTAACGAAGATCTTCCAGCCTGGATCCTCTTCAGCTGTCATCAGGCAGGGAGTCCGATTCTTCGCTTGGTAGGTTCTCATTCATCCGAACAAGTAAATCTTTAAGCTTTTGGCGATTGTTCTTCCAAGTAGCAAAGTCCTCCACTTCTTGGTCTCGTACGGACGGCGTGACTTGGTTGCCGTGTTCATCTTTTAGAAAATCGGGGATCTCGTCCTCATCCGCGAGCTGCCATCGACTGCTGTCATTCTGTGGCCCATCACCTACATGCCAACTAAACGGTATGAGATGTGCTTCTTCAATATGCAATTGAAGCAACTCATCATCAGAAAATACCACTGCATTCACGTCTTGAGCACACTTCCCCCAGTGACAAACAAATGGTCTTTTACGGCAGTGTACCATCGAGATATGGCGTCGTAATGTATCTAAGTTGTGGAGTTCGGCTTTACAACTACCCCATTCGCATAGGAAGGCTGCGAATGATTTCTCCAGGGACCGGTAAACTTGCCATGGAAGAGGGGATGGCGCTTTCGGCGGCCTTCCACGGCGTTTTGCAGGCCCCAAAGCGAGTGTCTTTGCCTTGGCTTGTCGAACAGGTTTTGCCACGGAATTTGGCCCACGAAGCGAACTGTAAGACATGCCGGGCTTCCAACCTTTGGGCCGTCCCCGACCAGCACTTGGCTGCGAAGCTGGGGTGGGTGATAAGGCTGCAGTTGGCGGTGGCGTTGATGTTGATGCTGTTGTTATTGCTGTTGCATTCACTGTTGGCGCTGGTATTGAAGATGGTATAGATGGTCCATTCAGCTGTTTAGGTAGAGGTACTGGAGTTGACTTTGGTGCTGGTTTTGATGATGTCGCCGCTGCGAATGCCGGAGAGAATGGCTTCGTTGGTAGTCTTTGTAGGTGAGTTGGTGTTGGCATTGGCCTCGGCGTTGATGACGGCCTCATTACTGGCTCCGGTGGTGGTATTTTGACGATTTGCCTTGGGAGGGGCACTGGCGTTTCTTTCTTTGCGCGTGAAGTAAGGCTGGGTGCACTCTGCTGAGATGGCCCAGATACGCGGTTACCGTGACCATTGCCGTCGCCTTCTGACCATGAATACTGATGCGATTGTTTGGGTGACTTCAGAACCACGGCATGACGCGGCTGTCGCGATCCATTCTTCTCCGATGCATTAACCTGACTGGGAGACGCAGAGAGCAAGGGGTCGTCGAGATCTACGCTGCTGGAGCGCCCGTTGCCTGCCGACGGCCCAGGAGTCGACGGCCTAAGAGGCCCAAACTGGCTGCTCCAGAACTCGGTCGGGTCCATCATGAGCCGCCTTCTTTGAGCCGGGATGTTGTCCATGGCGTGTGGCCGTATTGCTGGAGTGGCCGCAGTGAACGATGAGAGTTGGAGGAGAGAAGTTGAGGATGAGTGCTGCAAGTGGCTAGTGACATCAGCCTCGTAAGGCATAGCGCTGGTCTGCGGCTTCGTCTCCACTGTTTGCCGCCCAGTCAATGTTAATTGAGCGTGGCCTTGAATGAAGGTAACAGATGGATATCAAAGTCTGACTTCGGGTTCTACATGCTCTGCATTAAGCGAATGGATTTTAGTTGTTCCAAAAGAATTAATAGCAAATAGAGCGGCGTAGCTCCAAAACTCACATATGGGCAGCGTAAACATTAGTCGTACAGTGCTGAAACCAAAACACCAGCAATTGCCCATCTGTAAGCCTCCCATTGTATTTGGAGCTCATTCTCGACAAATACAGCAAAAATAGATATGAGGGTGATAGAGCTGCGATAACAGTATGATTGCACACTCTAATCATGGCTAACATGGCATCTCATCAGAGCTCATTATTACTGTCATTATTGTTGGCTAGTAAGACCTCTGAGAAGAAAAAAGAAACAAAGAGGAGCTTAAGAACCTTTAATCTTAAGGCACAGTAGCTTTCTACAAGCATTTTCAAAACTAGATCCATCCGCCAACCAAAATATCACTGTATTAATTGCGTGTTGTGGGATACGAACCAAGTGAACTTTTCTACAAACAATACGAGGAAAATTACCATCGCCGACCTTGCACTTGTCTTAGGGTAGGTCTGCCGAGGTGCTTATGCCATTTTGGGGGTCTAGGAAATGCAGAACACGCACCCTGGATATGTTTCTTATTCTTTCGCTGTGTACGATGGTTAGAGATTTCGCTTGTTTGCATGTCTGTGTGACTCAATGTAAACAACGATGATCCAAAAGGGATAATTGAGAATGAAAAGACTCCGCATACTGTGCCATCCACATATATGATACATCTCGAGTTTATCAAGGCGCTACTGAGTAATATGTCAATACGCGTGCAAATCAACGCTGAAAACTATATTGTATATGGGTGGTTTGAAATGATTTACTCAGCCTGGAAGGGGCGCCTTGTCGGGGTATGACGGCTGAATCTAGACGATGTCCGTGTATGCAGCATTGATATGTATTCGTCTTTAAAGTTTCAACATTTTCTTTGTTTTCGCTTCAATCACGAACAAATACCACAATACGTGCTTTCCGAGCCGATCCCTTATTAAACCCAGAGCACTCAATTTGGCAATCGAGATTTTAGCGAATACTTCACTCAGTGGAGGGGCACGCCTCTGCATTCGAGCTACCTGGCAACTTTGCACTTGTCAGGCTGTAACTGGGTGATTGGGTATCTGTCTCCTTGATGACTGATGGTATCGTGATTGATTTTGTAAGCCACCGTCACCTCCTACCAGCGAGTTTCAACTACAAAGCATTATGCTATCTGGGGGCATGCTGCTGGGAGCTGTTTTTGGAAACACAGATGGCGTCCGCCACCTCCTATAAAGCATTTGTCGATGGACTCCGTAATGGGTAGTAGCCGGCGTATACAGCAAATCGGATTCACTGCAAGCTGCGTCCAGGGGTTTGCAGTTTTGTGTTGCAGAAACATCAGCGCACTGGGCCTTTCATCACCGGGCTTCCGGCTGTCGAATGAGAGCGCGCGGCTAATAATAAGACGCTCAGCGCAACGGCAAACCGGCGACTTCATCAGGCTGACGAACTGCAGCGGAGCTGATGGAGCTTCATGGATCTGGTGGCCCACTTTCCGCCAGCTTGGAACCTGGGAGAGAGAAGCTTGGACTGGAAACATCGGCGAAAGCGTTTCATGCCCTCTTTTCCGTTCCAGCAGAGAATTACATCATGGCAGCATGAACAGCTGTTTGTAGCTCCCTGTTTTAGCGCGAAACAGATCAATGGACTCCGATGAGCATCTGCCCTGGTAGGGACTCGAAGTCGAGCAGCACTATCGGTAGCGCATGTCAAATCGCATCAATGCTACCATGAGACTTGGCAGGTTTCCGAACATACCGACAATGTCTCGGATGCTGCAGAGGGCGAGGGAGCAAGTGAAGACTCCAGTCCAGATGTTCGAGTCGAGTTGAGAAGGGCAACTGAGCTGCCTACCATGTATCTGCATGGCCTCGTTCTTTCTTTAGCCCATACTGACTCTGACGGGCACATAAATAGACTGGATGCTTGTCGCGGTACATTGCCGTCCTTTCGAACCACCTTTATTTCGTACATGCACTTACATGCACTAAAGCTAATGTAGCCCTAGTAGGCTCCCTCTCACTGGTGCTTTTGCCGGCCTGCAGTATTTGCCCTTTCCGGTAGCGCATCGCGACGGCTTTTTGGTGGAGACCGGGCGCTGCTACGGATGAGATGTTGATGTTGGGCCTAGCAATGGGTATCACGTTGTGAATTCTGCCTCATTGGCACTGGTTTGTAAGCAGGGCAACTCGAGCGTACTTTCATGCCTTGGAAACGCGCCTCGCTGGCAGGCCCTGCGCGTACGAGGTCCTGTCATAAGGCTCCATTGGCCTGTTGCTAAAAAATGCTGGTCGACAATCTCCGCATTTGCTAGCATCAAGTACCGGTACAGCGCGAGGGACGGTACAGACAGGAACGGAAGATGACGCAGGAACACGAAAGCGAATGCGCGTGCCGCATTGTGCCGAGTAGTGGTATTTCATGGCTTTATGTTGTGTGCTTGGCTATTATAAATGCACAAACGAGCCATTTGCTTTTGCATTTTTGCATCTAATGCCAGGTGTTCCTGCGGTAAATGTTCAAGCATCAGGTGACCCTGTGCCCTTGTGCTTACAAGTGGGCAGAGCATCGCTGTGAAATGTTCGACGTTGATGATGCGACATGGCATGACTCGCTTCAAATGTTTGTAGCCTGTCTGTCCACGGCCATGTTCCACGGTACATGGGAAAACTCTGATGAAATACGGCTCTGTGTGTGTGTGAGACCAAACACTCGTAGCGGAAATAGAGGTGTTGCTCCAACGCCGGCAAAAGTACCGCTACAACCGCTAGCTGCCCTCTCCGCGCCCCCCTGAGCGCCTCATCCTATCCGCTGTGGCCCCCCGTAACTCAATGTGCGCAGTGGCGCTGTAATGCTCCGCTACCAGTCTTGCAGCAGCCCGAACTTGGCCCTGGAAGTCCCCGATCTGTGACAACGAACCCACTGTTTGTCGCTGCTGCGACTGCGTGGCCCTGCCAAAGTACCGGTACCTGCCCGCGTTCCCATAAATTCTGTCCAGTGACAGACGCAGCAGAGCCAGTTACGCTGATGCCTGAGGCAACGTGGCTGCCGTGAGCGGTCCGGCCCACCATCTCGTCTCAACTCTTGGTACCTCGTCCAGCCGTACAATTTGAGGGAGAACGTCGACTCTCCTCATCAAACGGACGCCGCCGCATCCTCCCGCACCACCATAAGCCTCGAGGCTCTCGTCACCCGCTCTCGCTTTTGCTTGGTCGAATAAAGTTTTTGTCTGCTTTGCCATCAGCGTCTGTTCCTTGCTGGACAGCCATGGACTCGGTTGCTTAAACGAACCCCCGATATCGTAATCATCCGAGCATTGATACTAGCTACACGACTCCGCTCTCTGTCATCTGTCATCCCGTCCTCATTTTTTTCTGCCTCTCCTCATCTTCATCCTCATCTCGTCCTCGTCTGTGCTGTTCGATTCTTTCCTTCCATAGCCGCCTCCATTCTCCTAGATCATCCCACAATGCCCTCAAAGGCCGCCAACGCCTCCGCCGGGGGCCCAGTGAGCAATCGCCTACGCAGCTTCTTCCGCATGAACAGCAGCGCGAGCAGTATCAACGAGAAGGAAAGGGGCAGCAACTCCCTCAGCCTCAGCGGCGTGCCCATGGGCAATGGAAACAGCAGTGACTCACATTCCACCAAAACCTCGCGACACACCAAGCTTTTCAACAGCACCGTCGGCCGCCTCAGGTCGCACACCGTCGCGAGCGAAAACAACAAGTTGGAAGAGGCTATGAGCCCTACGGCGCTTGCCAACCCTTACTTTGCTCATCAAGGCCAACCTGGCCTGCGCCACCATAACGAAGGCTCAGTGCCACCAAGCCCCCCAGATACACCTACACTCAAGATCTCAAGCCCAGATGGCACCGAGGCTGAACAGGCTACAAGCGAAACAAAGGAAGAGCTGGCCCGCAGGTTAAGACGGGTCGCTAGCGCGCCCAATGCCCAAGGATTATTTGCGAATGCTGGAAACAAGGGCGATCGCCCAGGCACTGCTGAACTGGGCAAGGATCCTCTGATTCAGAATGCCAAGTCTGGTTCACTTAGCCTTATCGATGGCGCGAAACCCGATTCCCAACATCCATTACAAACCGAAGACACGCTCGGTGCCCTGCCTCCTCCACAGACTTCCTTAGCCTTCCGCAGGACATACAGTTCCAATTCCATCAAAGTCCGCGATGTTGAAGTTAGTCCCTCCAGCTTCGACAAGATCAAACTTATCGGTAAGGGTGACGTAGGTAAAGTATATTTGGTCAGGGAAAAGAAGAGCAACCGACTCTATGCCATGAAAGGTAATGCCAATCTCCAAAACACGTCTAAGTCTTCGTCGCTAATCCATTCAATTCACAGTCTTGAGCAAGAAAGAGATGATCAAGAGAAACAAGATCAAGCGCGCCCTTGCCGAACAAGAAATTCTCGCAACGAGCAACCATCCCTTCATTGTTACTCTTTACCACTCGTTCCAGTCTGAAGACCATCTTTATCTTTGCATGGAATACTGTAGCGGTGGAGAATTCTTCCGAGCGCTTCAGACCCGCCCTGGCAAGTGTATTCCGGAAGACGACGCCCGTTTCTACGCCGCTGAGGTTACGGCTGCGTTGGAATACCTCCATCTCATGGGTTTCATCTACCGAGATCTAAAACCAGAGAGTATGTGCCACTGACGAAACATTGATGTAGGGCTTGAACTAACATCCTACTCCAGACATTTTGCTTCACCAGTCCGGCCACATCATGTTATCGGATTTTGATCTCTCAAAACAGTCTGGCTCTGGTGGCAAGCCGACCATGATTGTGGGCAAGAACGGAGCGAGAACAGATTCTCTACCGACTATTGATACGCGGTCATGTATTGCGGACTTCAGGACAAATTCATTCGTCGGTACTGAGGAGTACATTGCTCCTGAAGTAATCAAGGGCAGTGGTCACACGAGCGCAGTCGACTGGTGGACACTGGGCATTCTCATATACGAGATGCTTTACGGAACTACACCTTTCAAGGGAAAGAACCGAAATGCTACTTTTGCCAACATCTTGCGCGAGGATATTCCCTTCCCTGATCACACTGGAGCACCGCAAATCTCAAAGTATGTCGCTTCATCTCCATGTATTTGATATGGCATTCATTGCTAACATTTCTTCCAGTCTATGCAAATCACTCATCAGGAAGCTTTTGATCAAGGACGAGAATCGAAGACTTGGTGCCCGCGCCGGTGCATCGGACATCAAGGCCCACCCCTTCTTCCGAACCACTCAGTGGGCCTTGATTCGCCATATGAAGCCGCCGATTGTCCCTAACCAGGGCCATGGGATTGACACGATCAATTTCAGGAATGTCAAGGAGAGCGAGAGTGTTGATATCAGCGGAGCTAGGGCGATGAACGTCACTGGTGTTCCACTGGATAGTGGACTGGCAACTCCAGGCAACGAGGCTGCAGACCCATTCCTTGAGTTCAACAGCGTTACACTCCACCACGACGATGACGTGCAATTCCACGACATAAGCTATGCATCATCACCAGCGTCCTAAAGTTGAAAACTTTGCATTACAACTAGCCTGATTATTTTTACTTTGCTTGGAGGCCATGCCCCGAATTTTGATATCATGTGTATACGGTTAGGGCTCTGGGATTGTTAAGATTACGACATTTGAGTTTTTATTCAAGCGACCAAGTTTTGGGTTTTTGGACTTCATTCCTACACACTGAGCCTGTCACCGCTCTTTTGCTTTACAGCAGGCAAGCTATCAGTTTTTTTCTGCAGACAAAAAAAGAAAAAGAGATGAATGATTTCCTGGCGAACATTGTGCGATCCATGAAATTTTTAATTTTCTTGAGGCTTTTGTAAAATGCTTTCTGATCAGCATTGTTTCCTGTCTGGTCGCTTAAATACGGCGTCTCATTTGGCTTGGCGTTTACTGGAAGTTGGCAGTTGGGTTTAAAGGGATATGTTTTGTAGACTGTTGACAGTCATAAAGATACGTTTGATCTACCAATAGAACTAGGATATTCTGACAATCTGTGCCTTTTTACGCTGTTTTCAGATGCAGCTTGTTCACTCTTGCTGCTATTTGCCTTGTGTCTAGCTTTGATGAGATGACTACGTAGGCATTTCAAATAAGGTAGTAATCTAATTGGCTGCAGCTGGTGTGGTTGCATTGCATACATGCAGCCAATCAGCGACCTTGTGCATCCCAGCTGACACGGCAGAGCCTACAAAGCCGCAAAAACAGAATCAAAATTTCGTGAATATAGTAAGTAACAAAAGAAAAAAAAAAGAAGAAAAACATACAACAGCCGGTGTTCGCTGATGGTCACCCACTCAACTACTAATCTGCCGGTTAGTGGCTTGTCTATGGGGGAGCAGACGGGACCCCGAATTTTCCACTACCTATGGTCGTATGTGCTTGTATGAGTGCTACGGAACTTTATATTAGAAAGACCTTTGTACAAAGCCAGCGTTGCTATGAGTCAAAACCCATTTCTGGCCTGAGTCAAAACCCATTTCTGGCCTTGGTTGATATGCACATATTAACCTGGACTACGTCTTACAAGAGAATTTACATTACACTCATATATTAAATGTGGCTACATCTATTATTAAAATTATCAGCACCATTCTAATCGTCACTTAGCAAATATGACTTTAGAATCTCTCTTCTCCGTCTTTTACCTGCTAAATATTTCGTAGCTCCCATTGAATATTTGTTTAGAATCATCCCTTTTGCACTACAACTCATCCATGTTACAATGCTCTCTCTTGAAACTGAAGAGCTTGTGAATAACATGCTAATATCTCTATTAAGGGAGCTGCTTAAAATATTAGTACAAATTTGGCGTCTGCTTCGGCATCTATCACAACGTTGCGTATTAATGACTTTATAATGCTATTGCATTGGTTAACATAATATTGTAGAGCGCAATGCTTAGGTTGGTCCATCTAACAAGCGATATGTATTGAAAGACTGATAATATTGTCGCCCAGTTTAGAGAGGAGTCTAATAATAGCCATTTGGCTATTATAAATATCAGAGATGGGCTGCTGGAGTGGTTGATGTAATAGTAACATAAGATGGAATAAGTAACTGGCTTTATAACTGACTATTCCAGATCCCGCGTAACTTCCGTCCATTGCGTGACTCTCCGTACCCTATCCTCCTCTAATCTAGTAATGATAATAATGACTGTTTCGCGACGCGTCTTCTTCCCAGTAGCCTTTTCCTCAAAAGTCCAGAATGACTTTGTAGCCACAGCATTTGGGCCTTTGTCGTGTGGATAGTTTTCACCCTGTGCATCAAAAGAAGTGACAAGGGCTTCATGGCTTTGTAATGACATGGTCCAATCTTCACGAGCTATGGCGCAAGCCTTCTGGAATGCATTATAGTCTAGATGCTGACTGTTGATGCTGCAGATTCTCAGTAACAGGCTTTCTATTTTAAGATCTCGAATAATAGTACCTTGCTGTGAAGTCTTTTGCAAAGTTATCAACGAAAGCTTTAGATCCGGCTTCGTTATCATTCTGAAAGAAGAGTACTTTAAACAATTCATCGAAGTGATTAAACAGAGTGATTGGTTCCATTATGAGACTTGTGATTTTATAGCTGGGTTGAAGTATAGATCCGATACAACGAGAATAGTCGAGGGCGATGGCTTTAGAGTGTATCTGCTTCCATTAGGCATGCCAATCATAGAGCTTTATATAGAGGAAATTAAGAGAGGTGGTCAGAAATGATTCCACATCAATACGGACCACATGGAATCACTAAAGTTCTAGAATATGTCTGACCTTCGAAGAAGCTTCATGTGTGGACGTCAATTAGCTTATAAATGTAACAGAATAGATCCGTGTTCATCATCCTGCATCTTAAAATCGCTAGAGTAACTTATTGAGTGTGACGACAGTCTCCAACAATTCGATCATTTCACCATGTGTTGTCTACAGAGTGCATGAAATGCAGCGTTATGGCACAACGCATTAACGGTCGCATTAATGGTCGTGACAACATCTCGGTGGGGCTGGTATTGGGGAACCTGGACTGGCAGCAAATAGTCTTAAAGCTACCGTATATCAGAAAGTGAGAATAAGTAAGCGCTATAAGCGATGTGTTCATTCTCATTTCAGACACAGGCCAGAAATTACAATTGGTTATTTAGAGGACGATTGGTCAAATGGTAAAATGAGACTGATGCCTGAGAGATGCCTGCGATGAGATGCCTGCGACGAAATGAATGAAGTGAGCTTCACTTGACTTTAGCCTTCTCTTCTCCTTCTCCTTCAGGGCGTCTATGAATGAAAAAGGTGCCAATTTCCTTAATTCGCCAAGAAAGACAATGACAGTGGTCTTAGCGCTTTGTTATACATCGCTCTATAAACAGAGGTAAGCAGCTCTACATTCGGATTGCCCACAGAGCTAATAAAGGAGGATGTTAAACTCCGAGAAAGAACTTAACGGGACCCCGAATCTTCCACTATGGTCGTATGTGCTAGGTGTTCTATAGTAACAGCTTATAAGCATCGAACAATCGTGTAACACTTAGAGTCTCGAATTAGAACAACTTCCATGAAAGAGGTGCAGTTTGGAAGCAAAGTCATCAATGTGTATGACTTTAACTAATTCAGGGATATGAAAGAGGTTATTGCTGTTTAGCTGGGTCTTGCGCTGGTTAGATCAAACGTTGCATTAGTTTTGCAAGTGAGGCAGAGCGTAAACCTTTTGGGGAGTTCGTATAGCGCCAGCCGCGAGAATAGTCTCCTCGCCATGGGCCTTGCGCTGTTTTTGAGCTGAACACCGGTGGCTTGCGGCTGTTGATAATAGGGGGTGGTAAGAGAACCTTGGCAACCAAGGTTTCGGTGACGATGGTGATACCATCCAAAGGGAAGACATTATCAGCAATCTCACGGTGACCCTGGCTTCGATACTGAAAGAGGCTACTATTACCACAGGGTTGCTAGCATTGCTGCCATTGTTAGGCATCAGCTTGACCCTAGCTCCGTATTTGCTGCCACGATGCAAAAATCTCGTTGCGCAGATGGAATTCTCGGTGGGTCAAACAATGCCCTGGATATGCATAAGACCGTCTGAGCCATACTGCTTGGGGCTGTTGACAGGGGCATCATCAGTCAGCTTCACGTAGGGGAAGAGATTAGCATAGCTTTAGCGACCGTCGCCGACAGTCTCGACTCAAAGGTCAAGCTGGTCACCGCAAATCCATCTTCCTGTTGATTCATGTTAGTCCATAAGACTTTACAGCTATAGCGTCCTGTGTGGCTAGTTAATGTCATGCAGCTGGAGTACGCGAATCTCATATGGCGAGTTTCACCTGAGTTGATGATCGTGCCGCCACCAAGAGTTCCCCGCACGGCAGATCAATCTGGGGACTATCTCAAGCTCGCCTGTGAAATCGTCCGGCACCCCCAGCCGTACCCGCCGCCAATAAAGTCGGTAGAGTTGGGGAAAGCGATGGTCGGTCGCTTTGAGCGTTGCCTCCAGCTTCAATAACAAGGATGTAGATCAGGGAGTGCAACTGGCAGAGGCATGGTAGACACGACGACCGAGGCCTAGGCCATCGCCGCTCAGGATGGACTAATCCCAAAGCGTGGCAGACGCTTCTTCTGCAGACTTGCAAAGGTATAATACTGCTCAGATTCGCTCATTCTTCGTAGGGCGGCTGAGATAACAAGGTATACCACCACCGCTCAGGCTCTGGACTCCAGGAACGCGGATACCTAGCCGCATCATTAGCCCAACAGAGTCTGGCCTTTCTGGGGTGGCTTCAGCCCATCCTACTTAGATCTGGTTGAAGAAGAAGGGATCCTCACATCTCGACAGGGGCAGATAGCGACTTCATGCGACGCTTTAGTCCTTGCAAAGCATGAAGCGGTCTGCACTGCTCTACATCCTTATGCTTGTACCTTTTGCTCTTTAGCTCTTGTATGAGAGTAAGCGTCAGGGGGGCGTGCGTCCATTTTACTCGCCAAGGTTGCTGTGATATGATCCTTCGACCTTGGGAGTTTTTCCCATTGCTCACTTTGATATGTTGCCAAGACCTAAAGCCCAACCATTTCCCTTTTAGACGCTTGAGTTCTTAACAAAGTATAAGTTTCAAAAGAAGAGGTCAAAGTGAACAAAATTCTACGACAAATTATTATTCGATTTATTCGATTGGCCGTTACTACGCGCTCGCCGCTTTTCTGAAGCGATCCAGGCCGCAGCCACCACCAGGGGCCCATTTGATGCTCGTGCAGGCCTCCCCCGTAAACTCATTTATTAGTCTCAAAAATCTACGCCAGTCATTTTATTGGTATCGGCTGAGCCGACCCAATTCGTCGGGAGGTTTCATGGAGATCAGTAGTCGCTCTTCATGTAGCATTATAATAGCCATAAACACGCACTTTGTCTTTCCCCCCTTCTCAATAAAAAGTGTATGTGTAGTGGGATTGGGTCCACCCTTACTATCTTAAGCAACCCCTTTCCTGTATCCTATCCGCTTACTTAGGTGTAGATCCAAGCTCCGCGCAAGACCTCAATAGGTCCAGCAATCATGTCAGGCGACCGGGCCCCATGGCTTAGCAGCGTGGGCGAGGGGGACGGTGCAGAGATGATTGAAGTTGAATTCCCACCCATCACAAGTTCCGGCTTGAACGTTGTTATTCTCAGTGTGCTGCTGCCTCTGCTTGCAACGGCATGGACAGGATTGAGAATATGGACCCGACGCTTAAGAGGGATTTCATTACTTTTCCTAGAGGATATTCTCTGCTATATTAGCCTGGTGAGTTTACAGAATAATGGATACTTGGGCCTTTGGATTGACAATTGACCGGGGCCTTCATAATAGCTGGCATTTTGGGGCGTGAGCATCAGCTATATCTGCAGTAAGTAGGCTTTACGCATCCTCGCGGTAAAAGTATTAAAATCGATGCTGATAGATGCTTCTTAGTGGTTGTTCTTGGGGGTGCCGGATATCATGAGCGCCAGCTTCAACTCATATCTGCCGGACGATACTTGAAAGCTAGTTTCGCATCTCAGCTACTCTATGCTATCAGCTTAGGTTTTGCTAAGAATAGTATCGTGGTTATGCTTAAGCGCATTTTCTTTGCCCAATCCTATGCATGGATCGCGAACCTGATTATGGGGCTCAATGTTGTCTGGATGCTCCAAACCATCCTAACTTCTCTGCTTATCTGTCAACCCATCAATGTGAACTGGGATCCAACTGTACAAGGCCACTGTGGCAACGGGAGGATAGCCTATGCGTTATTCAGCGTTTTCGATATTATCACAGATGTGGCTATTGTTATCCTACCCCTTGGATTGCTTGCGCGTCTGCAGATGGAGAAGATATACAAGATCGCCCTAATAGGTGTCTTTGCCTTTGGCCTTGTGTAAGTCATCTTTTAGGAGCAAGCAACCCAGACCGATCTAATGCTTCACTCCCTAACACGCTGATTAGGACCGTCGTATGCACAGCTATCCGCCTTCGCTCTTACTTCGTCCTTGACATAACAGATCTCACCTTCTCTGGGATTACAGTCATGGTTACTGGTGTTATCCAGCTCTGCGTCGCTATTATGGTTGCAACTGCACCTCTCCTTCGTCCTGTATTAGACCGTACTATCGGCCGCTGGTTGCCCCTTTCTATTGGAAGAAGCTCATCACATTCGCCTTCTGATGGGTCTGCCCCTATGGATGGCTCTCAGGCCAACAGACCTGCAAATACCAGCCTGCAAAACGGCATTCATACCCGCTCAAGACTTTCGCCTGGAGGAAACAAGATGTTTCAGAGAATCACAGAGAGTGAGGAACATTTGAATTGGGAGTTGGGCGTAATGAAATCTGATAAGGGGAAAACATCAACGCATGTGGGTTCAGACGGCGAGAGCAACGGTGAAATGAAGTTAGCACCAATGGGACATATTATGATAACACGATCTACAGAAATTACACAGCATCAGCGAGCTCCATGAATATTATTCCAATTTTAAGTTGTTTAATACATTTTTCCTTAGCAAGCCTTTTGAAGCCTATATAACCCCCCTTAGAAGAAGGGCGGCATTTTTAGCATTATCCAACACCCCACCGTGGCGCAATAAGGCAACCATTCCATATATTAAATTACTCAACTTATATACACTTAACTGTTAAATATTATTTAGTTAAGTATAGCAGCAATAGCAGCAGTAGCAGCAGTAGCAGCAACAATACTAGCAGCCCACGCCTGAACTGGGGGGCTGCATAACAGAATTGGAGTACTAAGTAACCTCACTAAATTGAGCTTAGAACGAAAACCATCATTTACAGGTACCAGCAGGCTAGAAAGTCAGCTTCTGGTCGACGTTTGGCTGCTTGTAACGAGACACGACGAGCTTCTGCTCGATATTTTTCCGAGCGCACCACCACCGCCCTCAAGGAGTGGCGTCTCGCCATTCGGCGCGAGCATAGCGATCGTGGTAAGATTTGCAAGTTGTTTGTTTCCGCCTGCTAAGCTCAAACTCCTCTGACAGCGAGACTTTTCGACATCTCTAGAAGATCTGGTTCTCGGTAAAGATAAGACATCGACGGGAGAAGCAAAGCTCTTGAATGGTCCGAGCTCGCTCCATCCAAGTGGAGTGCTGAATACTCGGGCCTTCAGGCTTCTCATGATTGATCTCGCGTTCTATATACCGCCCGATTACGGTCAGGAACGTGTGACTTCGAAGACGCAACATTTGCTGACGGTAATCGCCAGATCTAGAATGTAGCCCAGGCAGTCCCGCATCCGCATTGTTATCATGTCCGGCGACAATGGTCAATATTGCTCCAGCATAAACGCTGTTCATTTTTGCTATCTGAGACTATTGCATGGCTGAGTCGTCTTGTACAATGTATAGAGCGTCAATCCAAAGAGACTGCTCGCCAATCTCCAAAGTCACAGCTCTCGAGTCACGGATTGTCTAGGGAGCATCCTTGGAATTGAGTTAGCCTGGGGTGAGAAGAAGGCTTGAAATTGTAGCAAGATGCTTCAGCATAGATGCTGTGCCCCAGACATAACTCAGTGCAACATCACGGCAATTGAACGGCATAGCAACAACGCATGTGCTTTTCACATCAATGACAAACATCAGCATAACGGTACTACTGGCCTGGTTTTGGCCCGATTCTGACATGTTGGCACCGATACAGTCATGGGATGTCTCGCGTTTGTGAATCCAGCTTTTGACTAATTCAAAATCATCGGTGTCGTTTATGATGCGTCCTCTAATTCGTGACAGAAGTTCTTCTTTGTTTGATTTGTGATGGTGTGAATGATCGTGAAGTGTCTGGAGTTGTACAATTCGACCCTCTGCTCGGGTACCTGGAAGCCAGGTACGGCGGACATTGATGTAGTTGTAAGCATATTCGACCGTCGCCGCCGTCGTGTGTACGTGCTCGTCTGAGGAAATACCTGGCGGTAGGAAGGAGGCTTTGAGAGCTACGAAGACAAACGCTACTGATGGAAGACGGGAATGTTGTTTCCAGATGCGTTGCTATGATCGGGCAAAACAAGCATTCAGCTCTGTGGTCGTTGATCTCGCGAATGGTCCCAAGTTTTTGAGTGAAGCCGAATTGCCGAGAGCTTCACTTTCCCTTGGAGGTCAAAGTCTTGCGACAGAGCTTTGCCGCGGGCGAGATGCGGTCCATATCGAGCTGAGAACACACGAAGCAGAGCTTATTAGCGTCGCTATCCATAGTGACTATTTAATAGAGGGGAGGTTTCATATAATTATTTATCGATCTACTTGTAATGGGATCTCATACCTAGAATTGTGGTATTGGTAGCGTTTAATGGCGTTGATGATAGCCTTGAAATATTTAAATACCGTCAACAGGACTAAGCTCACATGAAATCGTGGGTATGATAATCAAGAGCAGTATGTAACCACATGCATCTTTTCGTCTCAAAAGGCCACCCAATTGGCCCGATTATCCCTCATATCTAATTCTCGCTTATATATGCCTTTTACCTACTGCAAACATGTATACTAGAGGCTCAACTTTACGCTACTGCTACTCTACTTGTATAACAAGCTAAAACTCTTAGACTTGCATTCTTACATATTCAGATTTAATTTAATCATCTAGCCATTCCTGCCGGTAATCTTTATCAGTAGTTATTATGTTATATAGCATCATGCTTTTACGTCCTTCAAATCTGTATAAGTGCTGAAGTAAAAAAGCTGCCCTTTTTACTAAGACTCTATAAGACATCCTGCTGTAAGCCATTAGTGGCCCAAAGGCATGCAGAGACTTACCTGAGTTACTTTATACCAATGCTTTGATAGTCTATGAGGGGTATTTCTGGATTTTCGCTTGCAAATGATCCAATCATATTCCAGTCTGGAGAGCAATATCTTGCACCATTCAGCCTATAGGAAGAGGTAGACGCAAACAACCTGAAAGAGTTGAAACTAATTCGTCTCGTGGGGATGGCGGACATGGTTCCTGTATAAGCTTTACACCCTTACTATAACAATATTTCGTAGTAGAATGGAAATGATTCATTGAAGTCGCCGTAGAATTTTACACTTGCTTAAAGTTTATTGGTCACTCGCAAAATGGATGCAGTGTAGATACTTGTAATAGGTACGAGTTTGCCTGCTCCATCTCGTCACCAAAACATTGCCGAAATCATCAACTACCGTGTTACATTAATATGCAGGCTGCAACATTCTATCCATTTACAGCTTGCCACAACTGCTAGCCCCGCACGAAAGGTCCACAGAGACACGGCAGAACTTACAAAAGTGCAGTAGCTCTGCATCATTTGTTTAAATTACTTATATCTAAGTTCTACATATTATACTATAAGACTACTATGCGATAATCGAAGTAAGCATAACTGCTTTAGTTAGGAAGATAATATATATAACTCAGTAAGTCTATATAGATATAACACAGTTATATATACAATATATACACATCATGAGGCATGCAAGATTCTTTTGCGTTGTGCTTTGGATAACTAGGTACCTAGGCGGGGTATCTGAGGAGTTCCCATCAGGTAGGTAGTTCTCGAACTTGCTGTTAATAAAAGGCAAAAGTCCGCAAAAAGCGCGATAAGTCAGCACTAAGTGACAGGCGATTATTTCACGTAGAATGGTTCATTAGCTTCTTAGAATGCAACTCCACATCATAGGTTCATTGGTGGCCCTTAAGGAAGCAACGTAAATAGACAACCAGTTCGCGTCTACTAACCCTTCAGCTTATGTACCTCTATGGACCCCACCGCATGCTATATGTAGCAGCTGCATGGGTAGATACGCTTTCGTAAACGATAGTACTGCCACTAATCATCTTATACCCAAGTTCTGACTAGCCTTTTCCACCACGCGCGCAATTCAATGTGAATACATTCTCCGTTCATTTGTCTGACTGACTAGCTAGCTCAATTTCTCAGCAATCAGGCGATAATCGGCGGATGCAAGCCCTCTGTTCTTGGGTGATCGTTGAGAAACATTGTTGTAATTTTATTTGGGAAGTGCAAGACTGCGATCTTCAGCATGTCAGACCCTATGATGTGGTTCAATTTTAGGCAGCTCATATACCGTCCGCGTCTCTCATAGTTGCAATTCGCAAGAGTTTATGCATCGTGCTATTAGTGTAGGTGCTATTAGTGTAGATGCATTAAATGGACAAAGACTGCCGAGATCAACGCAATGTTGGAGGAAGTTGCTAATGCTCATCGCTTAGCTGGTATCGTGTTCAACTAGACTGTGACGAACAGTAGAGCAATTAGCGCGAGTATCCTCCAAGCAAGTACTGCTTTCCTAGCGCTAGATACGGGTTCGAAGAAATTTGGTGAGAACTAGGCGAGAATTTCGACATCGACCATCTTATCGCCGAAATTAGAGAAGCAGCGCCGAATTTGGATGTTCGCTGGTCCTCGGGGCAACAAAAAACGTTGTACATTATAGGCCCAATCGAGGTAAGCAGGAAACACTTCGTTTGTTATAGTGGTTGGAAGATTAAGTAATAGATTACACATCCTATCTTCTGTATCAAGTTTCTGCAGATTATGCTTAATGTGGTGTATGAGCCCCTCAAATCTGCGGGGAGTGGGCATCCTTTTCGAGGCACAGCGGCCGCAAAACGGCAGGATTCTGGAGCACCAGAGCGCCCCTCCTAGATCGTCTTTATCTAGTTCTACAATTTCGAAAATGGGGGAACCCTATACTTAATAGTTGATTACTCATGGGCATTCGGTATTCTAATCATAGCTTGTATTTCTCTGAATATAATACGTAGAAGACACTCGCTTTTACGTTTTCTCGTTTCGGACTTGCTCTATCCTTGAAACTCAGCTCCATCTTCTGCCTATCGGAGAACCAGTATCGCAAAATCTATTTATTTGAATGCCAGTTAAAATGATTGGGTTTAGTCTAACAGACAAGCAAAAGGCTTTGCGTGAGGGGTCTGCCAAAATTGGCAAAGAAATTCTCTCTCCTGCGAGAGCCATATATTCTCAATACAACGACCAAGAATCTCGATTTCAAGCCACTTTACCATTTTACGAACAGCTTGTGAAAGCAGGCTTTGTAAAGGCCCAAGTTCCGACAGCGCTCGGTGGAAGCAATGAATCGTTCATAGATGGCGCAATTGTTGCCGAAGAACTCTATGCGGTTGATTCGAGCATCATGCTTCATGTGCTTGGCACTGGGCTTGGGTTGATGCCTCTTATTCTTGGCGGCACACCAGAGCAGCACACGAAGTTTCTTGCTCCTTTCCTCACTTGCGATGGCAATCCACTTGCAAGTTTAACTCATTCGGAACCGGGTGGCACTGCCAACTGGCTTGAAAAGGGTGGCAAGGGACTGGAAACTACTGTGAGAAAAGAGGGTGATTACTACGTTGTAAATGGAGATAAGGTACGAAATCTCAACCAAATTATTGATCTATTAGCTCACTTCACGCTCACCAACTTTGACCGTATGCAGCTGTGGACTACTAATAGCGCCGGTTGGGATGGAAAGGGCGCTGCTCTCTCATGTCTCTGTTGTCGGTATTCTGAGGATGGCGGACCTCAAGATCCCCAGGATGATCCTGCGTCAAATATCATCGTTCTTCTGGTAACGCGAGACACGGTAGCTCAGAACGAACCTGGAGCATACCAAAAGATTGAAGAGCCGAATCTCATGGGTCACATCGCTGCCTCTGGCCCACTGACTAGATACACCAATTTCAAGGTCCCGGTTACAGACGTATTGGCACCGGGAAATGGCGCGTCAGTTATCGAGCGAGCATTTAGCATGTCTGCTGCACTGGCAGGTGCTATGTCTGTTGGAATAATGCGCGCAGCCTTTGAAGCAGCCTTGAAGTTTGCTCGAGAAGATAGCCGCAGGGGCACAGTGCCTGTTATAGAAAGACAAAGCGCAGCGGATTTGTTGATCAACGCTAAGCTCAAGATTGATACGTCTCGCATTCTCGTCTGGAAGGCCCTTGATGGAGTAGAAAAAGGAACTGGAGATGACAGGAGCCGATATGAAGCCTGCTTGCAGGCCAAGATCTACTGTAGTGATCAGGCTGTGGCTGCTGTCTGGGACACAATGCAGTTAGTGGGAATGTGAGTTTTCCCAGGCTCCGAAGTCATATGTCTCTCAAATAAAGTTTGACAAGCTAACGCACATATAGAACATCTTACCGAACCGATACAGAGTTCCCCAGATTGTTAAACGATGCTGCGGTGTTCTCACTTTTTGATGGAGGTAACATTGGTGTTCGGCGGAGGCAGCTTCAGCGGCTGATGCAGGATGAAGACTATAAGCCATGGGCAAGTTTATGGTGAGGGGGAATATGCGGAATTGAGTCGAGCTGTAACTATGGATTGGAGGCTCAATGAAAAAATCTCTCTGCTGATGACATTATCCGATCACAGTTTGAAGTAATCTTATCCGAGCCGGTCGTGGAGCTTGCGAGTTGTAAAGGCTGTGTAGTCTACCGCGTCTTGACATGTATCGCTCATGTGCATAGTCTATCTAGTAGGTGACATGTAGCCGTAGATCTATCGTATGATATAAATTCGGCTCCTATCATGAAATAACTGGGTTAAGGTCTATTGCGTTTCTGTGTCATAACCAGCGCAGAGCGTATCGAGCGTATCGAGCGTATCGAGCGTATCGCTCTCCCTCCATCTCGTACAACTGGGTAAAAGTACGATTTCGCCTGATACCCACGTGTAGAGTGCTGCGTGAAGCATGAGCTATAGCATACAAATGCCTCCTTTGTAGTCATAGGGTACATGGCATTAGAAAAATGGTATTGACTATAAAGAAATTCCATATCTGAGCCAGAAGGCTAGACAGACTGTTCATATCAAAAGACTTTGAATGAAACGCTCCTTGATCAATTCGACGCCGTGTGACTCAGCCGGCCAGCGATATTCACCATGCTCTTTTGGGTCAGGGATAAATACCGTGCGACTTACTAACATAGTGCACAGTATCATTAGTATGTATAAATGGATAGCTGAATCTAGTTGCTATACTTGGATCTTTGACGAAGAGAGACAGGAGAATATTTTGCAATTGCTCAATCACACATTATGGAGGGCGATTTTTTACAAACAGACCGGCTGCAGCCAGCCTCCCGACCTCAATCGGCAGCCTCTACCGTATTGTCCATTCTTGACGCCACGGTTGTTCGATTCGCGCCTACAGGAGCCATCTGGATCTTCGATCATGGCAAACCAGCTGAGATGGTTGGATGTCTCAAAGACTCTTTCATCAAGACACTCAACGCTTTCCCCCACTGGGCGGGCCAGCTTCAGTGGGCTACAGTCCGCGAAAATGGCTCCCACACAGAGCGTTCCCACCGACCAATGATTACCTACGGCCTTGATTCAGATCCTGGAGTTGAATGGAACGTTGTCCAGTTGGACTCGTCCCCAGCATCAATAGCTCCAGAACCCGCCTTACGAGCTTCCAATGAATTGTGGATAGAGAGTTTCCCCCAATCCAGTCTCATGATGTCTTCAACGAAATTGGCTCTGTATGATCTCGAGACCTTCCAAGGCCTGCCGAGCATGATTGTACAAGTCACTCTTCTGGGAAGCAGCGGCTTCGCTGTGGCCGCAAAGATGGCCCATCCACTAGGCGATGCTCATGCTCTTGTACTTTTCATGCGTCGATGGGCGTCAATCTGTCGCGATGGGCTTACGAAGCAAGACCTAACAAAAGATCTGGCGTATCCCATCTTTGAGCCAAGCTTGCTAGACTCCAGGGCCGCTGGCAACATCGATTCCCAAGATGGCAATCCAGAGCTTGTCTCAAAGGCTCGTTCTCTCCCTATGCATCGCCACGACTGGTGGGATACCACCGCCGGGCATCCAGCGACACTTGGCCAGTCAACAATAAACTCCAAGCCGAAAGATGCCGCGCTGTTGCAAAAAGCAATGATGTCCCCTGCGTACCCGCCGCCATGGGAGAGTTGGATTATTTCTAATTCTGTTACAACCAGCATCATACACTTTACGGGCGACGAGCTAGAGCGACTGAAACAGTCAGCTACGGGGACCACAGCCAAGGTGTCACGCCTTGATGCTCTGCTGGCTCATGTTTGGGCAGGCATCAATCGCGCTCGCTTACCATTGATGAAGAGCGACGATGAAGTCTTCTTGGACTTCACTCTAGGAATCCGCGCTCGTGTTTCACCGAGTCTCCCAGACACCTTTGTCGGCTCACCTCTGGTGTTGACGCATATAAGCTCTCCTATCGGCAACGTCGCGGCTTCAGACACCAAGATCGAATCAATAGCCTCGGAGATCCGCACATGCCTTGATAGGTTTACGCCTGAGGCTGTAGCGGCTATACTTCATGAGGAAGCGCATGAAGTCGCGCCTCAGCGTCTATGGAGGGCATTCCTTGGCAGGAAGCACACTCTTGCCACTTCGTGGGCTCGGCTTGGTGTTTACGACATTGATTTTGTTGGAAACGGGTTGCGGCCACGTTATGTGCATGCCATTATGGTCGCCATGGATGGTTTGCTGTGTGTGATGGACAGCGGGATGCTCGATGGTGGTTTGGACATCTCGCTGTGTCTAGAGTCAGAAACAATGGAGAGATTTCTGAAAGAAGACAAGCTGCGAGAATTCTAGAAGATAGCGGAATAGAGTTCCGAAATAAGTAAGAGTGGCTGACACAATGACGTTTTCCCGTCGTCTCTCACCTAGACTATGTATTTGCTACTACTGTTCTGTAGTCGCCAGCTAGCCTGAGTGTTTTCTCTGTGCTCGGTGGGTAAACAGTCCAGATCAAGCGTTGTAAACTCGATGAATTACAGCATGTGGATGTTGACTATTTTCTTTCTTTAGTCCTCTGTTCAATGTTTTCTTTAGATATGTGTTATATACTGGAATAGACTTCATAGGCGAGTTTGCGCGACCTCGATTTTAATTGATCAGAATACAGGTAAATCAAGTTTCTCTTTTATAGCTGATAGACAATGAATACCCACATCACTGGTCGTATACTCGAGTTGGTATACGATGAGCTATTTCTCAGCGCAGTACGCGATAGAAACTAATCATATTATAAATCTAGTATAAGACAAATTAACTCCTAGTCACCAATTGACCTGAAGTATACAATGGGCCCAACGCCGGTCATCACTAGGGATAAAATGCGCGGAAATACTGCACTCAGTATCAGTCCTGTCCTAATAAGCCAAACGCACGCAAAACTCCGAACAAAATCTATCCTACAATTCAAGAGAACCCATGGCCAACATCCTTCTCACCGGTGCTTCCGGCTACCTAGGCGGCAGTATTTTAGCCCAACTGCACAATTCGGGCGACGGGGGCATAGAGCTACCAGCCCATGGCACTATCTACGCGCTCGTTCGCAGTGATGCTCAAGCACAGGCTGTCCAGGACTATGGCGCTAAACCCGCGGCGTTTGATCCAGGCGATGAAGCCGCCATTGAAGACTTCATTATGGATCATAAAGTATCAATTGTCATCTGGTTCATCGACGTGGTGAATGTTGACAGGCAGATTCTGTTCATCCGAGCGCTAGCTAAGCTGCGGCAGCAGACTGGTAAAGACGTTCATTTTCTGCAGGTAGGTAACAGCACTCACTCCCCAATTTCTATAAGAGGCGAAAGTTGGACGAGGACGAAAGTTGTCTTAAAAAAAGTCGCCGCTTTTTCCTCCACTGGACATGTACCTTCTATTAGCCATCTTCATGCTGCAATTACCAACATCTGCCAATAATAGACATCTGGGGCAAAGATATTTTCCGATTTAGCGGGAGCCCCAACAGACAAGCCATTACTAGATACAGATCCTGGGCTATATGAGATCCAGAAGAAGCAACAGGATCAAGCTCCATATCAGGCATTTCAAAAGGTAGACACAACCCCTGGCTGAGGTCTCTATTAAAAGATACAGCAAATGAATGACCAACATTTCTAATAACGTATCAGGCTGTCGGCACAAACAATACCATAATCGCTTTGGCAGAGGAGCTTGGCGTGAAAAGCTACATCATTGCGCCATGCATTGTTTGTAAGTTAATACCTGCCTTCAAAAGCCACAAACTTGTGAGAGTTGGTTTCCTATCCTGAGTGCTCACAACTATCCAGATGGCAAGGGATTGGGATTCGGCAACCAGATTTCTGCTCAGACCGTAGCTATTGTTAGAGCAGCCAAGGAGGCAAAGCGAGTCTATCGCGTTGACGACAATTCGCCGGTATGTCACTTGCTAGTCCTCAGATGTAGCTATCTGGAGAGCCGATGCTGATTACGATTCTGACCAGACGTGGCCCGTATGCCACATAAGAGACAACACCAGCCTCTATATTCACCTGCTCGCCACCATTCTCTCTGAGAGTCGCAATCCTGGTCACGGAAAACAGGGCTACTATCTGCCTTCGCCGGGTAGCATAGTATGGGACGACCTCTACAGTCGTATGGCAGCAGCACTGGCGAAGAAGGGCATTGTCGACGGCGAACAGACTACGCTGGCGGATGATGAAGCGCTTGAGGCGATGGGCCGCGGGCTGAAATGCCCGAAAGCTTTTGTGCGGGTACAGTTGGCTGGAAAGTGAGTTTTGTCATTCGCCCACTTCCATGTGAGGCACAAAGAGCCGATTTGCTTACAAGACGCATTTGAATGCTTAGATGCACACTTACACCAAAGAACGGCAAAGAAAGTCTGGGATGGGTGCCTAACTTTACGCCGGAGCACATTCTGGAAACTGCAGAAGCGGAAGTCGAGCTCATTCTGAAACACATTTGATGACCGATTCTAATACCTAAAATCGGCTAAGTTATAGGCGACGGAGGACCCCCAGTTATAGGCAAAGAGGTGATATCGTTGCTACCAATGAACGCAACCCGTAGCTCTGCACTAAATTATACATGGTCAGTAACGAGCGAGTAAGGATTCATATTTAGACTATCGACTAAAAAAATCAACTACCGGATACGATATATATCTCTTTCTCTCTCTACAATGTGGATTTTGTCACTTTTACGGCTCTTTCAATCAGTGGGTTTATGCAGTCTACTGTTCACACCATCAAGCATCAACTGGCGCGTACTCCTTCGGGTTTCATGCCTTGAGTTTACCACTGTCAAAAAAAGCAAAGACTCTCGTCAGGTTAGTTGTAATTTAGTCTCCGCTTATACTGCTTTCATTCTAGCTAAGGTAGATAACAAGTCGCAGACTATCAATATGTCTTGTTAATATTACAAGACAGTATTGATCATCAACTTTGGCCATGTTTCATGAGATCTCAGCTAATCTATATATTCAACACTGTTTAACATCTATCAAATTATCTGATAACAGTCTTGGATTCCAATTGATGACGGCTGCCGAGGCAGAGCCGGCGGGGGAATATCGGTACCTGATAAACAAAAGTCACCATCTAATGGCCTCCCTGCCATTGGGTAGACGAGGAATTAACATCTGTTTGGATATTGCGCCAATAATATCGCTTAGTTTTAAGACCAATGAGAGGGAATGAGCGCATTGCAAGGCTGGGGCCGGAGCCTTGGCGGGGTTGCTGGTTATATTGTCGGGTGGTAATGCCAGAACCCAACCTTTACATCCATCCCCAGTATTACCAGAACACTAATAGAAACTATAGCTATTCCAGAAGTCTTTGATTTGAAGCTGCGATGCCACCACCTAACGCAGGCTTTAGGGACCGGCTGTTGGGGAGAATTCGTGACAGAAGTCGTGACAGAAGTCGCGACAAAAATGAGTATGTGAGTATTCCATGGACACACAAGTTGACTATTAACCAACATCTTAAATATAGAATGAATGCCTCCAAACCTGCGTCCAAGTTGTCTTCTGACGGCTTGCTCGCTGAAAATGCACCTCAACTACTGTCGGCCCTCGGCCACGATTGCCAAGACACACCAATACGAGAGCTTTGGAATGTGGCATACGAAAACTTGCGAAAAGAAGATGCTAAGCTAGTCGACAAATACGAGGCCAGTCTTCAACAGTGCCTGCCGTCAGACTTGGAAAATGTTGGCAGAAGAGAATGGATGGACGCCATACTTAAGCATAAGATGCGAGAGACACAAGCGAATATCTGGAAATTGACATTCAGACGCTCAGAAGTTCAGCTCACCGAGGTCATTCAAAAAGTCTTGGGAGTACTCAAATTAGTGAATGACTTTGTTACCGCTGCTGTCAGTTCCAACCCATCTGCATCTCTAGCCTGGGCTGGCGTTGGCGTATTGTTGCCGGTAAGTAAGAATGTCACGTCATCTATCTTGGCATCGGATGATTAGAATAACCCACACTTTGATGTTGTAGCTTTTTTTGAACCCCATAGAGCAGGCTTCGGGCCTAGCGGATGGATTGGAGTACATTTCATCGCTCATTGTCCAAAGTCGAATGCGAGAAGACCTATATCATCGGCGCTACGAATCAAACAGCCCCTCTGAAACATCTCCAACACATAAAGCCATTTATAAGAATACTTTAGAAGAGTTGTATCGACAAATATTAAGATTCCAAGTGGCAAGCTATTGCTACTACACCCATAATGACGCCTCACGTTTTGGCCGCGATTTCATCAAACGAGACGATTGGAGTGATATGATAGGAAAGATTCGCACCCAGGACTCCCATTTCATCAAGATCAATGAGCTTTGGCGCGAAAACCAGTACATTGATGAATGCGTGGCGGCGCAACAGCGGCACCAGGAGAGCATTAACAGTTTAACAGTAGTTGGCGCAGAGCTTTCTGGCCTCAAAAAAGCAGTAGATGATGCTAATTCTAAGAATGATCATCGAGATCTAATGCGTTGGATGTCTGACCTCGACCCATCGCCAATTTACAACTCTGCTCTGAACAGGCACGAAGCTGGTACAGGCGAGTGGCTGCTCAGAAGGAATGGAGAGTTTTCTACCTGGATAAAGAGCTCTAATTCCTTTATATGGCTGCATGGAAAAGGTGCGTTGTTTGTATTATAGTTGATGAGAATCGAAACATAATTAACGATGAGCAGCTGGATCGGGGAAGTCAATCCTAACCACCTCGGTCATTAAACATCTGAAAGATAAATACGACAACGATTCATCAGTCGCCGTCGCCTACTTTTATTTTACTTTTAGCGATTCGAAAAAACAAGAAAGAGACGGTATGCTTAGATCACTTATCAAGCAAATATGCTGCCAACGCCCAAATACGCCCGAAACAGTCAGAAAGCTAAGGGAATACAAGAATCAAGACACACAGCCACCTACTAGCATTCTTGAGCAGAGTTTATTAGATGTCATATGCGGATTCTCAGCAACATATCTGGTAATTGATGCTCTGGACGAATGTCCAAAGTTCAAGGGCGAACGGTCAGAGCTTATGAAGAGTCTGAATCGCATTCTTACAGCTACAGCCGCGGCCACGACAAGCAATCTCCATCTATTCTGTACAAGTCGAAAAGAATTGGATATTGAAATTGAGTTCCGAGATCATTTATCCAAGCCAGAGGGTGCGGAGATTGACCTATCTTGTTGCAGAGAGGAGATGGAGCAAGATATTAGGCAGTATATTGATGTGGCTTTATCGAGTGCTGACTTTCACTCTTGGCCACCAACTATTCGATCGGAGGTGCGAGAGGAATTGATCAAAAATTCAGATGGAATGTAAGACTCATAGACGTCAAGTAAAGCGAAGTTTGCAAGAGGTTTTGCTGACAGCTGAGAGAAAGGTTTCAGTATGTTCGCTGCCATTTTGACAACTTACAGCGGCTCAAATCATCAGCTGAGATCCGAAGAGCTTTGAAGCAGCTACCGCAGGGGCTTGATGAGACATATGAGAGGATGCTACGAAATATAGACCCGGTTTATCAGCCGCAGGTTGCAAGTTGCCTCAAATGGCTTGCCTTCTCCCTCACCGTACTGACCATAGACGAACTCGCTACAATATTTATTCTGCGGCCAGAAACCGACACTATCATTGATGAAGATGAACGTGTTTTCAGCTCAGAGGATACTTTGGCATATCTGCGCGGACTTGTAATTGTTGAGATGGATAAAAAACAAAGGAAATTTGTCCGCCTAGCTCATTATTCGATCAAGGAATATCTGATTTCTGGCCGAATGTGCAAGGATCTTGCAGCGGCCTTCTCGTTCACCGATATTAGCGCCCATCTCTGGATTGCGCGTTCAAGCCTCGCCTACGTTCTACATACGGGCGTTACCTGCAAAATTGCTGAAAATGCTGAGGATTTCAACTCCGATCATCGCGATACGCTAAAATGGTATACAGCCCAGAACTGGCCGCGTCATCTTGAAATGGTCCCTCGCAAATCCTGGCCAACTGAAGTTGTTCAACTGGCGAATTCTGCTCTCTCCATTCGGAGCAAGGGTCTGATTATCACACTCTTGCCGGGCGCCGTGAAAAATCTCGATCTCGAAACTCGCAGCGACGAGTTACAGCATCCGTACTATTTTACTGCTCTATCAGGCTACTCTCAACTGACTGAACTATTGCTCTCGGATGACTCGAGCACAGGCAAATACGTAACGCAGGAGGATAAAGATACTATGCTACAGCTCGCAGCGCGGGCAAGCAGCAAAGAACTTGTCCTAACTCTCCTAAATAGAGGTGCGGCCGCCAACGCAAAAAAGGTTAACCATGAGTATGCCAGGAGTGGCGATGCATTGCAAGAAGCAATCCGGCAAGGAGATTCGGACATCGTGAGGATCCTTCTTACTTGGGGTGCCGATATAAATGCACAGCGCGGGGACTGGGGTTCGGCCTTGCAGGTTGCTGCACTGCAGTCCGGATTGGAGATGCTGGAGCTTCTCATCGACTATGGGGCTAACATTAACGGCCCCTCAAACGCTGCAGGATGCGTTCTTTCTGTAGCAGCTTCAGATCACAAGACCACACACCTTGAGTTTTTACTAGCCAAGGGTGCCAACATCAATATGCGTGGCACTGGAGAAAATGAAACAACGGCGCTTCATGTAGCGGCAAGAAACGGCAGTTGGCATATCTTTGACCTACTGCTACAAAGAGGAGCCGACATAAATATTGGCAGAAAATATGGGACTGCTCTTCATAGACTAGTCGCGTACGGTGACGATGTGGTCGGCGTGCTTGTTCGAATGAAGCGCTTGGTTGAGATGGGCGCTGACCCCAAGGCCCAGTGTGAAGAGTTGGGGACTGCATTGCATGTTGCATGTGGCAACTGGAATCCTGAATCTATTCAGATCGTACAGTTTCTGTTTGATAAAGGCGTTGATGTGAATATCGTGGCAGGCGGTTATGGAACGCCGCTGCAGGCGATGTGCGCATCGCATGGGAATATAGAAATGGCCGAGTTGCTATTGGCCCACAACGCCGATGTGAATCTACAAGGTGGCGAATACGGCACTGCTCTTCAGGCCGCATGTTCGAGGGAAAACATGGGACTGGTGCAGCTGCTGCTTGCTCATGGAGCCGATGTGAATCTACAAGGTGGCGAATACGGCAATGCTCTTCAGGCCGCATGTTCGGGGGGAAACATGGAACTGGCGCAGCTGCTGCTTGCTCATGGAGCCGATGTGAATCTACAAGGTGGCGAATACGGCAATGCTCTTCAGGCCGCATGTTTGATGGGCAACAAGAAACTGGCGCAGCTGCTGCTTGCTCATGGACCTGATGTGAATGCCCAGGGCGGATATTTTGGCAATGCGCTGCAGGCCGCATGTGCTCGCCACCGGCGCCGTTCAGTGGCTATTGTGCGCTTGCTGCTAGCAAGTGGCGTCGATGTAAATGCAGTTGGTGGTGAATATGGAACAGCTTTACAAGCCGCGGCATACAAGTACGTAGGCAGGGAATCTACGGACTCTATGGAGACAATACGTCTCTTACTTGAGCACGGTGCAAATGTCCACATCCAGGGCGGTAAGTACGGCAATGCCTTAAATGCAGCTACCGCTACTACTTTTCTCAATCTGGATATTCTTCAACTGTTGTTGGACCACGGCGCCGATGTTAACAAAGTGTCTGGTGAGCGTGGCACTCCCCTGCATAATGCCCTCAATACGTTACGGATAAGATGGTTAAGTAGGGGAAGCAAGCTCACAGAATTGTGTACTGGCAAGATCCGGCTTCTTCTGGAACATGGTGCTGATGTTAATCTACCGGGCGGCGAGTATGGCTTGCCTCTTCAAACAGCGTGTGTAATGGGGAGCTTGTCTCCAGAAATATTATACCATGTTGTAAGGATGGACGCAGCAGCCAAGACGATAAAACTCCTTTTGGACTATGAACCTCCGACTGATGTCAACGCTCATAGTGGAACCTTTGGCACAGCTTTACAGGCAGCAGCGTATTCGGGTTTGGCAGAGCCGATAAGCCTGTTATTAGAGCGAGGTGCTCAAGTCGCCTGTCACGAATGGTGTGGCAAGTATGGCTCTGCCTTGAACGCGGCTGTCATCAAGGGCCACTGGGATATTGTGCATCTCTTACGCGAGGCAGGGGCAAAGCCCGATTGCTATTCAATGCAGACGCCTGATGAAGAATGGCTTCTAAAAGTCCGACAGGAAGATGGTCGAGGGGCGGAAGAGAGATATAGGAAGTTCTGGGAATTAGAGAAGCCGATACAGGAGCAGACGCTGCTTCAACGACAAAGTCTACTCACTGCAATCCACTTTTCACGGCTTCTTATGCCATTCCAGCTGTTTATCTCCTTTTTACTGGCATATTTCATTCGCCCAAATAAAAGAGAGTAAACATGATTCTCTACTTTTTTTACATCTATTATATCTGCTACATCTGTTACGTCTGTTACATCTGCTACATCTGCTATAACATCAAGTTAAATACATAAGATAAAAGGATATGATTTTACATAATACAAGTGCTGCTATTCTACAGCATACGCAGTACTCTAAGTTACGGTAATCATACATATAAGCTCAATCTTTCATCCACCAAGAGCAAAAGTAAAATAATCCATCGCTTTACAGTTACGCTCCATGCTACTAGACATGGAAGACCGTACCCGAAGTACTCGAACAAAGCCCAAAGCCCAAAGCCCAAGGGCGCCGTCGCATTTAATATACACCAAACTGCCGTCAGAGAAGATGATAATTTCGTCGCGGGGTTTCAAGTGCAACTAAGGCTTCAAAGTCTCATTCCACGACTGCCAATACTGGTTCGCCCAAGTAGGCATGCACCTCACCATATCTGGCGGATCAAGCCGCCAGTCTATTTGATCATCTGCAGAATCTTGTTTCGATACCAAGTCGGACGTATAACCTTTGGATGCCTTGATCCTTTCTCCCTTTTCCACAGAATACTCGAGGTTTATTGACGGAACGACGGCAATTTTGCGATAGCCCTTGAACCAGAGGTCTTTGCAGAATAGCTGCGGCTCGCCTTGTCTGCACTCACCAGCAGACTCATTCGCTGCCCTGAACTGTATATCCCCCTCCAAAATGGGCTGGGCTGTGAATGCTGCAGCGCCGTTCCAACATGAAAACACTTGAAAGGGGCGCTGCCTGAAGAAGCGATCTCGAGTCTCGTCAGCGTTCCAGAAGAGATTCCATGCCGAGTCCCAGTTTCCGTCTGGGGGGATTTCGAAGAAGGAATCGCCATTGATCGTGCGGCCGATCCACACATCGTAAAAGGTGGGGTGTTCGCCAGCATATGTCCAGTCCATGGCGCATGTCATGTCTGCACCGAGGGCCTTTTTTTGATGAACAAGCTCGAGGATGTCCTCAGAACACGCAGATACATCGTTGAGGAAAATGACGGTTGTGTTACCTGTCACCTTGCCCTTTAACTCTGACAGCGGCGCCAATGCCATGTTTCGAAGCTGTGCAAGGCGCCCAACGCGGTCGTCTTTACTGGGATCGATTGTAGACGACTCGAAATAATATTCGACCCCCATTTTCTCGAGTGCGGGCTGGAGAGCAGCAAGAACATCGGCGGTGCCGTCTGGAGAGTTGCCTTCAACTATGGACAGTGCACATTGCGCCGGGCCGAGAAATCGAATCGCCTCGACGATGCTGCCTATAAGCCGAGGCAGCAGAGGCAGGTTTTGTCGCAGGTTGAGGGCGAAGAAATATTGAATAGCTGGATCGAATGATTCTTTGCTCTTGAGCACGTTGTATCGGGTGGTGCTGTTGAGCGCAGGACATCTTAAAGTTGGCAGTGTTGAAGGCTGTGATGTCAGGATGGCATCGAGATATTGGGTGATGTTGGCAGCCGGTAAGATGGCGCCTGGAAGAACGAACGAGGTCAGAATGTTTAGAGACAATTAACAGCTATTTCCAAGAGCAGAGTATTTACCATCAGTGACAGGCTTTGGCGGTCTTCTATCGCCAGCGCCATGTCGAAATAGAGGGCGCACAAGTCGATCTCTGCTCATGAACAGTGCCGTCGCGACAATGAAGCCCACAATCAGCGGAACTGCCAGCGCCGATAATCTCCTACGCATCTTGAGGGTCGAGAACGATGCAGCATGTCGGTGCCAAAACGCGCATCCGTGGCCACATCATGAGGCAGAGCACGACGATGCAAAGACCATATTAAGGGGCCTGCGTTGCCTGCAGCTGGAGGTTGTTGGTCGACGGTTGCATCGGCGCAACCTTCATTTCCAGTAACAGGCCGCATCAGGCTGACCAACGAGGATGCGAAGCGCCCACACGGCTGGTGCCGAGGCGCCGTGGGGGGATTAACAGTCAAGGGTTTCAGTGGATTTAGTGGTTTCAGTGGATACACGTATAGTGGGGTGTATATGGTGCTACCGCTGATAACGGCTGAATAGTACATGTAACCACCAGGATTTCATCTAGAACCAACAACATATTTCTAAACACTCAGCCTTGTCCTACCATGTACCCTGGAAAATGAGATATTTTCGTGCTTTGCGGGTGTCTGCCAAAATTTCAAGGTCGATATATGTACGGCTGCGCAAAAGGGGCAGCCTGATCTCGTAGCGATGCGTCCATCCCCTCTGCCGGCGGTTTTTGCTTCCACTCCATCTTGTTTTGCAGATCCGCCACAATCTTCGTGGTGCATGCCAGGCGCATGAGACATGAGAGCCTTTACTGTACATGCGTCGAGACTACTCGCCGTTTTCCTTTTTCTCTCACAGTTCCGTATTCCCAGCGCCCAGAATCTTGGTACCTTGCCTACTCCCGTGACACGGCTGCCTCAGCGCAATGTCGACCACCATGGCGATGATTTCGATAAACGGGCTGATATCCAGACAAGAATGTCTACCTGTGGCTTTCAAGATGGCGACCCCAGCAAGATGCGCACTGCCGACCCGGGATTCGACTGTCGAGTCGACACGATGAACGGCCTTTGGGGCTTCTGTCCAGTCACGGTGATAGCAGCTACCGATTGCGGCTTGGCTGGAAGCTGTGTTGACCAAGCATCATGCTCGAGTGGATGCGGGCAATTTGACATGAACCAGTTGACTACATTTACTTGGTATGTCTCATTCTCCTCGTTTATAGACAGCTGCAGACCCTCTTTGAGCCGTAGGAGGTGCTGATGATTCGGCTTTTATAGTGGGCCAAAACAGTTCTGCTCTACCGCCCTCTTGACTTTTGGAGTCGATCAAACATATACCTATATTGCTTGCGGAGGCAGTCCCAAGACAGATCATTATCTTGCGTCCCCCACCTCGCAGCCATCTTCAACAACAACGACGAGTGCGAAGCAGACGAGCACAGCTCCGGTTTCATCATCGCTCAAGCCAACAAATGCATCTCCTGGTAGCACATCAGAGCCATCAAGGCCCTCAACAACTGGATCGCTTGCAAAAGAAACCAGTGGTAACAGTGGAAGTAACGACAGCGATGGCTCTTCTACAAACAATACTGGGGCAATCATTGGTGGCGTCATCGGCGGTATTGCTTTGTTATGTTTCTCTGGCATTGCTGCCATTTTGCTTTTGCGGAGGTCCCGATCACGTCCTCGCCAGACGCGGATGACTGGCGCGCAAGGAGAAGAACATGAGGCTTGGTATCATCTTAGCCCCAAAACCAAAAGCGACCATCGTTTCACGGGCGGCTGGGGGCCTAGAGAATTACCAAGCTCATCGTATAACAGGACTTCTGTTCATCCGGTAGAACTGCCCGGCTAACATTCTCAATGCCATATTGTGTAATGGTAGAATATATGTAAGGTTATATACAGGCACTAGAAGATGAATTGAGGAGGTCGCATTCAATACAGGACTAAATATACAATAGTATGGGAGAGACATTGAAGATAGAAAGAAATAATGGGAGGAGACAAATGTTTATATATTACAAATACAGACCTTCTTCATCATTTTTAACATGATGTAGCCTGAAGCAGTTGTGCTTTATACTAGTAGAAGCGCCTTGAAGCTCGTAGAGAATGCTCATCTATGACTGTTCAGCAGCCGTACCATTTCTGGCGCACTCTCGCAGTATCCATTGCTCCATCACCGTCTCTGCCAGGCTGGCTCTTTTCTGTGCCCACCAATGCTCTGTCGAAGGAACAAGAATTCTCACAGCGCGGTAAAAGTGGTACAATAAGACTATCGCATGAAGGTCTCCATGTCTCACCATCGACACAAATTGCTGGTCACACAGAAGGGGGAAGATGATGAGATACCGAGAGAGGTTTCTTGCCAACTCCGGGCTAAGAGCATCGCACTCTCCATCTTGGGCCTCTGGTAGGAAAGACAAAATGAGGCAAAGGCGATCCACAATGCCATAATACCCTTTCAAAGAATAGCCTACTTCTTTGGACGTGGAAGGACCTATTTCTGCTAATTTTGGAATTTCCACGGCCAACAGGCTTTCTGGGGTGAGGTCGGAATTGCGAATGAAGGGGAGAGGAACCGAAAGGAGAGAAGGGCTGACAGGGCGATCGTACGCAAAGAACCGCCTAAACTCATCAAATGAATCCCTACTTAACCTTGCAGCATTGACCAGGACAATCCGAGAGCTGTACCTGATGTGTGGCAGCAACGATGATTGCTTGTGCCCGGAGAGGGGAACGCAGCTCAAGAATACATGCAGAATACCCACGCTGTGTTGGAAAAGGTGGTCTTTGAGCGGGTCGTACGACATAGTCCCGTCAGGCTCAAGCACTGCAAACTCAGTATTGGACCACATATCCATGGCTAACAGTGCAGTAGTAGTCATGATTGCATCGACGTTGGACGGCGTAAACTTGCTGGAAAGATCGTCGCAGTAGAGACTCAAAGTCTTTGTCAAATGAGTCGTGGCTGCTGTGGCATATTTTTGCTCATCAGGAAAGAGATACGACAAATGTCTCGCCGACTCACAGAGCATGGCATGCATCAGAGACGGGAAGCTAAAAGATAGCTGCAGAGCATTATTCCAGGCTTCCGAAGGAAAGAGAATTGTTGGGATAGTGCCGTGTTGGAAGTGATGGAAGAGTTTCATCTGTAGCAAATTGACTACATCATCCACTTCATCCAATGCTGGCCCGTACCGCTGTGAGAGACTCCGAGGCACCTCGTCAACAACGTCCTCAGATTTCTCAATTTCTCTCCTACGGCTCACAGTCCTAAAGCTACAAGAGTCCTGTCGACGGATACACGCCGAGCATGTGGGAAGTTTCTCGTCGCACTTGTGTATTTGGCGCAAGTCAGCATTCGGGCACCGACGGTCAATGAAAGCGGTGGATTAAAGACCATTAGACGATCAACTTACCTTTACTCGCCGCTTCCTGCACTGCAGACATCCGCGCTTGGATTTATTATGCAGCCTCTTTTGCCTGAATGGATCCACCATTAAGTTGGCTGGAATCTCACATAACGTCTGTTCCGAGTTGGGGGCCACAACGAAGACGCTGGTGCAATCAGACAGCGACGGAGGGGTCCTCTTCCGTGCATCACGGGAGGATGAGCTAGATGTAGGGATGCCGATGCCGCGCCTTAATGCAGACTCCATTGTAAGAAAACACAGCACGCGACCTTTTGGGTGACTCAAGGGATATTGCAAATGCAGATTTACGCGCAGTCCGCAGTGTTTACGAACTTGGCGGTCGGGATCTACACCAAGCCAGGCAGACATGAAATCGGACACTAAACCGTACAAGACTGAACGAGCCGAATTTGGCAAGTGGGGACCAGGTCGGGCCCGGTAACTGTGGGGCAATCTTAATACTCCGGCTCGGATGTTGGAGCAGCTTGCCGAGATTGTGTCCGAACCAGCTCTTGATTCGCCAGCTGAGGAGGATTATCCTTGTTGATTCATGCTGCTCGTTCGATCAGATAAGGTGAACGAGCAACGTGGGCGCAAGATTAGCCTTTGAATTAATATTTGGCCCCATTCTAAGAGCAGTGACTATGTCCGTTTCAGTGCCCGGAAAAGACCGAGACGTCGGATATTGTCTCGGAAAATCCTCGCTTTCGCTACGTATGCACGACATTTCTGTTATGCAATATGCTCTTGCTCTTCAGGGGAAAAACTTTATCTTATGTCCCAATAATGGCCAGGCTGAGAAGTATTAAGGGGCTGGGCCATGTTCAGTTGTGCTGGTGGACCAACACATGTGCTCAACCCTGCAGCTAGGTATGGCCATCGAGGGATAGGGTACTAAGTGGATCACAGGAATAGCTAACTACTACAATTCGTCACCCGAAACACATCTGCTGACATCAGTCAATGCCATACATGTACTCAGTGCGGCATATCGGTGCTTCAAGATGTCCGAAATAAGTATATATATGGGAGATGCATCACTTGGTATGATCTACTACTCTCATCGCCCTCATCATCGCTGCCCTCATCATCACTACCTACTCTCAACAGGATCATCATCCTCATCATCATCATCGACCAACACTTTCCGATTTTGCACTTACAACAACTACGTCACTTCAATATGGACTTCAAAACACCCGACATGGAGGCCCTTTTCAGCTTTGAAAACTTCCGCTTGGCCACGAGCTTCGACAATCAAGCCAAAGCCGCGTTGCTTCGTCCCAACACCAGGCTCGAGCAATGCTTGGCCAATTCGACAGCCAAAGGTCTTCCGCCCATCAGCGTCCTCCCCATGGCCGGTCAACATCTATCCATTCTTGCTCAAATCACTGGAGCCAAGTCGATTCTCGAAGTTGGTACGCTGGGAGGCTACTCGTCCATTGTATTCGCGGAAGCAGGTGCCAAGGTGACCAGCATCGAGATCAACCCAAAACATCGCGACGTGGCTTTGGAGAATGTCAAGGGCCTCGACGCAGAAGTTCTACTCGGAGCGGCGCTAGACGTCTTGCCGAAGCTTGCTGAGGAAGGGAGGCAATTTGACATGGTGTTCATTGACGCGGCCTTCGAGGATCAATGGGAGCACTTCGATTGGGCGGTCAAGCTGACGCGCCCAAATGGATGCATATTCCTCGACGATGTGATCCCTACTATGATCCAGAACGGACAGACAAAAGAGGGAGGCGAGACTATTTTGACAAAGATTGGCAGAGACGACAGAGTTCAGGCCACGCTGATGCCGACTGTGGCTTGCCATTCTATGATACCTACACCAGTGTTTACTGGCTTCGTCTTGGCCGTGGTCAAAAGCCACTAATGCCAATCATATCCTGCAAAAATGTATTAGCTTCTTGATATAAAATACCACTCATATATTTTGTCATTACAATTCCCACCTTACAATTCCCACGTGAGGAGCCTATCAGTAGCACGTGAATGCACCATTTGTAATCATTCTTCATTGCCTCATAGGTGCCAAACTATCGTCTGTGTTTCGCCGCCTTATCGAAACTTTCCCATCAAGCCCGTCGGATACCTTGAAAGTGTCGTTCATATGACGCTTCCAGCCAGGTACATTCTTTATTCTGCTTCTTACTAGACTGCTGAACCTTTTTTTCTCAATTGTATCTTGTTCTGCTGTTATAGCTGGATACCACTCTTTCTGTCTTGTTTCGAGCGATGTTCGTCCGCTCATTTCGTGAAATGCTAATGGCGTACCTTGACGGCTACGGGTTTGCAATGTCTGAATCATCCAGTCCCGGATTTCTTCACCTCTGTAGCCATAAATGAATGCGAGTGATAGAACTCCTACCGTAATCGGTACTGCAGTTATCCAAAAGATTGCTTGATTCCACTCCGAATCCCTCACATCCGTGGTGTTCATGCCGAGGAAGCTCGAAACAAATGACAGCGGCAAGAAAAATAGTGTGACAACAGTAAAGACCCTGATCGCCTTTCCATGATCTTCTTCCATTATTTCAATCGTTTGCTTTACTTGATCCTTCAGAATCCGTAGTCGTGTCGCTAAATTGTCAATTTCTCGCCGTCTTTCTATGTGGTGGTGTAGCTGATCATTGCCAAATTGCACTTCGACTCGAAATTCTCTGAGTCGTGTTTCCGTAGTATATCGAGAAGTTACGGGATTGATAAGGGTGAGGAAATTATAGAGACAGCTTTCCTGGCTATCCGCTAATTTATCCAATGCTTGAAGCTCTTCTTCGAGGCCATGAATATCCAGAAAGACCCGTTTTCGAGGTCGGTTGTTTGCCTCAAAATGAAGCCGAGATGTGTAATCTTTATAAAGCTGCAAGAGAGTATTCTTTACATAAGAACGGCCCATGGCAGATGGCTGGACTAAAGGCCGTTGGATTTCTGACATGAATGCCAACGCTAGAAACTGGACTCGGACAGTCTCAGCCTCCAGCATTTCAGAATGAGATCCTATTCCAGACAGAAAAATATCTTTCTTGGCATCCTCTAGGCGGTCTATGATGCGTTCGTTGGCGTCCATTTCTAGCGAAAATAGTTCTTCAATCTTTCGATCAATGCGTTGAATCAACGGAAAACTCTCAAGTGAGCTTCCGTTGATCAAGCTTCGCCGCCGATTGATAAGAGACAGCTGCTTGGCGCGAAAGACGAACATTTTGACGATTTGTTGAAACGCTTGAGTAATGTTCATGGACAATGGAGGCGTTGAGACAGCATCGCTTGCCGAGAAATCTCTTGTCGTCATATTGTGCAACTCTCTCGTGTGGTTGCTAATATAAGATAGCTCCTCAATAAATTCTTCCATGATTCCCAAGAGTCCATCTCGAGAGCTTCGCATGGGGTAGCAATCCTGCCAAATGCGACGCAGCCATACATAGCAGGGATCATCGTACGGGCGATCAGATTCATTATGCTTGCATTCAATATGTCTTTCATGCAAATGATTCAGCGCATCCATGGCCGATTGGTAAGGTTTCGCGGCTTTGCAATCTCTGCAATCCAAGTAGAGCATTTTTGCCAAGGTTGGCTTTCGCCTATGAAGATCCGTTTTCTTGGCTTGGCTCGAAAAGTCACGTATGGTATATGTGCACTCAGATTCACGTCCTCTTTCGTTCTCTTCCCAAATTAGTTGCTACCATGGATGAAATGTGATCAGCATCGACCGTTGCAAAAGCGAAGATAAGAGGATTGTTTACCAGACACATGATATCCACACAGCCCCAAAGTCGTTTTAGTAGGGTATGTATTACAGATCCGCCAGTATCTGGTATAAATGACCAGATAAGTTGCTGGCTCACCTCAATCAATTGTTGCGCCAGTGCCTTATCGTGGCTCACGAGGCCTAGAGCCTTCGTTTGGCTAAAGTGCGTCTGCTCACAGGCACCTCGACCTAATGGTGCGTTTATCAAGCCTGGTGCATTGTCAAGAGCAGGCTCATTTTCTCTTCGCGGAGCTTTAGCCTTTATCACTGGATTATTGTCCAAATGGGCGGCGAGCGCTTCCACGCGTTCAACATTATTATCATCGCCCCCTGTGTTCATCCTCTTAGCATGTTCTTCAAATGACCTGAAGGTGAATATCTTACCCGTTCTTGAATCAATTGTTCCTTGTTCACCGGATTTACTCACTCGGCGGTCTTCACTGGGATCAATCCTCGAATCCATCTTCAAACTCGATTCACGAAGTGATTCTTGCCTCGATAATAAATCATCCATGGTTAGTTCCGGAACTTTCAAGTAGTACCTGCTAACTGAATCGCCGGAAAGGCGTTCATCTATTTGGTCAAGAAGCTTGATCAAGGCCTGTTCCTGGGTGTCGAGCGATGAGAATGTACTTGTCATGCTGCTTTGTTTCCAGAAGAAAAAGGGGACAGCTTTTTGTACAGGACGATTTTCTACCTTGGTAGCATTTGAACTTCCATAGGGGGACATTTCTGCACTGTCTCTATCGCTCGCGTGCCGCTCCTGAGGCTGAAAGCGCACCCCAGAGCGCGACGAAGGATCATGCGCCGAACTTGGGCTTTCCCATCTCCAGGCGCGTCGTTTCCGTATACGACTCCTTCCACGTGAATGGAAGGATTCATCTGTCGAATTTGAAGGGGAGGAGGATCGTGAGCGAAACCCTCTATTTGGAATGTCTTGTGGAAAGCTGTTACTATTTCCAAGATTAAATCTTGTCTCTGGCGTTCTTTCAAGATGACCAAGCTCAGATAGATTATCTGGACAAGAACTATGCGCGTCGTTTAGCACCATTTTATCACCCAAACTGAATTCGGTCCTTGTGTCATGTATTGTAGCGCCAATCAGACCATTGTGACTGCGTTTGTCTATCTCGTCTCCATCAGAAGAGTCAGATCCATCCTCTATTTGGACTTTTTGGTATATTGTAGCTGACGTATTGGATTGAGAATTAGACACCTCTTCGCGTTCATTTAACTCGTCGTCGCTTAGTCGAGTACCAACCTTCTCGGCAGAGCTAGCCGCATCTTTTACTGTCGAGATGTCTGGAGCTTCTTCTTTCAACGTTGTATTTTTGTCACCATCGCTTATATAGGAAAAATTAGCTTCGAGGTTTGTGGCCGCTTCTCTTTGCTCCTCAATGCCGCTGGTAGGAATCCTTTTAGAGGTAGACAATTTTTCGCTAGAAGACGGAACTCCCTCGTATGTATCAGCGTGATCTCGTGATGCGCTTGTTCTTGAGCTGTGGCGATTGTCGCGATGAACGTAATCGAGCAGCAAAAGTCGTCTGATTCCCGAATGGCTGCTCCGCCAGCTAGATATACTTGATGAACGTGATGTTGATGCTTTTCTTTTGACAAGATGAAACTTCAGAAGCGATGGTCTTGTAGCCTTTGTCAGTTTAGCCCATCGTTCCGTCGTTACAACTTCGTCCGCCTGATCAACTAGGTCATAGTCCATAATGGTAATAAGATTGCCGTGAACAATATAGATAACTTGCCGAAAGAAATCTACCCATGGAGTCTTCGATGATATGTTCATGCTATGCTGAAAGCCACTGACATCGACAATCTCGATTCTCAATGGCTGTCTAAAGTAGTCGGTACGCTTCTCGATCGTGTCACCAAGCAAGTCATCCGGAGGCCGATCTGACAGTGTGATTAAGATATCCGAGCCTATCACCAGGCACCACAATTGGTTGACATACAATGTGTCGTGTGGTTGGCAATTGACTGGCATCTTATGAATAACCTGATTCTTGCCCCGACTTGTGACAACGTCAAATCCGTAAAGATTCTGAAGAAGAGTCCGAGGATAGAAATCATCTCTGTCGCGAGATCCACTGTTGTTTTTTGATGAAAGTAGCTCTATGAATGGGAAAGCAGCAAAAATAACCGGTTCCGTGACTACAAAGTCGTGCGCGTCATGAAGTACTTGGCGGGTGCCATTAAATCGCAAAATTGATCCCGGTTCAATATATGCACCATTTTCAGATTCCCGGAGAAATGACTTTTCGACAGACTCGAGGAGCAAAACGGCAACTCTCCGAATATCTGCATTAATTATCGGGCAATCCATGACGAGTTTCTGCATCGCGTTAGTCAGTGCAATGATACATAATGCGCTCACTCATCCTACTTCTAAAACTCTAACACTCATTGAAGAACGTTGAACATGGCTGACACAGAGGTCAGCTTTTGTAAGGTAAGAGATTTTGGAGACCGTATAGATACTTACAGCCACTTGGCTTGTACTGGTGCTGAATCTTCATTGTCCTTGATAGGGCCTTGTGGACAGAAAAGTGTAATCTTTCCTTGTCCCATCTCGCCAGTGGAATATTTGATGGAGTAAATTGATTCAAGTGTTGTTGTGCCAATTTTCTTGTCATGATACTTTTTCGCTCTCCAAGCCGAGTTTGAGTCTGATATATGTGTGTAAAGCATGCTTTGCTCGTTGTTGGTCGGAAGGGTCACCGTCCACGACAGGCCAGCCTCTTCGACCTCTTCAGCCTTTGTGCCATCATTCTCAATCCCTTCAACATAACTGGGTATACTACTGGTGTTGCTTTCTGTGATGTAACTGCCACTGGTTGGTGGTGATGCGCGTGGTGAAGTGCTCAGAAAATCGTAAGACTCCGTGGCGGGTTGTGGCTCCCCCGAAGCTGTGTGCGCGGGTACGGGCTCTCCACCATAAGAAACGTCAAATTCGTCTTCACTTCCTTCAGTATTTCTGCGAGACGGACGAAATTGCCTTTCTAGGCTCAGCCGTCTATTCGAGAAACCTGTGTATCTCCGGGGCGGGGGATCGTCACTAAGTCGACGACGCGGGGAAGGCGAATATTCCATTGTCCAGCTTGTATTATTTATGCGTCATAGTCTTTTTCAAGGAAGTTTTCTGCTTCCTAGTTTGAGCTATCCGGTTCTTGGCCACAGATTTTTGTGCATATCCTCTGCCTAGATACAAGCAATAAGACGCAATGTTGCGGTGTGCCGTAGTTAGGATCTAAACGACAGGGATTATGGAGCCGACCTCTCTGAGGATGTAGGAACTCATTGACCAATCACCGGCTAATTAGGCAGAATCTGGCCTCGTATTAGTCCCAGCTGGCATTACTGCTTTGATAACAGACCGCAATGCTAGTTTGATGCTTGACAAGTAAGCGGGAATGGGAGTCGTCAAAACGAATCCTTCGAGAATTTATTGCTATGCTGTCATCGACAGGGTTGTAGGCCACGTGAGATGCACGCGTATACATACATCTACTGTGCCTACATCTACACACACAGCTGTCAAAACGCAGATCGGCTCAAGCATGACCGCAAGCTGCTTGTTATGGAACATTGAAGTTGAGAATTGTAACCTCGCAGTTTCTATGCGCCAAATAGCGATCCTGATAGTGAAAAATGTTATGAAAAATCTGCTTACTGGCAAGTCAATGAATAGCGATTCGGCGTCGGTATTCGAAGTGGGGCTCTTGAAGGGCTGCGCTGTCTGTCAAGCGAAATATATCATGGCATATAAGTGAAGTTATAAATTTGGCTGGGTTGAAGTCAACAAGGACAGCCAACGTGGGATATAAGTCGAGACGAGGAAGACATACGCCGGGCAAATCCTTTTAGGGTAAGTCGCTTCAGCTCCAGTTGGTTCATTTCGGTGTATGCACTCTGCAAAGAGTACACCGCAACAAGATTGTATATCTCCGATATGTGCGAACCACGGGCCCATAGTTTAAATCTTTTAGGAACTGGACCGTTCAATCCCTCACAGTCCCACGGTAGTGTGCGAAGCCTCTAGACTCAAGCATTGGATTCATTCATTAAATGAGCCATGAGCTACGCATCTCATTGGCTATGCTTTGAGAACAATACACTGACCGATTTGTAAAACCGTTGCAAGATTTTATGTATAGCAATTCCCCAGTAGCTAATAGAAGACTGGTTTACGATTCTTTAGTGCTTTGGAGAAGACAGGTTGAAACGAAACGAAACGAAACGAAATAACGTTGTGTCAATACCGGCCTGCAGTAAACAGCGTAGTAAATATTTCAGTAACGGGGAAAAAAAGCAATGGAGTAACTACAAACAGATTTAGCAATGCTCATAATGAGGCATGTAAGTCAAGCACAGAATTAACATCAGGGTCATTTATAGGAGCGGATATGTTAACGCTGCTCTCATGTGTGGATGAAGCACTACAGCTGTGTCCTAGTTTGTCTTATACATTTTTAGAAACATGGATATCATGCAAAATGTAATTCTATGTGTTTTGAACTTTTGGGCCAGAGCCAGGCCAGTGCCAGCAAAATGATCTACTGACGTAACTTTAGTATTAGAGAAGAATGCATTAGATTGCCAGACAGCATCGCTGAAAGGAAGGGAATGGAACAACTGGTCATAATCTCTCCGTTGCGATTCTGTAATCTAGCGATTCTGTAGCTATTTCAGTAGATTCCAAAAATGAAGCTCCCTGGGCATTACCAATTCGTATTCAATGGCGCAATGTCTGTCGGTGTGAATAATAGCTCTATTATCATCTGCATGTTCGGTTAGTAGTGATGTAGCCAACACATGATGATAGAATGGCGCTCATTCATGTCGACGGAAAGAACGGCTCGTCAGCTTTTGGTACAGGTCCTACAGCGTGTTGTGCCTGACAATGCGGAGCCTGAATACGATGTGTATCTGCCCAACCTTGTGCCTAACGATTTGGAAGCTGTACATTCGGATTAATCACTCGAGATGGGTCCGCACGCGGTACTCGAGCGATTTCACAAGTATGGAAAGTTTAAGGTAGAGAATGACGATGGGTTTCTTTCTGGAAAAGCTGAAGAGGATACGCAGTGAGTTAGCTGAAAGATTCAGCTGAGGCGCAGTTCTGTTGCCCGAAACTTAACCAGCTCTTGGTTTGAGTTCTCATACTCTATTTTTAGTTTATGCTGAAGAAAGTTACTAAGCGCGTTCGCTCCATGTCCTGCAATCTGTTTAGCGCGATTCCGTCAAACTGTTCTGCAGCTGATTACTACTTGCGGAGTTCTTCGTTTAGACTTCGCGTTGGCAGTTAGTTAGCTGACGCTGGCAAGTAACTAATAGCGCACATGCCAATTCGCTCCGCCTCAGCGTAAGCAACAACTAGCCATGTGGCTTGCAGGCTAGTCAGTTCACGTAGAGCAGTAATACAGTCAGTAAATATAATTATTGCGGCTTATAAACTTTATCAGCCATTGTCATATTATTATCCAGCAGCTTTAGCCTCATGCTAGCTGTGGCTTTGTACGGAACACTTCTATCCGCTTACTCTGTGTAATGTGAAGCTATATATAGGATATCATGAAAATACGTTTTCAATAACATGAAGTTATCTATATAAACAGCTCTCCATCTCGCTCTTCAAAGTTTTTTTTCATCATCACAACAACAATCACAACAACAATCACCACAACAATCACCACAACAATCTACAAATAACAACTCTTCAACCAACTCTTCCAACTCAAATCCAAATCAACAACTCACACCTTCAATCAAAATGCTTGCCTCAATTGCCTTCACTCTTTCCACCCTCGCTCTTGCTGTCTCCGCAGCTCCCGCTCGTCGCACCACTGGCACTGTTCAGGTTCAATTTGCCAACGATGTCACTGGAGCAAACGGCAACGCCTTGATCCCTCTTGATGGATCCAATGTTGTCCTTGGACAGGCTTACGCCGACACCAACCTAGAGGTGGATGGAACCCTCTTTGTCACCAGCCTGGAGTTCACCGCCGACTTCACCAACGTGCAGTGTGTTGTCCTGAAGGATTTGGAAACCGTGGTTGCCAGCCTTGCCGACCCCGAGCGAGACTTCCAGACCTTCTCCCAGAAGCCTTTGAACTGGCAGGCTGGTTTCACTATCGCTTGCAACAAGGCCGCTTAAACTTTTCTTAATATCAGAGTTTTGAACGGAGCATAGCAGGGGATTGGTTTGGGTTTTTGGCCTCTATTTGCATTTTTTTTACTACTCAATCATTAGAAGATATACAATCATAGATCGATCCAACATCGAAGCAACCTAGTATATCACAACATTCATTTAGATTTAATACAGCAAGCTTGCATACTTTAAGTACAAATTTCTCACCATTGAAGTATTGATACTCATCTGAAATGTGTAACTTAACCAAGTAAAGTAACTTTTACGTTGTACTGTGAATTCCCTTTGAAAAGAATGTGATAGGTGCCACTGGTATTCCTTTTAACGTCTGACTGTAATGTGCATGTAGTAATTTTTTCTTTGAACTCGAAGTAAAAATACTTTGGGCCAAAGGCAGTTACTCATACCGATAGCAAAAGAAGTCATGAAGTCCTACCAAACATTCGCGTTATATACTCACTTTTTTGCTAACAGCAGTGTATAGTAAAACCTGCAAAGAAGTAATTTTGTTTGCGATCGTCAATTTATTGTAGTAATAATGTATCTATCTATCTATATGTGTAAGAAGTACAAAAGCTTTTGGGTACATCTCCTCCATACACATCATCACCTAAAGTAGTTGAATGAGAACATTTCGCGCATAAAACTCAGCCGCCCCATACTAAGTTCTTGGTCTAATATCCATTGCTCGCTTTCTCCTCTATCTGCTTCATTTTCTCCTCAACCTCTTCCTTGTCTTCATCCCCAGGAAGTCTGACTACAGCGCTCCGTGTAATTCCTCGATACTTTTCTTCGTTCACTTTTCCTAGTTCACTCTCTGCTACCTTTCCATTTCCAAATCCATAAAGCTCCTGGAAGCACATGAAAATAGGCCTCAAGCCATCTGGGTTAACGCGGTTCGGCTGCCCAGGCATCCGAAGATGGTCCAAAATGTGAACTCGCAGGACTTTCAGCTCAATTGCTGTAAGGAATCCTTTCAGATCAGGAAAATCCTCCATTAGCAGATGATTCTTGGCTAACTCGCACTCCATCTGAACAGGGCACTCAAGAATACGTGCGGGGCGGACGAGATCCGATTTCTGTGGTGTAAGTTCTGCACAGGCCCATTTATCCTCAACGTAACGGTAATTTCTAGCGCGCTTTGATGAAGAAATATCTTTGTCTTTAGTGCCAGTCGTAGTGGCTAGCAGATTGATATTACGGGCCATAGTATCATCTGGGAGATTCACTACACAGTGGCCTGTTCGGAGGATATTCTGGGTCGTTTTGTTCTCGGCCCCAAATCCCAGAATGCAGCGGTGACCAAGCCAAAATACTGAGGAGATAGCACAGATATTATCAGGGCCATCTTCGTTTTCTGAGGTAATGAGAACAACTGGCGTGCCCCAGTAGAGGATAGCTGGAGAAATAGTAGAATGTGTCATGGTGAAAACGCAAATTGTCAGTAATGGAAGAAGATAAGGCGAAAGTGAATGGACGTTGTGTAACTGGCTAATAGATGAGCGGTAACTGTGAAGCAGGTGGAAGAAAGGGGGTTTATAAACATGTTCAATCCAATTTTACCTGATTTATCTTTATTACACAAGCAAAAGATCAAATTTTGCAAAATTGCTTTCGATATTATGATAAATACGTTGCCTTCTATTTGAGTCCTCAATTGGCCATATCTGGAGCAACTTGCTCCGCAAGGGATAGATTTTTCGACTATAGTCGTGGTTAGATAATGGGCTGACAAATTCCTCTTCCCAAAATGGTCTCAATCACGCCTGTCGATCAAATGAGTCATATTGGGGCAGATGAGCTAATCGCTGGTCGTTTCAGGCACAACCGCGCCCTTGGCGAATCACAAGATGCCGGTGGCATTGCATGCCCCTTTTCTGTCAAAATAGCTTGACACATAATGTATCCGTTAATTTTCATCGCGTCATTGGGTCAGGAAAAATGGGCCTCAATTCTGCTCTCTTCTCTGATTTGGTCGTTTTTACATTCCTAATTATGCTCGAGCCATATAGCGGTGACAATTCAGTTCCTATCGGCCTCCTGGAAATTGCTAGAGGATCCCAGAATCGTCGACTGTCGCTCACATTGCTATCGGACACTCTGGCCATCATATCAACATCATCGTATAGATTGGAAGTTTCTCATTTATTCCAGAATACTTGATCACATGTACAGGTATAGAATGGGGCACTACAGGATAATTCCGGAAACATGCATTTGCGTTTATATGTAGAGTTACTTAGTGACACTATATGGTTCCAATGGAGAACAAGCTTCTTAAGCTAAGATTGAAGACCAATCCATATCCTTCAACATCGCCTCCGCAGATACCATGGATGTCTGGACTCCCAGATCCTCCGGAGTGAGGATTGATCCAGCTGTCCCCTTGGTATAGCTTTCCTCTTTTAGATCGCTAAAGAAACTCATCATACAACCTATTTCGGCAGCATGATGGCCCTGGAGCCTGTTATAGCTTTCCAAAGTCGTTTCCAAGAATGAAACCTCAACATCTTTCCCTTGTTGGCTCAATGCTTTGGAAAAGGTGAGCGCCCAGTCCGAACACGACATATACTCGGATACGCCGAGCACATAGTTTCCCAAGGTTTTCTCTGGCTGAGACAGAATGGCTCTAACGATAGTGCCAGTGTTACGACTTTCATCTCCGGTGAAGGGAAATCGTGATGTCGGAAGACACGGTAGAATAAGCAAATATTTTTGAATCGCTTTCTGATAAAAAGACGAAATATTAGTCCTAGTATCAACATTTTTCTTCCGGGGGAGACTTACTATATACAGCGGTTTGTAAAGACCTAACTTCAAGTTGGATGCGTAGAAACCGACCCGAAGAATGGTGGACCTTCCGACCAGACCATTGTTGGGATCTTGAAGATATTTTTCGGCCGGGACTTTGGACTGAAAATGAGGGATATGATATTTCCCACCGGTGATACTTTCAGCATCAGGAAGAGTAGACCATATAATATGCCGAAGGGAAGATATCTGAGCTGCCGCACGAACCACATTCAGTCCATACTCTTGTTCAGCTTTCTGAGCAGCAGCAGGGCCCTCGGCAATTGACATGCCGATTGGAAAGGCTGTATTCGCAAAGATATAGTTTGCGTCTCGAAAGGCCTTCAAGACGCTGTCTTGCGAGTTGAGGTCGACCAACTCCACGGAAATCCTAGGATTTGTGGCCAGACTGCGGGCAGCCTGACTGGAGGGATCTGAAGTAAGTGCCCGAATCTGGTACTGTGGCTCAGACGTTGCCAGCATTGCAGCGACGACGCCGGAACCTTGGCTGCCAAGGGCGCCAACGACAACTAATAGAGGAAGTGACATAATGGCTTGATGTACGGAATGGCAATTGTGCTTCAAGGCAAAGACGCAAAATTTATCTTGATAGTTGATTCATACTCTGTGGGACAGAAAGTTGTATGAGCTTTGATGATGATTTATATATCATTTGAAGTCAAGGATATCCCCTGTAGCGATTGTCGTTGAGCTTTAGGGTGATAAGCTATTGCTTTTAATATAGCCAACTGAATCTCGATGATTTTCATTGTGGATCCAGTTCTCTCTCTTTATGTAATTGGAACTCGTCTTTTTGTGCGCTCTTAGTTGTTCTAGATGTAAGTGAGTCTCAGTCATATGCTTGGAAGCTTAGAAAGCTGAACGGATACACTTTTGCTAAGCCTAGATGAGCACTTCATTGTTACTAATTTGCTTTACGAGATATACATCGACATCTAACTATATATAGCTCAATACAGAGTAGGTTGAAAAGATGTATCGTCAAAGTTACGAAATAAGTCACCCATTGCAATGACTGACGCCTCATAGCTACGTTTGGTCCAAACCCACGTCAGAGATCAACGATATCATTCTCTGTTTGGCCCTAGGGATTTTTCATAGCGCTTTTGGTCATAAAAGTTCAGGTCCATCACTTATCAAGGGCTCCTGGCCCTCCCCGAGTCTCTCTATGTATGCAAGCAACTGCGTGTATTTTGAGTTGATACCCCGAATTCCGATGCTCCCAACTTTTGAAAAAGAGCGGAGAAACACTCCTGCATCAATCAAAACAACTATCATTCGTATCTGGGCAATCACAACTGGAAGCGCCGACCCAGTGGCTGACCATAGGACTCATGGGAGGGTGTGCACTAATGCGACCGCCTCTATGGCCCGTCGCGAAAGGTCCTACACTGCCTGACTCGGTTAGAACAGTTGATCGAGTCGAATGACAAGACTGCAATTGTGTATAAGATTAACCGAAATCGCTCATTGATGGCACATGGCGTTGATGATCGATGCTGTCTGCCTGATCAACGCCCTGAAATAGTGTGTCACAACTTACATGGATCTTCTCCTCATCGAGCCTTACTCAAGCCGCAAGACCAACAGTATGTCTCAGAAAATACTGGAAACTGGCTTATGGTAACATTCGATGCCCTTGGTGGCTGCAGTCGGACCTGTAGCATGAGAGGGTGGATTAAAATGGCGAGCTGTTTGTCCTTGACGTTATATCTGTAGGGCCTATGGCTATATACCAGAATCATACAAGAGCTGTCTATTTCGCCTTATCGTACCTAGACTAGTGGAAATTTTTAGGCACTCACGGAGGCAGAGTGGTATAGTTTGAGGAAAGCAGAGCTCATTTGACTCGACTGGGAAAGGCAGTGACAAAGTTCGTACCTGAAAAACCACTTTCAGGTGTTGGAACCGTTCATTTAACCAGCTCGCTGTCTAATGGTAAACGGTTTTGATGGTATATTTTAAGATCTCCTGTGCTGTGATAACAGAGAGGCAGCCGGCAACTCCGATACAAGTCACAAGTTATCGATGAGTGGCCGCTGTGAATACGGGACGCCGAGATTCAGGTGTGGAAGGGATTGCATGTCCTACGATCAGCTATCGATATTACGACTGCCTATTTGGATTAGCGATTTCCGAGATATGCATGTTGGTAGCAAAACAGCCCACTATCTGCAAATGCTTGCCCCCGAGTGGTAGGACTTGTGATCACGCTGCAGAAAAGCAGAACCAACATGCATAACGACGGTTTCATCGGCCGCCCCATCCGGCCGCACAGCCTCACCTACCCGCTGCGCATTAATACGTGGAGCTTCTAATAGAAATGTAGAGTATAAGACATAAGTCAAAAGAAAAGCACTCGGGATATACTTCTAGAGTGATCAAATTAAAGAGCAAACATGAACCAAAATGTCTTCCGAGAAAATGAGTCTAAATCCCGTCTTCCAGGCGCTTTCAGAAATACAGCGAAGCACCGATGTATGCCCGCATCCTCAAGACTCTGATTACAAGACTTGTCGAACAAAGACAATAAGGGGCGGGAGATGCAGAAATCGCCCTTGCAGAAAAGATGAAAGATGGCACACTCCTAGCCTGTTGCTCGAATTCCAGAACATGACAGAATGTCCTACAACACAAAGCTTTTACGACAGGATGAAAACCTTTGTCACTTATACACATTGTAAGGGGAAGCATCGTGATAAAGTTCTCGATGCCTTTGAAGCATGGAAGAGAATACATGCTATCGATGAACTCTTTTCAGAGCGGAGTTCAACACCATCAGCTGACTTACTCGAAACATCGACCGCACAACCAATTACGGCGGCTGCACTACAACTTCTACCCTCGACGCCCGCACGATCTATAAAAGTTTCAGATTATGCGACATCAGACGATGGCAGCTCTTTCGTTGAGAGCACAGCGGATACTCGTTCGGTCACAAGCAATACAACATACATGACCTCTCTCCCTAACACTCCCATGCGTAATGGAACAATCTCCCGATTTGACACAGAGTATGTTGCCGAGGAAGAGTACGTTGGTGAGCCTAGTGATGAGGAGGACGTTTTCATCGATGACAAAAATGATGAAAAGGCTACCCAAGAAGATGCCCACCATGATATTTTTGAAGAGGCTAAAGATGGGGCTCTTCGAGACAATACCATCGCTCCCTACATCAAACAAGAGCGTGATGGTGAGAAAATACGAGACTCTACTTTCACCACCAAGATAAATGCTACGTCGTCGGAGAAAGGACACAGCGACGGGAGAGAGCATGTCGAAGAAGGAGACAACGATGAAGAAGAAGAAGACACCGCCATCAAAGGGCTTGGCATTATCGGTATTCGGCGCACCCTGTCATTACGAGACCACTCGCCAGTGTTTCAGGTGATCAACAGTCATCCTACGAACCCGAAGATGAAAGAGGGCGTTGTTTACATACTTGAACATGAGAAGAACCCTTCGCTCTTCAAGATTGGGTGGTCCAGTAAGAGCGCCGAGGAGAGAATGCAGCAACCCGGAAATTGTTACGGAAAAAATACCCAGATTTTCTACGAGACAAAGCGGTTCGCTGGTGCCCCGCAGGCCGAGAGAATAGCGCAAGTCATACTCCGACATGCCAACATTCGTGTTTCAGAATGTTTCTATTGCCATGGAGGACACAGAGAGTGGTTCGTAGCGCCGAGAAAAACAGTACATGATACAGTGATGCATGTCGAAGAGTTTCTCAAGATGCCCGCATATACTCTGCAGGATCAGGTATATAAGCTGTCACCAGAAGTATATGAACGCGTGGTTAAGCCAATGTGCGACTTTTCAGTGGCCAGATTTGGAGAGCTTATGCATGGGTCAAGAAAAAAGCGTGAAGAAAGGAAGATTTTGGACAACGTATTGATCGACACCAAACTACTGCTACCTTTAGCTCAACTTGCCCACGAACCAATTGAGATGTCTCGCTTCAATGGCAGTGATGGACACTCAGGGTTACAAGAAGACAGCAAAAATCTTGTTTCCACTCCATCATGCTACACCGAGTCACAGAACGTATCGGTAGGGGTCAAGCTGATGAGCAAAGCGATGTGGTTCTTCTCATTCAGCGACTCTGTCAGGCATACTTTTCTGACGTTTAGAGTAATACTTCAAGTTTTGTTAGTACTGGTATCCCGAAGCTTGGATACGAGTGTGTTATTTTACTGTTTACTGATGTTAATGTTACTATCCTGTATTTAATAGTATATCAGGTATATAATGCTCTAGAAAAATAAGTCTTGTTATATATAGAAGGCAGCGATTCGGAAGACGTTGCGTATAACATGTATGCGGATGCATGCTGCTGTGCTTTTGCATACATGTGCCACTGCCTCCAATGCCCTTCCCCAGTAAGGGTGGTGAGGCCTCTACGATATCTAAGCCCTACCAATAGTATAGTATAGCGGCTGGGCGCCTCTAATCTATGCCTTGCTGCCTATTTAGGCAATTTGCCTGCGAAAGATATATGAGAGGTGGTGGCACCGCGATTTTTCCTGTCATACTCCAAGGCAGCTAAACATGGGGCTATTCTTGATTGACTCTCTACATGTATTCTACTTTGAAGACAGTTGAGGGCTTTGCTCCGCATTAGCAGCGTTCAGGCTGCATGCGATACAAAACCGTCAAACATAGCTTGTATTACACAGCTTTTGTTCTCCACTATATCCGGACTGAAGAAGACCAGGCCGATTAATTGTTCGAAGAGCGCTGATGTTGTTCGTAGCGAAACATACATGTATATTATGACTGTCTATCCCATAGCAATGGCAGATTGCTATCATTTACTTATTTGGTCATGTCATGTATAGGTAGTTGCCAAAACATGCTCCATGGTGGTGCGACTAGCAATCGGCGGCCAATACCGCATTTCTTGTTCAAGATATGTAGCCAATAGTATAAGATCCCGTACTGTACGCCTCTGTTTCACTTTTCTAGCTCGCCATCTTATTATTTCTCTTCTTTACATTTCGCTCATCTATAATTTTATTCTATCTATTACATTCTTTTATAATTTTAGTTTATCCATCATCATAAGTCTTGGTATAATTTGTGCACAGCTCAGTTTACTCCATTTACAATCAACGCTTTTGCTGCTCCCTGAATCGTCTCGCAATGTCGTGACCAAGTTCCAGCCGCCTGGTTCAGGTTGTCGTGATAAGTCTTACCACCTTTCATACTTTAGAAATCCGTAATCACCAATGCACTGGGTTGATAAGAGTAGAATAGTAGCTGAAGATTGCAGCTTATCAGCAGCCATCGCTGTTACAACGCTCCAGAGACCCATTGGTCAAACTGCTTTGCAAGCTTAATGCATCGCTCGTCGACGAATCTCGTATAATAATTTGCCGCATACAGGTTGATTGTTGACAGGATGATGAAGCCCATGATCCAACAGAAAGCGGACGTGATTACGTATTCACCAGCATCATCACCAGGTTGTGAACCCCCTGTGGCTATGAACCAAAGGACATTCTTGACCGGATCGCTGAGCAAGTGGTAGATGGTTTGATGTACGAGGTATAGCGAAAAAGAGATCCTCCCCAAATACTGTACTGGCTTGGAATTGAGGGGGTACTGAAGTAGTTCTGTGGAGCTGATTGCAGAGACAACCAGCACGGAGCCAACCGTTTTCCACGTCTTGTCCACAATCCCCCAGTTTCCATCCCATCGCGAGGTTTCGGCAACCTGCAAGAATTGATACCCAGGTGGGAGAGCGCCGTCATCGCTTAAACAGAGAAACCAGATACCGACGATGAAAATGGCGTACGTTCGGACGGCGCTGAAGTTTACGGATCTCATCCGGACCGGGATATACGGTTTGAGCCAAAGCATAAAATCTGCCTCGGTGCTAACAGTTTCCGACTCCGACAAAACTTCCCGCTCGGCCAGCCAGTACCCTGCCAGAAATCCCAATACATCCCAGAAGCCAAAGTAGAACCAGTAGGCCATCAAAGCGCCAAGCGCCCAAAGCCGGGGCCTCGGCTTCCAAAAGGCCAGACCCAGGAGGAGGAGATACACAACGCAAGATCCACGGAACTCGAGAGCCATTGTCCACAGCTGGCCATTGAGACCGCCGTTGTACTGGATGGCGAGGATGTTGATGTTGTCGAGCATGTACCGGGCGACAAACTCTACATGGAACCACGGCGCAGTCAGAGGCTTTCGACCCCATACAATATCATCCGAAGGCTCCCACTGAAAGAGGTTGAGAAAGAAGAGGATCTGCGAAATAACCGTGATACAGAGCACGGGCAGATAGATGCGGAGGCCGCGGCGTGTCACTGCCGAGGATAGTCGCCGAAGAAATCCTTCAGTGTTGCTGCCGGCCCTCATTCGGATGAGATTGATGGAGATGGCATAACCGGAGATCACAAAGAACAAGGGCACCATGGCATGCGCTGCAAAGACCAGACGGAAGGGAGGCAGCTGATAGAGTCGACGATTCTCCTCCGGCGGATCTGCCCAGAAGGATCTGAAGCCGGCGTGCAGAATGGCTCCCATGAAATAGTGGTCTGTCGCCACAATGGCGGCCGCAATGCCCCGAAGGCCGTCGAGCCAAATCGCTCGGGTCATGCTGCGCGTGTTTGCTCGATCATTGATGAGTAGAGATAGAGGTAAGATATGTACGAGTAAGAGACTCAACGATTCAAGGTGGGCATCGTCTGATACAAAAATTAAATAGGGGTCCCGGCCGGGGCTTGCTGTTTCTAGAAAGGGCTGCTAGTCAAGCGTCAGCTGCTAACCTCGTCCACCTACTGTTCCTGTTTTATGTGGAAACGCGCGATGAAACAGCAGTCTAACGCCGTTACAATGGCTCCACGGCAAGGCTCATACAAGTATAAGCTTATCCAATCCTATTTGCTGTCTCTTGCAAATTCAGCCAAGAATGCCGCCTGCATCCTTCATGAATCCTTCCTAGAATTCGACTAATTCCTTGGCGCTACAACTCTTCTATGGCCCCGCAAAGTCGCAAGGCTTTAGGCATCAGCCGTTGTTTGAATTCACTCCTCTATTTCGGTGATTTATCTGGTGCCGTATTTCATTGAGGACAGAATCTTACAGTAAACAACTATTGAGTCCCCACAACGGCACGCTGTGGCGGTGGAATGTTAGAATGAGTGCGCCGTCGATCACGTACAATTGAACCGGCACCTCGCTTATGGCTAACAGATGAGTCAACAATTGTGACCGACAGGGGTCTTCACAACAAGCATTAACTCTTGTTTTGCAACGAAATAAAAGTATAGTATTTAATCAGATATAAGAAGACGTAAAATGTTATGGGTATCCCTTGCAAGATGTGCTATTGCTTATCTGAATAGAAACTCATAACATTATTTCATTGACAAAGAAGCTCAAGAATGATACACCCAACGATATCGCTCTATATGGTATCCCTCTCTATGGTATCCCAATTTTTGATATGTTTCCTCATCCACCCAAGGCCTTACATAGTCCGGGTCAAACGCATCACGTACAACCCCCATCCCAAAGCGAGGCAGAGGCAAATCATGGTAGCCTTCTTTTTGCTCAAAAGGGTTTATACCACCACGCTTGAAGAAGTCGTCAATCTCCTTCTCAAGCCAAATTGCGCGCCCATGAATGCGAATGTCGATGGGTACGCCGATGATCACTCTTGTCTGAGGGCGCTTCTCACACCAATGCAATTTGTCGCGCATCTGATCGAGTAGGTCGCTGTAGTGGCCGGGATGGATATACAGAAAATTCAGCTGGATGGAGAGGAGTTCGTCTGGCAGTCTTGAAATGACTGATAGCAACTCGGCCTGACTAACATCAACGTGCCACAGCTCAAAATGTTGCAGTCTAGGCCAGCATTCAATAGGCAGAAACCTTCTCAAACCCGGCGCTTCCTCCCTTTCCATTGAAAACCAGTTCAAATTTGTAGCTATGCTCACATGCTCCAACTGTGTAGCTTCTGCCAGGGCTTTTCGTAGCAGACCATTGCGAAGAGCCCACCATCCCATCCCTTCTTGCCCTTCAACAAAAAGCGAGAATTGCAGCTTCTTAAAGCCGGGAAGACGAAGGACTGATACGAAATCTTCGTACTCCTCGCATCGATCGTCAAATATCCGGCAGTTGAGCCCTGTCCCCAAGTAGTGGCCATCGATTCCATATTCCAAGACGTTGTGCCGTCCCTCAGCCAGAACCTTTGTGACCAGATTAAACCCGCGCCATCTTGTCTTTTCATTCTCCCATGGCGCAGCTCGTAGATTGTAGTAAATATCTTCAAACGCGTCAATCGCATATGGCCAGGCACGCGGAATAGGGCAGTTGAATCCGCACGGGAAAGCCCGAATCATGGGGGTTTCATAAAGGGGCATGAACAGCCAACCGTGAGTAGCAGGGGTGACAGTGACCTTTCGAAGCGAAGGAAATCTCTGCAGCCCATATCGAAGCGCGTCTGCATCAGCTCCACTGGCTATGACCTCTTCTTGCTGGCGTAGTAAGTCTTGATAGTATGCCCACGATTCCTTCAAAGATAATTCAGCATGCACGCGCCGGGCCATTCCAACATGCTCGGGCCGCCTTGGATCATCATCGTTTTGGCGTCGTCTGAGTTCTTTAATATTTTCATCGCGCTCACTCTCAAACCACTCCATGTCGGATGGATAGTCTCTGTAATATGTACCATAGCTGGGGTCGCTGGGCGCTCGCGCCTCGGGGGCGTCGGTAGCGTCGCGCCATAGACGTGCATCGTCATATATTATCTCGACGATCCTATGGCGAAATACATCATGGTCGGCAATGGCGCGAAAGACTTGAATATTAAGCGGATTTGCCGAGAGGAAGACTCTGTTGATGCGCAGTGCTGCAATAGCGCTGAACCACCGACATGTGAGGCGCAGACTTTTAATTGCGCGATTATCTAAATTGCTCAGGATATCTTCGATAATTTCCGGGGGTAGTAGAGCCGGAAAAGAAGAAGAGGTCTGTTTGCCATCAGACTCAGAGGTTATCACATGCCGCTGGGAAGGTGATGGCGAGAGATCAGCATCATCTATGCTTTCGATTGGGAACAGATCCTGCAGAAACTCAGCTCTTTGACGCAGTTTCAGCTCAGCTTCCTCTTCGGCTGATAAGGAAGGCTGGCGTTTATACTTGGAAGATGAATTCCCCCCCATGTTTCGCAGATGAAGGGATTGATGGCTTGATTGACGGGTCAAGGAATGTTGCAGACCAAATCGCGTGCGTGATAACGCGTTGTGCCTGTTGGTTGAGAAATTGAGAAATGGCAGAATTCGGGCTTTTCCCGAAAGGGTCAGCCCAGCAACCAACAACACGGCAAGCTGAACATAAATTCGCGCCTAGAGCAGGGGTTTGCGAATAGTTGAATCAATGAGATGATTTACTACACGCCGAGCGTCATCGAACTGAGTATCATGTACAAGCTGGATTGCTAGTAAAGTCCAACACCGGCTTACAAGTCAAGCTATACCCATCTGTTAAACAAATACATATACATTACGCACAACGTAAAAAATCAGTTACTTCTTTTAATTGAACTATCATTCTCCATTCTTTGTATTCAGTTTGAGAGTATTCGTAGTTTGATCTCTCTGTCTCTTGTACTAAACATGCGGAACTCCTATTGCTTTACACATTCCATTTACCATTTCCCGATATCTTGGATATGTACTCAGTCCTCCGCTCTAATCAAAATCTCCACGCCTGACTCTGGACGCTGCAGATTCTTTGCATAATTATCCCCAAGCATGGCTGGCGTCATAACACCACCGCCTATCCGATGCGCCTCTGTCCCACCCTCAAGGAGTGTTACAGCAGCCTCCACCATTGCGATGCCAGTGAACTTATACTGGTCGCCTTGAAATTTGAAGTCCACTATAACTCTCTTTGCTGTTGACTCATCGCCGGTGTCAGCTACTCCCAGTGTCCGATGGCTGAAGCGGTGGCCGCCCTTTAGCTGTTTGGAAGCTGGAGTGTAGCCCTCTGGGTAGATCAGCTTAGTGAGAATGTACCGCGTGAAAGAGAAGTTTAGGAAGAGACCAAGCCCGAGAAAGGGCAAAACTTGGATGAAATCGTACAGAGTACGGGGTAGTCGAGCTCGCGCGGAGAAGTGAAAGTTGGGCCCATATCCGTCTGTGGAGTTAGGATCGTCCGGTGCATATAGGCCCCAGCTTCGTCCCACAATGGCTCTCTCGTTTCCTTGCTCCTGGCTCTCCACTACACGGCCGAGACTATTCACAGTATGTATACCGAAGAAACCAGCAGCAGGAAAAAGGCTGGTGTTCACCTTTTCACTTATGGGTTTGCGAGGAGAGATTGCAAACGGCGCGGTTGCTTCTTCGTAGCGGCCCGGCCCATATAAGGTATAAACAGAAGCCATTGCTTTGATAGTACCACTGCTAATGATGCCCTTCATCTCCTGCAATGAAACGATGACTTCGCGTGTCGGTGTGTTGAAGACTTTGCGTATGTGCGACACGGCGAGATATGTTGTTAGATCAGCTGGTACAGCATCCAAGCCACAAGTAACAATCATCTGCTGTTGTAAGCAATACTGGCTGCTGAAAAGAGATTAATTAATTGATTGAAACGTATAACGTACTTTTGCACCTGAAGCCTGAGCTGATTTGTCGTGTTCTTTGATCATATCCTGTGCCCATGGCATATCCGCATTGCTGATTGAATGTCAATTTATATCGATTCGCAACATCTTCTCATCTCTTACCAGTCAACATAATCAGTGCCATAATCAGCACACGCTTTGAACACTATCGGCCCACAAGTTGTTGGGTACGGCCCTATAACGTTGATGATGACTCGTGTTGACTTCACAACCTTTTGGATCTCTGTTTCAGAATTCACATCCAAAACGATGATGGATCCTGAACGCAATCAGCAGTGGGCAAAAGTCATGACCATAACGGTCATCTCACCTCCTGAAGCCTCGACTTTGAACTTCCTGGCCACTTCTTCAAGTTTTGCCCTGTTACGGGCCGCAATCGCCCATCGCAAGGATCCTGGGAAAGTTGCAGTCATGTATTCCACCATAAGGCTTCCTGTAAAGCCTGTCGCTCCAAGGAGGACGATATCATACTTTCGCTGCATGGCTAAGTCCAAATTATAGAGGTGTCTCTTAACACGCAAGAAGGGGATAGTAGAAAATGAAAAAGAGGAAAAAACATTACATTGTAGTTCTATATATATAGCTTTTCTAGCTAAGCCATCTGTTCTCCGCCTACAAATATTAGTAACTCCATAAAATCAACATTCACTTTCGACAAAACAATCGATTTCATCTTTGTTATATCGGTACCAACAGGATCCTAAAGCTATGGGTCTGAGATCATGTACTTGCGGAACTGCAGTGCTCATAGTCCGCATTCGGCCTAATATTCGTCCGAACCCAGAGGCGACAGACATGGAACCACACATTGGATAAACATCTCGATAGATTTATACCGTGAGACTACTTTTCTCGGTTTTTACATCGAATACTATCAAAACATGGAGCGATTTCAAAATCTTACAGGTATACAGCTTTTTGTTCTACGCTACCTTGGTGAGCATTGCAAAGTCGCTTAATCAGCGCAGGTCTCAGACAGTATATAGACACCACCAGGAGCTCTACATGTATTTTAAGTGAACTTCGAGTAGCTTTTACAGACTTATCTTTAGAACATCGAGATAATTGCGGAATTTGGATTATTTTGCGGAGCGGAGAGAAGGTGGACGAACTTTCCTCCGGGGGCTGACTTCGATCGGAAATTCTTCCACCATACATTGCCAACTAACATTTGATGGGAAATTTGTAGCGGAATTGGGTTCAGAAACATACTATCTTTACGCGAAGATGGATCTACGTAGAAGCAGCCACTCAGGGGAAATTTCTGTAAGCTAACGGGATGGTTCAACTCCGCCGCAAGAGCTCCCGTAAACTGTTATATAACTTACATCCCCTAACGGTTCGTGGTTCTTGCAATGGATACAACCGATTATCTTTCTTTGGACTATCTTCCAACACTTATACCTCCTTTATACCAAAGCGTTTTCATCTGAACAGTCACCTACCTAGTCAGATACTACAATACGGGGCGAATTCTCTCGAAGCCTCCTTATAGAGAACGGAACCATGGGCGGTTTTAATCCAGCTCGAGACATTCCTTCACTGAGTGGAAAAGTCTGTCTTGTGACTGGAGCAAACTCGGGGCTGGGTGAAGCAGCTGTTACAGCGCTCGCCCAACACGGCCCTGCGAAAATTTATCTTGCTGCTCGCTCTCAAAGCAAGGCAGAAGAAGCTCTGGAGCGTATCAGAGCAACCTCTACAGCGGCCCGATCTGCCAACATTGAATTCCTAGAATTAGACCTTGCGTCACTGGAATCGGTCAAGACGGCGGCAGCCAGAGTCAATGCCGAGGTGGATCGCCTTGATATTCTTCACTTAAATGCCGGTGTAGCATCAGTACCTGCTTCGCTCACAAAAGAAGGCTACGAAGTGCACTTCGGAACCAACTACATGGGCCATGCCCTGTTGACGCAATTGCTGCTGCCCAAACTGCTAAAAACAGCGGCTCTACCCGGTGCCGATGTTAGAATCATCTCTGTGTCATCTTCATACCATCGACTGGAGGGTACTAGCGACGGGATCTCTTTCGACAAGCTCAAGACAAATATGGAGGGTACTGGCGGCGTTGTCTTGTATGCGCAAGCCACGCTGGCAAAGGTTCTCTTCGCCCGAGAGCTTGCGAGACGGTACCCAACCATAACGTCGTTGTCAATGCACCCGGGCATAGTCAGGACTGAGATTTGGAAAGGGAAGAAAGATGCAAGTTTTCTGATGCGGACTTTTCTCCGTCCCGTGGTAAGCTTGATCGGCGTCGCCCCTGAGGAAGGCGTAAAGACACAGCTTTGGTGTACCGTTAGCAAAGATGTGAAGAATGGAGCATATTATGAGCCGATAGGAAAGCCAAACATGCGTGGAAAGTTTACTGAGGACGATGAGTTGGCGGGTGAACTGTGGAAGTGGACGGATATGGAGTTGCTTGCGCATGGCGCACCTGGGTGGGCTTAACAAATGCCTTAATCTTCATCATTTTGCGCTTATATACAGAGCAGCTAGACAGAAAATATACCAACTTCCAACCCTTAGGCAATGAGACCAGTAGAATCTGGGATACTACAAAGTGACAAGTTTCACTTATGCTTCAAGATTATAGGAGTCTGACAAGCTGTATCTACTATACGCGGTTGCAAGCTCGATTACTATACAGATGGTGAGGCTAGCTGCAATACGAGCTGTTTAGACAGGGTATCGCAGTCCTCCGTTGTCAGCGACGCACTTGGTACGATTCGGTGAAACTGGGGCTCGCTCTCGATACGGCATACTGCTGAGACAAGGAACTCACGGCTATACCCGTATTAGCAGAACTAGTAGCGATCACTTACAGGGGATGCTCAAGTCCAAGCGCATATATAACTAAACAGCCCATTCAATTAATCAACGTTCAAAGGGGTAGTCTCTCGTCAAGCTTTTGAGGTTTCTTGAGATCCTCAAACTACGCTCTTTTCAGTGGCAGCAGGTTGGCTATCGATTTCGACAACAGCAGTGTGAATACGGAACTGTACTTTGCCATCATGCCTTCTCTCAAAGACATCTCAGCATCTCTGCTGCTTGCCGGCCAAACTGCCGTCAACAACTTGCCAGAAAATGTATTCAACGTCCCCCTAACGCGTATCATGAACCTGGAGTACTACGGCATGGAATTTGAGGTCGGAAATCCTCCCCAGCAATCCTTTCTCAAAATTGATACCGGCAGCCCCACGATTGGCTTCATTTCACCACGCAGCAACATGTGTCTGCGGTCAGAGGCTCCGTGCGATCCCCTGGGAACTTATGACAACCTCACCTCATCGACAGCAGTAGTGGCGTTTCCAGGCAGTTACCCCAACTACAGCGATGGCCTGCTTGACAACGGCCAAGGCATCTTTGTCAACGACACGCTGCGATTCGCGGGCGTTGACGCTGATGACTTTCTCATTGGCTCAACCGATAGCTTTAATCTCGCTGTTCGGCTTTCGCAATCCAACCCGTTTGCGGGAATCATGGGCTTGAGTGCCATGTGCTTCACCGGACCCAAGTGCGATGTCTACCCCAGTTTGGTCCAGCAGCTTTCGGACCGCCACATTTTGAAGACTCGTGCGTTTAGCATCTACCTCGGCCCAGACGAACCAGACGCGACTGGCCATCTTCTACTGGGCGGCGTGGATGAAGCCAAGCGGGATGGACCTGTCTTTGCACAAAAGCTAGATTCGCCTTGGGACGTTGAGTACTCGTCCTTTACGCTGGACAAGGGTGGAGAGAAGACGGTTTGGCCTATAGAACCCGGAAACACAGTCACCTGGGACACAGGCGCGGCCTATCTCGGTCTGCCAACGGCCGTATTCAACGCCGTTGCCGCTGTTCTGGAACTCCCTGCAAACGTCACCTCGACACAAGATCCGTACGAGGTAGACTGCAAGCACCGTGATATTGTTGACACAGTCCTTGAAGTCGGATTTCCAGGCAACGGAACCATCAAAATCCCCGTGGGCCGCCTGGTCACCAAGCTCGATTCAGGCAAATGCGTCACCTATGCGCTGAATGGATCTGGAGGTCCTGGAGAGACAGACACTGCAACGAACTTTGGAACACCTTTCCTTCGCAGTGTTTATGCAACTTACAACTTGGACACTCTGGAGCTGACTTATAGTCAGGTGAAGTACACGGACGAGGAGCAGATTGTGGCCATTCCCGCAGCTAATTAGGAGAGGCGAAAGAGCTTTTGAGTGTTGATAATGTCTATTTCAAGGCGTAATGTCTCGAATGTTGAATATAGTTGTAGTATTGAGAGAAAAGTAAAATTGCTGGCAGGGCTATTAAAACTAGAAGAAGGTGCATACGATTCCAAGTCGAATGTTTATATGAAAGATTGGGCGGCAACTTTGTGACAAAGCAATATCTCACCGAGGTAGTGAACAGGTTCGAACGATTTGTTCGCCGAGATGGATTAGCATCTTGAAAGAGCCTTTGGAGAAATAGAATAGTATGAAGTCCATGTAGTTTATGTGCAGACTAGCGCTGAGTGTCTTAATACACGTAACCACTACTGCTAGTGCTGAGTTGCATGTATAAATATCACACCATTCTTTGAATCTAGAGAGAATATGGAGAATAGAATACAGTATGAGAAGGCGCACATTGGATGGTTGTAAAGAGCCTTGAGAAGTAACTAGTCATAGTTTTAGACAGTAGAAATAGTATGACTGCACCGGATATGCTGCTAGGTAACTCTTTCTCAATAATTGATTAGTAGCTCTATACTTACTTTACAGAACACAGTGCCGAGGACCAAAATAGTGCTTATTTAACATTTACAGTAGTTCTTTTCCGCATAGGGATCAATAATCAACAAATGCAATGCGAGTGCGAGTGCGAAAGAGTATAACCTCCAATAATAAGGTTTTTGCTTTCTAGTACTTAAAGGCGAAATGGAGTCATCTCATATTTCTTCCGCCAGCGTTAAATTGCCAATTTCCTTACTCATAACGCGAGATCACCTTTCTAGATGGCGGAAACCTTCGACTTTATTGTAGTTGGTGGTAAGAGATCCTCTTCCTAAGAATGCGAGGCAGAGAAATAATTAATTAATTGCCTTAGGCGGAACTGCCGGATGTCTCATTGCCGAAAAGTTGGCATCAACTACAACAAAGCCAAGCGTTGCGCTTTTCGAGGCCGGGGATAGACAGGAAAGCGATTCACTGCGCCAGACTTATCACCGGTTTACGCTGGCACTCACTCATCCTGAACTGAACTATGGGTCCAAGTCAACTCCTCAAGCCCATTATGGCGGCAGACAAATAGATATGATTAGAGGCAAAGGCCTTGGTGGAAGCTCGCAGATTAACTTCCAAGTCTGGTCCCTTGGAGCCAGAGGCGAGTTTGATGCTTGGGCTGAGAGAACCAAAGCCCAAGAATGGGGATTCAAGTCTATACTCGCCAGTATCAAAAAGGTACTTCCTTCCGTTGACCGATCAAATATGACGAAAGTTGAGATATGAAAGATCGAAAATGCCACTGTGAAAATACCAACTGTCTGGGAAAAGTTCTCTCAGCAAAGCGCTGACTGTCACGGCTTTGCAGGGTAAAAAGTTTCTACCACCAGCTACTGCAATCACTTGTTAACGATTACTGTAGGCCAATAGACGTATCAATTGGCCCATTGATAGAGCCAGAGGCAAAACACATTCTTGAGGCTGCTGCTGAGCTTGGGGTATGTAAATCGGACCGTTTAGGGTACAACAAACTACAAGTCTTTAACTCACCGATCTAGTATCCAATAAATTTGGACCAAAACGACGGCGATCCTATTGGCTTTGGACTATCCCTAAATTCCAACATGAAAGGGTACAGGACAACGAGCGAATCGGCATTCCTCAACAAGAGTCTTCCAAATTTGCGAATCTATCGAGGCTCCTTCGTCAGCAAGATAATCTTCGATGGAAATAGAGCCATAGGCGTGCGGTGCAATAGTTCAGAGTGTAAGCCATCGTGTGCTAGTCAACGACACAAGTGTAATTTGCTGAGACAGCCACAGACTTTGCAACTAAGGAAGTCATACTCACTGCGGGAGCAATTGGCAGCCCACATGTCTTACTTCACTCCGGAGTCGGTCCTTTGGCTGAATTGAAATCGCTCGGAATCAATGTTGTTCAAGACCTCCCAGGTGTTGGTAAGGGCTTTTCCGACCACCCTTGCATACCAGTGGTGTATCATATGGGCCATGGTTTTTCGGAAAGAGTGTCATTTTCATCTGACGAAGTAAAAATATCTGCTGCCGAGCATGAACTCAAAAGTTCAAAGACGGGGCCATTGACACAGTATATGTCTTCCGCAGTTACAGCCTTTCTTCAGTTGCCCGGTATAGTTGACGTGGAAGGATTCAACCAGCTCCCTTCCGAATCTCGAGAGCTACTTCTAAAGCAGACTACGCCTCATTTTGAGCTGGCAATGGTGAGTCTGTTAGCCTAATTAACTTGTATTGTTGTTGGAAAGTGGCTGACAGAATGCTAGCCGGGCCCCCTTATCCCGCCTACTTACGTGTTCGAAGACAAACAAGATGGCTATCTCACCATGTTCATCACGTTGATGAATCCACAATCCAAAGGATCAGTCTCTATTTCTAGTGCTGATCCTAACATTCCACCGGTCATTGATCCAAACTATCTCGGCAGTTCATTCGATCGTGCTGCCCTAAAGGAAGCTACTAAGGAGACTTTGAGCATTTTAGATGCGCCTTATCTGAAGCAGTATATCAAGCATCCAATCCTAGCCCCATCTTCATCCAATGATGAAGATATTGATGCAAGTATAAATCCACCGTGGATCTGTCAACTTAATTGCTAACACATCTTGTCTCAAAGGCATTTACTCAGGCTGCCGGCATGGGACTCTTTCATCCAAGTTGTACCGTCAAAATGGGTACGATAGATGATTCCATGAGTTGTGTGGATCGCCATTTGAAAGTATTCGGATTACAGAATTTGAGAGTTGCCGATATAAGTGTGACTCCTTTGCTTCCTAGGTACGTTTAATTCTTTTGCCTTGCCATGTTGGTTCCTATAACTAATTGCACAATAGCGGCCGTAAGTTATACGACTTGCAGCTTATCGGAATATTGTTATGAGCGCTAACGACTGACATTCCTAGACACTCAGATTGTAGCCTATATAATTGGTAATATTGCATTTGAGAAGATTTCGGAAGAATGGAATCTATAGTTTCACAGAGATTATTCTCTGTCCTGTCGGCTTTTATTCTTATAACCTTGGTTAACAAACAGATTGTTAAGATATCATGTTTGGCGTTCCCCTTGTGCAACACCTTTACTCCAGCGGGGTCAAATTCATTTTAGACAGAACAATGGTATTCGCAGAGCTCACGTTTCTCATCCTGTGGAGTTTTTACTAAGCACTGGCTGAGCCATGTGCACTACATAGGGCTTGGGATAAGCTAGAGACAAAATTGATACCCTGCCAACTCTAGCTGAACAGACCACCTGTATACATTACAGCGCTATGCTTAGGGTTTAACGAGACATAGAACTTTGGCACGATTAATAAATTGGGTATCAACGCGTTCTAATGTTTTTATCACATAGTTTACACGCCCTATCGCGCAAGTATTGCCTATATCGTCACTCGATCAAAACCGAATCCTTAATTCGTGAAGTATAGTGCTGAGGTTAGGTTGTTTCGTGCAGAAACTTTACATTGCCGCTCAAGACAGATGCCACGCTTCCGTTGTTATCAATCAGTACCGATTCAGAGAATTTGACTAATTTCAAAAGAGGCTTGTACATCCGATGTAGTGGAGATGCAAACGTGGAGATCAATGAAGGCTTCCGAAAACAGCCACCGATTCTGGCGTGCGTACATGATTCTGTGAGCCGACGGCGGGGGAAGTAAACGGCTATCGCCATAGATACGGACTTCGCTCGCTGACGCACGGCACATTATTGGGGAAATTTGGGGGCTGAAATTACAGGGCTTCGAAAAGAATGACTAGGTACTCTTGATAGCTCGTCTTTCTTAATGCTTAGCCTCTGAGGTCACAAGCATCAATAATGCATTTGTGTGAGGCTGAAAATGGTCCAAAAATACGCCTGATGATAAATATCAGCCATCCGTGCAAGGATTTGTTTAAAAAACGGGGACCACGAAATGAATAGTATACACGTGCGTTAGAGCCATACGAGCAACTTTACAGAGGATTCACTGCCATCCTTATGTGCGTGTCATTCTAGTTGGATACTAGTTACTTTCCGATCCCTGTTTTTATACAAGCCGCTTGCGGTGTAAGCTAAACTTCGGGGAATGGTCTTTCACGCGAGTCATTCCGTTTTCAAGCTTATCGGCTGTAGGTAACTTGATCACTTGACCAAGCAACATAGGGGAACAAGGACGTCTCCAGGTAGCACTTTTTGTATAGCGGACTTTATTGTGTAAGCACTATTTATATAAGAATGCGGGATCTACCCAACCATATCGCGGCCCGTCTTGGCTCTTTTGAGAACTCCGCCTTCTGCGTACCTGCTATAACATAGGAAGCCCCCAGTTCAGATGAATGGAAAGCGAACACCTTTTATGACGCGAAGCTATTGGATCCCTATTGAAATCGTGGTCGTTGATATTCGCCGTGCTTTTCATCATGGACACAATTGTACAAGCTCAAAATACCTTTGTCCATCCTACGAGCCTACTCGACAGCAACTGTATCCTCGGACACAACGTCAAAGTTGGCCCTTTTTGCCATGTTGGATCTAACGTGACTATTGGAGATGGCACGGAGCTTGTTTCCAACGTGACAATTCTATCGTCAACATCATTAGGCAAGAAATGCAAAGTATACCCATTTGCTGTCTTGGGTGGGCCACCGCAAGACAAGAAATACTCCGGTGAAAACACTACTCTAGTCATTGGAAACAAGACAATCATCAGGGAGTTTGTATCAATACATACAGGCACAGCTGAAGGAGATGGCGTTACGCGTGTCGGCAACCAATGTTACATAATGACTAATGTCCACGTCGGCCATGACTGCCAAATTGATGATGATGTGGTGCTCGCGACAGGAGCTGGGTTAGCTGGTCACGTCTCTGTTGGTAGAGGCGCCATTGTTTCTGGGCAGGCTGGTATTCATCAGTTTTGTCGGATTGGCCAGCTGGCATTCGTCGGCGGAGGAAGTATGGTCACTAGGGATGTTTTGCCTTTTTCTACCGTTATCGGAAACAGAGCAATGACAGTGGGCTTGAATGATGAAGGGTTAAGGCGGCGAGAATGGTCATCTGAAAGAATTTCAGTCCTGAGAACCGCGTTGGTGACCTTTCTCAATAAGGGAGAGAAAGGTTTGGAGAGTTACTTGAAACAGTCGTCAAACTCTGTCGATGTGCAAGTGCTGCTCGACTTCATAAAAGGCTCAGCGAGAAATATTTGTCCACCAAAAGCAGATTTGAAAGTCAAATTGGATAAGTTATAGTTCAACAGACAACACCCAACAGAATACATTTCTGAACAATGCCTTGTAAATAGACAAGCTGTGCTGTCTTGGAAGTTAAGGTGCAAGTAGAGGTGTGGTAATTGGCGAGAAAAGGCCGGTTATTTTTCTTTAGTTGTAAAGAAAAGGACCTTTGGTTTGTTTACTGGCTTCTCTTGCTTGATATCAATGTTTCTTTCGCGTTTCTCGTGGCTAGCCAAATGGAAATGAGTATAGGGATGAACTGCAGGTATCAGAAGTATGGGATAGTTGACGTTTCCTTACTGATCCAGGCTAACGGAGAAGTCTTTTTTTTTTTTTCCTTTCCTCCAGCCAAGAGCCGCTAATGCCGTTATCGTGTATGTCACAGCCACCTCAGAAATTGAATGGTCCTTTATAGAGAGCCTGCTGTCAAGACGGAACAGCTTCGATCTATTCGCACACACGGACATCCAAACATGTTTGTTCTTCTTTCTCAGCAGTACCAAACTAGTGTCGATGCGCGATACTTGGAGTCTGCACGAACAAGTCCGGTGAGGCCACGCCAAACTGCTGGCCGTGCGTCCAGTGAAGACGCAAATGCTCTGGTCCGGCGACAACAACTCAGCATCAGGCATGCCAGTCGACGGCTCTCGTCAAATTTACGCTAAATAACTAGCAATTCAACGCCTATCGCCATGGCCTCTACAGTTCAACCGTTCAGCGCTCTTATTCACTTATCAGATCGGTGTTGAGTTCGCTAACACTTAGACTTAGTTGGACCCCTCCTGTCTGGGCGGCAAGCGATGGCTCACCACCCGAATCTGGTACTCGAATACGAGTATCGTGTGCCTCAACGCGACCTAAATAATCATAATCGCTGAGGTTTATCGTTTGTTCCTGTTGCTCGGCGCTGTGAATGCTCCGCCAACCGCTATCAAGCCAACAGTGGTGGGTAGCTAAATATCACTCTGCAGATCGTCATCGAATGGCTGGAGAACGCAATGACTCCTAATACTCTGAATAACACTAATGACATCGATAGCCTCTGTCACTAGCTCACGTGCCCCTTGTGGTCGGACAGTGACACCTCCTTCAGTCGTGTTTATGATCAGTCTTCTGCTGACATTTACATGCACTATTTGATAATTACCTCCCAGACTCCCCTTCAATACGAGATTTCATTGTCAACTAAGCAACGTAGAATTTAAACCAACATTTACTTTAGTTGGCTCTGAGTGACTCTTTATAGAACTTACGAAACAAGTTCTCATATTCTGTACCATACCCGTATCACCAGCGCGAACGCTTCACCCTCGATCTGTAAATACATGTTGCATCCTGGTACATTTTCACCCGATAAAATAATTATCAGTGACCATATAAGGTTTCATTTTTGCTCGGGTTTTGCTTTCAAAGATTTGTCGCAGCCAAACTGTACATCAAAAGCCCGCAGATTTTCGAACATGCGAACTTCTCCCGCAGTCTCAGCCTCGCTTTGTGTTTGGTCAGGGCCAAAGCCAACCGGACCTCGTTGAGTTCCATCGGCTAGGAATCGGTTGATGCTCTCGTCCTGATAGACCTTGGAGCCCTGAGAATCACCGTTGCTAGTAGCTGTGGTCGGTTTACCAGAGCTGCTTCAAGTATGTTAGCGCCAACTGCCGATTATCACATTCTCTAGCGTTCAGTCAACTCTCTTGTATCTATACCAACAAGAATTCCAGCTAGGTACTGGGTAGGTACAGCACTTAGATGAAGTACAGAGGTATATTTTAGAAGACAGAGACTGTGTAAGGATAGTAAGAGTAGAAGAAGTCCATCTGATACTCCGCAAATCTCATCTTACTTACCCATCACTGCCATTGTGAGCGACATTCGCGGAAGGTGGAGAAGGCATTTTGTGCTGAGTCTTGGACAGACAAATAACAGGAGACAAGAAAGAAATTTACTCCAAACAATGTATGTAACCAGGGCGAGGAGATATTGAGCTTTCTTGATCTTTGCATACAGAAATAATATGAGAAGAGCTATAGAGGGTTTATAAATCCTAGATACAAATCTTATATTCTGCCACTGATATAATGCTATTCAAACGACAGTATCCGATATTCGTTGTAGTCTTTGAAGCTTCACATCTGAAGATGAGACAAGCAGTCATATTCGTCGACTGTCTTATTACCCCATAGCCGGATCCGTCGATAAAGTGAGACGTAGATTCATCTTCTTTGGAGTTATCGTATTAGATATAAGACATTGATCGGCGCCTCCACGCGAGGATCCATAGATAATGGCGACCTTGGCTGTCACAGCTCTGGCACATGTCCTTACGCGAAACCAAGGTGCAACGACCATTTGTCAATGTCTTACCTCTCAGACAATTGATACATTTGCTTTCTGCAGAAGCCGGTTTTGGAAGAAAGAAAAAAGGCAGCTGGATCACGATGCTCTGTGCCTCGGCCATAATCTGGCAAAAGCCCCCCAAGATGGGAAGATGCCTAAAGTTAAAATTAGCTGTCCAATAACACCCAAGAGCCGTATGGGAATCTGCAATAGGGTTGCGTCTAGTAACCAAGAATTGTTCACGAGAACAGAAATGTTCGGCTGCCCTCGTGTCTTACTTTGGGCGTCGTCTGCAGTCCCACCGGGGACATGAGCTTCTGTGTCTTGAGTTCGCGCTCAAGAAATGAGACAACGAGTCTTATATATAGCCTGATGCAGACTGCTAGTAAGGAAGAACAGCATTTTGATAAGACGCAAGAGGCATACTATTCTTAGCCTCGGGGGCCAACCCCAAAACCCACCTCGCTCTAACGTTCGAGTACTATTGGATTTGGCAATTTTTATAGCTTTTTAGTCCAAAAGCATTGATTTCACTTTGCATAATACCTTGGACATGCCTATGCTTTGAGCGTGAACCAGCTGAGCTTTTATACTTGTGAAGTGATTGCAGTACCATTTGGAGGCTTTTTAAGCACACTGTCTGTGGCTTGCTTCTCTTGTAATCAACGGCATCTTGTAGCAATAGCATTTACATAAGCTATTCCGAATGTATCTGAATCAGTAGAATAATTCGCTATAGAATTACGACATACAACGCTAACTTTTATGTACTTTATATTTAACTGAGTATCATGACCATAGCCGTACGTATATAGCTTAACAACCGTGGACTGCTTCCCATCTAGATGCTAAGTATCCGAACCACGCCCTTAGCTCTCAATACATTTTCCCACTTCAGCTGCTTTCCAAGGACAAAGATATGATAATTCAGCACCACATATGAATAAAACACAAATCCAACAGCAATGCTGCTGCCTCATTTAGCGTTCGCCAACTCAGCGATTTCGATATTAAATGAAGTGTTCGTTGATCGAAAAGTCAAAATCCAATGTATCAAAAACTTTCGAAGGAGCACACCTTTCCCAGTCATACTCGCTAAATGAATGAAAGATGGCTTTATGGTCTCTTAAAAGTATGAGATTTGATGCATAGTCCTGGGGTATAAATACCAGCCGTTCATCGCCACGCTTGATCCATAATCTCTCAAATGATATTATATCGGAACAGCAGTCCGATAGATCTGGCATGGAAAGTGGCACTACGGCCTCGTCTATTCGCAAATGCATAGTGCAGGCAAGCAAATGAAAGTGTTTCGCTCCACCAGGTACCTCAAGCCTCCTTTTCAAAGTACCAGTTTTCAAGTCCCAGATCTCACATATTTTTTGATGATCTATGCGATCAATGATTGCGATACATTCGATGGGCAGAAATATTTCTAGTTTGTGTAAAGAAGATACCCAATAACCTGGTTTGATAACACGCAAAACTGCTCCTGTTTGGGCATCCAAAAGCTGAATTTGATATGAAAGGGTTCCCGCCACGCAGTCGCTGACAAGAAGCCGATCATTATCAAAGAAATAAATGTATCTTGGTTGATGAGAACTTCCTTTGAACTGGTCCAAATGGACGCCTGCTTCGAGATCGAACATAGATAAATGCTCATTTATCATTACAGTTGCGATAAGCTTAGAATCAGGCGAAATTGCCATAGCTGGATAGTAGCCCTGGTCCACAGTCTGGATCTTGTGAATCATTTGCAGACTTTGTGTATCCCAAATCTGGATATCATTATGAATGTTATGTAGTGCAATAAGCTTGCTGTCGGGAGAAAACATGTGCCGCTGGGAATCAAGCACATAAGAAAACCCGAGGTCGCTTAGGTGAAACACAGATTTCCCTTGACTGCAATCGAATAAATCGTAGTCTCGGAGCCACTCGATCGCGATGAACTGGTTATTGGGCGATAGAACCATATTCTTTGCCCTAGACTGAGCGGTAAGGCTGACTGTATACACCATTTCCAAGTTTTGGGTTTTCCATATGTACAATTGACCTTTCTCAGGGTCTATCTTATTTTCTTTGAAAGGTGACATAACAGCGACGAACTTATTACAGTCAGAAGTTGTAGTTTGAGGCAGTCTAGAAAGATTGGAATCAGTGGCAGCAGGCTGTTGTGTGCCACTGGCATGTCCCAGAATCGGATGGTATTATCCTTTAAAGTTGAAGCGAGAAACGTTCCATCCGACGAAAATATGATTTCGCTATCCAGAGTGAAAAAGGCAACAGGACAATTTACGGTATGCGTTTGATAGCCAGATGCGGCATCTAGTAGCACAATATAGAGAATTGAAGTTACAGCAAGGACTCGATCGTTGGGCGAAAAGGTCATGCCTCTGGGGGACTCTATAGGCTTAAGCAACCGCCTTGCCCGAGTTTGAAAGTCGAAGAGCTCAACATGATTGGGTCTTGCCAGACCTACCATTTGGGCGCTGGATAATAATTTAGATGAACAGATTCTTCCTGCGTAGTGAGCCGGAATGCCAGCAGACTGTCCTGTATGGGCGTCTAAAAGGCCAGTTATCTCATCGTCGCTATAAGCAACGTGCTTACCATCAGGCAAGAAGGAGACGGCACCGCCCCATATAGAATGAAGATCTTTGCCCCATTTCCAGTCAATACTGGCGATATTCCACATCCGCATATCACCATCTTCTTCGCCATCACCAGCAGAAACTGACGCGAGTGAAGTGCCATCTGGTGAAAATACAACCTGGCTAACTTCTCTGTCCTGTCTCAGAATGCCTTGAACTGCACCAGTCGTAGAATTATGCAGTCGTATTTTGCAATCCCACAATCCACAGGCTATAAGCTGGCATTGGGGAGAAATGTCAACCGATAAAACCTGAAAGGAATGACCCTCAAGGATACGTTGATTTGCGCCCGTCACGACATCCCATATCCAAACAGTCCCATCTTCACACCCCGAAGCCAGATATTTGCCATCTGTCGAGAATACAAATGCGTTGGGAGGTCGTGGATGCCACAGAATCTGTGTGTAAGGGGCCCACGTGGGGCGCCTTTGAAAAGAAGGGATGATCCAATTCGGAAGTTGGCTATTGTATATTTGACGGATAATGCTTTGCTCAGGACTGAATAGGAGCGCCGAACAATACACTTGCAACGGAGCCTCTTCAATAATCCCGCTATGTTCAAAAGCAAATCGCTTAGTATCGCGTACAAGATCAACAAGCGTCTTTTCCATATCGCTTGTCTGATCGTTGACAAGGCCAAAAGTCTCCTCAGGCTGGAACCACTTCATCCAACTCCATATGCTCTGTCTGCTTGGATGGGAATCATTTCCCTTTTTAAGTTTATCTGCTAGTGAAGACTGAAGGCCTGCCAACATGGCCATTCCCTCAGTCAGCCAAGAAACTCGGCTTGAAAGAATTCCACCACGCCCCGTGATTGAACCAATCCCGTTCACTCTTCTGTAGATGCTTCATCCAGTAGCTGCAGGCATACTGAACTGAAAGAGGAATGCATTCGTTCACTCGGACTTTGATACATCCAGCGCCTTTGTTCCTGGCTTTTTAAGTTTGCACATGTCTTTGTGCAGAGAACTGCGCATAATCACCAAACAGCATTCGAATAGCTCATAATGTAGCTGTCTAGTGGGAATTTGGAATTTTTCGTCGCAACATCTTTTTGAGTCTAGGAGAAAATCTCTAAAAGAGGGATGCAGGGTATCAATCTTGCTTTCGTCGTCTTCTGAGATGTCCAAAACAGACCCAAGGGTATTGAGTACTGACATTATCCTTGATTTGGGTTCGTCAATAATAGCAGCGAGGTGACTTAAATTGAACGCGTCGAACAAAACCACAATTGACCCGACAACTTTCTGAAACCTTCGTTGTAATATGAGAGCTTCTTCAGATCTAGATGCCCGTTAAACGAGTTTTCCAGAACTGTAGTGTATATGTAATCAAGTTCCTCTTCTGCTCTAGAGCTGGAAGATCTAAGGGCATAGAGATTCGAAAGCCGTTGTTCTGCAAGAATGGCTCCTTAATCAATAAACCGACAAACAGTTGCGGCGTAGACGAATAACCCGTGAGATTTGGGCACGAGAGACTGAACGATATCGTCAGATGTTAGGCCTTCATCCCAGCTGTGGCGCCGAGATAATTGCGCTAGCTGATGACGATAGTAGATCATCAAGTCGCCATCCACGATGGATTGTTCAATGCTATGAAGGGCGAAATACTGACGTAAGTTGATGGATACATTGCCAAAACCGAGATACATTGGTCGGTCCGGCCTACTTGTGATAAACATTCGAAGTGGTATGTTTTTAACACTCGCAGCTGTGCTCACGAAGCTCTCTATCAACATTGCCATGTCCCTTTCGTTATCGCATTCGTCAAGAGCGTCAACGATTATGAGAAGCGGAGATTGGGCGGTTTGGGGCTCTAATAAGCCCAAAGGCTCTGTGATAAGCTTCTCCCACTACATGTACAGGGCGAGTTGGCTGATTCTAGGGTTCGAAATAGCAGCAGCGATAATATGCTGTCGTAATACCGGAGAATATTCAGCAAGCTGAACGGCCATAGTAGTCGCAAACTTTTTCGTTGAGGCAAGGTCACCACCACCTCTGGAAAAGAAGAAGCTTGCTCCCAGCTGCTTCTTTTTATAATACTCGCGAGCAATCGTGAGAGAAATAGTAGTCTTCCCTGTACCGGCCATTCCATTGAGCCAGTAGATGCGCTTTTCGCCATTATGGTCAATCCACGTCCGAATATCAGCGAGTAGCTGCTCTCTCGTATGTTCAAGGCAGCCCGAAACATGCTGCTTATTCACTGCGTCGAAGCTAGCGGGCAAGTAGTCAAGCTTCAAATCTTGAGGGGGGCTGGCATAATGGGCTAATTAAAGCCATTAGAACAGATACCGCAACTTCAAAGAATGGACATAGTACGAACTAGATATCCGTACATTTCCCTGAGTGCCAGTAATATTGATGTGGCCTTGGTGACTAGCAATATGACATTGCCTTGGTGAATCCGCGTGTTGTCGCCAAATACATTGTCAGAGACGAACGCTTGACTGCAGCGATCCATACTGGTTCGTCATCAAACCATAGGATGATGCTGCAACGGCCATGAGACGACAGAATAGCAATGAGAGAAGACGGTTAAATATCGCAGCGGGATAAAAAGACAACATGAGAGCCTTACACGCGGGGCTTGGTGCCAATCGCAAGCAGCCTTACATGACATAAGCCGAATACCTCGATGGCATAGGCTCCTTCATCTGCACGTCACCATCTCGCATGGTCTCAGTACTCGTCAGCCACGACGATTCTTAATGCTTTAACCCGCAGTGGCTGGTTCTCGTATAATGCTGAGCCCTCTCACCTTGCTTTGAACCAGGCAACATCGCCTCATCGCAAACTTCTGACCATTCTTGCGGAGAAAAAGGATCAAGCTCACCAATACTGAAGCGACGCCTACCGATGATATCCACCAGTTTCAGCTCGTTGATGAGACAATACGCGTAGGAAACAATTAGGTTGCTTTGGCATTACACGCCTTGAACTCCGTGCAATACTGTCAAGGGGCCAAAGTGGCTTATTACTGACAGGTTATAGGATAATTCGGTTCGCCGGCCCACAAATGGATCTCAGCTCCACCTTCGGATGGTCCCGATCACGCGTATACTAACTACCTAGAGCAGTCAATCTCACCAGACATGAAAGGGTCAAGGTCCAATGTATACATGACATCATAAACGGTTAACAATTTCAGTCTAGCTTTGCCAACCACATGTCAGTAACCAGCCATTCGATATTCCCAACCTGACCTCGATTTCTCTCTCGTCAGTCGTCTATCACCATCTCATCAACATGGCCTTCGAACACATCATGGCCCTCACCTTATCCAGAATCAGTTTTAGTTCACGCACCATCATCTACATACGACCTCGCCCCCGACTCGGCGGCCTCGACATCCCCCCAGAAATAACATTAATGATCATAGCACATCTCGACCGACCCTCGCTCCTCTCGCTTGCTCTAACTTGCAGGACATTTTTTCTTTACTACTTCCCTCAACCTCTTGATCTATCGTCCACTGAAAAAGAAGACTTTCTGGCTCTATTAGAAAGGGACGCGCCTCATCACTATCTCTGCCACTTTTGTCTAAAACTCCATCGATGGCGGATGGCCTGGTTTCGGCATTTCGATTCAGAGATTCCACATTATTACCTGAAACACGAGAATACATGCAGAGAAAAGTATCAAATTAAGCACACCGGGATGCCAACTTTGTTGTATCCTCTCACACGGGTCATCATGAATCGACAATTTTATGGGGCAGCACACGGGCCCCCAGCGAGAGTATTGTCAACATCAAGAAGCAGGAAATGGGATCATAAATATCATACAGTGTGGAAAACCCGTATCATCGACAATGAGCTTTTGCTGTCATCGGATATCACAATAAATTTCAGCGAAAATCAAGAAAATCCCAGGAAAACCATCGATTATACTTCACATCCGATATGCGCACATCTTGCAACCAGCGAACATTCCTACCCCCAAAAGCAACTTCCTGAGCTAGCTGCTCGATGTCCCACGGATTTTTTCATCTCATGTCATGAATCTATCAAGTCTTGTCCTGAATGTCTGACGGATTACTGCATCAGCATCATGCAGCAGGAAAAGCGTTGGGTGGTCAAAGTTATTGCCTACAATCAGCTCGGAGCAGTCAGATCACCTTTTGACTGGGAGTGGAGTGGTATGATACGATCAAGAGATCGGCTGGAAGAACGGCAATCCAGGTATCTCTTAGGATATCGGCCAGGCATGGTAAGGCACTTGTGGAGCAAGGCAGACAAGATTCTCTTGGAACCCACGGGAGAATGGGCGTATCTCCCGGACTAGATACAGACCTGATCAGTAGATGAATCAATACAGCACTTACTACATTCAGTACAGGCTCGTCTTGGCTTCACCTTTGGCAAGGCTACTAGACCCCAGCACCACGGTGAGGTGCGAGCCAACGCTGGGGAGGGCGCAATGCCTTTCGACATTGGCCCCCACCACCCTGGACGGCGGGTGGTGTCATCCAACCATCGCTGGAATGGTCAGGAAGTGTCGCCGGATCCCTTCTCGCGCCGGCAGTCTGTCGAGAGCCCTACTAGCCCAGATGGGATCGCAGGGGAGAGTTGCCAGCTCTCTGGATCTTCGAGACGTCTGTCCTCAGCAGTCGGAGTTCAGAAGAGGCCTCGGACAGAGCGTTGACCAAGGTCGCCACAACTGTCCTCAGCCTCTGGACTTCCTCTCGCATCGCGCCGACTTCGCTTCTGATTGCCGTCAATTCGCCGACTAGGTCCGTGGATGCCCCCATCATCGCACGAACTTCGTCAGTGAAAGACGCCAACACAGAGGCTCGGTCTGCGGATGCAGCCATCAACACAGAGGCTAGGCCCGTGAATGCCTCCCCCATTCTACGGACTTCGTCTCTGGTTGAGGCGAGTATGTCCCGAAGCGTCTCAGCAGATGCCTCCCCAGCAGGCACTGCCGTCATCAACGCCTCGACGGCTCTCATCAATGCCTCGAGATCGTCTCGGATTTTCCCAATATCAGCATTGTTAAGGATGTCTATGACATCCTCGGGAAGTCCAGGGCCAGGAAACAAAGCGGGCAAAGCCCAAGGAAGAGCGAGCAAAAGAATTGCTCCGGAAAGAAAGATTCCGGCGGCCGTCCAGCACACGGAAATCCAATAAGAGGTGGTCGAGGTCATGATCTAAACCGATCGAAAGAAACGCGAGCAGTCAGTCGATACGAAAGAATCTGTCGCGTGTGGTGAAAGGGAAAGAAAAAGAGGAGGAAAAGAGAAAGAGAAACAAGAAACATATAGGCAGGGAGAGAATGGAAGAAGACTGTAGGGAGCTCTTTCCATTTGGGACTGCCCGCCGGCTGACCGCCAGCCGTTGGGGGGGAAATCGTTCTTGCCGTTCGACTTTGGCCAAACTGCGACTGCTACTACAACCACTACTGGTACTACTACGAGTAGTATTATCTCTACTATCTCTACCAGTACTACTACTAGTACATAAGGTATCTAATGCTACTGATGCTACTGATGCTACTGATGCTACTGAGGCTACAACTTCTTTACGTATTTTCCAGTTGCATATAAATACGGGCCCTAACTATCTTCATGTTGTTGAGCTACGGTTGGGGTGTTGGATAGCTTTTCCCAAATGCATTTTGATTGTGGACTGGTACTATATAATTGAGATAAAAATAATTAACAGGCTGATGAATCTTGTCCAGGTAGAAGGCCCTCCCAAACGGTCGTCAGAGGTAAGTAGGTAGGTAGGTAGGTAGTAAATAGGTATCGGGGATGATTTTCCGCATCGAAACTATCAACTCCCTTACCTACTCAAGGTGCTCTTTGACCAGGCGAGACCGGCCAAAGCTCAGCTGGGCAAAGGTGCTTGCTGACCTGCGCAAGGACCGCAAGAAAGATAAATCCTGCCTAAAATTGGGCCCAAGAATATCGCCATCGGAGGTCGCTGGGCTGCTCGAGTGTCTTTGCGAGGTGCTCAAAAAAGTAAGCCGTGAAGCATAATAGCAAGCCGCTAAGGAGGAAATCGCAACTAACGTAGGAGCTAGATAATATCAGTAAAGATTGACTTGCGCGTATTGAACTCGTCGGGTATACACTTACATGTTTAGCAAAATCGCTGGCGCAATACGTAGTGTGAGACTTAAACCAAGCTAAATGCCATCTTCTTTGGTGATGTAGAGAAGAAAATAGAATATATTTGCTGTGTGGTGATGATAGACGATAGTATTTGTGCGAAATGTATTGATATTTTCGGCTGCCTTGGACTTGCTGATGTTCAAATGATCGAGCGAGACGTTTGGATGGGCAAGGCTTTCCCTTCTTATGCCAATAATGTCAGCACCCACTTGAGAAAGCTTTTGTACAATAGTCGCTATAGCAACTTCATGTAAAAGTTAACCAAGTGGTGACTGTAGATACTTTACAAATGAATTAGACATTGTGGGCGTATCGATGTATTGCTAACTCATAATCGGATTGTGCTAAAACTGACCCTACAAGAAGATGTGGCTGCAATTGGTGTTGTACTTTATTCTTCTTCTTTCTTGTTTACCATTAAGTTTCCTTTCTAAGCTTGTCCTTTGGTTTCTGTACTTATGTTTGAAGGTTTTGTAAATTATATGCTAGTAAACAAACTGTATTCTAATGACTTCAAGAGCGAAGCGCTTCAATTCCCCATTCTTCTCTCTTTTTCGCTTGGCTATATGTTCTCAGTTAGCACTTCTAATCATTGTATGGGGCTGCAAGGATTCCATGGCCTACAATTCTCGATCTCACCCGCACGATATTGCTTTCTTTTGTTAGAACCTTGCGAAAATAGGTAGCATACTTTCAGAGTGAAAGCTTTGCAAAAATCTGTTTCTTTAGCGAGCATTATTAATTCCTTGCATAATAAATAGGAGGCACATTCGGTAGCATGCCCATTGTCGTATTCTATCCCATAGTGTGCTGCCGTGGAAACTCGATTTCTCGGCGCCATGGGCTCCAGGTTCGGCACGGTAGCATCTTGATATGGCGACTCTACTCAGAGGTAGGTCAATAGCGTCGATAGTAGACATGGCCTTCATGCCGCTGAAGCCTTGGAATGGGAGAGTGAAGAGCGACTCCAAATTAATGATAGCTTTAATGCTGCCTTTTTCTTCTTTTACAGCGGTATTGTACGGTAACGAAAAACTTCTCCCATCACATTTCTTCTATGCTATGCATAAAGCTGATATTTGGCGGAATACTTTGTGAGTAAACAATAAATAAATCCTCAATGCGGGTAAAGAAAGTGAGGGCAAAGTGAGTTATTTTTCAGCGCTGAGCGGTCGATTGAATGCACTAACCCCGTTACATGCACTTGAGATACAACCAACAGCCGTCTGCCTGCATCTATTTCCTTTTATTCCTTCCGCTCCCCCTCATCTTTTCTCTCTTTGATCTGTGGATTAAAGAGTCTTGCACCTTTTGGAATCTTAAACCCTCCCAAGCTACTGCAGTTACCCACGACTTGTTCGATTTGCTAAAGCAGAATATTGTGAGTGGGCATTTTATCCTTCCTCCTACACTCTTTGATTGTGAACCTAATCGGTAGGAATAAAACTGAGATGGGTATCGTCAAAGATTGCGATAGATAGCCATGGACCGCGAGGATTCGGTTAGGCGAGGATTCGCTTTAGAACCATCAACAAACGGCCAGTACAAAATCACTTCCTTGTCCACCTTGAGAAGGCTACAATCTCATCTCTCATCACCTCAGAGGATTGTAGTCCTGCCTGGACAGTTGGATGAGGCAACTATTGAGATGCTCACATCTCACGGCGTGCCACACGAGTTTGTGAAATCTCATCTAGAAGGCACAGAATACAGCTGGAGGGGTAGCAGGCCTCAAGATGCCATCGCAGCTTATTTCTGGGTAGTGCCCCAATTTGTCCGTTGCTGCGGCCAATGTACGACTGATGTTTTTGAATATACAACCAATTCTCGAGGACGGGTGGTACTGCTTAGCGTTTCACTATGGGTATCAAAGCAACAGCTCATTTCTGTACTGCTCGTCCAACGGTCTGTTACAAACTGCGAAGAGACAGAAGTCCCAGCCGATCCATCTCTCGAGGACGAGTTACGCAGAAAGCTGCCTCATGCTGGTCTTACAATCTCCATTAAGGATTATATCAATCAACTGGCTTATGAGCGATGGGTGGAATATGTTGCCGAACTCAATATTGAGACAGTGTCTTCTGACCTGCTTTGGAGAGCAGCCGAGGCAGTCGAGCAGAACCTCGATACGGCGAGATATATTGCTGCAGAGGGAGACGCACTGTATCTAGCTGATGAACGCGCTTGGGAGGGTATGCTTCGAAGACTAGATTTCCGTATGCGCTGTTTCAAAGCTTGATACCTACGGTAGCACGTTTAGCTACGATAGTGCCACTAGATGTGATATCCCTAATAAATACTATGGCGTCGCTACCAGATATAGTATCGCTACTAGCAACTACATGGCCTCCGACGGGGCTACGAGAAATGGACACAATAACACGGATAGATGTCAACAAAGGAGGAGAATCAAGATTGAGACAAAAAAGAGAAAGAGTAGCCATAATAGCTTAAGCATATGACATCAATTTCTTTTCTCTTTGAACCTGCCCGTTACATACACTATATCGTACAATCATACGGTAAACGTAGCCGACCAATCCCGTGATACAACCGCATTTGACATGCTTTAAGAAAAGAAGTAAAAACAAACAGGCAACGAACAGCCAGTCCCAGAGCGAAAAGTGCCTCCCAAAGCATACAATATCGTAATCAAATCAAACATTTTCACTACCTGGCCCCTTATTCTCCTTTTTTTCACGCCATCATCTCTCCCACATTCCCGTCCTTCCTCCTCCTCGCCGAAGGCCCAATCTTGTCCCGTCCCATCCACGGCCACAAACACTCTGGAATAGTCACCGTTCCCTCCTCCTCGTCCCACCCGTTCTCCAAAATCGCAGCCAGCACCCTTGGCACTGCCAGCGCCGTGCCGTTGGCCGTCCACGGGAAGACAAGCTTGCCGCTACTCGTCTTAAGTCGTGTCGCTAGACGCCTCGTCTGATAGTCCGTACAGAGGCTTGCGGACGTGACTTCGCCCCATCCTCCACTGTGGTGCTCTCGGCTGGGGAACCAAGCTTCCATGTCGATTTTACGTGTCGCAGACGCACCGAGATCCGTCGACGGCATGGACAGGACGCGACAGTACAGTCCTAGGGAGAGGAGGATCTCTGTCTGAATGTCCAGCATCTCGTCAAAGACTTCCCGGGCTTCAAACTCGTCGGGGCTCGTCCACGCAAACATTTCGACTTTAGAAAACTCGTGGACGCGATAGAGGCCTTTTGTCTCGGCGCCGCGGGCTCCAGCTTCAGCACGGTAGCATCTTGATACGGCGACTCTCTTCAGAGGTAGATCGATAGCGTCGATAGTAGACATGGCCTTCATGCCAGCGAGAGGAATTTCAGAGGTTCCTGCCAGGCTCATCTCAGGGACGCCCCGCTCAGCGTCTGCTCGGGACTGGGCGATGGCATAGACTTGTTGCTCGCCGTTCTGGTCGCGAGGTTGGAAGCCACAGGCAGCGCCAATATGACTGTACACCATAGTAGGGGGTGATACTTGCGTCCATCCATGCTTAGTGACCACTGCGAGGGCATATTGAATCAAGGCTTGCTCCAGCTGTGCTGCTTCGCCGAGCAGATAGTACCACCCCCAACCAGACGCCGTGGCAGCACCAGCAAAATCGAGAATGCCCAACTCAGCGCCAATGTGAACATGCGATCTCCAGATCCTCTCCGGTCCCTGATCAAAGCTCGGGGGTTCGTTGATAAAGCTCAAAACTTCAAAATCATCTCCCCTCGGCGTATCCGCGCTGGTGAGGTTAGGAATCTCCAGCGCCAGCGCCTCCATCTGCGCAACCGCATCAGCCTCCTTCTTCTCAATCACCACCAGTTCGCTCTTTAGTGCTCTCGCTTCCTCCTGGACCTTCTCGCGGCTCATGTTCTTCACATCCTTGAGGTCCTCATCATCGCTGCTCGTCGCCGAATTCGCCAGCACCTTTCTCAGCAAATTCGACCTCTCCCTCAGAGCGCGGCCATCCTTCTGAAGCTGCTGCCACTCAGCATGCAATTGGCCGATTCTCGCAGGGTAAGAGGCCTGGCGCTTGTAGTTGCGCTCCAGGCAGGTCTTCTCATAGAGCTCCGGATTCTGCCGAATATGTTTGATGTCAATAATGGGCTTTGGAGCAGACGAAGGGCGCTTGACGTCTGAAAAGGTCCGCATAGAGAGGATGCGGGCTTGTAGCCGCCACTGGGGGCAGCGCAAGCGGCATAGCGAAGGAATCATGACGGATTTTTGCGAGGCATGGTTTATGATGTCAAAGCTCTTGGGAGCTCCAATCTCATGATGGTGGTGTGGTGGAAGAGCTCTAATATGCGATTAAGCGGGATCGGACAGTGCAGAATTTACACTGTGGCTTGGCCACATGCACATGCCTTCATTCTGGGTGTATCTGCAGAAAGGGATACAGTCACTAACAACATAGGTATCCAACTGATCAATCTTGGACTTTCTGAGAGTCACATATTACCTGACCAATTCGTTCTCTCTCTCAGCGCACGGACATCCTTCTGAAGTTGCTGCCACTCAGCATGCAACTGGCCAAGGTGAGACGCCTTGATGCTTGTAGTTACTCCAGGCACGTCTTTTCATATCATAGGCTATCTAGCTTTTTCAATATAAAATCTGTTTCCCCAGCGGAGGCTTAAACATGAAGTACAGTTTCATGTTAAAACAGCAGCAGTAGCAGCAGTAGCCCATCCTATAAAGTGCTGGCGACTAGCGTTATTGTAGTGTACGAATTTGAGAAACGTGCGCTGCTTATTTGAGAATTCCCTCCTTTTCTTCACGGACTTTGACTACTATGCTTAAGTTAACCATAAGCACTCTATTCATCCATCACAAGCAAGGGAGCATGCGTGCGTCATTAAGTTCTATATTGTAAGATTGACCCCGGCTAGCTGATAGCAGCCGCTGTTTGCTTGCTATCCATCAAAGCTGATGGCCGTGTTCTAGCATACTCATCTAATACTACATCGCTCGCCTCTCTCATAGTAAGACATTATTCGTACTAGTAAAGTATTGAATCGCTTTCCAAACCAAGCTTCTTCTTTTTTAAACAGAAAAACAAAAAACGCCATGCTCACACTCTCGCTCGTCCATTTATACAAAATGGAATGGTATCATCAACCCATATATAAAAAGTCAAGTTGCAGACGTGGAAAGAAGGCGAAAGAAAGGAAATAATCCCTTCATACTCCTTTATACAGTCTCAACGGGACCGCCAACCTCGCTCTCCTTCCTTGGCGCATTGGCCAATGCTGCTGCGTTGTGCTCTTCTTCCTTCTCTCTCTGCACCTCTTCGTTCTCGTCCACGTTGGTATCAGAAGATTCAAGTTCTTCAGCTGGGGCGGAAAAGACGGGGGCAATCTTGCTCTTTGCTCGAATCTTGGCACCGTATTTGTAGAAAATGAACGGGATAGGGGCCAGGACAATGGCCACGCAGCCGAGGAGGGTGCTAGCCCACTGAATGTGCATACCAAGGAACATTTGACGTCCAAAAAGCGGGAAAGCAGCTCCAAACAGAGATCGCATCAGGGTGTTTCCGGCAAGGGCTGAAGCGGCAAACATGAGGTAAGCGTCGACAATGTAGTTGAGGGCCTGGAGGAAAATCGACATGAGGCCAAAGCCCGTGAGAATTCCGCTGACAGCAGGGGCTGCCCAATGGATATCTGCTGAGAATCCAGTCCTAGAATTTTTGTTAGCTACTGATTATTCCTTCTTGGGGAGTGACTTGTGATTGACAACTTACCATCCAAACCAAAAGATGCCGCCGGCAAAGGCAATACCACCAACCATCATGTTGGGCAATCGCCACTCGGGAATTGGCATGCCATTGTTTGCAGCGAGTTTGCGATTGTACCATGGCACCTGAGCAATAATGGTAAAGGTGGCAAGAAGCTCACCAATGACCAATCCAAAGAAAGTCAAACCAGAAATGCCCGGGGTAAATCCATGAACACCTTGGAAAACAAGAGGGTACGCAGTGAAAAATAGATAGAGCAGCCCGTAAATAAAACTCATGTAAAGAGAGAGAAGAAAGATGATGGGTTCGGTGAACAGAAGGCGTATCGGACGGAGGAAATTCTTGCTGACGAGTTCGCGAAAGTCGATTTCGATTTCTTCCTGCTTGGCGTGGATGCCCCAGTTCTTAGTTCTTCGTCGCAGCTCAGCCGCCTTACTAACGAGGATGACTGGTGGATAAGACTCCTCGAGAAAGAACAAGTCGAGAATAAAAGCGGCGAATCCCATGATAGCACAGAGATACTCGGTCCAGCGCCACCCCAGATAGGACGTAACAATGAAGCCGCCGATAAAGGGCGCCAACATGGGGCCAGTGAAAACGGTCATGGAAAAAATAGCAATGGCTGTTCCTCTATTCCTATTGTCAAACATGTCGGAGAAGACGGCGGCAACGACAGCCAGCGGGCAGGAGCCGAAGAAGCCAGCGAAGAAACGACAAATGAGGATCGTCTGAATATCTTTGGCAGTGGCCGTCGCAATGGTGAAGAGGGAGAAACCAAAGATGGAGAGGACAATGGGCAGACGACGGCCCTTCAATTCAGACAACGGCGCCCACAGCGAGGGACCGAATGCGAAACCCAAAACGTAAAACGAAGTGCCCAAAACGCCAACCTCGAGGCCAACATCGAACTTCTTGGCCACGGTGGATGTCGCAGAAGAGAAGATGGAAGATGTAAAGGTAGCGACGACTGTCGTATAGGCCAGCATGGCAGACGTGAGGAGCTTCTTTCTTGTCGGCCAATTCTGAGCATGTAGAGGATCGTGGGGTCCGTCGAACTCGACAACATATTCTTCTTGGGCGGGCAGCAAAGGGGGGTACGGCTTGCCGCCACCAAAGGCTGGCAGAGGCCTTCGAGAAGCTCTACTCTCTGAGCGGATTGAGCCTCCAACGGTGTTAACGTGCTGGCTTCTCTGTGTGGCAATGCGGCTGAGAGCCGTGGAGTGACGCTCCAGATCGTTTTGCGTTGATACGCGACTCATGTTAGTTCGGCGGCGGTAGATGCTGTCGCGATCCGAAGACGACGAGGCAGACGACGCTGTTATCGCCCGTTCGATTTCGTTGCTGGCGCGCCGGTAGTGGCCAGCCGAGGCATCGCGCTCTGCCTCCCAGAGCTCTCGTTCGACGGAATCCATGATGTCGATGTCAATGTCGATATCCAAAGTTGTACAGCGCGATCAACCTGCGCTTCTAGCCGTATGATTCGCTCCCCAATCGGAGACGAGAGAGATGGATATAGTATAGATGCAAGACGGTCCAAGTTCAAGGAAGATGGGACAAAGAGAGAGAAAAAGGATACACCGCCGATATAAATATGATAGCCCAATGGCCGTTAGAAAAGAACCAATTGGCCGAGTAAACCCCAGCAAACCGAAGGCGAAGAGGGGCCCGATAGATAGAGTCGTTGGTCAGAGCTAGGGTGCGAAAAAGCTTGACGGCGCAGGCACGGCAGTCGTTGCGATAGGTGGAAGCGAGGCCACGGTACTTGTTACGGCAGAGGTTGGGGCTAGTCGGGCGAGATGGAATGTACTGAGTACTCGTCTGGGTGTGGCACTAGCGCTGGAATAGGGCAGGTGTAGAACGGCTAGTACGCGTATGGGCTAGAGCCAGCTATTGGGCAGGGCTAAAAGAGGTGAGGTGGGGGCGCTGTAGATGTGGATGATGTAGAGCTGACAGGCGAGGCTCAATAGCAGCGGGAAGAAAAGTCCAGTTGGTTCTGTTTAAACTGTAGAAAAGAGAGGGTCCTGGTTTCGGCACAGTGTAGCAAAAGATGGCAGCGCGATTTGTAGGTCGTTAAACAGATTTTAGTCGATGCAAATAGTTGATAACTCGATCAGTCTGAATGGTGTTTACTGGAACAAAGTACGCTCATCCAAAGCAGTTATTCCCGTCCGCTAACAAACAGGGCGAACAAAAGATCTCAGAGGGGAAGCTGAAGTGTCAATGCTAGCACCGATTCCGCATGCATGTAAGATGGACGGCGCAACCGCTCCTTATGTAGCACAATAGAACGGTCGAAAGCGACTTGACCGAGCAGGTATGTCACTTCTGACTGCAGAAACTGGTATTTGAGTTAGCGGGACCCATCTAGTCTAGTTATCATTGATGTTTATTCATCCCAGCTCGCCGCCGGCATTAGTCAAGTTTCTTCCTAACAATTCGCACGGCACCCGGCTTGGAAATCTCTGCGCTCAGCTCTCCTATCTCTCTTGTGTCGCAAACCTAGGCACGGCGCAAGAATAATGGAGCCTGCTAAAGCCCGAGGACTTAATGCCGGCTTGGTTGGTTGGCTTGGCTCCACCGACAAGGCGGTTCTTCTCGCGATCCCGGCCGAGAGCCATCGAGGCCTAGGCCCGGGAGAGCCCAGCCGTGCCTGGGACCAGCAGTTGATGCCCAACGTTTCCAGAATATTTCTTCTTTAATTGTGAAGAAAAGTGAGTCCCTTGTCTTTTTCGATTCATTAGCAAGCACTGCTCCACAGCGTGTCCAGCTCGTCCCCCTATATCATTTCGCCTTGGCCGTCCCCTTGCCTGAGATTGAGTGCTCATACGAGCCGCATCGCGAAATGCTCCGTGACGGAGGTAACGGCCCTTGCTCCATGACGAACAGGCAGATCGATCTTCCCAACGATCATGGCGATACCCACAGCGCGCATGGTCAATCAACTACTAATCCATAAGATGATGCGATTTCAAATACCTACCACAGCCTCACGGATTGTTCTCCATGGAGAATCCGGCAGTTAGAATTTACCTAGGTATCTGACCATGCCAAGGGGTTTCGCCCCCCGAGATGCAAAATGACGTAGTTTCTCCTATCGGCGACCGTATAGACTGTTGACGTTTAAAGAAAAAAAATCTGCGCGATACTGCTTAGCGTTGTTGTGTGCCGAGAGCGAAAGCGAAAGGCCGAATCAGCGCGACCCAGCAAAGCAAAGCGGCTGTTGTCGGAGCCAAAGCCCGGCTTATTCAGGGTCAAGTCTCGTAACCGCAAACGAAGACAAAAGTGGGCATGCCCGAGAACGAAACAATCAGAAACACGACAGCCAAACAGCTTATTTTCCCCAAGACCTCTCTAGCAGATTCCAGCGGACCGGCCATCTTTTATGCGCCGGGCTGTGGTCGCTCCTGATTGGCCGCTGAGTCACGCCGGGACGGAGAATAGCTCTCAAAGTCCGACTGCACCAAGACGGACTTTTCCGATAACCAGCCAGGGCTGTGAACTGATTGCTGCCGTTACTCAGCATTGTTACTCAGCATTCAGGTTGATGAGCCTTGTCTTGGCAAGAATTTCCGTACCTGAAAATAGACACCTTTGATGCGGGAACACTAGGTAGATCCCGTACATGGCGAAATACTGAATCGGTAATTCTGGGTGTATCAAGCCTCCGTAGATGGAGCTGCGACAGTATAAGGTTGCAGCGATGCTTACTTAACCGTACTCAGGTAAGCAAGCGGGAAGCAGGAAAGCAGGGACTACCAATGAATAGTCGCACGCAAGAAAGACTTATCATCCTAAGTCTTATGACGCACGCTGTTATATCATACATGCATGGTAGAAGCCATACAATAACAGCCTTCGTTAAATCAGAGACGTGTACTCCAGTCGCAAATTCTCCATCCTCTTTGCTATGCCCAAAGCAGAAAAATGTTTCGAGACACAGCTTTTAAGCTAGCAACCGATCAGTTGGCTTGGGCACTATGAGATTTACAGCGATGGTTTCTCTCTCATGATATACAATCCTGCGCCAATTTACAATACGAAGCGAGTGGCTGGGATTCGGGAATAAGAGAAGAGTAAAGAATTCCCTATTCGCACAAGATCGCTGGCTATTTGCTTAGCACAGCCCTCTCGAAAAGGCATAGCGAAGACATCCGTCTCGCCTAGGAGGTGACAACGACCTCCAACGGCAACTCGCTATCCGCGGCCAGCGCATTGCATGGCAGACGGTCTCTATGAAGGATCATGAAGGATCAATAAGAACAAGTCCTTCTTGCTACTATTTAATTTCGCCAATGGAAAATCGCACGATGATGATACAGCCGCGTACGCACCAGCAGTCATTTTTTCTACGTGTCGCCTAAGAGCTGAGTGGCCGGATGTTTCGTAAAAGTCCGCGCCAAAGTGGCTGACGCTTACACGGCGACTCGAACAAAGTCAAAACGGACGGTAGGCGAATTAAGCACAGGATCAGGAGTTTCTCAGGGGAATACAAAAAGGATGTGAGAGAACCATTTCGATTTTAGATTCATCAAAAAAATAATCAATTCAGGTCCACGACAACAGCTTTCCTACTTTCACTATCGCATCGTTGCCAAGCTCAACACCACGCTACAACTCACTAAATCTTTACACAGCTCAACTATTACTACCATCAATCTTGCACCCCATCAGGCAACCAACGCTTCTAAAACTTGAACAGTTAAATATGCAAAACTTGAAAATTGCCATCATTGGAGCAGGCCCAGCTGGTAAATACACATATAGCTCTACACCAGTTTCAAGTATCCCAAACCAATGGCTAACAATCAACCCAGGCTGCGCCCTCGCCCGGCTTCTCCATCTCGGAGGCATCCAAGCCACCATATTCGAAGGCGAAGATTCCGCCAGTGTCCGGTCCCAAGGTGGAACTCTGGACTTGCACACGACCTCTGGCCTAGCAGCCGTCAAAGAAGCCGGTCTATGGGACGAGTTCCTGTCGCATGCCCGTTACGACGGGCAATACATGGCCATAACGGACAAGGACCTTCACTATTACGTCGTCCGGGGCCATGATGCCGAGTCCACCGCGGCCTTTGGCGAACGCCCAGAAATCGACCGCGTAAAGCTCAGAGAAATCCTGCTCGACTCTCTCCCCGCTGGTACCGTCAAATGGGCCCATCGCCTGCAAAAGATAGAAGGCAGCACCTTGATCTTCACCAATGGAACAACCGCCAGCTTCGATCTCGTTGTTGGCGCCGACGGTGCTTTCAGCAAGGTCCGCCTGTCTATTGCCCCTGAGCTGAAGCCCGAGTACACGAGAGTCGCCATGCATCATTTCAGCATCCCTGACGCGGAGAAGACTGCGCCTGAAATCTACAAGATTGTCAACCGCGGAAGCTTGTTTGCCAGTGCCGACGGCCAGCGGTTCACTATTCAGCAGATGGGTGACGGTAGCCTCAACGCGGGCTTTTCTTTTGTGCGCGAGGACGCAGATTGGGGGAATCCTGAGAAGTGCGGTTACAATTCCCAAGACTTGACAGAGGTGAAGAAGGCATTGGCCAAAGAGATGGAGCACTGGGCCCCTTGGTTTCACAAGGCCGTCGAGGCCACTCAGGGTGAGACGAGCACCAGATCGCTGTGGCGTCTGCCGGTCGGGCAAAAGTGGCAGCACAAGTCTGGCATCACGCTCATTGGCGATGCCGCGCATTTGATGACTCCTCATGCCGGTGAAGGCGTTAATCAAGCTCTCGAAGACGCCATGCTTCTCGCTCGCGTGATTCTCAAGGCCCAGAGCAGCGAAGACCTGGACGAGCAGATCCTGCAATTCGAGTCGGAGATGATTGCCCGCGTAGAGAAGATTCAGCAGCTGGCCTGGGATCGCTGCGTGGGCCTGATGTTTACGCCTGGCGTGCCAAAGACTTTTATGGATAAGATGCTCCGGCAGCGGATGAAGGAGGCCAAGGGGATGGGGTTGGATGCCGAGCAGATGAAGGCGATGGATGCTGCTATAGCCAAGGCACAGGCGCAAGCAGATGCTCTGAACAAAGTGTAATTCAGCGGTATCAGCTGTGTTATAGATGAGATTTGTTCATTTCTTGTTATTCTCTGCGTTACATACCTAGCTGTTTTGATGTCGCCTTGACCTGCATGTCCTTGTTTGGAGCAACAGCGAGGTTGAATGTCTCTTTTATCGCGTTTTAGCATCACCAGAAACTTCCCCTTTGACCACATAGATAGATTCTATAAATATCAATCGCTACCCTATTGTTGAACTCTCACTTTTCTGCTGCATGAATTAAAAGGGTATAGCTACTAGGCAACGGAGCGCCGCGTACCAGCTGCGTCACTACCACAACCCCGCGCCCAAACGTGCACTTGTTTCGACTTACACCGAAGACTTCTAAATCTCCGACTTGGTAAACACCAAATTCGCCATCATAGCCACTGCTCACAATCACAGCTAGGAAAATCAAGTTCGCTCATCATGCCAACCGAAGGCGTCTACATCCGTCCAAACGGACAAAAAACCTTCATCCCTCTAGAAAACAACCCCGAGGTCTTCACGTCGCTCGTCCACGACCTCGGCGTCTCACCCGATCTCGGATTCTACGACGTCTACAGCCTCGACGATGCTGATCTCCTCTCTTTGGTGCCTCGTCCCGTCCTGGCGCTCATATTCATCGCTCCAGAGCCCGTCTACTATGCTCTCCGCAACCAAGACGGAACTGCCGTGTCGCCGCCGCAACTGACTTACGATAAGAGCGGCGATGAAGAGCCCATCATCTGGTGGCAGCAGACAATTGGCCACTCGTGCGGCCTCATGGCGTTGCTACACTCGGTTGCTAACGGGGAAGCACGAAAATTTGTTCTCAAGGACTCTTTCTTGGACAGTTTATTGAACCAAGCCACGCCGCTCAAGCCCGTTGAAAGAGCTGCTGCGCTGTACAACAACGATGAACTAGAGAAGAAGCACATGAAAGCCGCTAGAACGGGAAACTCTCAGCCGCCTGGAGCCAACGAAGACAGTCCCAACCACTTCATATCATTTGTCAAGGGCAAGGACGGTCATCTGTGGGAGCTGGAGGGAGCCACCGATGGTCCTCTAGATCGCGGATTAATGCGTGAAGGTGATGATGTGCTCAGTGAGGGCGCGCTGGATCTGGCTGTGCGCAAGTTTTTGAAGGCCAGCAATGGAAATCCAAACTTTAGCATTGTGGCATTGGCAAAGAAGCCGGAGTGAGATGCAACTTGTAACATGCCATGAAGCTGGCTACCTGTTTTACTCAAATACAGAAAGTATCAGCCACTGACATTATTCTCCAGTGTGAGAACGTAAGAGACCAAAAATGAATACAATATCAATTAAATTCTATAAATAAATTCAATGCTAATATTGGGCTGCATTGCATACAAATAACTCCATGTCCCTATTCAAATGCCGGCACATCTTATCTGATCTCCATCTCGGTCTGGGGTAGGCGGAAACGTCACCGGGCCTTAGTGCCAGAGTCACGCCGCTATTTTCGGAACCTCGAATCTGACTTGCTCTCCAAACAACTTCATCCTTACTCTCGCGAAGAACCTCCGCCAATGAACTGGCTCAAATCCCGACACTAGGCGCCCGGGCTTTCTATCGCAATGGATAGCTCACAGGCGCCGCTCATCTCGAGCAACCGCCACGACGATGATGCGCCCTACGATACCGTCGACGACGTGCCTGGGGCGAGGGCTGCGGCGGGAAAGGCGACAGACGGACGGCCTGGCGTGTTCGTCCTGATTTTGACATTTGCGGCTGGAATTAGTGGGCTGTTGTTTGGATGTGCGCATTTCTAATTCTTCGTCTCGAGATTACTTTTTACAGAGAAGATGCTTACCAGCTTGGCTCCTAGATGACACCGGCGTTATATCTGCCACGCTCGTCTCGATCGGAAAGGCATTGTCGGACCGAGACCTCACTTCGATGGATAAATCAATCATCACTTCTTCGACCTCCCTCTTCGCACTGCTCGTCTCGCCATTCTCGTCTCTTATTGCCGACCGGTTAGGCCGCAAACGGGTCATTCTATACGCCGACGTACTGTTCATCCTCGGGGCGATTCTACAGGCTGTCAGCTCTACCGTTCCGGCCATGGTCGCTGGTCGCTGCATTATCGGCGCGGCAGTGGGTGCTGCGAGCTTCGTGGTGCCATTATACATTGCCGAGATTGCACCGTCGTCATATCGAGGCCGTTTGGTTACTATTAATGTGCTGTTTATCACGCTTGGGCAGATGGCGGCTTACATTATCGGCTGGGCATTGTCTACATATGCGTCAAAAGAATCTGGGTGGCGGTGGATGGTAGGCTTGGGAGCTTTGCCGGCAGCTCTACAGGGTGTTCTTGTGGCCTTTATGCCGGAAACACCGCGGTGGTTGGTAAAAGCCGGGAGATCAGAAGATGCCAAGCGCGTTGTTCAAAAGGTTAATGGTGTGCAAGGCCGGTTTGATGGTACTGCGGATGCCATCATCAAGGAGATTGAACTTGAGATCCGGGAGGAAGACGAAACGCGACTACTACAGGATCGTCAAACGTTTGGTCCGTGGAATGGGCTCCATGTGTGGTTCGAGCTGTTGGGCGAAGGTAAACATCGCCGCGCGCTGGCAATTGCATGTCTTTTGCAGGGCTTGCAGCAGTTGAGCGGTTTTGTAAGTGCAACGACTAAATCTTACTACGTGGCAGGCACAATTACTTACGTTGGCTGTCTAGAACTCACTCATGTACTTCTCGGCCACGATTTTCTCCATCATGGGATTTGAAAGCCCTACTTTGACGTCACTCATCGTTGCCGTGACCAACTTTGTCTTCACACTTGTTGCGCTGGGCCTCATTGATAAAATCGGCCGCCGACGGATCTTACTCTATTCAATACCCGTGATGGCTTTGGGACTGCTACTAGCTGCGGGTGGATTCTCATATCTGTCACTGGAACAGGCGCCAGACACGGCATCAGCAAATGAAAGCCAGGGAAGAAGCGGCCCCGCCATTGTCGTCCTTGTCAGCATCATGATTTACGTCGCATCTTATGCCCTTGGTTTAGGTAATGTGCCATGGATGCAAAGCGAGTTATTTCCTCTCTCGGTCCGCTCGGTCGGCAGCGGAGTTGCGACAGCTACAAACTGGGCGGCAAACTTTGCTGTTGGACTGACCTTTTTGCCAATGATGGACGCGCTGAGTCCGTCCTGGACGTTTGTGCTTTATGCAGGAATCTGTACTGTTGGGCTTGGCCTTGTCTGGCGCATATATCCCGAGACTGCAGGGTTGAGTCTGGAGGAGGCCACGGCGTTGCTAGACAACGGATGGGGCGTACGAAGGTAATATTGCGGACGATCTTCCTCGTACCTGTATTATTGGTTATTTCATATACATGCATAGAATAGCGGATATAGACACATGTGTGTAATCCTTGACCCTGATCTATGGCGCGCAAGTAATACCGCGACTCCTGAAAAGCTGCGTTGCCATGGGAGCTGTGCCGGGAATCGATGCAAGGTACCGCGGATCAGTGGCTGGGCCCCCTTACTTTGTGCAGGGTGATGGAGCGTTCTAGAAGATTTCCAATCGTACTGTGCAAAGCTTTGTCTAGCTGAAAAGCATCAGATGCCTTTCTTTTTTTCTGTAAGCAAATGTAAGAAACATCTGCGTTAAGACTCCGAGGCAGCGATGGATGCAACAATGGGATCTGATGGGATTATGTGAAACATGAGACTGGGGATGAATGTCACCCCCGGAAGGTACATGCATGTACAAGCACAGTCAGCCTCGCATAAGTAAAACTCGTCGAACCAGTTTGTCGAGACTGTCAGGCACAGTATCGAGATTTAATTCGTGTAAATGCCGTTGCCGCCAGATCCCCAAAGCCATAAATGGGATTCAGCGTCGTATCGTTTCTGGGGATAAGGCTTTGGGCAGCTATAAATAACCACATGACGTTGAACTCCCCCCCAAAAAGCTGCCCAACGCTATGCCATGGCGCTTCCAGCCACTGACAGCTTTCGGTTCCTGCGCATGACAACTTTGGCCTGCGCAACTAAATCAAAGCCCTTATCATGCATAATCGAGGGGGCTGGATAAAGATGGACAAAAAAATAGATGTGGATTTAGATTCTTTTTTTCTTTTTCTCTGTTTGTGCGTGTATGTCTCGAGTTGCAGCCTCCAGCCTCTTTGCACTCGTCGAGATCGACCACCTGTAATCCCAGCTCGGCGACCCTGTCTGCCATATTCACACTGTTGTGCCTATTCGTTTGCAGGAATACGAGATCCTCCCTCCCGAGACCTTGTCTCGAACCCTATTAGTCTATACCTTAAGTTGTTCAAAGTGCTCACCTGCACACGGCTTTTGCGTCGATTCTTCTGTTCTTCTGCAAGCCACCCATCCCAAATACAATAGGCACCTATTCTAGGCCTACAATAGAGCCCTGTTCGCCGCATGGTTGATGCATCCGGGTCCGAAGCTTCTCCGGTGCTAGCACAGTAACGCCAGCGACTTGCAGGTACCGCCAGCATCGGGGACGTGCGCCCTGCAGATAGCCCAAGACGGTATCCGCCAGGTATATCCAGGTACCGCCCGGGCTGGCTCAGCTCTTCCGGTGGACGAACGGGCTTTTCTTGCTGACAGACGCAAAACACAGACCAGGCCACCCCCTCTCGCATCTCTCTTCAAGACCAGACCAGACACCAACGCCAGCCTCTTGCAGGTCCCAAACCCGGCCATTCATTTTCCCTTTTCCTTTCTTCGTCTTTTTTCTTACGCTCTCACTCTCTCGCCTCGAGGGCTTGTCACAAGTTGCGCCGCCACGTCTGTCCTTTTGCTTCCTGGTCGCCAGTTGAATGTGCGCATAGCGCATAGCCGAAAGACTGAACTGCGCTCGGCCTCTCTTTTTATTTTGCTTCTTGTCGTCCGCCGCTCGTTGGATAATGCGACTTTCCCTCAGTCGCTGCTTTTCGCTTACACAAGAGACTCACGGCTTCGATTTCGACTCGACGACAGACAACTCCGCCTCCCATTTCGGACATCGTCGGTCGCTCGCTCATTAATTTTTTGACAATCCGCCACCAAACGCCTTCTTCGACCCGCTCGCCAGCCACAGGCCTGGCTCCCGCGATCACGGCACGTGGAACGAACATCAGGGGCGAGGGATACACCCGACAGGAAGCACTCGTCGCTACTACGAGCTTGGGAGAAGTAATAGGAGGAAACAGAAACTAAACAAGAATACAAAGAAAAAAAAAAACAAAGACAGAGAGGTTTCAAGATGCAGCCGCAAGCCTCTGCCGCTCAGAGGGCTTATTCGCAGCGTCGCTCTCCAGGTGCTGCTGACCCTGGGCCTCCACCTTCGGTGCGAGCCATTTCTCCTGGCATCCCGCCCGGCCAGGCCCAGCGACAGTCCAACGTCTCTGTCAGATCTGCTCCGTCAAGCAGCGGCTCTAGGAGAACAAACCGCGAGGTATGTGGCATCTCCAAGGGGGGATATGGCGCTCATCCTAGCTATCGGAGCGCGACTCAAGCTGACGCCTTCTAACCGTGTGTACAGGGTTCATCTTCATCCGGATCGGGAAGCGGCTCCAACATGCCATTGTCGCAAATCGAAAAGAGCGTCACCCACCTGCTCGTAGCCACAAAACAGCTGCTCGAGACATTAACACAGTGGTCGCGCGGCCAGGCAACCGATGCGCAGGTCTCCGACGTCTACGTGCGATTAGGCTATGAATTCAACATGGCTTGCCGGGCCTTTACGGCCATCAATGTCGATACATCCGACCTCGGCAACGTCCCAGACCTGCTTCGAAGCATTCTCGAGGCTTGTTTGAGCCAGGAAGCCAGTGCCGAGAGCTTGGAGAAATATCTGCCTAGGATTCGAGATATCATCATCAACCTGCTGCACGGACTAAAGCGAAAACAACAGAGGCTGCGCCAGAAACAGGGACGAGATAGGGAATCTTCTGTGCCGGAGAGAACCACCAGCGTCAGTACGATTGCCAGTGGGAGCAGTGGCTTGACGAATATGCTCGAGGATACCTTGGAGAGCCATCGACCCTCCTCGCATCGACCGGGATCCGGTCCCCAGCCGAATGGCGGATCATCGCCCACGCGGCGCTTCAACGCTGAACGAGACCAATCTAGGGGATCGGTTGCGTCAGAAATGTCCTCCGTGTCTAGCTCGACCATGCAGAACATGCCTGTAGTGCCACCTTACCCGGCGGAGGAGTCGTCCATGCCTTCAATGCCTACAGGACCGCCAGTAGGAGACCTCAATATCGATTCATTCCCACCCCCGCCTCCTCCACCACCGGATAATACTTCCAGCGCTTTAGCAGCGCTGCAAAAGGGCGGTGATTTGGAAAGAAGAGCCTCCCGGCGATACTCTCAATACCAGATCTCGAAACACCTTGGAGGGTCCGTGAGCGCCGTCCCTATGCTTCCGTCGCAAACAGGGACTTTGCCAAATAGGGGAAGAAAGGAGGCCAGGGAATCGCTGCGTGCTGTTCAGTCACGCGAATCCGTTCGACATAGCCGTACGGCCTCTCAAATCAAACGAAGCAGTACTTATAACAATTCCCCTGTTCGCGTTCCCAGCCAGGTAGCAGAAGAAACTCTACCTACCCAACCAGCTGAGAGTCCGCTCGCAAGGACCCCAGATGACAAGTACGCACCAGGTGCAACTCTCTCCGGACCTCTGAACGATTCCAATCCTTTCATGCTCGAATCGCCGCAATCTGAAGCCAAGAAGGAACAGAAAATCAAGCAAAACGACACCCCAACAGCAGCGCCTCTTCCCGCAGAGTCAAAGCCAAGCGAGAACTACTTCCAGGTTTCGCCTCCACCAACCCCGACCAAGGATTTGACACTCTTTCTCCAGTACAAGTCAAAAGTTAAGAAGATTGTTCTACCCGAAGGTCGCGATGAACTATCCATTGGACGCTTGCAGCTGGCTTTTATAGATAAGTTCTCTTGGAACACGCAGCAAAATGGCGCCGATTTACCCGAGATTTACATCCAGGACCCGGTGTCTGGTGTCCGTCACGAGTTGGAAGACCTAAGCGATATCAAGGATCGAACTGTGTTGGTACTCAACGTAGAGGCGCTGGACGAAGTCAAGCGACACATCGATGAGGGCATGTTTGCACTCACCAAAATTGTTCGAGAGGTGAAGCAGAATGTGGACGACCAGGCTGTTACTCTCCAGCGAGTGTCGGATCGCCAACAAGAGACTGCCAAGGAGATGGCTCAGATTGTAGAGCAGGCTCAACAGGCTCCTGTACGAGCTGCGGACGAACCAAAGACTCTGACTCTATTGGGAGCCGGAAAGAAGCTTGGCAGCGGCCAGATTGGAGAAGTTCAAACCCTGCGCCGCGATCTTGCTGTTCTCCGACAGACCTATTCCACTTTCCAGTCCGAGATTCAGGCTTCCATGTCCACTATTCGCAGCAAAGCGGCCAATGTCAAAACAGTGGCTGCCAAGGCCGCAATCCCCAGTATGGATGGAGACAACGGATATGCCTACGTTACAAACGGACGGAAACAGCTCAATGCCGACTCGGATAGACTGGTTGCCAAGGTTGACGACCTCCAAGACTTGGTGGAAGATTTGCGCAAGGACGTCGTGCACCGCGGTGTCCGACCACTGCCTCGACAGCTTGAGGTCGTTTCCAAGGACGTCACTTCGCTTTCTAAACAACTAAAGGCAATGGAAGACTACATGAACAAGGAGAAGCCGATTTGGACCAAGATTTGGGAGAAGGAGCTTGAGGATGTTTGCCAGGGTCGTGATGAGTTGCGCATTATGGAGGAGCTGCTCATTGACCTGCGCGACGACTTGGAGAAGGCGTCGGAGACGTTTGCTCTCGTTGAACAAGCTACCAAGGAACAGATGAAGGATGCTGGTACTAGCCCCAGCGCCAGCACTGCGCGCACGTTTTCCAAGGTTGTCAACCTCGGCAATAGCATCGATCAGAGTGCTGCGAAAGAAGACATGCTAGGAGAAGTGCGAGCTTTGCAGCCTAACCACCAGGACCGTCTGGAGGCGATTGAACGTGCTGAGAAGCTGCGACAGAAAGAGTTGAAGAACCGCTCTGACAATCCACTGCATCGTGAGATTCGCAACTTTGTTGCCGAGGGCAAGCTGAAGAAGTCGGGAGGTTTCGAAGAAATTGAGCGAGCACGAGTGGCCAAGGACGAAAAGATACGACGTGAGGTGTGGGAGCGTATGAATGGTATTGTCGCTGATGACGATGAAGAAGAAGAGGAGGAGGAGGAGGAGGAAGAAGAAGAGGAGGAGGGTGAAGAAGGCGAAGAAGGTGAAGAAGGGGGCAAAGA